TGGGGAACGAGAAATTCCTCGTTCTCCTCAATTCATCACCGAGCTTTGGCCCGTTGTCTTTTTTTTTTTTTTTCATTCTCAGCGAAAGCGCACGATGGGCAGGACCACTTTCTTCCCCTTCGCCTCGCCGCTTTAACGGCGGTTGCGGTCAGGATGGACCTTGCTCGCTCGGGGGGCGGGTACCGACCAGGAACAAGGGTTGCGCATTGGGCGGCCTTTCGTCAAAGCTTTCTTCCCATACGCCGCGCGCGCGCCCCCTTCCACACCTAAAACTAAAGTATTGCGCAACCTTGCGGCAGGATTCTAACCTTCTGATAGTGAGGTCTGTCTGTATGTCTTACCGGACACTACCCGCGGATTCCGTTCCGACACCCTGGTGCGCCATATGTACAACTGAGACAACGACGCAGGGCGAAGAGGCAAAAGATAAACAATGACACCATTCAAAGACCCTCGATTAACGTTGAGAGACCCTTAAAAAAGAAAGTTAAAACGGCAGGTAATATGCATAATGACGACTCAACATGTCATTCGCCCTCATCATTTGTCTATTATTTTCGGGTCTTATTTGATTTTTCATTTCTACCTTTCAAATGAAACCCCAGCACATGCCTCCTTTCCTTCTCTCCGCCTTTTCCAAACAGATACCCATGTACCCCCGAATACAAGGCCCGTCGGCGCCCCCTTTCCTCCCCCTCCGAAACATAGCAGAGTCCCATTGCCGAAGGGAGGGGGAATGGAGCGGTGTGTGCAATCCTACCTCGCGAAGGGCCCTTTGCAAAACATCGGTTCACTATTTCCTTAGCGAGGTGGCTGGTGCAAGGCAGGGTAGCAGCCGGAGCCCGTTTTAGTGTGGAGAACGTCCCGCCCGCGGACACGTGCCTACTAGGCGCCAAGCTGGCAGAGAAGCCAAAGGTTTGGTTCGGGGCGCTTAAATAAAGGAGCGAGAGGCGTGTGTGTGGAGAAGCCAGCAACGGAGAAATACTGCTTACTGTTAGACTTGGTCCTTTGCTGCGGGGCGGATCCTCTGCATGCGCGCGCCCACCGCTACGTTTTGTTGACAGAAAACAGACCGACTTTGTGGCGACTAGTGCTGCGTCGTCGTCGTCGTGGGCTACGAAACTTCAGAGCAAAATGATGCTCTCTTTGCGGTAATTGGATGACGTCCCCGTTGCCCCAAACGTTCGGTCCCGGTGAAGCCCAATCAGTGGGCTGATGAGGCGCCGCCGCAGCTTATTGTCCGTTTCAGGACCTGTGAGGGAAACAGTTGAGCGGATTCAGACACCAGCCCAACCACATACTTTTTCGTTATCGTTTTTTTTTTCTCTTAATCTTATCTTAGAGGCGTGAGCGACTTTGAGGGCATTGTGTAACCAATGCACCTTTGGTGATCGCCATCCGCTCGACCGCACTTTGTGGTTGAACGCTATGGACACAGAAAATCAACGCCAGGCGGAATATAGTTGGAAGTCAGAAGAGGTGAGATCAGCAAGATCACCGGCCGTAGGATAGCCAGAGGCTCAGTCAGTGTTAGAGCCCGCATAGGACATAGGTCTGAATCAGCAATCACGCTCTTAACCTTGTGAGCAAGGAGCATCCAGTGCAACTTACGCATACACACACACACACTAGCTTATCCAGCATCTCAAGAATCGAAACGACCAGAGCAACAAAAGCTGCCACAAAAACAACCACAGTGGAGCAACTGCCGAGGAAAACCCCCCCGCGATGAAACAAAGCAGAAACGCGCCCTCCTCTGGGACCGGTCCCTCCGTCCGGCCGTTTCGTAGACTGCCGAGTGGCGCCGTCCTCTAGTTAAACCGCTGGCCGCGGGCTAAAATGCGCCACTATCTACAGCAAATCGAGAAAAAATGGTCTGATATCGAGAATCCTCATCCATCGATAATCCCTCCCGCCGTCGAAAAAAAAGGGTCCTCTCAAATTTCCCAACTGCCTAGCGCGGGGGGGAAGGGAAGTGCCTAGCGTGTGTGATGGGAGGATTCGACCACTTATTAGCATGGTATGTTGTGTACCGCACATCTACCCGTCTCGAGGAAGGTAGGGGAAAATAAAGGGTCCTCGTTGTAGACCGAGACGAGACGATCCTCATCATCTCCGCATGAAGTCACTGACTAGCTATGCGCGTCGCCACGCCACAAGTCGACTCGCGTTGCTGAGGCGGTGGCGTACGCATAGCTAGCTCGGAACACTTGCACGAGTAGTAGTCTTGTCCTGTCTACTGTTGTACGGGTTACATGGGGAGGTATTTTTTTTTTCTCTTTCGTTCCTTTTCCCTGTCCAAACGACATCTGAAACCACCCCTCTATGGGGCTTGCATTGCAACACTTTGCGTCACCACGCATTGCGACCCTTCTCCACTTCTTACGGGCGTTGGGCGCGTGGACAGGACAGTAAACGAGAATCATGGGCCACGCGACGGGAGGCCCCATTGTTAAAAAGCGCCGACCGAATGCGGGGGAGGGTGCATGGGGGTGTGAAAATCATGGAAGGGATGGGTGGGTGGGAGAGAGCAGGACCACAATGTGGGGAAGGGTCATCTTCGAAGGATGCGGCTTCCGTGCGCTGCTGATGATGACGAGCGGCGACGGCGAACGGAGCAGGGGAGTTTGGGACGAAATTGACGCGGCCTTAATGCGGGATCTGCGGGCAATGAGGGTGGAATCGTCACCGTTGCCATGTCGGTTCCTTTCTGACCGAAACATGGTCTTGTGATTGCCAAAGGTGGGCGCTAGTAGTGAGATCCCTGACCATGGACGGGCGGGCATGGAGAGAACGGGAGTATCCAGAATGCCCCTATGCGGCCATTTACCCCCCATGTCGTTTGGGGGCACATCGTTCCAGGTCGGCGTTGGATCTAATCAGCAAGCGCGAGTCTTCTCCCTTATCTGCATGTTCTTCGGATGCTTGATATCTCATTTCAGTAACTAATGGTGTGGAAAGTACTGGCCTCCCCGAATGACTTTCGGTCTTGATACCTGCCACTTCGAGTAGTAAGTCCTCCTCGTGAGTGGAACCACCTCGAGTATTGCGGATAGCTGCTGAGTAGAACTTATGCTCTACCACCGAGCTTCTCCAAAGCGCGCGCACCCTGCTCCTCCCATTCCGCCTTGGTAACCCACATGCTCTCCTTGTCCGACATCTACGAGAGTGAGTCAGCACGATGAGGAGCTTCAACATCAGACAAGAAGAACGCCTTACGATGTTGGCCAGAACAGCACCACCGATGAAGACCATGTGCCTTCTCCTAGGAGGGTCCTCGATGCGGACCTTGAATTTCTATTAACAGCATGTTAGTGCCTTTGCCAACCAGCCAAGTCTTTGTGCTGGGTGACTTACGTTCAACCTCTCCGGGTTGCCTTGCAGGACCTTCGTTAACCAGAGCTGCTTCAGCTCCTTCTCCAACCGGCTAGGCAGACCAGGGTACATGCTGCTTCCACCACTAAGCACAATAGCCTTGTAGAGGTCCGCCCTGACATCGACGTCGGCGGCTTGGATAGTGTTGAAGAGGAACTCGGCCATGCCGGGCTGTTCGACATCGACCAGGTGGGGCTGGAACAAGCACTCGGGAGCCTCGAACCGCTCGCTACCAACCCTGATGACTCTGCCGTCCGGAAGGGTGTACGACTCGACGAGCACAGTCGTGTCCTCGCTGAGGCGCTGGTCCAGCTCCAGGTCGTAAGAGACGTAGCACAGCTTCTCCTTGATCTGGCGCACCGTCTCGAAATCGGCGGTACGGTTGAGCGCGTAACCTCTCCGCAGCAGCAGGGCGATCAGATTCCTCGTGACGTCTCTGCCGGCAACGTCCAGGCGCCGGGTGAGGTGGTTTAGCACGGTGCTCTCGTAGACGGGTACAATGTGCGTCACACCGTCGCCGGAGTCCACGACGACGCCCGACGACAGACCCTGGGCGTACAGCGCGAGGACGGCCTGGATGGCGACGTAGACGCCGCCGAAGTTGTAGCGCTCGAACATGACCTCGGCCATCTGCTCGCGGTTCTTAAGGGGGTTCATGGGCGGCTCAGTGAGGAGGATCTTGCGGCCGGTCGGGTCGATTTTCATCTTCTCGAAGAAGGTGTAGTCCCACAGGTGCTGCATGTCGTCCCATCGCTTCACGATACCGTTCTCCATCTGTTTACAGGCGAATGCCAGGTCAGCGCTCAGGTCGGTCGGGCGTTGCCGGCGGGGCAGCCGCGCTCAGGGGAGCTCATTCGAAGCTCGCGGGAACGGGCAGGCGTACGGGGTAGGTGATCTGTAGCATTGACCGGGCGGCAGCAGCCTCGTCTCCGCACATGATGTCCTTCAGCTGTATATCCAGGCCATCGCGTTCTTCGGAGCGGAGGATCGGGCGGCCGACTATCGAGGGGTATTGGTGGTCGGGGAAGTTCTGCGGCGTGGGCACAATGGTCAGTCGGCTTCGAGGGCGCGCGGCGGAGCTGGCGGATGGAGCAAACGGACCTGTCCGGCAAAGCCAGCCTTCAGGAAACCAGTTCCGCCGTCCAGGACTAGAGTTGGGCTCGCGTCAGCGGGGGTACGTCAGGAGCTCGGGGGAGCTTGCATACCAATCGGAACCTCCGCCATATTGGGCTGTAGAGCGACTCGAAGCTAGCGGAGGTGAGAGCTTGGAGATTGCGAATGGAGGTGGACTCGGGGGTGGCAGATGGCGGGATGAGTGCCTGGCGGGGCCCGGGGGGTTGACGTTGTCGGGAGTCGTCCGTGGCTGGGCTGACTTCGGCCTTTCCTTCATCCGGGGTAAGAGGCGCGTGTAGTGGGGCGGTGCATCATCGTCACTTCCTGTTCACTTGACTCGCGACACACAAACTCTATTGATAAGAAGAAGAAGGAGATATCGATAGGAAGAAGCAGAATATCGAGTGAGCATCATGCTCCGCAATTTGTATGCACCGGACGCCGTGAGTGTAAACTTTCCAAGACAGCTCCCACCACCAGCACTAGCTGCCCCGCTCCCTCAGCATGCACCCTCAAACCTCCTGGATATAATTCGCGGGCACGCTCTTGACGATGCCTCCCTTCTCAACGTCCGCCCATCCATCGCCCGCATCCTTGTTGATGAGCACGAACCGCTCACCCTCCACGATCGTGTGCTCAGCATCACTGCGCGCCTCGTAGTCGTACAAGGCCTCGGCGTACTTGAGCTTCTTTGCACCTCTCTTCGGTGCCACTGCAGGGCCCTTCTTCTTCGCAGCCACAGCAGCAATACTGTCTGCAATCGAAGCATTGGAATTGGAGTACGTCGAGCTGGGACGCACGGGAGATGCAGGGACAGCTTCGACATAGCTAGCAGGCACCAGCCCTTCCTCGTGGCCGGCGCGGACCTTCATCCATCCTGATCCGTCTGGAATAATGTAAGTAAACTATGGGATTGGCCCGGTGGCAGGTCAGCTTACCGTCTGGTTCCAAAATGGCAACGTCCTTGCCCTCGTCGATGGATATCTCGCCCTCGCCAGCGGCTGTGTAAGGGTACATCATCTTGCCCTTTGGTTCGTTGGCCTTGTGACTATCACCATTCGAAGGCGCTGCAGAGTCCGCGCTCTTAATGTATTGCGCAGGAGGTGGCGCCATGATCCGGTTCTTCCGTATAGCAGGAAGGGATTTCTTCCTTTCCGGCGACTTCTCCTCCGGGGCTTCTGCCGTGCCAGATATAGACCGGTGTGCTGTTGCAGAGTAACCAGAGCTCAACGTGTTCATCGAGTTCACGGTATCGCTGCGGCTGAGCTGGGGTAGGTCTGATTGTGAGTCTGTAGCCCCCAAACTTGCCGTCGAGGCCTTCGCATCTTCCTGCCTTCTTGCCTTGAGCCTCTTCTTTTCCTCTTTGTTCATCTCGCCAGGGCAGTCTGCAGGAACTTTCATCTCGCACTTGCTGTGGCACGTGTAACCACAGTCTTGACAGTCGAACCCCTTGGCGGACAAACCCCAGATGCGATCACCACAGAGATCGCAGTTCGTGGGAATCTTGAACGTCTGGGCCTTGAAGTTGTGATTCCGTGCTCCAATGCTGACATCTCCCACTGCTGTTGTGATTGTCGCGACCTCCACCTCTGCAGTCGTCTTCTGCCGCTGAACTTCATGCATTTGTTCCTGCAACGAGAAGATGGCGCGTACACACTCCACTTCATCACGCTTGTCTTTGCCCTCTCGAATGAGGTCTCGCGCCTTCCTAGCGTTTTGAACCTCTCTCTGCTTCGCATCAATTTGGCGTTTCAGCTCCCCTAGCGATCCCTTGCTCTTCGTCAAAATGTTCGTCAGGAAAACCTTCGTCGTCTCGTCTGCGGGGATCGTGTCGTCATCATGCCAGACGGGGCTCGGCTCAAAGACAAAGTCTGCTGGGTCATGCCAGTCCTGGGTGTTGTGTCGGACAAACATCATGGAGTCCAGCTTGGGGTTGTTGCGTGGGATTTCTGAAGCCAGGTGGTTCAAGAACTCCGTGCTCCGTGCAAGCGTGCCGGTTTCGATTTGGGCAGCCAATGACCAGATTTCATTCAATTTCGCAACCCGCGTCTCGGAAAGATCTTGCAAGCTCTGTCGTTCATTAGGAATGCTCATGGTAAGGTGGTAAGGTGGAGGAGCCAGAAATCATACATCCAGAAGCTCAGGGACATATTCGTGGTAGTATCGTTCCTTTTGCTTATTGGTTACATTGATGCTGATAATATAAGTACTCTGCAACACTGTCAGCATCGTTCGCAGCACACGGAGAGTCTTGGCTCAGACCTTTAAGTTCCGCATTTCAGCCTGTTGCTGCTCGAAAGCGGCACGCGCCTTTGCTTTTCCATGGTCGAACGCGCCATCAGACTTCTTGCGGCGATTCTCGACCTCCTGGCAGGCATTGTCATATTTGCCCTTTACTTTCTTGAGGTCGTTATATGTTGAGTCTCGCTCCTTCTCCAGCTTGGCTGCGTAGTCGCCATGGTACTTGCGTAGCTCTTCGTAGCGGGCGGCGAGCTGCTTAAGGGGCTCGGCCAGGTTGGTGACGAGTTGCTGGGAGAATTGCTCGTGTTCGCTCGCGCGGTTTTCGAGGGTGGTGAGCTGGACTTGCCATGTGGTCATGGAGGCGCTATCCCGAGGAGTCAGTTCTCATCCGTGTCCTCGTGCACTGGGCGCCCGAAGGCGAGACGCACCATTCCAGCGACCCCGGAGTGACGGTGGGGGTGTCGCCCACGCTGAGAGTGCTTGACTTGCGGGCTTTCTTCTCAAAGTACTTCTTAGCCAGCGCGCTCAGCTTTCCGGCGTACTCCTTCTCTACTGCGGCGCGTTCCCGGTAGAACTGCTGTATCTCGTCCAGCCAGCCGATACCATTCGCGACCTAACGCGCAGGTGTCAGCACATCCTTGTGTCGTGAGGAGAATACTAGAGCTCGTCTAGGATCCAGCGATTCCGGGTTGTGGGGTGGTCGTTGGCGTCACTCGTACCCAAGCGTTAACCGGCTTGAAGCCATCCTGTCCGAACGTGCGTCAGCCATGCGTGCGCGCATACGCAGAGACGAGCGTTACCTTGAGCTCTGCGCCGAATTGCGGGTTAATGTCTATGTCGGCCATGGTTTCTCGGGTAAGCCTGTGGAAGAGCAGGCGCAAAGGCGCATGAGAGGGCGGGCGTGAAGGGTGCTGCGGCTGGAGCTGGGCCGCAATGAGATAGAGGGCCCCTGCGTCCGTATGGCGGGGTGTGACGACGTTCTGGCAGTCGGGTTCCCGGGATTCAGGGCTGAGCCTCGCGCGCAGGCGGCAGTTTCCAGGCCGAAACGTTTGTCCGCGCTCAGCCCGCCGCGCCAGGAACATTCGTCAAGGGCACTTTCCAGATACATGCCCCGCGTCTAGCTCCACGACACACCCACACCTTGCTCGCCACCTCAAGCCGCGCGAAACACTGCCGCTCGCGCCCGCAGCTTGCATCCTCCATTCGCTGCATCCTCACACTGCCCTTCGAGACAAGTTCTTTGTCCTCGACGCGCCTCGACTAGCTTCACCCCGCCAAACGCATCACCGCCCACCATGTCTGACGCCGCTCCCTCCCTCGAGAGCCGCATCACCAGCGACGAGCCCGCCGCCGAGGTCGCCGAAGCTCAGACTGATGGCGCAACCCCCGCAACCGGCGGCAGCGGCCTCCACGAGCCCGAGTACGATGTCGAGGTCAAGCTTGCCGATCTTCAGGCCGACCCTAACAACCCGCTCTTCTCCGCAAAGACTTTCGAGGACCTGCAACTGTACGTCCCACGCGTTTCCGAGGCCATACGAGTTTAGTGAGACTAATTGGTTCATGCTGCGGTTAGGAAGCCGGAGATCCTCAAGGGCCTCTATGGCATGCGCTTCCAGAAGCCGTCCAAGATCCAGGAGAAGGCTCTCCCGCTTCTCCTGATGAACCCTCCCACAAACCTTATCGGCCAGTCCCAGTCGGGCACTGGCAAGACTGCGGCCTTTACCCTCAACATGCTGAGCCGCGTGGACCTGTCGACCATCTCCCCCCAGGCCCTCGTCCTTGCGCCTAGTCGCGAATTGGCACGTCAGATTATGGGTGTGGTTCAAGAGATGGGCAAGCACATGGAAGGCCTTGTGGTCACCGCTGCCATTCCCGATCCCAGCAGGCGCAATCAGAAGTTTGAGGGCCAAGTCATTGTTGGTACGCCCGGTACCGTCATGGATATGATCAGGAGGAGGCTGTTGGACAGCCGTGGTATTAAGGTTCTTGTTCTGGACGAGGCCGACAACATGCTGGATCAGCAGGGTCTTGGAGATCAGTGCAAGAGAGTCAAGCAGTACGCATTGCCCAAACCGGAAACATTTCGCCAGCCTAATGTCTCGCAGGCTCCTTCCTAAGGACACCCAGGTCGTCCTTTTCTCCGCTACTTTCCCCGATGAGGTCGTCCGCTACGCAAAGTCGTTTGCGCCCAACGCCAACCAGCTCACTCTCAAGCATGAGGAGCTTACTGTTGAGGGCATCAAGCAGTTCTACCTGGACGCCGAAGGCGAAGAGGACAAGTTCCGTGTTCTTTTGCAGTTCTACGGCCTCATGACCATCGCGTCTTCCATCATCTTCGTCAAGGTAAGCATCTCTGAAGTGTTGGAAGCTGCCATTCCCGAGCTGACATTTCGTCAAGCGCCGTGACACTGCCGCTGCACTTGAGCAGCGTATGACTGCCGAGGGCCACAAAGTTGCACAGCTCTCTGGTGCTTTGGAGGGTCCTGAGCGTGATATAATCATCGACAGGTTCAGGAAGGGAGAGGCCAAGGTGCTCATCACTACGAACGTGCTGGCTCGTGGTATCGACGTTCAGTCGGTGACGATGGTGATCAACTACGTATGTACCCAACTTTCTTGGCGCGCCGACAAACTAACTGACAGTTCTACAGGACATTCCCGAGATGGCCAACGGTGCTCCTGATCCGGAGACTTACCTTCACCGTATCGGTCGTACTGGACGTTTCGGTCGTGTGGGTGTGGCCATCAGCTTCATCCACGACAAGAAGAGTTGGACGAACCTGTCGGAAATCGCCAGATACTACAACACGGAGCTCCTCCCGCTCGACACCAAGGACTGGGATTCGGTGGAGGATATCATCAAGAAGGTCATCAAGAGCTCGAGGGCTGGCAAGACGACAGCGGAGATGACTGCGTAAAGCGGAGAGACGAAAGGCTCGGTATACGAGCTTGAAGATACCAACAAATTTCCTCAGTTGAAAGCGTAAATGGCGGATTATTTCTCGGAAACGGAAGGCATGAAAAGGTAGCGTGCAAAAGATGATTCTGGGAGCAAACACATGATTTGGGACGAATGAGCAAAACAAAAGATTGGCTCGAGCATGGAGACATTCATGAATGGCGAGATAGTGGACAGAAATAATGAAGATATCCGAGGAAATAAATGCTGAAGTCTTATTGGGTGGCCGGGCAATCAGGCACAATTAGGCAAAAATACTGTGGCGATCGGCCCACATTGCTCGCGGTCGGCAAGCGGGACAGCGGCAGTACGTCACCAAATCCTTGAATCTCGTCACCAGTAAAGGCACCCGGCGACCAACGAGACTCCAGGTACGCGCTTCCATCCCCGTTTGTCAGCCTTACCATCCTCATCGACCAAATCGAGGCCATGATGCAGCAGGAGGACTCCGCTGATCTACCCCCGCGCCGTGTTCGAGCAGGGTCCGAGCTTTCCACAGTCACGAGTCCCGCACTGGGGTAAGCTTTGGCTGCTTCCTTGTGACGGAGCTGAGTCTGGTGAACAAGTCAGACCCTTGACCGCCAACCTTCGCTAGCTCATCGCATTCAATGGTCTAAGACATTTAGACCAAAAATCGATTCTGCACAGCACGACACGAGCACACTACCAAGAGCGTAGGGCACACAAGCCGCGGCAAGCTACTGCAGGAGCCAAGCCTTGCGTCTACAATGGCGCCATTTTGGAAGCATGCGTCTAAGGATAAGAGCACTATCTCATCCACGCCCGGTCGCAGTTCCGACGTGCACCGTCGCTCGTCGTCCTCGTCTTCGTCTTCATCCTCGTCCTCGTCCTCCGCTTCCTCATCCACGAAGAAGCAACAAGCCAAGCCAATTCAACAACCACAACAGCAAGCTGCGGACCCTGCTCAAGCTTCCGGATCGCACACTGTTACTCATTTCGCATCATCCAGCCGCTCCAGCAACCTGAGCGTCAGCTTCAGAGAGATAGTTTCATACTCGTCCAGCCGCAGCGGTGGAATTCTAGAGGGCAGCATCAGCAACGTACCCGGCGTTGCCGAGATGGAGCGTAGGTGGTCTGCACAGAGACAGGCATCAATGGCCAGCAGAGACGCCAACACTGCCGATGTTGCTGCTAGCAGCAGCGCCGATGAGACGACGGGTATACTGGGAGCGGATAGGAACGGTGTGGGACAGCGCACCTACAACACGAATGGCGGAACGGGCTTGATTGGCCGTACCTCCAGTATCAGAAGGAGAGCCAGTGGGCAAGACGGCGGTGCTGAAAACGGCACCACGGATGCGCATGAGGCACAGAACGAAGACTCCTGGTGGCACAAATTTTCAGAGAAGTACGGAAGCGTCGAATTGGACAACAAGGGGAGCGTTGCTAGGGATCATTTGGCTCTGGGTAGGTTTCATTTTCGATTTCTGTCTTTTCTAGGGAATTTCGCCATTTTTATCCTTCATTCCGCGGGTTCCCTGGAGAAACACTTCAGTTTCCTTCGAATCGAAAACTACGCCTCTACAAGAGAACACATATACCCGGATACGTGCTGATCATTCCAAAGAACGCACCTTCCTCGCCTGGCTCCGTACTTCACTCTCCTTCGCAAGCATCGGCATCGCCGTGACGCAACTATTCCGTCTCAACACCTCGATCGCAGACGGCGACCACGACGGCGACCAGCACGAGCGCCTTCGACACGTTGGAAAGCCTCTGGGCGCAACTTTCATAGCCATCTCGATCGTCATCCTCTTCATCGGCTTTCACCGCTACTTCGAGTCCCAGCACTACGTCATCCGCGGGAAGTTCCCAGCCAGCAGGGGCTCCATCATTGTGGTCAGCGCTATAGCGGGTGCGTTGATTGTGAGCAGCCTTGTTGTGGTGTTGGTGATAGCGCCGAAGGCTTTCGAGCGGCGGTAAAAGATGCTCAGGAAAGCGGTAGACACGGTGTAGGTCTTCTGATGGGGAAGGGGATGCTTAGGACAAGTACGCATTGTTTGATCGACCTCTGCCGATACCTTGAAAATGCGGGCGTAGAAAAGGTATTCTTTCGGAGACTGACAAGGAAAATGATGCAAGTGGACTGGATGTCCAGGGACGGCCAGAAGAGATGTCATTATTGCCACGATTCTTAGGGGTTTATTGGGTGTTCTGTCCACGAAATGAGACAAGATTCGAAAGTCTGGGGCCAACGATGACGCTGCCTGAGTCCAAGTTTATCCCATGAGGGCTGTGTATAAATGTCTGTAGGCTTACCATGTCTGTTATCTTCTTTTAGTGTATCCACTTGTGAACGTCCTCTACTGGGTATACGGCCATTCTTAGACTCGTTGGGTAGTTTCTTCGAGCATCTGGAATTAGACAGGCTCCCTATGGTTCTATAATGGGCATCATCCTAGACACCATTTAGCTAGAAAGCTTCTGTGGAAAAATACCATGATCTTCTAACGTATGGAAGTCCGTTAGCGGGATGCTGTATGTAAGCTATATTTTCTGCATTACGCTTTATCTGTAACTTCCCAGACTTTCAGCGTCGATCAGACGTTTGCTTATTTTGATAGATAATGTAGATCGAGCATCTTGCAGTAGTTATGAGCCAGGAAGGAATAAAAGGTTGTGAGCACGTTCTTCAGTCAAGGACGTCCAAGACTGCTATTAGCTTTGTCTAATGTTCATCGAAATATATCTCCTGACTCACAAAACATGTATTTAAAGTTGTTCAAATCGTTGAGTAGAAACTACAAACAAACGTAAATCAAAAGTACTCTGCGATTGGCTTGTCGCCGGATACTCTATTTGTACAATACAAACCCTTTCTCTAATTACACGATTTCGCCCATGCGGCGCTCAACACCCAGCAAGTGCTCCAGTTCACCTGCCAGCGTCCATGCGTCGTTTGCCCTCATCTCCATGTTGACATCCATCCCCGATTGGTACTTTCTGAAAACCGGTCTGCGGAACGAGTCGCCAGCCTCCAGCGCCTTCAACTGTTCGTCAGCCCCGTACTTGATCAACAAGAGCATCGTCTCCATCGCTTCCAAATCTTTCTCCGAAGTTTCCAGCGCTTCCGTGAGATATGCAATCTCTTCGTAGCGCATCATATGCACCGCCCACACGAACCTCCTCGCCCACCGCCTACTCGGCTCGACTCTCAGTCTCTCCCGAACTCTCGCCACCAACAAACCCCGCAACAACCTAAAAGACTCGGAATTTTCCTCCTTCTGCAGCAGCAGCTGCACGATCCTCGTCACCCGCCGGCCGAGCTCCGCCTCTCTGAACCTCGTCTCCGCGCTCGCCCGCAGAACACGCTGCCGCATGTTCAGGATGCCCGTCTTCACCGTCCCCTCATCGATTCTGTTGGCGTACCACATGGCGGGCCACCGAGTCGCCCTCCGCGCGCCTTCCTGGTTGGCAAGGCGGGCGGTTTCCTTTAGCTGCATATGCCAGCGGATCGGGTTAACGGCGGCGCACTGGAGCATGAGGTTGATGGACACGTACTGGGACAGGGTGACGGCGTCATCGAGGTAGGCGAGCTCGTGCTCGCGGCCGGTCTTGACGGCCTGCATCGCGTCGCGCAGCCGCTGCTCGTCGAGCCGGCGCTTTTTGACGAAGAGCTCGCGCGTGTGGCGGAAGTGGTTGGGGTGGAGCACCGCCAAAGGGAGCTCGGTGCGGGCCATGGGATCGGCGTCAGGCTTGGGCTCTACGCCCGCCGCCGTGGGGGACGACGAGGAGTCGGGCGCGGCGTGTCGGTGCGAGTAGGAGAGGTGGCGACGCTGCTGATTGCGCCCGAAAGGCTGAGAGATCGGCCTCATGCTGGACCAACCCGATCGAATTGGTGCATTTGTCGCCTCGGTATCTTTCTCCGGCTTAAAGTGAATTGTCCTATAATTGGATTCCTGCTTTGGTGGATTCGGCGGACCCCTCTTTATAAGACGTGCCTTTTGTTGGTCCAGATAATTGTTAAGTAGGCCCCGTTTTCTGAGTTTCCTCCTAAAGCGCACCACATGCGGGAAAATATCGTCTTCCCTTTTCTTGCATTTGAGCTGTGATTTATGGCCTGCTTTTTCGACAATTTCGGTGACCTCTGACGCAGGAAAGGGCAGCGCCGTCACCGCCAGCTCTTCTTTTTTGATATTTTTAAGCATACGTTGAAGTTTATTCAATTCTTCGCTCGTACTTGTACGCCACTTTGTCTTAGAAAGCTGAGGTGCGCCAAAGGGTGAATCATGCTGAATCTGCCGCGTTAGTACGTGAATGTACTGCGCCGAGGCCTCTATCTGCAGCGTCAGCATCCGCATATGACCGTCGCGAAGCTTCGCCATATGCGCATTGGCAGCGTCGCGGCGGCCCTGCCAGGTATCAATCAATCTTTGGAGCGGGGCAGTCCGTGAACGTTTCACGCGAGGTACAGGTCTGACGGCGAGCTGTTGCTCGCTGTGCTTGACAATCCAACGCGAGACCCTCCAAAAGCGGGGGTACTTTTCCAACGTCATGCGAAAATCCTGAGCCGTAGTTTCGGGTACTTCGAGCTTGGTGAGATCGACTTCCCTTAGTCGGCGGCTGATGGCTCTCATCGGTCGTAGGAACGGACGGTCCCAAGCGTGAAGTTGTTTGGTTTTAATCTGCGGAGACGGAGTGGATGAGAAGTTTCTGACGGAGCAGGTGCCAAGAGTGTGTTTGGCACGAGTATTCATCAAGCCACTGGCATTGGCGGGCAAAGATGCGTGTCGAGGAAGGCTCATGATATTATTTGGGCTGGAAGCAGACTTCATACAGTCAGCAAAACTACTTACAAGGGCAATGGCTATATGCAATTCCATAAGCGGGCAGGTACAAACCGAAAATTATATGCTACTGCACTGCCACCTACTTAGAACTGACCTTTGGCGTTGCGTATCTCATATTTCGCCGAGCTGGGAGCCGGTTGCTTGTGACCAAAAGTGAAAACGGGACGTCAACCATCGTTTGGGAATAGTGTTCCCTCCTCTCCGAGTGTTGACGAACGGACTTTATACTCATCCCCTGCTCTGACAAGGCACCGAAATAGCCGGGCCAGGCATCGATACTGGAAGGTCCTTCTGTCGTTGTGTCGGGAATGTCATCAATGGTGCTTGGTATAGTGCCGAACGCGCATGTGTCTTGTTCGTATTTCGGTAATTCGAGGGATGAAACTGGAGATGTCAAAAATGTGATGTATGAGCCAGGCACCGCTACCGGTCGTAAATCCATCTCGTCGACATCAGCAGCATTTTCAGCAGCCTCGCTAATGGATTTCGCCGGGTCCAAGGAAATAAGGCCTGCTTTCTTGCCCCATCCGCCGCCACCACTGAGAACACGGTGGAGTTTCCCATTACCGCGCAACAAGACTTTCCAAACCGCGGTGTGGAATAGCTTGTGGTCGGCATTCCAAGCGTCGGCCAAAAATAGAGAAGATATGCCAGCATAGTCATACATTTGACTGAACCTCTGCGGTTGCCACTTCTCGAGCGCCGAGAGAACGGACGATGAGAAATACTTGGTGGTTTTCTCAGAAGTGACCAGCGCCCATACGGGCATAGCATGCGGGGCCTGGCCCGTAGCCTCAAAGTATGACGAGACAGCCTTCTCCAGTTCTTGAGATGCGGGAGCTTCTTTTCCATCAGGGCCCATGATTTGTCGAATAATGTTCCCCATGCCGGCTTTGACCTCCCTCGGGGGGGTCAATGGCACGAGAGGTGCACGAAGCTGGTGCAACGTCTCGTGCTCCACGGGGAAATGGCTAATCTTATGTGCTAGATATCGGCCAGATACCGGCCACGTTACACGTTGAGAGTCGGTTTTGATGACCTTCTCCGCATGCAGAGTACGACGATGTTGGAGGGCAGCATGTTCAGAATGCACAGGTTCGTCTATTTTGCTGGCTCTGTACAAGATATTGTACATTATAGACGTGTGTCCAGTCTGGAAGAGGGTATTTGCAAGAGGAAGGCGCAGTCGGATGATGGTAGTGGAGTAGTCCTTTCGTGGCTGTCCTTCCAGATCGACCAGTTTGAAGCGATCGAAGATGTCAAAGGAGATAGAAGCAGAAGCATCGTTGCGTTCACTTATCCTCTTCGCATCTCGTTCCGCTGTCCAGCTATGACGCGTGACATTGTCGTTGAACCACAGTGCATAAGCCAGACCCTCCCTGCCTTTGCTCGCCTGCGAGCTATCCTCGGGACTCGGGAGCCGGTCGACTACAGCGGCGACAACGCGAATGCCTTTGAGAAGAGTTGCATGTTCGAGCGACTGCTGGAGCATGCGGGACGCGGCCTGGGTGATTGCTTCCGGAGCGCCAACCTTTAAAGGCTTTAGGGCGGAGGCAAAGGATGGAGTGACCAGCAACATGGCAGTTGGGAGCTTGTGATCCGGTATCAAGAAAGGCACCGGCTCAATTTGGTCAATGAGACTACTGATGTCCTAGTTGAGGTCAGTATTCGACGCAAGACAAGCAACGGCTGTGCATTACGAACCGTGTTACTGGGGTTTTTGGTAGTGACTGTGCCAATATGGTAGAGTTCTTTTTGAACCTGGAGGCTATCATGAGCATCCTTGGATCCAGCGGACTTATCATGAGCATCCTCAGTTGCAGCGGACTTGTCCTCGGGAGATTGATGGAGGCTCTCGATGAAGCTCCGCAGCGAGCTCTGGCTCCGGATCGGCGGACGCGAAAGAGCACACACTCGTGGATGGGTGAGCAGACGAACGCGAGGCGGCATTGCGCCACGCAAAAGCGCGTGGCATCTTCGCGCGGAACTGAGCATGGACGGCTACGCGGTGGGGCGCATGGCAATGGAGAAAAGACGTAGAGAACGGACGGGAGCTATGTCTGGTTGCGCAAAGTGCCGAAGAGGCGCCGCCAGCCCCAATCTCACTTACGAGGGCACGAATACGTAGACTATATCCAGCGCGCACCGCCAACACAGCTTCCCAGCGCGAGCCTTTTGCGGGCTTTCGACTGGAATGTTCCGATCTTAATCCACTCGCTCTTTTCCGGCGCCTTGCCAACTTCCCGTACCCCGCTTACACCTCCGCTCTGCGGCTGGTCTGGACGAACACCGTTGCAGCTTGCGTGCGTACCTCTCCTTGAACTCCGTCCCAATCGCTCGTTGACACCATGTAGACTCTATTGACCCGCCTCCGCCGAGGCCCTTGACCAAGATGCGTTCCGCGCGCTCCCTACGAAGGACCAACCCCATCACCATCGTGCTCGCTGCGCTTCTCTGTTTTGGCTTCCTGTTCTTCATATTCTCTTCCGATGCCGACAGCTCGATAAGCCCGCACCAGCTGCGCACCTCCGCTGCCAATGCGCTGTCGCCGCCGTCGATGCCGTTCCGGAAGCCCAAGGGCGACGCCGAGCTGGCTCCTCCTCCGGTCGTGCATTACCACATGAACAACCTCACCACCACGAGCGATCCTGTCGGCAACCACGAGTCCGTCCTCATCCTGACCCCGATGGCGCGCTTCTATCAGGAATACTGGGACAACCTCCTGAAGCTGAGCTACCCCCACGAGCTCATCTCGCTTGGTTTCATATTACCAAAGACACGGGAAGGAAACGCCGCCACTGCCGCCCTCCAAGAGCAGATTGCAAAGACGCAGAAGGGGCCCCAGAAGAAGCGCTTCAAAAGTATCACCATCCTGCGCCAGGACACCGAGATCCCGCTGCAGTCGCAGGAGGAGTCTGAGCGCCACAAGCTGGAGAACCAGAAGTCAAGGCGCGCAGCAATGTCCAAGGCGCGCAACTCGTTGCTGTTCACGACCTTGGGGCCGACGACGTCTTGGGTGCTCTGGCTGGATTCGGACGTCGTGGAAACACCTCCATCTCTTATCCAGGACCTTGCGTCGCACAACAAGCCGATCATTGTTCCCAACTGCTACCAGCGCTACTACAACGAGGACTCCAAGAAGATGGAAATCCGGCCGTACGACTTCAACTCCTGGATTGATAGCCCCACGGCGCAGGATCTGGCCAAAGGCATGGGCAAGGACGACATTTTGCTGGAGGGCTATGCCGAGATGGCGACGTATCGCTCGCTGATGGCGTACATGAAGGATGGTGGCGATGGCAACCAGGACAAGGAAATAGAGCTCGATGGCGTTGGCGGCACGGCTTTGCTGGTTAAGGCGGACGTCCACAGAGATGGGGCCATGTTCCCGCCCTTCGCGTTCTACCATCTGATTGAAACCGAAGGGTTTGCTAAGATGGCGTCGAGATTGGGGTGGAAAAGCTACGGGTTACCCAACTATCTTGTAAGTCTCCACCCGGCCCCCCAAGGCTTTGGCCTGCGTTAACCTCTCTGCAGGTATACCACTATAACGAATAATAGACTTCTTGTTCACTGGACGGCGTTAGGGGCTACGATGGGTTTTCTGAGAATAGTGCAGCAGGACAATAAAGCCGTTTATTTTCGTGAAGGATGCGGGTGTCGATCCCCGAATGCAGCAAGACTAGGCATCGCCAAGCCAGAGGAGCATAAACGTGATCTGGGACAAGGCTGAACGTTTTGCATGTGCATCAGCCACCCGAGCGTCATCCCGCGCGTCTCGGGCTGCGATGGGCGCCCGGGCGAATGGGCAGCCCCCGCACAGCGAGATGGTGCCATGGCAATTCTCCGCGCGGGGTGGTGTTGCGGCGGGCACCGAGGCGCGACGCATCCGGCAGCAGCTGCATGGATCGCGCCGGTAGAGGCGGCAGCAGGGCGAGATCTGCTTCGGCTACGTGCACCTGCAGGGACCTTGGCCTCTGGCCCCAGGACAAACAACACCACTCCTCGCCGACCGGCGCTCTGTCGCTGCGGTTCTGCGGGCGCCCGCCAGTGCGCTGACTTGAGGCCCTCAGTACGCTCGGCTACGGCCCCAAAAATAAGCCAGGCCCGGCCCTCAGAAGGCGCAACCTCGCCGCTCTTTACCCTTTTCGGGCACGAAACCTGCTCAACTGCATGCGACGGCTCCCTTGGGCGCGCCGACTCTTCGCAACCCCACGCAAGCACCTTGCAAACGCCAGCCGTTCTCGTGCTATCGCCAGGCCTCAGGCCGCTGTTCTGCTCGCGACGCCGGGTGCCGCAGCTCGCAACCCGCAGCCTGACTCCCCGCGGCTCTGCGCACCGCCTATCAAGGTACGCAACAGCACGCACGCGTCGGCTGCGCGCTGGTTACCACATGAAGCGGCGCCCGCTGACTTTCTCGTCCCAGCCCACTGGCTCGCGTTCCCGGGAAAATCTGCCCGGCCTGCTCACGCCCGCTCGCCGCCAGATTGTCCACCCTTTGTGCTTCCCCGTCTCTCCGCGAGCCTGGTAAGGTCTCAACTGCTCCGTCGCAGAGTGACAATCGGCGCACTGTCGGCCTCCTCCTTTTGATGCCCGTGCGAGCTACGGTATGCACAAGCTTCCTAGTTTGTTCCCTTGGCACCCACCATCCAACTCACCAAGCCCCTCTCTCATGAAGCCTTGTGCTCCCGTCCCGTCTGAGTCCGGACGACATGATGCAGGGGTCCGCCAGCTCACTCCACGATAGGGTGCGTGTCGATGAACCTTTCCCGCCCCGCACATCAGCGATCCAGAAGCCATGCCGTGGGTAACGATCAACGGAGAGCAAAAGAAGGTCGCCTGGTAAGTCCTTAGTCCCTGCGTCTGCCCGTCCCACCGTCCCACGCCTAGCTTCATTCCTAACTCAACTGGCTGATCCCCGTCATCTGCTACAGCGGGCCCTGCATCCGCGGTCATCGCTCGACATCATGTAATCACAAGGACCGCTTGCTGCTTGAAGTCCGCAAGCCAGGCAGGCCCTTGAGCAGCTGCCCACATGTGGGAGGAAACTGCAGCTGTGAGAGGCTCGTCATCAACTACACAATTCCCAGATGTATGTTCATGTCTCTCCTCTCGCTGACCCATCAAATGACCGTCTACGCCTAGCATCTGAATGTGCCTGTCCAAGCAACGGTGAGGAACCAGCTCCTGTGGCAGAGGTTGTCTCATCCACCATCGGACCCCTTACCGGCCCTTCGAACCGCGTTCAGAAATCCAAACGAAAGTCCGTCAGCAATAGTCGAAATCCTGCTTCTCTTGAGAAGGCCATCAAGGCTGCGCAGGATGCCGAGAAGAAACTGAAGATTGAACCGCCCAAATCCTGCTGTAGCTCTAAACAGCCACCCGCCGCTACAGGGAGTAGCAACACTTCGCCAGCGCCGACCACTGAGGGCAGTTCCCCGAGCAGCCATGATGATGGTCCCACATACTCGGAGTCGGCTTGCTGCTCGTCGAAAGCAACCTCTGAGCTGGATACCAAGCCACTCAACATACAGCTCGAGACGCGCAAGCAGAGTACCGGTTACGCTTCCACCGCCCAGGTCCAAGGCTGGGAGCACATTACAATGGATGGCAATTCTGCTTCTAAGACAATCGTTGAAGAGCCTCCGAGCATCAAGGGCAGCTGTTGTGGGGGTGGCAACACCGCTCAAAAAGAGCACCCCACCAACCCGCCAAGTCAGGGACTAAACATGTCAACGCAAGGCGACATCCATCAACAGGCTCCAAGTCAAGCTACCAGCGGTAACTACTCACGCATGCCGCCAGCACATCAATCATTCGGGCAAGGCCAGCAGTATCCATTCTACGCTGGCCAGCAACCATTCAGCAATCCTTTGCAAAGCAATGCCTTCTCCCGTGCTCCGTCGAACGGCATGCATTACTCCACAAACGGCGCCTCGCCGACTCAGCTCGCATCATACTACCCCTTCGGGATGGGCCCGCAACTCTCGAGCGGCTTTGAGACTAACATTACCGACGTCATGCACAACTGCACGTGCGGCGACGCCTGTGCCTGTCTCGGATGTGCTGTCCACCCGCGTAACGAGACTACCCTGCGTCATTTACAGGAAGTGGCGAATTTTATGATCCAGGATCCGTTCTATGCTAACCCCTCCTCACCTCTGTACAACGACGATAATATCCAATACCAGCCCCCATATCAAATTTCTGAGCCTACAAACACTGCCGGTGTAGATAGTTCATGGCGGGCTGGAAAGCTAGGACACCCTTACCAACAGCAATCTTCGTTCCAACACCCCGGATTGCCCTATCCGCAAGATACAAATGGAGGCTCATTCTGGCCGACTAGCAATGGCTCAACAGTCCGGTCCGTTCAGGCTACGCCTACAACCGAAATGTCGCAATTTACCTTCCAAGAATCTCGAAGTGGCCAAGGTGTTGTGCAGCACGAAAGCCAAAACATTCAGCCCGGCCAACTTGCCTTTCAGCGCACGACTTCTTTCGACTCTTCCATTCCGAACAGTTTCGCCACACCAGAGCCGGCTCCATCAACAGCTGCAGCTGACACACCAACGCTATCTCCCTCATCCTTTTTCTGGCAACAAGTCGAACTTCCCGGGTGTGATGACGCGAGCGGAGCGTGCCGCTGTGGCGACGGTTGCCAGTGTGTTGGCTGTCTGACTCACGGTGGTCATGACGGCGTGCCTCTGACACAATCAAGTGGTGACTATCCAAGTAGGTCTGGGTTCCAGTCCCAGGCGGAGCAAAGTCAGATGAAGTCGATAGATGGTACACTTGATGCGAAGCCCGCTGGATGAGCAGATGGTCATGGGTGTTGCATTGAAGTCCAAATCAAACCAAATTGAGCCAACACGAAGGTAGCATCGTTCAGGGGATTCCCGGACGAAATGACCGAACTTCGGGCCTAGGTTACGCTGGTCCGCTATGTCGAGCAAGCTGATATGCGATGTGCAGGACGTTTCTCATTAATCCTGTTACACATGCATGCTGCTACGAAAGGAGGCGTGGGAAAGCAACGGCGGCTTCTTGGCACGCCTTAGGGAGGAAGAATCAGGCGTTATAAGCATGAAGGATAGCTTGCAAACGCTGTAGTCGCAAACGCCGATTGCGTTTAGAATTTGTAGATGCTGTATAGCGAAGACGATACCGTTCAGAAAATCCAAGGCTTGTTTAGCAGTATAGCGTATTTGACAGTAAGCCGCAACGCGGCGCCTCAAGTTTGCTGTGATCAAGTAAAGTCATCGTGAAGTGAAGAAGTAGTCACATTGATGTGCCACATGGATTGGGTAGGGTGCGCGGCAAATTCTCGGTCGCAAGTCGCAAGGATGGTGCTATTGCCGCTGTCGCCCACCATGATTTTTGGTGTTGAGGGTAGCTTCTGCAAGCTCGCTTAAATTTCGCACAGAAATTGAGCACCGCTTTCTCTTCTCCACGAGCGACCACCGACGACCTCGACAACCCCACAGGCCCATCCTCGTAAGTCCAACCGTTCATCCTCCTCGCGATGCAACGAGCGAGCCTCAGCAACGGCTGAGGCGTCTGCGCGGCCGCCGCTGCGCTACACCACAGCCCGCGCTCGATCAAGACGGAACAGAGTCTCGCAAGTTGCTTCGGAGGGATTCTGAAGCGTCAATTGCTGACTCGGGGTTTTTGCAGTGGAGCGACTGTCAAGATGCCTTTCACCAAGCTCGTCAAGAACAACGCGTACTTCTCGTAGGTCACCCGTCTCGAAAACCGCCCGCGAACGCATCCCGCTGACGAACATTGCAGCCGCTACCAGGTGAAGTACAAGCGTAGGAGGTCCGGCAAGACCGACTACTACGCTCGCAAGAAGCTCATCGCCCAGGCCAAGAACAAGTACAACGCTCCCAAGTACCGCCTGGTCGTTCGCTTCACGAACCGCGACATCATCTGCCAGATCGTTTCCTCTGAGCTCAACGGCGACAAGATCCTCGTCGCCGCCTACGCCCACGAGCTCAAGCGCTATGGCATCACCCACGGTCTGACCAACTGGTCTGCCGCCTACGCCACCGGCCTTCTCGTCGCTCGCCGCGCCCTGAAGAAGCTCAACCTCGACGAGACCTTCAAGGGTGTCGAGGAGCCCGATGGAGAGTACGCCCTCACCGAGGCTGCCGAGGGCGATGATGGCGAGGAGCGCCGCCCCTTCAAGGTTTTCCTTGATGTCGGTCTCGTCCGCACCTCGACCGGTAACCGTGTCTTCGGTGCCATGAAGGGCGCCTCCGACGGCGGTCTCTACGTCCCCCACTCCGAGAACCGCTTCCCCGGTTTCGACATCGAGTCCAAGGAGCTCGATGCTGAGGTCCTCCGCAAGTACATCTACGGCGGCCACGTCGCTGAGTACATGGAGACTCTCGCCGACGACGATGAGGAGCGCTACAAGTCGCAGTTCTCTGGCTACATCGACGAGGACCTCGAGGCCGACGGTCTTGAGGAGCTCTACGAGGAGGCCTTCAAGCAGATCCGCGCCGATCCCTTCAAGGCCGACCCTGAGGCCAAGGCCAAGAAGTCCAAGGACGAGTACAAGCAGGAGTCGCTCAAGTACAAGCAGAACAAGCTCACCAAGGCGGAGAAGGAGGAGCGCGTCAAGGCCAAGATTGCTCAGCTCAAGGAGGATTTGTAAACGGGGCCACCAAAAGCTATGGGTTCATGGGTTCGGCGTATAGCTGGATAGGGATTTGTCGGTACTACGCTCGGTGCAGCATGCAGTCCCTAAGGGGAGTGTGGATGGCAGTTTCATGAATTCAAGACATCATGCATCCGCACACAGATCAGATACCCGTCTTTGAAATGCATTTTGACTCGATCCATGGTGCTCGGTGGCGTTAGTGAGGGGCGAGCGAGCCGCGCTGGCCAGACTCCCCACGAATGGATGCCAAGAGCAGCCTGCATGTCACGCGGGCGCTGCAGAAGGGACCTCGGTCCTCACACCGCGGGACTGTGCATTTTATCTTGTCGAGTGCAGATTTGCGACGTGGGCGAAGCCGCTGGAAGCGCGTTGCACCTGTTTAGTTATCCCAGCAATAATAGGGCGGCCGAGATTGTCAGCTGAGGGCCGTGTGAGCGAAGACCCTTAGTAGGTCGCAGAGCGATGACGCACGGCGAACCCGTAGTATCCCTTCGGGGCCGCGACCAATCCCGTCGCACATCCACTTAATTGCCTTGGGTCTTGCCTCCGCCTTAGAAACCAGAATACCCATAGAATCGCCCAACTGCCTCCCTCCCTCAACCGATATCACCGCCCCCGCTGTAGTCGATCGATATTGGCGCGAAACGCGATGGCGCGCTACACCTTATAGCACGGAACATACTCGATCGCGCCGTGGGCCTGCTTACGCCGGCGCTCTGATATTGTCCTCCGCCCTCGCGCCCTGTTCGTCCTTTCGCCGTGCGCCTCGAGGTCCGCGATCGCCGTCCCCGAACCAGATATAGCCGCCACAGCGGCGCGCCTGGCGCTGAACCTGTGAAGCACACCGACTCTGACATTCCATTCACCACTGCCGGACCAGAAAAGACATGGAGGGGATACACGGAGTAGACGTCAGCTGGCTACATCACTCGAACAAAGGTGAGTGGAATTCCTCGGCCTCGCGATGCGTGCGCCTCGCGACCGGAGCAGCGCCGCCGCAAAATGTTGAGCGAGCACGTCAGAAATCGGCTGGAGCTGACACCCTCAAGATAACCAACAACGCGCGCATCCGCCCACCGCTCCGGCCGCAGCGCGAGATTCTGCGCCTCCAGCTACCAACGGCTCGCAAGCCGCTGCCACCGCCGCCGCCCCGCCCGCGCCTTCGCACACCACCGAATCCCCGAAGCCGGAAGAGCCCTCCAATGGCGTCCACGACGTGAAGGAGCAAGTAGAGGAGAAGCCAGCGGCCGCCGCGCAGCCAGAGGCGAACAATGCCACGAGCCAACCGAAGCCGATACAGAAGCGTCCGTCTCTGCTGGGCCGCAGCGCCTCCGATAAGTCCGGCACGACCCCGCCCGACTCGCGGTCTCAATCGAGGAGGGGCTCGTGGGTTACGAGCATAGCTTCCAAGTTTTCCTCATCGCAGCAGGCCGTGAACCACGCCAATGCCACGAACGGCAGCAATGCGCCGAATGGCAAGCCGCAGGTCAACGGCGGTGGTGGTGGCGGTGGTAGCGGCCTACCGCTTATCAACCCGTACTCGCCCGGTCTCGGCACCCCCACCCCACCCACCAATGGCCAGCAACAGCATCAGCACGGCGAGGATATGGAACCCTACGTACCACAGCCGCCCGAGACGTCACGGGTGTCATTCCTGTCGAATGCCTTGAGACGCCTCTCTTCGGGATCGCAGGCGCCGCCGCCGAGCAAGGTTACTGGCAACGGAGGCATGTGTCCTCGACGGGTCATGAATATCGATCACAATCGCGAAAGATGTCTCGTGCCGGAATTGGACAGCTCGAAGCTGCGGAGGGTTGCCTTTTGCGTCGATGTGGAAATCGCTGGCGCACCGCGGTACAAAGAAGACGGCGACTCTCCAGAACGGAAGAAGCGGACCATGACGAAAGATAAGAAGCTGAAGGAGCGGGGCGAAGGCGAGGCGTTGAAACATCCAGACGCTGTTGCATGCCAGAAAGAGAAGGATGGCGTGGTTCAGGTCAGCAACGAAGAGGTGGGAAATGACGAAGCGCCAAACCCGGAAGGTACGGTAATTGAAGGCGAGGACAAGAAGGGGGAGTCCAGCAATAAAAAGAAGGAAAAGAAGAAGAGGTCGGAAGCGGAGCGGAAGGAGCGGAAGGAGAAGAAAAGACGAAAGGCGGAAGAGAATGGGTCCGTTCCAATGGAGCTGACGCGAGATGACGACGGGGGAAGCTCGACGCCACAATCAGCGGATACCAAGCCGTCAAAGCCTCAAGATCGCCCGACGACGGACCCGCTGAGAATATACCGCAGATGCTGCCAATTGAGAGAAACGCCGATTCTGAAGCGGATCAGCGAGCAACTTCAGGAGGCAGCAAGAGGTCCCATCGAGACTCCCGGTGTTGTCTCTTGCCTGAATCTTACGGGCTCAAGGTTGACACTGGCGGATATGAATACACTTGGTGACTGGCTTGCTGTGGTTCCGGTCAAGAAGCTGCTCTTGGAAGACTCGGAACTCACGGATGAAGGATTGCGCGTCATTCTTGCGGGGCTGCTAGCCGCCAAACCTCCGGACTATAACAAACGCTCATCCGTCTCTACGAAAACAGACTCAACCAAGAGCTTCCAGGAAAGGACGGGCGTCGTGGAGAAACTCAGCCTCAAGAATAACCCAAGGATCACACGAGAAGGATGGAAACACATCAGTCTGTTCATCTACATGTGCCGGTCACTCAAAGCATTGGACGTCTCTCACATCCCGTTCCCGCAACCGCGCGTACCCCCGAAGATCCATCCATCGGAACAGAAGAAGCAGATCAAAGTGCCGGTCGACGACATTGCGGAAATCTTGAATAAATCTGTGTCGGAACGGCTCGGTGGCGCTCATCTGGAGGAGTTACTGATGACGGAATGCGGATTGAATGCTCAGAACATCCGCAAAATCATTGATGGTGTCATCGTCAGCGGCATCCAAAGGCTAGGGCTTTCCAACAACTCCATCGATGCAGAGGGTATAGAGCACGTCGTACGATATCTCCGCTCTGGCGTATGCCACGGCTTAGATTTGGGCGGAAATGACTTGCGCGACCGAATGCAGCAGCTTTGCGAAGGTCTGCACGACAGATGTCCCCTGTGGGCACTGAGTCTCGCAGACTGCAACCTGTGTCCAGATTCGGTAAGGTTACTATTGCCGAAACTGGTGCAGCTGCACAACTTCCGGTTCATTGACCTGTCGCACAACCGCGATCTGTTCGCGATGGACCCCAGCGCATTGGCCATCCTGCGAAAGTACCTTCCTCAGCTTCACTACCTGAAGAGAATTCACTTGGAGGATGTATCGATCACCGCTGCTCAAGCTATTGGATTGGCGGAAGTGCTTCCGGAGTGTCCTCAGCTGGCCCATCTTACCATGTTGGAAAACCCAGAGATTACCTCGCTGGCATCTGCATCGGACGAAGCATCCCAGGAAGAAGCCTGCGCACTCTACGCATCTCTGATGGTCGCCGTCAGGGTCTCGGAGTCGATAATATGCGTCGACGTTGATGTGCCTAGTCCGGAGTCAAGCGAAGTCGTCAAGGCTCTTGCCAAGCAAGTGGTCGCTTACTGTCTTCGGAACATGGAGCGTGCTACAGCGCACGAGACTGCTGCTCTGGCCGAGAGCGCTCCTGGTGCTCCCGGTGCCACGGCTAGCGGTGCCGAGAATGTTGAAATTCCCGAAGTGCTCCTTCACCTGGTTGGACACGGAGAAGACTCTGACGATAGTGACGAGGACTCTGCCGCGCCCGATGAGGACTACATTGTAGGAGGCACCGGGTTGGTCAAGGCGCTTAACTACTGTCTGCTTGAGAAGGCGTCCGACAACCTCAGGCGGAAGAGCATGCCCGGCAGTCGTCCCGGCAGCGGAGCCGCGACTCCACGCAGCTCGAGCAGGCTTGGTAACCGCGAACAGCGCTCGGCGAAGGCCAAGAGTATGTCAAAGGATCTGCTGGCCAGCGCACGCAAGATCAGAGCACGCCTTCAGCCCGCGCTGGCCAGAGAGGCGCGCGCCGGCGACGAGATGGCCTACAAGCGGCTGATGTTCCTGGACAACACGCTGCAGGGCATCATCCAGCGCTTCGAGGACGAGTACCCGGAGTGCCGTGTCCACCACCACCGCCCACCCACCGCGTCCGAGATCTCGGCCGCGCTGGCCAACTCGATCGGCTCCCTTTCCTCCGACCGCTCGACGTCCAACAACAACGACAACAACACCGCCACGTCATCAACGCCGTCCAAGAACGACTACACCGCGCACCACACCGGCTTCACCGCCTTGGCCGACAGCGGCTCCGAAGACGAGCAGGACCTGCCGCCGCTGGGCCTGCGCTCGCGCCACAACTCGGACGTGTCGCTGGCCAGCCGTGCCCAGACCCTCGAAGAGGGCCGCATCCACAGGCTCGGCCAGTCGGTGCGGCGGGAGATCCTGCGGCCGGCCGGGGACCGGCTGCACGGCACTACGCGCGACGACGACGACGACGACGACGGTGCGACGGAGGAGGAGCGCGAGCCGGAGCACCTGCGGATGTTGCGCGACCAGCTGTCGCAGCTCAGCGGCGGCGAACTCCGCGACATGGTTGTGCACGACGGCTGGGAGGAGACGGTGCGCAAGATCGGGGCGAACGCGCAGGAGCTGCGCGAGCTGGCGCGTGAGCGGCCCGACGAGTTTGAGCAATGGAAGGAGACGCAGATTGCGGCGCAGGTCAATGCCGGGATGGACGTGCCGGAGCGGCTGAGGAAGAAGAGCGGGACTGACAAGACGGGAGACGAGTGCGCGATCGAGGAATAAATAGTTCAGGGTAGAAACCGGGCGAGTGGAATGGTTGGTGGGGGGGATTTGGTTCGGTTTGTCGTACGGTGAGGCATTTTTTCCATTGTCCCGAGGTCTCGAGGGTCTGAGCGATTTCTTGCGCATGCCTGGGGCCTTGATGACTGGATTGCTGGTCGGGATCTGGGGGTTGTGGGTCTTATGAGATGTGTCTTTACGTATGGACGGCCTGTGTTGGGAGGGAGGGAGGGAATGGGATGGTGAAAGATTGAGGAAGAGGATCATGATGAAGACAGTCTTTTCTCCTTCAGCTATCATGTCGTTTTTTTCATCGAAATTTTTTTTTTTCCTTTCTATGGGAAGCGAAGGAAAAGCTAGCGAGCGTCCCCCTTTTTTGTTGCTTTTCTGCGCGCGCATGCGCTATTTGCTGTCTTTTGTTCTCATTTGTTAGCTTCTGTATTCTGTGCCACAAGTTACCCCCCCTCGAATTTGTGGGATTTAGGGAACCCCGTCCTCTTTTCACTACCCTAAGAGTCGGAGCGAGGTAGAGATGGAAGATGGAGTTTGAGAGTTGTGCGTTTGCTTTTGCAAATTGGGTCATTGGGAGGTGGTGTGGTGTGGTGTTTTTGTTGTTGAAGTCGGTCGTTACAACAGCGTCTGTTGCCATGATATCAAATCGATAGTAGTAAACGCTTGCTCGGAGGAGCAGCTTATGAGTGTAATTTCTTGTGCGTTTTCTGTCTGGGGGATTTGTTTTGGTCAGTCGTGGAAAAATGTTTCGGTGGCATTCGTAATTTGATGGCATTGCCGTCTGCTGGGCTTCCGGCATTCATGACAACATTCTGCTGCTGTAATGAACCGTGAAATTGCACCTCCATTTCCGTGTACTAGCGTGCATAGTAACCACGCTAGGGAACTGTGTGTCGAAACGTTGGTGTGTGACGCTGTGGCACAGTGGGTAAGATAAAGCTAGCGGAAGGTCAAATTGAATGCGTTTGCCTCGAATTTCAAGTATATACAAATCATAGAGCAAAGATATTGAAGTATCTGATAATATATGTTTGGCTGTTCGTGAATTCTAACATTTGTTGGGATGCAAATATGAAGTGATGAGACCGTGAGGCGGCAGATGCGGTGGTAATATGCAGAGGTCTTTCCCTTACATTCACGACCATTGAAAAGCCGCATGTCTGCTTCGCTCAGAAATCCAGCTCACGACGTCTGGTGTCACACATGCGACGCCGCGTCTCACGATTACTATAAATTTTCCTCCGGCTCCATCTACCTCAGGTTTTCAACAGCACTCCGTGCGCCCGCAACCCTGCAATTCTCGCCATCATGTCGTATACCACGCAGCGACTTCCCTTCTCTCTCTTTCTCTCTCTCCCTACTACCACCTGATTCCCCTTGTAGAACCGAAGAAAAGGACGAGGATGAGGTAAGCCCAGCATACACGCAGTTCAGGCAGCCTAACCCACAGGATGACAGCACACCACCTCGTGTTCTATCAGTCCGCTCGGCTTGGACAGAGGAATTGTCACCAATGACTAGTTTTCCTCATCAGAATGTAGGATCTTGGCCCGAGGTCATATCAGCTGATAATACGAAGCCAGTAAGACTGAGAAGCATCCGCCGAGGAAATACGAGCCAGGGATCACATCAGCTGACAATACGAAGCTAGTCATTTCGACGTAGTCTTTTCCTTCAGATTGAGGGCCCTATGATCGTAGCCGTGGTTGAGATCACGACCTGGAAATTGCCGCGGCAACTATCAATGTGGCTCTGGCTCTGACAATGGTTCCGATGCTGTCCCCTATCTAGGATGTCGATTTTGGTTGGTAGATCGATCCTTGATCCTTACGAGCTTGGAATAAACGCCAAAAACAAAGCTCCTATTGCATGTTGGCTTTATCACTGCTTTTTGAGAACTTATCAAGCTCGACCTTAGTCAATTCAAGCTGTGTTAATGCAGCGTATTGTCACAATATCAATTTGCTCGTTAGGGGGTCACTGACGATCTTGAGCGGTCTGGTTGGTCGTCATCGGAATGAATTGGTTCAATAGGTGCGCCGGGAAAGGCCGAACTTCAGAACAGGCATTAACGCTAACAGTGCAGATATTTTAAGCTACTTACGTGGGTAGATGAAGCTGATGTCCGGACGTATTTGTGGTATTTTAAATTTGACATTTATATCCAGAGGATGTTTTTTTTCTAGCGACTTAGAGTCCCCTCTTGCAGCCGATGGCTAGCGTGAATTTGTTTTTTGCTCATTTCATGGGTAGCTGAAGCTATCGTCTGGACGTGTATGTAGAATTAAAAATTCGACATTCTCGTCCGGACGATAGCTTCAGCTACCCACATATGTTTATTTTCTATGGCAGAGCTGGGGCATAGTTACGCTATATTCTAAAGCCCTGCCATTCTTCGCGCTAGCCATCGGCTGCGAGAGGGGTCGGAGTTCTCACTGTAGTTTTAGTCCAAGCACCTACTTTGTAGTTCGTTCCCTCATTATTTCACACCACTGATCAAGATCGGTGAATATCCCTTCGTGTGAGGTGGCACGGTGGTCATAGTGACGAGCAAACGCCGCAGAGCTGAAGATATTCCTGCAGGTATGCGCTAAGCCTAAGAAGATGGAATTCAACTCAACTTCATGCCAAGCATCACCACTGTCCGATCAAGACGTTTGGCTAAGAAGACAAACCATCAGGATGGTTCGTGATTCTGATTATTTCTTCCTCGATAGCCCGCTTGAAGCGGAGTTATCAACGAAAAAAAAGTTTTTTTTTGGGTTTTAAGTTTTCTGTTTTTTTTTTGTTCGGTAATGTGGTTTGTGGTTTTTTAGTTTTTTTTTGAGATTGTGGGTTTTCTGGTTTTTTTGTGCTTTTCCAGTTTTCTGGTTCTTCTCTGCACTTTACCAGTTTCTTCTGCTCTTTAAAGGCCAGCGATCATCCTGCCAACCCGGATTCAATTTCCAGTGTTGGCGGCGCCAGAGCCAGAGCCACCCCTACCATTACCACGACCGTGACCGTGTCCTCTGCCATGTACCCTGCCACCTCTGTTGCGGCGGGAGGCGGGCGAGCGCTCTCTGCGCGAGCGGTCCGCGTTGTCGGCTTGAGGAGACCTTGAGCGGTCCCTCATAGACATGTCGCTGCGACCACCACGGCCTCTGCTGCCACTACCGCCGCGGCTGCTCCTCTCAGAACGACCACCACGGTTTCCACCATGTCCGCGGGTCGGAGGGTTGTTGCTGGCCACGGGCTGTGACGGGAGGTCCCTTGCCCATTGCCGGGCGATAGCCGTAGCTAAAGCCTGATCACCGCTGGCAGCTTGTACCGCCGCGAGCATCGCTCTGATGCTATCCGGGCTGGGGAGAGCACGCGCAGACGCAGATGTAGGCGCAGGCGCAGGAGCAGGCACAAGCGCTCCGTCGTTCGCGTTGGCCGAGTTCAGCTCTGACCAACGGCGCGCAACCGCGCGAGCGATGTCATTGTTTGGGGCAAATATCATTGCCCTAGCGAACCCATCGATGCTAAGCTCTCCGGGGGACAGCGGAACTGGCGGTGGCGCTGGCGCAGGCACGTCGCTCGTGTTGGCCAAGTTCAGGTCCAACCAACGGCGCGTGATGGCGCGAGCGGCCTCACGAGAGACACCGGACACGGCCTTGAGCAATGTCTCGATACTATCATCAGATAACATTGAAGAGGGCGCAGGTGAAGGTACAGGCGCAGGCGCAGCCGAACTTGGGCAAGGCCTAAAGGCCAAGTGCATCTGTCCGCACTGCGTGCAGTGCACAGCATGGCAGGGTGGCGCATGTTGCTTACCACACCTGTCACAGACGGGCTGGTTCTGCTTTCGCTGCTCTTTCTGCTGCCTGGCCGCGAGGTTCTTGGCCGTCCTGGCCTCATGACCCACGCGTGCCTTCTCGAGGAGTTCCTCAGAGTGAGGCGGCTGGTGCTGCTTCCCGCAGACTCTGCACTTTGGCATACCCAGCTCTAACCATCGCTTTTTGATGGCGGCATTGTCCAAACCGGACCACCACTCCTCTTGGGAGTCACCGTTCTCAATGGAGATATGGGTGCCCGTAGACGGAGAGCTTGCCGTATCCTGGGTGCCCGTAGGCACCACGGCTTGTGGTGACTCATGAGTAGAGCCTTGTTGAGCATGAGAAGGAAGGAGTCCACCCTCTTCCAACTCGGCGCTTTCTTCCCTGGCTCCATGGTGGGAGTCGGAGGGGGTGGTGTAGGTGGAGAGAGAGGGAAGGGACGGGGAGCCGCTGCGGCAGCGCGACATGATGACGGAGATGGGAAGAGCGAGGGCGTGCGGTTGTGAGAGTGTGTCAGATAGCAGGCGCGCGCGGTGTTGAGGAGGAGAGAAGGTCGAGGAGCGGGCGAAAATATATAGACACGCGACGCGTGACGTCAGATCACTCGAAGTAGCAGGTGCGGCAGGTGCGAGGCTTGGCGCAAATTTTGGATGAACTGAGGGCAATCGGCTGCTGCTAGTTACGCGTCGGCCTGGGTGAAGAGATACGTTGTCGTCGCCGGCGGACCTTCGCCTCACTTCACCTCAAGTCCGGCACTTTACCTCGTATCATCTTATTTCACATTTGGAAACTTCTATAGACCAACAAGCAATGTCATAAAAGTCTGGAATTTGCGAGTGATAGAATTTGTTGGGTGGTGTGAAGGCCCCGAACGCAGCGCTTGCCTAATCGGCTGGACCTACATAATTCTTTCCCGCAGTCCTGCCCGGGCTCATCTGCCTTCCTGCACCAAGGCGATGATCCTTCCTGCTGATTACTGGTATTTAGGCTCCTCCATCAGAGACCTTACCTCCTCGAGCATCTCTCGCCACTCATCTTTCGCACTTTCACCTTTGTCATTACCGCATTTGGCACCGACGCGTATCGTGACGCTCCTTTGAAACTCACCTAAGCGCTGCTCGCTCTGCACCGCCAAAACAAAGAAGAAAAAAAATAAGGCAGAGGCTGGCGAGTAGTAGTAGTATATGCTGAGAAAGAATCACCTTGATGGAGGCAAAAAACTATGCCTGTCGGCACAGAAACAGGCTCTTCGAGGACCGCCTGTTTTTTCCCGTTACACCCAACCCGACCGTACCCCACCCTCGCGTGCGGCGGCCAAGTCACAGCTTACGCAGGGAAGGCGTCTATGTCAATTCCCCACGCGTTACTGGTATTCTTGGCCGGGTCTATGAAAGGGAGGTGGACTTGGTGAATATACAAACAGAAAGAGCCCTTGGTTACCACCCACTGCTCGCCAACGCCACCTCCGAGAAGACAACCCAACCCACCAAGCCATCTGAATCTTAGACAACAACCCAACCCATCATTACATCTGAATCTTAGACGACAATCCAACCCATCAATACATTTGAATCTTAGACGACAACGGACCCGTCAATTCATCTTCATCTTAGCAAACATGACTCAACCGTACGACATGAGTACGCTTTTCCTCGACCGCCTTGACTTGGACGACGAATCAATCGGGTCCGAGTTAGACGCCGTCATGGACACCTACATCTCCTTCTACAACTTGGCCTGTGCGTCGATTTGGGCCGGCGAGCTGGAAAACGGCATGGAAATATGCCGCGTGCTACTAGACTATGACGATCTGCCGCTTCTCATTCGAGCTCGCGCGAGCATCGATCTCGCCTGGACCGAGCCTCACTGGCAGGACGTTGACCGCCACTTCCACAACGCCGAAGTCGCGTACAGGCGCATGTGCGAGCTCGTAGAGCCGGCACGCCTCAATGAAAAATGGGGCCAGGTTATATTTTACCTTCATGAGCTCGAACCGGAGATCGCCAATTACCGTTTGGAGGCGGAGGAGGAGGAAGACGAACCTGAAGGGCCCTGATCCGAGACACCGCGGGCAAAGCAACAGCCTGGAGACCATCGCAGAATGAGAACAAGGAGGAAAATACAACGCTCGTTAGGCAACACGGGTCTTAGGGAAGAAATTCTATCTGCACATTTCCAGCCAAGCAATGTCTCGCCCAGCCGATGCTCTACGTAACCCCTCTCACCACCAATTGCCACATAATGCGGCTGAATTATTGGAGACGCGCATCAATGTCTCAGGTGCTACGGCGTTCCCGGTATTTCCACCCAGCCTCAGCTCGAGCCAGCCCATGTCTCAATGCATTGTCTTACTTCCCGGCCACGCCGCAAGCCACCATGCCGCGACCGCCACGTGCACCGAGGAATTGTGTTCATATCGTGTGGCTGGGTATGTCTCTCAATCCTCTTCCAGAAGCCCCCCCAACGCGCCGACATCCGGCGGGAATCTCGCGCTGTGGCGGAACTTGTGGTTTCACTGTTGCCGCTCTCCCAGCCCGTCCTCTTCGCTCACGAGGTCAGCCCAGCGGAGCTCGTAGCTGAACACCGTCCGCCTGAGCAGCTCATCCTGTCCGCATGGTCAGCACGTGTCCATCCCCACCAAAACATCCCCAAAGACCAGAGCGTTTTCAGTCCCAGAGAAGAAGAGTCCACTTACCCCAGGATCCTCCTCAAACATGACCTTCTCCATCACATCCTCGCCCAGCTTCCGCACCCTCAACCCCTCGCTCGCCGCGAGGTCGAAAAACGCCAAATCCTTCTCCAGCAACCACGGCCTATACGGCGTGAAAAACACATACGCCACCGCGCTCTTGTCCCTCTTCATCGTCCTCTTCACGCTCTGCACCAGCTTCCCATGCTCACTATGATTAAACAGCAAGTCCGCCAAGATCAACACGTCGAACCCTTTCTCCCTCTCCCCCTCGGGCAGGTGCGCCAGCAGCGGCGCCGGGTCCGCGCCCCACAGGTAGCCCTCGACGCGCAGCACATCTGAGGCAGAAATGGCGGGGTTGGCGTGCGCGGCGTTGTAGCGCAGGTTGTCGACGAGGTCGGCGTCCGGGTAGTCGGTGCAGACGGCGCGCGCGGCGCCGCAGCGCGGCAGCGCGCAGACGAGGCTGGGCAGGCCGGCTCCGGCGCCCAGCTCGAGGACGGTGCGCGAGCGGATGGCGTGCGCGGGAGGGAGCGTCACGAGGAAGTTGGAGATGATGCGGGCGGCGTTCCAGATGTGGTGGCCCTAGATTTTTGTGGTGTGTTGGTATGGGTGTGGCTTGGTCTCTTTCTTTTTTTTTTCTTGGTGGAGGGGAATTTGGTGCGAGTGTCTCTGTAGTGCATGTACTGCGAATAGAGGAGATGGAAGGGAAAAAAGGGAGCTGATTCGGGCAAAGAAACGGAAGGGTTCTCGAAATGGAAAGAAAGAAATCATGGCATGGAGCTGGCCATGGAATGCAGCGCCCTGAAGATACTGACAAAGGAAAAAAAAAAAAAAAAACGGCTGGTTAATGGCTGGGATGACAAGACCCATGTAGGACAGAAATGAATGGCTTGAAGCCAAAAGAAAGACCACACTCACCCACAGCGGATTGAAGCCCACCAACCGGACCTTCAGTTCCTCGCCCGACTCCAACTTGTGGGTGGCGTAAGTTGGTGGCTTCTCCGGCTGGAAATAGCCCTCGGGTTCTTGGAAAAGATCCAGGCCTGCGCCTTCTTCCTCGTTATCCGACGACATTTCCGAAGTTCTGTTCCCGAGTCCAGTGGGTATCCCGAGCAGCTCGGGTTTAGGCTGTCGTCAAAATTGTGTTGGATTTGTTCGGCCTTCGTACCTAGTGGCGGCAAAACGCCGGTGAATTTTTCTTCTGGGGCTCACGGCACGTGAGTGAGACCGACGTGGAGCGAGAAAGGAAAAATTTAAGGTTAGGATTTGGCTCGAGAATACGAGTATGCAGACGTATCAGGAAACGAACAAAAGGTTTTAGAATAATGAAGATTTGTGGAAATATCCGTGCGGAAGAGCGCGGAAGCTGGAATCTGGTTGTTGAAATCTAGACGCTACGCTAACTGGGAAGCGTGGCAATCAATGACATTGTCGGTAGCATACACCATCAAATTGCCTGAAATAGTTAGCTATAGTCGACGTGGAACCATGCCATTGTGACAATCACAATCTGAAAGCATTGAGGGAAATAATTAGCACTTTACTCGAAACCTCCGGCTGCAGTCTGCACGCGATTCAGAAATGGAGGAGATGTTGGTCATTGTGTTTGATTCTCCTGCTAGCAGCAGCGGGTAGTTAAATTAAGTAGCTACAAGAAATAACGAGACAGAAGATACGACCCTTCTGCCTTGCTCGGCCGTACAAGCATGACGTTCCCCCAACTTGACCATTCCTTCTCATGCTTGCAACTGAATAGAAGAAAAGTGTAAAGGGTCTTGACGTAACAACCAGAGAATATGTCTTCGGATCAAAACGTGCAATGAAAATAATCCGAAATCGCCACATCGACAGCGGGCTTTTTTCACAACAACACCGAAAGAAGATTCTCCAGAGGGGAACATTTCAGACTCGCTCATGTGGGAGGAGGGGAAAAACACACTAAATGATTCGCTGCGCAACGCTTCCGTATATACTGTACAAAGCTGGACCAAGATAAAAAGTAAGCCACAAGAATGTTGGAAAGCAAGCCGGGCGCCGGGGTATAAAGCATAAATGCCGGGCGCCGTCGGATGGCTAACATTTTTATGCGTCGCTGAGGATGTAGGTGGCAGTTCCGGAAGAGACGGAGACCTGTTGCTTTCGTTAATTTCCGCCTCCACGCCGTGAGGGGCTGGTGGGAACTTACAGTGCAACCGTCGTTGTTGCAGCTATCGTACGTCTTGCCAGAGCAGAAGCCCTTGCCGACGATGTACTTGCAAGTGCCCGACATGTTGTCTCCCTGGATCTCAACGTTGAAGTCAAGCTTCTCGAGAGTCGTGGGCTTGTTCTGGAAGATCGAGAGCCAAGCAGCGCCGGCCGAGTAGCCGACACCAAGGTTGATGGGAGCCCAGTTGCCGATGGGCTTGTCACCGTTGGACCAGGTGCAGCCTTCCTCGACACCGACACCAAGAGGGTTGAGGTAGTACTGGGCGGAAGTGGCCTTGCCCTGCCACTGGTAGTAGCTGTCCTGCTCAGGGCAGGTGAGCGGGTGCTCATTACCGGGCTGAACGTCGATGGGGATGACCATGGCCTCGGTACCTGTAGAATTGTCAGACCTTAAATGCATGCATAATTACAAATCAAACTTACCAGGGTAGTCGGTACGGCAAATGGCAGCCTGCTCGCTGAGCTCGCTCTTGACCTGGACGGTAACCTTCTCGGAACCCTTGATGCAGAGCGTGTCGAAGTTGGGGTTGGTGAGGGTAAGCTTTCCGTCGGAGCAGAGAAGACCACCGACGGACTGGCCGGTAGCACCTTGAGCAACGGGCCACTGGGCCTTCTGGTAACCGGCAGGGCAGGCGTAAGAGCAGTAGGCGCCCTCAGTACAGCAGTCCTCGCCGAAGCACATGTCGGCAACAGTGGTCATGATGTCGTCAAGGCTGCTAGCGGTGACAATGTTGGCCGTCTGGATACCAATCCAACCACCAAGACCCATCCAAGAAACCGGAACGGCACCATAGTCGCTGGGGAACTCCGAGCAGGGGATGTCGTCAGGGAACGGGACGTCGATGCCCTTGCCGTAAGAGGAGGAAGAAGAGCTCTTGGTGGGCTTGCTCTCCTCAGAAGTGGAGGTGCTGGACGGCGTAGGAGTAGGGGTGGGAGTGGGGGTAGTAGTAGAAGAGGAGGGGGGCGGCGTGTAGGCAGCCGAGGTGGACGACGAAGACGGGGGCGCCGAGGAGCTGGTCGGGGGCGCGTAGGAGGCGGCAGCAATGGAAAGCTCACCGTCGGCCCAGATCAGGCGGCCGGCAGCGATACCCGCGTCGCACTCCTCCTGGGGAATGATGGAACCGTTCAGCTCGCAGACGGTGACGACTTCCATCTGGATGTCGACATCGGCTTCCTGCCTCTTCTGGTGGAAGTGAGAATGGCCGCGGTGGTTGCCGGATCCGACGGCCAGAGCCGAGGCGGAGGAGGCCAACAGGGGCAGAGCAGCAAGAGCGACGTTGCGCATGGTGAGATTTGGTGGATGCAGAGATGCTAAGGCAGCAATGGCGGTTTATAGCACTGCGCAAGAGACAGAAGTCACAGTGCCTGGCAGTCGCAAAGTCAGATTAGCTTTAAAAATATGGCGAGGAATTGGCTCACGGGGAGAATGCTTGCGCGACGGTGTTGGTAGGTGCTTGTCTTTGGCGAGCAGGGAGTGGCGCAGCGATGATTCAGGTGAATCTTTGGCTGTGGAACGAAGAAAAGGAGTTGGGGACTGGGCGACGGTGAGATCAGGTCAGGTCAGGCGCGGGTTTTTGGTGATTCGGAGGCAGGCGGGATAAACGTACGGGAGTTTATTACTATTGTGGTGGTGAAAACGAACGTGGGTTGAGCGCGTGGCCCAGGTCGGAAGGCGGCTGGAAGAGAGAGTGACGGGGAAAGAGTGCGAAGTTGCGCGAGCTCTTTACAGCATCCGGAGAGGGAGAGGGCCAGCAAAAAGCGTGAAGGGAGCGGCAGCGTGGAGTTTTTGGGGACAGGACCCGGGGGGCGTCTGAGCGGGCGGCCGGGATGTTAGCTGTAGCATTCCCCAAAACAGAACGCCTTCGTGCCTGGCAGGAGTGCGCCCAGACTTTAATTGGCTCGTCGCCGACCAATACTAATCTCGCGCCCTCTCCGCATCTGCGCCGCATCCACGCCCGCAGACGCCCTTCTCCAGCCAGGCCAGCCCTCCGCCGCCGCTCCGAGAATTGCTCACCAGCAGGCCTTTCCAGAGGCGATCGCAGCAGCTCAGCGCGCGCATCCGCAGCTCGCCGCGCGCTCAGGAGGCGACTCCAAGATCGCCCAGGCTCATAGCCTTCGGGCCAAGACTCCGCCGGTTGCGCGTGCTGTGGAAATTGCTGCGCTTGGCGATAGGGGATCCGCTCGTGTCGATGCACCAGGAAAATCGTCAAGAAGCCGCTGTTCGCCCCGGCGCTCCACCTCGGGCTGGCCGGCCTTATGAGCGCCTCGATGCCACCCGGCGCTCCGGGCGGGCTCTTGTGCGACGGCCATCTCGTTCGGGCAGGTGAGGATTGGTGCGCTACTTTGGCAGAGAGGGGCGGTGGAGGAATTGGGACGTTGACCTGCAGACGGCGCCTCGTTCCCTGTGGCGATCCGCAGCGCGCACGCCCCAGTCTGGGGACCCGAGGTGGCCCCTTGACGGCCTGTCCCTGACGCGCTGACTCTGTCGGCAGTCCGCAGTCAGCATCTTAATTCGGGTGGCTGCTCGGGTACCTGGCGCTAGCACAATCGATAGCTGCGTGTCATGCAAGGCATTCCACCACCAGAGACACCCTGCCCGATTGCGTAACCGCACAATCCTTTTGTCTGCATCGCCACAGTAATCAGAGTCAACTCATTTTTGCAATCACCCAGCGCCGGGCTCGCCTCCGGAATGCCGCGTTGGATGAAGTCACTGCTCGCGTGGCCGCAGGCCAGGCCTCGACTTCTGGCCTTTGCGCCGCCTGTCGTTACACGGCTGCCGCAGGTACGAATCGGGCTCCTCCCGCAGCGTTCCTGTCCCGCGTGCATTTCGAATGCGCGCCCCGCCATTGACAGGTGCCACCAGCCATCATCGCGACTTCTCGAAAGCTCCGTGTTGCCATGGCACCACACGCGGGTGATGCGCTGTCCCGTATTCACGCAAATCTCCCGTCATGCGCCGCCGTGCGACGCATATAAGCGCCTCGTACTGCTCCACGCCGCTTCCGACGCCAGTCCCAGCAGCTGGTAGGGCGGGCCGGCGTGCTGCAGGTACACGTCGCGCAACGTGCAAGATACGAGCCTTTTCGTCCTCCTGCAGATCGCAAACCTTCTCCTGCCGCCTCTTTGCTCACCTTGCACCAACGCTGAGCAACATGGCAAAGACAACCACCGTCCTCCGCCCTTTACCACTCGTTTGCCCCCGTGACCATGCTACCGTTCCATCGCGTCAGCCCGTCAGGCTTCGGTCCGTGCTAGCTTCTGGCACGCTTCTGGATCGGCCTCCACCCTTCGCACGTCCTCGAGCTCCCAGACGACATATTTGCCGGCTCATAAGCACGAGGAACGGTGCGAACCACGTATGCGAACCGCCCAAGTACCGACCATACGGCGCGCACAAGACCGTCTCTCCGCTTCTCTCCATCTCCACTCATCCGAACCACGACATAGGAGCCATCCAATGATTCTTCCATGCTCGGATCTGGCGAAAGCCGCCGGTTGATTTGCACTGCCCGACATGCGACGCAAGGGAGCGAATCCTGAGATGGACGACGACGTGGCCATCAACTCTCCACAGTCCACGGCTTCCGACTGATACAGCAGCATTTTCGTCTACGTGGTCGCAATTGAGTAGATGCTCTGGTGTTTCATCTCTCGATCATCGCACAAACTTTCCATGGCGAATCCGGTTACTGCAAGTTACTGTTAGGCGGTGAGCAAGCAAGAGCATTGGGATGACAGGGCGAAGCGAGATTTGGTGCAACTGCAAGAATCCTACACCAGATGACCCGACTGGAGACGACATGCTGGCTTCTGCCACTGACGTGCGCGTTGCTGCACCTGCTCACGAGGCAGATTGAGGTACGTCAGGCCACCTGAGAGTCTGGTACACTTGCACCCTCATCTCATGCCGGCGCGCCGTCGAGCATCCGGTCATCCAACGGTTCATCAGTTGATGTTGGCATACCCGGAACTCTCCATTCAGCATGAGCGCGTGGTAAACTGGTCGACCGCACGCGCCGTCCTGGGGCCTTCGGTAGGATCATTTGCCATGGCAAATAGCGGATCGCTCGATGCTCAGGCGACGATAAGGAAAGCGCTGATATCCCCCGAGCCAGGAGCAGCGCATAGAGAGATGGACACAGAGATCTCCTGACTCGGTAAGTACTATAACCAGGTAGCGCCCCTATTTGCCGTTCCAAGCTCTTGATCATTCTTGGCGGTCAACTTCGGTCGTCGTAGACCTTGTCTAGCCGCCGGACTTGAACACTGCTCATTACCGAAGCTCTCCCCATAGGGTCTATGGGTGCCGCGATCCGGTCCGACAAGCCTCTATTTTTGCCTGATGGGGTGCGCTCGAGCAGTCAGTGCCGGACATCCTCCGCCGAATTTATTGACTGCTTGTCGATGGCAATAACCGACGGATCAGTTCCGCGTGTGCAGATGTGCTTCGCCTCCGCATCGAGATGCCATGTGGACCGGTGGTGTTTGGTGGAAAGAAGAGAAGTCTGTCAGGGGCTCTGCGGCTGCTTGTAGATTAGCTCGCGCTTCGCCCCACGAACCGGTGGGGATTCGCTTCTTGGCAAACGCAATGTGGCAGCCCGGCGAAAAGCGTAAAGAGCATTAGCAATGACGGCCCGGAGGAAGACGGTATCGGATCTGTGTTTCTGCAGTGGAGAGGCTCTGCGAAGAAAGGATGTCGTGATAGTCAATGAGTCAGATTCTCGGTAAACAGGTCGGAGATCCGATCAGATTTGGACGCGACGATTACTGCCCTACTTTTTCACCGCGAATGCGGGGTTTAGTTTTGCATCCCGGTCGTCCCACGGATGCCGTCATTGCTGACTTTTTGAAGAGCCACGCGATTCTATAACCGCACACTGTGAGCAGCTGGCTTTTGGTACCTCATTAGCTCTCACGCTCTACATCAATTCCTTTCGAGGTGCATGCAGATCGCATCAGCTTACCACTTCTATCTGTTTGTTTTGTCTCCGAACTGCTTTGCTTACTATAATTTCTGAGCGTTTATAAAATTTCCCCCACTACCGACTCAAAAGCAGAAACCACGAGGGACTCCAATGCTGTCAAGATGATCTCGAAACCATTCAGCCATCTATTAGCCATTGTCTCCCTACTTTCCATCTCAGGTCATGTTTCAGCCCAGTCCCTCGGGTTCGACAGCCGTGAAGCGACTATAGCGAACGTCCACCATGCTCTATTTACCGGACTATCATCCTGCCGCGATGTCGTCTCGTCCTTCTTGACGCGAATCGAGACGTACAATTCCAAAATCAACGCCATCATCGCCCTGAACCCATCCGCTCTGGAGACCGCAGATGCACTGGACGAAGCTCTAGCCCAGGGCAACAGCACCGGCCCACTCTTCTGCATCCCCATCCTCCTCAAGGACAACTTCGACTTCGCCGGCCTACCAACGACGGGCGGCAACCTCGCGCTCGCGTCCCTCCAGCCCGCTTCGGACGCGCCCACGGTAGCCGCGCTGCAGCGCGCGGGCGCCATCGTCCTGGGCAAGGCCAACCTGCACGAGCTGGCGCTCGAGGGGCTGTCGGTCAGCTCGCTGGGCGGGCAGACGGTCAACCCGTACGACACGACGCGCACCCCCGGCGGGTCGTCGGGCGGCAGCGGCGCGGCCGTGGCGGCGTCGTTCGCCGTGCTCGCCACGGGCACCGACACGGTCAACTCGCTGCGCAGCCCGGCCAGCGCCAACAACCTGTTCAGCATCCGCCCGACGCGCGGGTTGTTGAGCCGTGCGGGCGTCATGCCTATATCGTACACGCAGGATGCCGTCGGCGTCATCGCGCGCAGCGTCGAGGACGTGGCGGCCGGGCTGACGGCCATGGCGGGCGTGGGCTACGACGTCGAGGGGGATAACGCGACGGCGTTGATTCCTGAGGCGAGCGTGGGTGTAGATTATGCTGCTGAGCTTGCTGCTGCGTCGACGACTCTGGAGGGTGTGCGGTTTGGGTTGCTGGAGCCCTTCTTCAACCGGACGGCGAGCCCGGAGAACGACCCCGTCAACGAAGCCATGGACGCGGTGGTCGAGGAGCTGGAGGCCGCGGGTGCGACCATCGTCCGGATAAACGATACGGCTCTCTTCAACGTGACGGAAATCATGAAGCTCGACACCCAGCGCTTCGAGTACCGCGAGTTCATGGAGGCCTACCTACAAAACCCTAGCCACACCACCTCCTCCGACAACGCCACCTTCCCCCACACCCTCGCCGGCATCTACGCCACGAACGACAGCTCCACCACCGGAAGTGGCACCGGCAACGGCTCCTTCCTCGTCATCCCCGCGCAATACGAATACGTGACAACCGCACTCGCATCCAGCACAGGCAACGCGACCTACGCCACCGTCCAGTCGGGCGTGCGCAACCTCACCCTCGCCCTGGCCGCGACCTTCTCGGCGCACCGCGTCTCCGCCCTGCTCTACCCGGAGCAGCGCAACCTCGTCGTCAAGCTCGGCTCCGCCTCGCAGGCCGGCCGCAACGGCATCCTCGCCGCCCTCACCGGCAGCCCCGTCGTCACCGTGCCCGTCGGCTTCAGCGGGGAGACGGACGAAGCGCCGGTCGGCGTGCCGATCGGGATGGAGGTGCTGGGTAGGCCGTGGGATGAGAGGGCGTTGTTGGCGCTGGGGAAGGGCGTCGCGACGGCGTTGGGGCCGAGGGCGCGCAGGAAGTCGCCCGAGTGGGCGAGGGAATTTGTCGAGGCGAAGGCGTATGAGAGTGTGCCGGTTGTGCAGCCGGATAGGGGAAGTATTCCGGCGGCGTATCCGGTGGGGGTTTTGTGATGGTGGGGAGGAGGAATGGTGAGTGGAAAGGTGGGGGATAGGGGAGGAGGAGGTGCGCGGCTTGCCGGAGATCAGTGAGAGTAAGGCGGTGTGGATGTGGCACGGATTAATGATGAGATGATAATGGAATCGTTTTTGCTCTGCATCTCTACTTTCGATGCTGTGTTGGTGTTGTTTGTTGGCTATAAGATCCCTTGTCTGTTGTTCTGTAGTATCAATGTGCATATGTGACTTAAAGGGGTTAACGGGGCATTGGAACGAGAAAGACTTACCTTTCAGATTCGTATTTCAAACATGTCAGAAAAGAAGCGGAGAAAGGAATGCTCGGAGGTCAAGTTCTGCGTTACTGATACCTCGACCTTTGTCTGCTAAAGCATTACCTCCAGACATGCTTACTACACTCCGTAGAATGACTTGACTAGTTAGTGGCCACGTTGTAAACGCCAGGATCTGTACGTGAGTCCTACTGGAGATTGTTCTGGAGCAGCATGACTTACCTGGTGTGCTGATCACAGCTGCGAATAAGTCAGTCGCAAACTGTGGATCAGACAGTGTATGAGAAAGGTGGAGAGAGCGCGTACTAAAAACACGAGTCGGAGTTGGCTTGCCATAGTAGCAAGACGCACACGAAGCCTCTGACGTGTGTGCGGCTTGTACACCATGTGCAGGATTCCTGAATAGGAGAGAGACTGGGATGGTAGTGGACCTAGGGGCTTAAAACAAGGTCTGTCGCAGCAGATGCAGGCACAATGACCAGCATGATGAGACAAACGTGGACACTATTCTGATGATGTAGCGGTGACGGTTGATCCCGAAAAGCAGGTGTAAGGATGGAGCCAAGAGTGACGGGCTTAGCAATGGTGTGACCTCCATAAAGTAGGGGTGACTGGGGTGTTGTAAGTCAGAAAGGCCGTTAGGTTTTATTTCGGATTTTGTCGGTAGCGGAACGCCCTGATTGAGCGAGGAGAATAAGGAAGAGCAGAATCCACAATAAGAAAAAGTTAAATGGAGCATTTGAACCCATTTAGCTGAGACGATGGTAAGGGCCTGAAGCCGTTCGGACTACACGTCCGTTTAAGGCCAAATACTAAAGTAATGACATTAATAGCGTACCCATGAAAGGTGTACACAAGAAAAAACCAACGCAAAGGGTATTTAGAAGTGTGGAAGGGATACAGAGTGATTACTAAAGATGATATGAAAGATTGTTGACACTACGCTTCTCGTTCAGTCATCAAAATGATAGACTGCTTCTGTAAGAAGTTGAAGCTAGCGTCAGGACATGAATGTATAATTGTTAACTCCACATTTACGTCCGGACAATAGCTTTAAATTCCCATGCCTTTAAATGTCCACATAAATCAAATTGTTTCTCACAAATACTGTAAAAAAGGTTTGTTCTGGGGGGCCGTAGTTACTCACTGTCTTAAGGTACTTCTATTTTTAGCGCTAGGGTTGCGATACCCCTCTGGAGGCGTAACTTTTGACTACCTGCGGAAATCGACTGTAAAATGGTTGCGAAATGAGCTTGTGAAGAGTAAGAATTTTCGTGACTCTCAACGGTGTCACCAAGGTTCATCCATCACCGTAATCGGGCCTGAAGTTTGAGTTTGTCGGTTGCCGAAACTGATGCAACACAACAGTAGCTTGAACAATGCACTCAAAATACAGGTACTCACCGCTCCGCTCTGAAAAGGGCCGTCTTTCCCGAATTTTTCGTGCAAACATATTTTACTAATTCTTTCTAGGGATAGCGGAGAGGTTCCGCATCAGTCCGACAAACCTAGTTGATTCAGTTACAAGTGGGCGGTAGTTTTCGGCACCTGAGACTGTTGCACAGTCGCAGGCTGATGCTATTGAAAGACCATCCACAGGACCTATCCGGCAATGATTCGCTGAGGCTAGGGATTTCTCCACAAGCGCAAAAGCACTCGGGTGTACCCGAGGAGGGGGGCGGATCTGCCAGAAGCGCACAGAGTGGCCTCCGCGACATGTTGATCTGAAATCCCTGGACGATCGCATGGTGCACGATCAACCGCCAAGGAGGTAGGGCAAGCGTCGGCGACGGCTAGTTTGGTATCCGTGTGTTGTGCAACCTCGTGGCCGGGTCATGGCGCTGCGGCTCAGCATGTCCGGAGGCACGCGCTGAAAAGCTGTGTCCTAGACATTGCGGCGGTGATTTGACTGCAGACCAACGATGACCAACGCACTCATCCATCGATTACTCAATATTAACCCCTGAGAGGGTCTCAATTCAGATATTCCCAAAGGGGTAGCAAACCAAAGAAGCATTGCGCCAAGGCCAGCAAATCGGACTTCAAAACGATTTGCGTGTCGTCGCCGGGGCTGCCGGGGTTTCCAGTAGACCCAACGGGCTGGGGCGCCATGTTAATCATCGTTCCAACCTACCAGCTCCAGAGTTCAGTTTGCGGGTGTTGCAGAAGTGTGCGTGCAAAAGCCTATCGATTGACGCCATTTGCGTGCTATTGTCGGAACTTGCACGCGCTTGAGCAGAAGCGGACGGATGTCTCAGACGCTCTGAATCCCTTTTATTTCTAAAAATGACAAGGCGATGTGCGCCTGGCGGCCAGACTGACGATGCTCGGAAATTTAGCGGCTCGATGCTGTGCTGCGGCTACAGCCTCGCGCGGCCCAGGCTGAAGTGGAGCCTGCTGTTCTGCGGGCGGGTACGGGCCGGCATGGCAAACTCGGAAGCGCGGGGGCAGCGGCAACGGATGCGCGTGGAAGACGCTTGGCTGCAGGAGGGCGGTGTTGAGCTGGCGCTGGGTGTTTGTGTGGCGTGTGGTGTGGCCAAGCTGGAGGGGTTCCGCGGCTTCCAGCGGATGCCATTGGGCGCGGCCCGGCAAAACCCCTGGCACAGCCCCTCTTGGCCTCTGGTCCAGCCACTACGCCGCGGCCCAGAGCGCTGAAACTGCCCTGACCCCAGTGACGCTGCGTCCACGACATGGAAAGCTTGGACTGAGCGCCGGCTGACGCTGCACGCAAAACAAGCGCCTGCTGCCAAATCGTCCCGGCACAATGCCCTGATTTCTAACCAACCTACGGCCGGAGGTCATGTAGTAGTCCCCGCTCCTCGCGAGTCACCTCTCTCGGAATCTTCTCTTCCGCGCCATCTTGCCCATCTCTACTGCTTTTTGCCCGAGCTAGTCCACCCGATAAGCTTCTAAGCCTCGCCCGACACGAGTTGCAACCCAGCGGGACCCTGCTTCTACACAGCTAAATAAATCCAAACGCCGGTCGTTGACGCGCCCACCAAACACCAAATTTCCACCACCAGCCATGGCCGCCACAACAGAACCACACCAGCCGCCCGCCTCTACGGACACTAAGCCCGACACTCAAGCACAAGCCTCCGCAGCCGCCTCCGCACCGGAAACCATAGACGAGAAAGACGCGTCGTTAGCAAAGGAGACGGGAGCTACGGCAGCAGCATGCGACTACGACCCCTCGGCCGACTTCAAGGGTGATGTGCAGGTCTCACAAGAACTTCCTACAGAGGCCGACATCAGGAGATGCGAGGACATGCTCGTCCTGGGCGCCGACGGCGAGTCGCGGCCCTTCAAGAGCCTGTACTCGGGCGAGGGCGTTGCCACAAGGCAGCTGATCATCTTTGTGCGACATTTCTTCTGCGGAGTACGGCCCAATATTTCCCTTGCGCTTTACTCACTTTGCTGACGATTTGCCTGCAGAACTGCCAGGAGTACCTGCGCACGCTCTCGGCCAGCATCACCCCTGACGCACTCCTCGCGCTGGACACGCCGACCTTTATCACCGTCGTCGGCTGCGGTCGCCCAGAGCTGATCCCAATGTACGCGCAGACGACCAATTGCCCGTTCCCCATCTTCGCCGACCCGACGACCAAGCTCTACGACTACCTGGGCATGATGCGCACGCTGTCGCTCGGCCCCAAGCGCCCGGACTATATGAAGGCCAGCATGGTGTCGACGACGATGCAGAGCATGTACCAGTGCATCAAGAGCGGCAAGGGAATCGTGCAGGGCGGCGACATCAGGCAGGTCGGCGGCGAGATGCTGTTCGAGGACGGCAGGGTGACGTGGGTGCACCGCATGAAGAACACGCGCGATCACGCCGAGGTCGAGGACCTGAGGAGCATCCTCGGGCTGACTGGAAAGGACGAGGGGAGGAGAGAGCGCCGCGACGGGTTCAAAGCCATCGCGAGAAGCATGAGCTGGAGCCGCAGGCAGGAGCGCAGCAAAGAGCGCGGCAAGGAGCGAAGCAGGTCGCGCGAGCCCAAGGTGGTGGAGATGGATGAGGGAGCGAGCGAGGTGAAGGAGAAGGAGCAGAGGAAGAGCAAGAGGAGGTCGTTTTTCCAGAGAGCAGACACCAACAGCCACTTGAAGGCCGAGGTTGAGAAGATTTAGGGAATTGTCGGGTGTCAGCGATATAGCATTGCAGCGGCGTTTGCGGGGCCAAGGGAACAAAGTCCGTCCAGGTATTTAGCGATGATTTCTCGGAATCGAAGACTTGCTAGTTTCAGTGAAATGCTGGCATATAGACGCGGGGTAGAGACGTGAAAGCCTTCCTTCAAACCTTAATCGGAGATGGTTGCACCGCCATGACTCGGGGGTGCGCGTTACCACGAGGCGCGCGCCAGGCAAGCAGAGCCTCAGCTAAAGCAGACGGCGCAGCCGGCGGGCAGATAGCAGCCTCAAAAGCCCAGTTGCAGTAATTGAGTCCATCAAGGCAGGCCGACCCACTGGCAGTCGCGAGACCCAAAGCGGAAAAAAGTCCCGATGGGCAGGCGGCGGATGGACTAACCTGCTACAGGCGCACTGGACCCCGCCTACCTACCCCGCCGCCGCGCGCAGGCTCGTCATCGCTGGCAAATTCGTCAGAAAGCGCGCCCAGAACCACGCCCCGCCGCGCAAGGATCCGCCCAGGCTGATGAGGGGAAGCTTTGGAAGTTATCGGAGTCGGTTGGGACAAGACGCCCGCCGGCCAATGGATGCGCGCGCATACGGTGCTGCTGTCGGCACCACGCGCCCTCTCCCAGTCCCCCACATGGCTCTTGCTTTCGGACGAGGGCACATAAAATAGATCCGCGACCTCCCGCCGTCTTGGATTCATCTCTTCCCTCCTCCCTTCCCTCCCAACTTCTTCCATCGTCCCAAAGATACCCCGCAGTTCGCGACCCCCGACACCAACAGCCGACACCACCACCACCGCCAGCCACCATGTCTGCCGACACTGTTGGAAAGGTGCGCTGCTGCTAATTGAGCCCTGCTGTCCGTGACTTGCTAGCTAACCCTCGTCGCGTAGACCATCACTTGCAAGGTGCGCATCTCGATGCCAATGACGCAATCGACCCATTGACACATTCTGCAGGCCGCCGTTGCCTGGGAGGCCGGCAAGGAGCTCAGCGTCGAGGACGTCGAAGTCGCGCCGCCGAAGGCCCACGAGGTCCGCATCCAGATCTACTACACCGGTGTCTGCCACACGGGTAAGCTCCAGGAAGCTCCGGGAAGCTGCAGCAGGCCATTGCTGAGAAATTACCCCTCCAGATGCCTACACCCTCTCGGGCAAGGACCCCGAGGGTGCCTTCCCCATCGTCCTGGGACACGAGGGCGCCGGTATCGTCGAGTCGATCGGTGAGGGCGTTACCTCCGTAAAGCCCGGCGACCACGTCGTTGCTCTTTAGTAAGTTGGGCGGAAATTTTCCTCGTGAGAGTGGGCAGCTTGGGAGCTTGGGCTCCCGAAGCTCTCCACTTTAGCTGGCCGATATCTCGGACTATTCGGCCTAATCCAAGCCAAGGCTGCGGTGTCCGCATTTGGACAAATAATGCTAACCACTACCGCACCACAGCACTCCGGAATGCCGTGAATGCAAGTTCTGCGTCAGTGGCAAGACCAACCTGTGCGGCAAGATCCGCGCCACCCAGGGCAAGGGTGTCATGCCCGACGGCACTTCGCGCTTCAAGTGCAAGGGTAAGGACCTGCTCCACTTCATGGGTACCTCGACCTTCTCGCAATACACCGTTGTTGCCGACATCTCCGTCGTCCCGATCAAGCAGAATGCCCCCATGGACCGCACCTGCCTGCTCGGCTGCGGTATCACCACCGGTTACGGTGCCGCCGTCATCACTGCCGGTAAGGGCGGTGTCGAGAAGGGCTCCAACGTCGCCGTCTTCGGTGCCGGCTGCGTTGGTCTCTCCGTCATCCAGGGTGCGGTGAAGAACGGTGCTGGCAAGATCATCGTCGTCGATGTCAACGACAGCAAGGAGGCGTGGTCCAAGAAGTTCGGTGCTACCGACTTCGTCAACCCTCTGAAGCTTCCTGAGGGCACCAGCATCCAGGAGAAGCTGATCGAGATGACTGATGGCGGCTGCGACTACACCTTTGACTGCACTGGTAACGTCCACGTCATGAGGAGTGCTCTTGAGGCTTGCCACAAGGGTTGGGGCGAGAGCATCATCATTGGTGTTGCCGCCGCTGGCCAGGAGATCTCGACGAGGCGTAAGTGTCCCGACTCTTGAAGTTCGTTCGAATACTCACATATCGTGTCAACAGCATTCCAGCTCGTCACCGGTCGTGTGTGGAAGGGCTGCGCCTTTGGTGGTGTCAAGGGCCGCACCCAGCTTCCCGACCTTGTCCAGGACTACCTCGATGGCAAGCTCAAGGTCGACGAGTTCATCACTCACCGCCAGCCCTTGACCGGCATCAACCAGGCTTTCTCCGACATGAAGGCAGGCGACTGCATCCGCTGCGTCGTCAACATGCGCGAGTAAACAAAACAAAAAAGCTAAAGCGTTTCTTGTCGGGCGGGTTACCCAAAGGTTGATATGCGGTTAGAAGGAGTTCGTTCGAGCTGTGATGTGCTCATGATCCAGGGTTACGTATTGGTCAGGTCTTTGGCGATAATGGTCTGGCGGCGAGGTGTTCCAAAAATGGTTTGTAGGTGTGTTGCCAACAGTCCGTAAATATGACAATGAACCTAAAGGAATTTCATACCCATCTCTGTGACTGGGAATTGTGACATTCTTGGGGAGTTGAAGCGTTCGTCCGGATGAAGATGTCAAGCCAAAATAATAACATCTTCATCCGGACGAACGCTTCAGCTCCCCATGAATGAAGCTTTAACGATGAAGGAGGCGTCGAACAATTTCATATGGCCTCCGGCATCACGACATCGTTATATGTCGATGTCGCCTACCGGCTTCTTCAATCTGGTCAGTCAGCCCGAGTAGGACCAGGTGGAAAGACTAACAAATGTGTGCAGATACAAACATACTCCCTTATTTGGCAAGCTCCAGTTGTCGGTTCTTTGGCGTCTGATCCCGCGCTTGGTGGAAGGGAAACGAGAGGACAAAAGATCTCGCTTTTGCCCAATCCAAATTGGGCAAGCACGCAAACGCATCGCGCAAAGCAGCCATGTTCATTCAGTTTCGAACCTCTTCTCTTCATCACCATCACCGTCCGCCTCAAAACGAGACTTTTTGCACACACACCTTAAGATCTTCAAGACACCGCACCAGCACCAGCAACAACGCGAACCATGGCGGCCCCGCCAAACCCCACCACTACCGTCCACCCCTCCCTCCATGTCGTTCCTCTCCCCGGCCGCGGTATGGGCTCCATCGCCACTGCCCGCATCCCGCGAGGCACCCGCCTCGTCTCCGACGCCCCCGTCTTCGCCGCCACCAACACCCTGTGGAAGAACGAGGAGCTGCTCGCTCAGCAGCTCATCCCCCTCTACGCCGGCCTCCCCGCCGACCAACGAACCCGCATCGACAACCTCGCGGCCAATCCGGAGGCGGTGGCCAGGTGGGCCAAGTTCTTTGGGACTGAGGACGCCGTTGCCGAGGCGGAGGCGTCGTGGGCCACTGATCCTGATCCTGCCGCCGCTACTTCCTCCTCCTTAAGTGTCGCCCAAAGGGCCCATATCATGGCCTCCTGGAACACGAACTGTTTCGGACTCTATAATAACGAGAGTGCGGCCAAATGGGCGGCTGTTATCGCGCCCACGGCTGCCCGCTTCAACCACGCTTGCGTCCCGAACGCCACGTTCGCGTGGAACGATGCCGTGGGTGCGATCACGGTGCAGACGATCAAGGAGGTTGATGAGGGGGAGGAGCTGACGATTGCGTACGTGGATTCAATGAAGAGGGGGAAGAAGAGAAGGGAGGCGTTGAGCCGGCAGTACGGCTTCGTCTGCGACTGCCCGGCCTGCGCGGACGGCAAGGAGGAAGAACTCAATGAGATGAGGAAGAGGACCGAGGAGCTGAGAGAGATACTGGGGAGGGAGGCGAAAAGGGGAGAGGATGGAAGGGATGGGGAGATAGCTAAGATGGCGGTGGAGGAGGGTGTGACGCTGCACGAGAAGACCGGGCTGGTGGGCGTACATCTGGCAGACTTGTGAGTATTCCCCTCCTTCTTACTGTCTCGAAACAACCCTTAAGCCAAATCTCAGCTACAAAGCCGCCTTTGCCGCTACCGGAGACCGCCTGTATCTGGAAGAGGAGCTGCGTGTCCGCACGTACTGCCTTGGAGATGACCATCCGCTTGTCAAAGCGCTCACGGAGAAGTTGACGGGCGTTTGAGCCTCTCAAATCCATGCGCTACTGTTCGTTTTCTATCGGCAAGGTTTCTTCGAATGGCAATCCGGCTCTTTTCCAACGAATGAATCCTTCTTACGCCATTGCCTTCTCCAATTCCTCATCCACATTACCAACATTTTCCACACCTCGCAGCACGAGGAGCTCTTTCATCACCAAACTCTCAACACCCCAATTGCGGATCCATAGGCTTGCTCTTGACCATCGGCAGAGCCCATTTCGAGGACATCTATTTTCATCCACATCTCTTCAAACCCCAAGAAGGAGCAGATCACTTCCACCTTCACAACAAATGCTCATCGCACTCACACCCGCAATCCTAAACTCGGCTTTTTCGATGCACCAGATACCCTCAACTTGCCGCCGTCGACTCAGATCTACCACTCCTCCCATGGCGTCACACACATCTAAATCACCGCTCTGGCACCTCGGTACCCTCACCTAACTCGGCGTGCTTCTTCTTAGTCTCCAGATGGCTTCAATAATCCCGCCTTCGATCCCACTGCGTCAAACGCAGAGAGCTTGGTGAATCATCCAAGCTTATTCGCATCTTATTGTGGAGAGCGGCCGTCACGTGTTCCTTGAATCAGGGCTTAGGCCGACGAGATAGAGGAGTTAATGCGGAAGATGTTGGTGGCGTCCTCGGGATGGATATTAGAAAGAGTCGGCAATGAAGGAACGGCTGCTGCAGGCTGGGGCGGAGGGATTGGCGATGATGCACTTTGGGTCGGAGGTAGGAATGTGGCTGTTGCGTAGCCAGAGTCACGGGTTCGCTGCCTTTTGACCACGTCTAAAAATCGGATTCGCGTCTTCTATTTCTCTCATGATCAGCCCCTCTCACTACTGGCCAAATAGTATATGGCTTTCGTGTTGACATTGCCTAGGAACGCCTCTAGGCCTACGATGACCAGCTAGAAGCTTCACCTGGATTTCGGGCATTTCGTTAGGATCGTAAGGCCATATGAAGAGCATACCATTGGCTGGGCTGTCGTTTCTGGCGGTAATCACCACAGATAGTCCGAAGACATTGTTGTGCAGGCCGTTCTGCAAGCCCCTGGGCAGGCTAAACCCAATTAAGTGCGTGCTTCGGACTCAGAAGCACGAGAGCTTTGTGACTGAGCGGTGAGTCATGGTTTATCGTGCGAGCTATTGGTATGTCAATGCACGCTGCATACATGTGATGGCCGAAATGCTACATGCATCGACGATCGTTTGGGGTCCTCAAGCAGGGTAAGTGCACTTTGTGCTACCTCATGCGATAACTAAATCATGCGAGGCGGGACGATAGGCGTAGTAAGGCAGCTTGGTATTGCTTGTAACGGTCAATGGAAAAGTCGGGCAAAAAAAAGATCGAGTTGGACTATTCTGTGAGACGTGCATTGCGTGGAGCGGTGATAAGCAGAATCGTGGTGGCGAGCGTCCCGGAGCCAAGGAATGGTGGGGTCATGGGCAACCGGGAACAGACATGTATCAGCCCTCTGCACCTCCCAACGTCCAATTGCCGCCCGCTAGGCACTTGCACGACCTGGGGCCTAGAAAGACCGTGGAGCACCTAACCCACTATTATTCGTCACCGACTTGGATTCGTTATCCTTCCGCTGCCCAGATTTCTCGGCATCCTTCTTGGCAGCTTTCCGCTTTGCCGTGGAACACATTACCCTCTCATACACAACGCGTGCCGCCCAGTCGTCATTCGAGGCGCTGACGTGATGCAGTCGGGGAGGGATGGAGCAGCTCACAGGCCGAAGTGCTTGACCCCGCGATGCGGTGTAACTTCAAGGGCGGGCTCTCAACGGGTAGCCGCATCCGGAGCTGCGCCTGCCAAGTCACCTTACGGGACTTGGCGCTGGTCATTCCTGAGCCTCTTGCAGCTCCTCTGTGCTTTTAGTCTGCCTTCTCCCACCTCCAACTCCCATTAGTTCTCTCACCTCCCCTACACATCTCTTCATCCCTCTCCTATCACGCGTGTGCGGCTCTCAATTGATGACGAAGAACAACCTCGAAAACGCCCTCGCCGGGCACGTCTCGGGACAGGCCAACAAGCCTTTGTCTCGTCCCGCCCATGCTTTGACCTATGCGACCGTCACCGCCGAGGTTGGCGCCAACTCAATTGATGGACTCACCACCGCCGAAGCTCAGAAGCGTATTCAAGAGTATGGCCGAAACGAGATCGGAGACGGTGGCGGAATCAACCCGGCGAAGATCCTGGCTCGCCAGGTCGTCAACGCAATGACTCTAGTTATGCGCACCATAGTCCATTGTGTTAAAGAAGAAGAAACGGCTGATCCAACTCCCAGGTGCTTGTCCTGGCCATGGCGGTCAGTTTTGCAATCAAGTCTTGGATTGAAGGTGGCGTCGTCGCAGCAATCGTGTGCCTGAATGGTATCACCTCCCCAACCATTCCACCCTCTTTGTTACTAGCTAACAGCTACGATTTAGTCGTCATCGGATTCCTTCAAGAATTCCAAGCCGAAAAGAACATGGACTCGCTCAGGTCTCTCAGCTCTCCCACGGCGAACGCAGTGAGGGATGGCAAGAATATCACCATCCCCACTGCCGAAATCGTTCCAGGCGACATGGTTGAAGTCAAGACAGGAGACACAGTTCCCGCCGACATTCGGTAAGCACCTTCCATCATTCTCATTCAACATGCAGCAATTAATCAGTGTGTAGCTTGATCGAAGCCGTCAACTTCGAGACAGACGAGGCGCTACTTACTGGGGAGTCTTTGCCTGTCAGGAAGGATGCCGAGGCTTGCTTCCCCGATGATACGGGCCCAGGCGACCGCTTGAACGTTGCTTTCAGCTCCTCGACTGTGACCAAAGGCAGAGCCAGGGGAATTGTCTTCGCCACAGGCATGTACACGGAGATAGGCACGATTGCCGCAGCTCTCCGGACCAAAGACAGCAAGCGCCGCCCTGTCAAGCGTAACTCGAGTGGCAAGGCTGGGCCTCACCGCTATGCCCAAGCGTATGCCCTGACGGGCTTTGATGCTCTTGGGAGGTTCCTTGGTGTCAATGTCGGCACTCCTTTACAGCAGAAGCTGTCCTGGCTGGCCATATTCTTGCTTGGCATCGCCATTGTCTGCGCCATCATCGTCGTTGCTGCTAATCGCTTCCGCAATGAGCAAGAAATCATCATCTATGCCGTGGGCACTGGTCTCTCGATGATCCCGGCTTCCTTGATAGTCGTCTTAACGATTACCATGGCAGCGGGAACGAAGAGAATGGTGGAGAGAAACGTCATCGTCCGGAACCTCAAATCGCTTGAAGCGCTTGGAGCCGTGACCGATATCTGCTCGGATAAGACAGGCACACTCACCCAAGGCAAAATGGTGGCCAAGAAGGCGTGGATTCCATCGAGGGGTACCATATCTTGCGGAGAGTCCAGCCATCCGTACGACCCAACCGACGGCATGCTTTTCTGCAAAACCAAACAGCCACGCGATATCAAGCCGGACGAAGACGAGAGCATCGAGGACGCATCTACCTACGAGAAGCTTTTGCATCAGAACCCGAACTTGATGGAGTTTCTCAAGGTATCCACCTTGGCAAATCTCGCACACGTCCACCAAGGCGACGATGGGTCGTGGCACGCAAGAGGTGATCCAACGGAGATTGCGCTGCAGGTATTCGCATCTCGCTTTCAACTGAACAGGACCCGTTTCACGTCCGGCGATGTCCCAGCCTGGAAGCAGATCGCCGAATATCCGTTTGATTCCTCCATCAAGAAGATGTCGGTCATCTTCGAGGAGCACCAGACTGGAAAGAGATACGTTTTCACCAAAGGCGCCGTGGAACGAATCATTGACAGTTGCACGGACATCTACCTGGACGACATTGAAGCTGTCCCCGTCACTTCCGAGATCAAGGACAACATCATTGCGAATATGGAGGCTCTCGCTTCTCTTGGACTTCGTGTCCTGGCACTGGCATCCCGGGAGTTCACCGGCGAGATCCAGGAAGGCGATGAGCAGGCCCGCTCCGAGGCTGAGAACGGCTTAACCTTCCGCGGATTAGTTGGGATCTACGACCCGCCTAGACCCGAATCCGCACCTTCAGTCAGACAGTGCCAGGAAGCCGGTATCGTTGTGCACATGCTCACGGGCGACCATCCCGGTACAGCCTCTGCGATTGCGGCAGAAGTTGGGATTTTACCCTCTCGCATGGATACTTTCAGCAAGGAAATGACAGACGCGATGGTAATGACGGCTGCCCAATTCGACAAGCTCTCCGACGACGAAATCGATCAACTTCCGGTTCTTCCATTGGTTATCGCCCGCTGCTCCCCAACTACGAAAGTCCGCATGATTGAGGCTCTTCACCGTCGTAAGAAATTCGCTGCGATGTAAGCACGGACCACCCCCAAACGATGACCACCACCCCTACCCCCACCACCACCACCACCACACCACTGCATTACACCACCCATCCGCCCATAACAGTAAGCTCTAAATTAGTATATACTAACGTGCGAAGGACTGGCGATGGCGTAAACGACTCCCCGAGTTTGAAGAGAGCGGACGTTGGTATCGCCATGGGCCAAGCTGGAAGCGATGTCGCAAAGGACGCTTCAGATATCGTTTTGACAGACGATAACTTCGCTTCTATTCTCAATGCCATCGAAGAAGGCCGTCGGATGTTTGATAACATTCAAAAGTTCATTTTGCATCTCCTGGCTGAAAACGTGGCGCAGGCCGTTGTCCTTTTGGTCGGACTCGCTTTCAAGGACAGCCGCAGCCTCTCCGTCTATCCTCTGGCCCCTGTGCAGATCATGTGGGTCATCATGATCACTAGTATGTCCATCCCCGTCTTTAATAATACCCTAAACACAATCACCGTCTTCAAAAATACCCCAAACACACTCACCGTCTTTAAAATACCCCAAATACCCTAGAACCGTTACTAGGTAGAGCGATGACTAACGTATTAAACCAAATTATCAGGTGGAATGCCGGATATGGGCCTGGGCTTCGAAAAAGCATGTGCAGGCATCATGGAAAGACCGCCCCAGGATCTCAAGACCGGAGTCTTCACCCCTGAATTACTTGTGGACATGATTGTCTACGGGCTCTGGATTTCCGTCCTGTGCCTCGGGAGCTTCTCTCTTGTGCTATGGGGCTTCGGAGATGGTAGCCTCGGCGAAAATTGCAACAACAGCTACAGCAACAGCATGGGGGAGCCCATTTGCGACACCGTCTTCCGCGCACGCGCCACCACCTTCGCCTGCTTGACCTGGTTCGCACTCTTCCTTGCCTGGGAGATGGTAGACATGCGCCGCAGCTTCTTCCGCATGCAACCAAACAGCAAGCGCTATTTCACCCAGTGGGCCCACGACGTCTGGCGCAACAAATTCCTTTTCTGGGCAATTATTGCGGGCTTCGTTACCATATTCCCTACGCTATACATCCCGGTCATCAATCACGACGTCTTCAGGCACGAAGGCATCTCGTGGGAATGGGGTATTGTCTTCATCGCCGCGATCCTCTTCTTCGCGGGCGTCGAAGCGTGGAAATGGGCCAAGCGCGTCTACTTCCGCCGCAAAGAGGCAAAGGCAATGAAGTCTGGGCTACCACTGTCGCAGCAGACAACCCAGGCTTGCGACCCGGAGATGAAGATCTTCGCTCAGTACGGTCTTCCGCTCACCAATGCACTCACAGGCGACACTGCGCTGAGCAGTGAAAGAAGGCTTAGCAAAGCGGTTTCGTCAGATACCGAGGGTGTGAAGAGCCAATAACGAGAGCTAGCCGCTGCTGAGAAGCGGCGGCCTCGTGCTCTTCCCGGGCCGAGACTATGGGGGGCTTCTGACGTTTGGTGAGCAGACGTCGAAGCGAGTGTGGTGGTGATGGTGCAGCCCAGCACGGGCAGAACATCTTGCCTTCTGAGCTCACCATCAAAGTACTCTTCTGAAGAGTGCTCAAAAGTGGAATACTTTCTTATCTCTGTATCCCTTCTGTCTTCCTTTTGAGGGAAACTGGGTTCGATGAGGAGCCCGAAAAAAGAACAACAAAATTTGGGTGGGAGAGACTTGTCTCTCAAGACGTGGAAATTGATGAAGGCGCTCAACTCGCTCCTCCTGAGGTATAGTATTTACCCCAACGTGGCCTTCCATCAACTGGTGTGGCCGTCCGCTCCTTTTTCCCTTTACGTTCTTACACGACTCTTGTTCTACTATGCTATTCGACACAGTGCGTCTCTCGTCAGGGGGTTGCTGCTTAAGTATCAAGATTGAGCTGCTTGCTCAGACGAGTAACACCAAGGACATAGATAGTTGATATTACAAATTGCAAATATTTCTCCAATTATTGCTGCTGTTGACTGGATTGCGGTTGGATTTGCTGTGCTTACTCATGGTCTGGAGCCATGGAAATTGCGTGAAAGACCCGCCCTGTACGTATAATGACTATGCCATAGCGTTCGACAGGGGAATGCTAGTTGAATACTAGCGTGAAGTGCTTTTTTGATCATGTCATGGGTAGTTGAAGCTATCGTCCGGACGTGGATGTATAATTTCTAATTCGACATTTACGTCCGGACGGCAGCTTCAACTACCCACATCTGTTTTTTTTTTCCGTAAGGCAAATTGCTTAAGGTGGCTCTCTACGAAGAAGCTTCTGCAAATCAGGGTGATCAGCTGCGAAAATGCTGATATCTTCAGTGCGTCCGACTCAAACATCGACCTGGTACATACATTTCCAGTGCCAACACTCCACAGAGGAGAAGAGGAATGGTACCATTCACGTTTGCTTAGGTTGCCTCTTTACTATCCGGTACGAAGCCATGGTGGCTGTTCAGAACAGACTTCTCTGCCCATTCTGCGCGTAGGGTGGCAGCAGTGACTAACTGAGTGACGCTGATCGTGGATCAAAGGTCTATTCACTTCTCACTAATGCTGTTGAAAATGACAGAAGAAGGCTGGGTCTCGAGACATCGAGCTCTCGCAGAACGTCGCTATGGAACTCTTTGGGCCAGTCAAGCCCGTCCGTATCGCTGAGGGCAGGTGATGTTCCTGCGCTTCACATGTTATTATTTCGCACTTCTGCTGCAAGTGCGTATAAAAAGACGACATCTCACAGCTTCGAGGCTTAAACCTCAGAAAGACTCTCCGTAGATCTGCGAATGCGGAGTCCTAAACTATTGATGGAGATATCTACTGTTGGTCTTCTCGTGTCTGTAAGTCTGACGATTCTGTTAATGAATGTACTGAGCCTCACTACTTCATCATTACGTGCGTTTGATGCATCGCTGCATCAAAGACAAATGATTCGGCAAAGTATTCGACAGAAATTTAGATACTGTACACTAATGGAAAATGCACATATTCAGTGACTGGCTGGAATGCGAGTGCAGGAAGGAGTCAATTCTTCAACTCAGCTCCACACCCCCCGCTATTGCTCACGGCAAGGGAGTAGGACGTCAAGGCAGTATGCCATGAACATCCGGCTTGTCAACACAATCTCGAAGTTGAAATGACTGGTGTTGGTATTGAAAGTCGGAGTGTTATAAGGAAAGTTCTTTTATATAGCTAGACTGTTAGCAGCAACTGACCTACTTTACCACGTGTGAAGGCTCAAAATCGTCGAATCATCGATTTCTGTAGGCTTGATTGACCGCATGACAACAGAGTTGCATCGTGTGAACAGACATATGCTTTTGAAATCCTGTCGAACATTCACGTTCACTCCAACGTCTCGTCTGTGGCTGCCTTCAGCACTGGAAGATTCGGCCATAGCCCTCCTACGGCTCACAAAGCTTCAATATATCAAATGACCGAAGTTTTTTCTCGCATTATTTCACATACAGTCGTCCTCCTTTGGCCTGTTCCACATGATCCTCGACTCCGCGCAATACCACCATGACTTCATCCCAGCAAACCACTGCAAGGCCACACAACCACTACCAACTCACACCCAGCACCATCACCCAACGACCTCATCACCCGCACATACACCTCACCCTCAATCCCTCATCAAATTCTGCCCCAACCACCACCACTCCCACCACCCTTCCCACTTCCCAACCAACGGATCCCGCCACTGCTGCGGACACGGCACATCGGCGGGCCACATCTCCCACTCCTCCATATCCGGCCACACGCGATTCCACACCGTCATCGCGCCCGCCGCCACCATCAAGTACGGAAACAGCGTCGTGACGGACGGCGTGTAAGCCAGAGGGTCAGCCAAGAAGCTCTTGACCCAGCCCCACACCACCGCCACAACGCCCTGATCCTGTCTCTCAGCAGCCGAAACCGAAGCCGACGACGACGACGACGGCGACGACCCGGACCCCGTGGCCGTCGGCGGCTCCAGCAACGCCTGCTGCGCCGCCAGCGCCTCCTTCTCCCACAGCCGGCGCCCGCGCAGCGCCGAGCGGACGGCGTGCAGCATGAACACGGCGAAGACGAGGCGGCCGCCCACCTCGCTGAAGTAGTAGCCGCCGCGCAGCGCTGGCAGCGGGATGGCGCCGAACGAGTCGTAGTTGGCGACGACGGCACGGAGCGGGATGGGCGGCACGGTGCCGAAGTCGGTGAAGATGAGGAGCGCCGAGAGGGCTTCCGAGTAGAAGATTTGGCGGAATTGCTGGAGGTAGGTGAAGAGTGAGGGGGCGTAGCGGGGCGCGTAGAGGGTGGGCGAGGCGCTGTCGCGGCAGAAGAGGATGGTGTGGTGGAGGGTGGTTTTGCGGTAGGTGGGGGGCAGGGGTGGGACCGGGTCGGTGAAGAGGCGGAGGGGTGTGAGGGGGGTGTGGGGGAGGGAGAGCAGGACGAGGAGGATGCCGGATATGGAGAGTTGGAGGGCGATGTAGTCGGCGTTGATGAGGGAGTCGGGGTTGCGTGAGAGGCGCCGGATGAAAAGCCTGATGCCGAAAACGCAGTAGGAAAGCTGAAGGATAAGACTGGCGAATTGGAGAATGAGACCAAGTGTCTTTGCAGTACCAAGGATGGTTGAGAACTCGTTTGGTTGAGTGCTTGTTGGTGGAGAGGATGTCTTCTTTTCTTGGGACGAAAGAGAGTTATCCGTGGATTCAGTGGTTGGGGTAGATGGTACGCGACCGAAAAGGACGCGTAGAGGGAGATAAATGTTGAAGGGGTGCTCCTCCGACTTCAACTTTGATTTGATGTAGTGGAAAAATATCGTGAGCATGGCGAAGACATGCTGAAAGACCACCGTAAGAGGGGAGAAAGGAAAGAAGAAAGGCCTCCAGTCCAGGACGGATTCTCCGCGGATCCAGAGAAGGTGGAAATAAGAAAGAGTGCCGGTAAAATAGAGAGTAGCAAGTTGCATAAGCACATCGTCATATGTCCTCATCCAGGCATGTCTGGCGCAGCCGTTGACTGGGATGAAAGAATCATCAGTGACCAATCCGCTGGCCAAGGCACCTCGCTTCATGATGGTGGAATTAACGAATGACAGGAAAGAGAGGGCGTCGGTGGACTGGACCTCGAGAGGAGCAAGGACCTGACACTTTATAAGTCTAGACTGGGGCGAAGTTTACCTGTCACGCCTCGGCGATGGCATCGGTGACTCCGCCGGCAAAATGTATTCCTTCAACGCCACGAGCTATTCTTAGACCCGTATAGAAAGGTTTGGCACCACGATGTCAACGATGTAACGATCTTGCATATATATTGCGAGATAAGCGAGGGTACCTAGATCCTCAACACTGCGCAAGTGGAAATATCGCCAGAGAAGCACGGCAGGGAATTCGGTGCTCGCGTGAAAGCATCTTATGCCCAGTTGCTGAGACCGCGCAAGGCATAGCGTCTATGTTGTAAGTTAGGTCTGTTTCAAGTGAAAGGTTGATGATAAGGGCGGTGGTGCGGGCGAGAGTAGCGTGACAGGGCGGAAGTGACGTGGGCGGCAAGCGTTGGGCACTCGAGCTCGGGCGGTGACAGCAACGCGAGTTTGCGCCCGCAACGCGTCTCTCGCGACCGAAGCTTCACACAACCTCCCCACACACCACAATGCCTAGGTACGTTAGCTCCAGGACCCCACAACGCCCCCAAAGCATGCGCTGATCCTATCGCAGAGAGATCATAACCCTCCAGGCTGGCCAGTGCGGCAACAGCGGTGCGTTTGCTCACCTCCGCCCATCTCCCCGCAGCTCTCCACCGCACTATTCCGAGTCGCGCATACGATGAACATAGAGCTCAAACACTAACTCCTGTACAGTTGGCAGCCAATTCTGGCAGCAGCTGTGCCAGGAGCACGGCATCAACCAAGACGGCAACCTCGAAGACTTCGCGACTGAGGGCGGTGACAGGAAGGATGTCTTCTTCTACCAGGCAAGTTCCTACACCAACCTCACTGACATGGCAACTAGCTACGATTCTAACAGGCCTCCCAGTCCGACGACACTCGCTACATCCCGCGCGCCATTCTCCTCGATCTCGAGCCTCGTGTACGTGGAATAGAAGCTCCGCATCCTTGAACAACACCAACTTACGCGCGCGCTACAGGTCATCAACAGCATTCTGAGCGGACCCTACAAGAACATCTACAACCCCGAGAACTTCTACGTGCACAAGGATGGTACTGGCGCTGGCAACAACTGGGCGGCAGGCTACGCCATGGGCGAGTCGGTGAACGAGGAAGTCATGGACATGATTGACCGCGAGGCTGACGGTAGCGACTCGCTGGAGGGCTTTATGCTGCTACACTCGATCGCAGGTGGTACTGGCTCCGGTCTGGGATCCTTCCTGCTCGAGCGCCTGAACGACCGCTTCCCCAAGAAGCTGATCCAGACGTATTCGGTCTTCCCGGACACGCAGAACGCGGGTGACGTTGTGGTTCAGCCGTACAACAGCTTGCTGTCTATGCGCCGCCTGACGCAGAATGCCGACTCCGTCGTCGTGCTGGACAACGGCGCTCTCTCGCGCATCGCCGCCAACACGCTTCACGTTCAGGAGCCTTCCTTCCAGCAGACGAACCAGCTCGTCTCGACTGTCATGTCCGCTTCGACGACGACGCTCCGCTACCCTGGCTACATGCACAACGACTTGGTCGGAATCGTCGCCTCTCTGATCCCCACGCCGCGCTGCCACTTCCTCATGACCTCGTACACGCCCTTCACCGGTGACCAGGTCGAGTCGGCCAAGACGGTGCGCAAGACGACCGTGCTCGAGGTCATGCGCCGTCTGCTGCAGCCCAAGAACCGCATGGTGTCGACCAACCCGTCCAAGACGTCGTGCTACATCTCCATCCTCAACATCATCCAGGGCGAGGCCGACCCCACCGACGTGCACAAGTCACTGCTGCGTATCCGCGAGCGCAAACTGGCCACCTTCATTCCCTGGGGCCCGGCCTCCATCCAGGTCGCCCTCACCCGCAAGTCCCCTTACGTCCAGAGCTCCCACCGCGTCTCCGGTCTCATGCTCGCCAACCATACCGGCGTCGCCACCCTGTTCAAGCGCATCCTCTTCCAGTACGACCGCCTGCGCAAGCGCAATGCCTTCCTCGAGCAGTACAAGCGTGAGGCTCCCTTCGCCGACGGCCTGTCCGAGTTCGACGAGGCAAAGGCCGTTGTCCAGGACCTGATCGCCGAGTACGAGGACGCGGAGCAGCCCGACTACCTCAGCAAGGAAGGTAAGGAGGGCGGCGAGGCCGGTGGTGTGGGTGCGTAATGATGACGATGATGATGGATTCCCCTCACCGAAGGAGTACCTATTTTGGGGAAAGGAGGCTTTAACGTGCTTGTACGTGACACTGAAACTTGCATGGTGCTTGGCGTTTTATAAACCACCTGGAAATACATGGGTGGAGGGTTAGGATTCTCTTATTCGATAACCAAAGGAAGTAAGAAACATTTGGGAGAAAGGGGGCGGCGGGGAAGCTATGATACCGGCTTTGTCTCACTTTTCAATTTCTTTTCTACAATTCTTCTATTGCCATAAGCTTTTTTTTTCTCTCTTCTCCGCTTTGGGCCGGCTTGATTTCAGGATATGATCAAACGAAAAGCCGAGAAATGAGACAACAATACGTAGTAGTACGAGAAAGATATCCATGTCCTAAAACGTTTTGAAAGATTTGGTTTCCGTGATGTGGTGATGACTGTTGGAGTCGACCATGCTCTATTTCCATACTCCTGCCGAGCCACTTGCCTATGCATCTGAGCGCTTACTTCCCTCCCAAAGAAATGGATGCCATCTTATCTTCGTTCTGTTCTGCTACATTCCCTTTACTGCCTGGGGTACCGACGACAAGAGAAGGGGGAAAAAGAAAGTGAAAGTGACAACCACATCTAGTACCCGGACCGCAGTCCGTATTCGACATTCTCATCCAATCCCATACCCTTCGCGATCTTCTTGATCAGCGCCTTCTTCAGGAACTGCTCACGAGCCAGACTCCTCGTTTGCTACATTAAAACCACGGTGTCAGCACACATCCAAAAGAAGGGAGAGCAAGGGATAAGAAAATAAACATACCTTAACAAACACCTCGGCCCCCACCCTCCCGCGATCCAATCCACGGCCAAGCAAGAAAATCGCCTCCTCAAGCCCCCTCTCCTCCGCCACCAAGCCCCAAAGCTGACCACCGACGACGGTAGGCGCGACGAGCGTGTCGTCGACGTCAGGCACGGTGCGGGTGCGAGCGTCGTCCATGGCGCGGTCGGCCTCGCGCATGGCGTCGGCTAGCACGCGCTCGTTGGACGCTAGCGCCGCGTCGAGCCGCTGCAGCTGGTCGAGCTCCTGCTGCAGGCGCGCGTGGGCGGCCCGCAGCGCGGCGCCCTGCGCGCGCAGGGCCGGGACGGCGGCGATGTTGCCTTGGACAGTCTGCGTCGTCTGCGCGACGAGGGCGCTGGAGAGGGCCGAGAGGAGCGCGTCCTTTTGCGGGTTGGGCGGCACGGGGGGCACGGGGAGCGGGATGTCGGACGAGGTTTGGGACGGGAGTTGGACGTCGAGCTCGGAGGTGAGCAGGTCGGGGACGGGGGGTTTGGGTTGGGGTGGTTGTTGTGGGGGTGGTTGTGCGAATTGAGGGCCGGATGGGGGTGTGGGCATGTATGGCGGTTGCTGTTGCGGGTATTGCTGATACTGAGGAGCAGGTGGCGGGTATGTCGATTGGGGATATTGGTTGGGTGGAGGACTGGAATACTGCGGGAGGCCAGGAGGTGCTTGGTAGCCGGGTGCTTGCTGCTGCTGTTGTGGTGGCAAAGGAGGCGGCTGTGAGTACCTGGATGGAGGTGGTCCAGGCATTCCACCGGGAGTTATGGGACTGACTGGACTATCACGTCCATATGGCTGAGCTTGAAAAGGAGGTCGTAGCGGCAGAGCTGCTGGGTCCTGCGGCGTTGGAGGGAGAGGTCGATCGGTTAAACTCGCCTGCCTTTGTGGTGGTATACTGTGCGGGGGAGGTCTGCCATAGTCAGGATGACCACCGGCCTGGCCCACTGCAGGTGGTATGGGGGGCCGAGGAGGGCCTTGCTGCTGATGTTGTTGCCCATATCCGTTAGGATGAGGGCTACCATTCACTGCACCCGTATCCTTTGGTGGCTTAGGAGGAGGAGGCGGCGCCTGATCAGAGGTAGGGGCTGGTGATGCTGTAGGTGGCGGCTGCATCTGCCTTCTCCACTCTTCCGGCGGAGGAGGAACTGGAGGCGGTGCTGGACTTGCTGTCGGTTGGGGAGAGCCAAATTGGTCTTGCTTCGCGACGACCGGTGGCTCTTTTGCAAAGACACCACGGAGGACGGTAAGGAAGTCTGATATGGATGATTTCTACCATCAATGTCAGCATACTCTCAAGTACAAGATTCGTGCCAAGCTCAGGCAGCCCTGGTATGGAGCTTAGGAGAGCTCTAGCAGAATGCTTCCAGCACCTCAGCCACGCCGTGGCTTTATGCCCCCGTGAATCGTTTCCGTTCGGCGTACTCACATCCCAGTAACTCGCCCATCCACTCAAGTATGGATGATATACTCTTCCTTCACCGCTAACATGTTGCCCCGGCCTAACCAGCATATCCTGTGTCGGTGTGACATAAACCATCGGAGGCTCGCGCGGGTAGTCATGAGGGACCCAAAGCGCTATCGGAAACCGGTATATTGCGCCACGAAACTGGACGGGCAGGGTGCCACTGAGAAGGAGCAGAAGGGCGGGGACGCCATTTTCGTAGGCTGCGACGACGGCGAAAACGACATTGATTAGCGGGTGGACGGCGGGCGCATTCAAAGAGATGAAAGCTCTACGAGGATATTCTGTATGGAAAGCGGGGGGCGCGAGCGGATGCAGGAAGGCGCATACTGTAAACGTCTGTTCGTGGGGACAGCGACGGGTACTGCGCGAGAGCTTCGGCGGCGTCGTTGTATGTGCGGTTCACGTCCGAGTATTCCTGTACAGGCGCGCTGAGGATTAGAGAGGAGCTGAAAGACTAAGATGGGGGCAGTACATTAGTCAGAACGCTGTAGAGCCAGTTCAGGACGCGGTCGTTGACCGGCGGCATATTGGTAGGTGGTGATGCGGGAAGAGCACGTCAGATCGCGCATGGATAGGTGCCCGGCACCCAAACCCCACACCGACGCGGCACTGCCGCGGCGGCAACCACGACCCCTGCTATCAACACCACCCAGGCTCGCCCCATGTCGTCATGCATATTTATACAAGTCACACGTCATTTGAGAGTTCTTTACACATCGGAACGTCAGATATGTGTATTCCGGAGGATATCAAGCATCTCACTATAACTAGCTATAATACAACACTGCCCATACGTTTAGGACAGTTTAGCCGCCCATATGTCCGCCCAGAACGCCGCATTCATAATTGCTTCATTACTCCTCAATCGCATATTAAGAAAATTAGTGCTGGCTCCACTCAATCGTGTTGAGGTCAATACCCTCCTGAACGAGCTCCCACAGAGGGCTCAATTCCCTCAGGAAGTTGACGCGCTCTCTAACCGCATTCAGGACGTAGTCAATTTCACTGTCGGTGGTGAAGCGGCCAATGCCGAAACGGATACTGCTGTGAGCGCTCTCATCACTGCTGCCGAGCGCTCTGAGGACGTAGCTAGGCTCGAGGGATGCGGAGGTGCAGGCACTACCAGAAGAAAGGGCGATATCCTTGAGAGCCATCAGGAGAGACTCGCCTTCGACGTACGCAAACGAGATGTTGACACAGCCAGGGTAGTGGCGCGTAGGATCACCGTTCAAAGTAGTGTGCTCCATGCCAAGGAGGCCATCTCTGAGCTTCTGGGAGAGCGCAGCGATGCGCTTGCTGTCATACTATTGCCAAAGTCAGCAATTGAACTAGACTTTAGATGAAACGAATAAAATATTGTTTCTTCCAGTCATAACCCCTGCTGTGTATCAACACCGCAGACGAGGTACGATGCAAGCACCGTAGACACCCCCGAAAAGCTTCAGAAAGCCATGCATGTATAAAAGCAAATAATCATATGAGGAAAAGAGAATTAAGAGAGGGATTGAAGCTTACCTCCATTTCCTGCTTGCAGAGACGCGCGGCCTCACCAAGACCAATGGCGAGAGGAGGAGCGAGAGTACCACTCCTCAAACCGCGCTCCTGACCACCGCCAGAAATGATGGGCTCGAGCCTAACCCTAGGCCGTCTCCGAACATAGCAAGCTCCAATACCCTTGGGGCCATAGATCTTGTGACCAGAGATGGACATGAGGTCAATGTTCGACTTGTTGACATCGAGAGGAATCTTGCCAACCGCCTGAGCGGCATCGGTGTGGAAGAAAATCTTCTTCGACCGGCACAGCTTTCCAATCTCGTCAATCGGCTGGACGACACCAATCTCGTTGTTCACAGTCATGATGCTGACCAGCATGGTGTCCGGCCTGATGGCCTTCTCCAGCTGCTCCATGTCAATCAAACCATTGGGCTGAACAGGGAGGTAGGTGACGTCAAGGCCCTCCTCCTGCAAGTGGCGACAGCTGTCCAAAACGCACTTGTGCTCCGTCTGGCAGGTGATGATGTGCTTCTTCTTTCCCGACTTCTTGAAGAACCGCGCGACACCTTTGATGCTCATGTTGTTGCTCTCGGTGGCTCCGCTGGTGAAGATGATCTCCTTGGGATCGGCGCCGATGAGACTGGCGAGGTGGGCCCTCGCCTGCTCGACTGCCTTCTCCGTCTCCCATCCGTAGGCGTGTGTCCGCGAGTGCGGGTTGCCATACAGACCGGTGTAGAAAGGGAGCATGGCATCAAGGACGCGCGGGTCCATCGGAGTGGTGGCCTGCATGTCGAGGTAGATGGGGCGAGAACCGGCGTCCATGACAGTTGCCTGCTTGAGGATGCCGGCATTGGGGCTCATCATCGCGTCGGCGCCCATACCCGTCGTCGGCATCGTGGCATCCTTCGGCTGCAGGCCGCTCTCACGCACGAAGTTCTTCTGCTCGGCCTTGATGGCAGCATCGACGTTGACGGTGGCATTCTGCGGCTTGGTCTCATGGACGTAGCTGCGGCGGGGCGCGAGGGAGGCGGCACGCAGCGACGAGCGCGGCAGAGCGCTGTGCGACGCGCGGCGGGCGCTGAGCGAGAGGGCCTGCCTCGCAGCGCGGGGTGCGAAGGTCGACATTTTGAAAAAGTGGGAGAAAAGTCGATGGGGTTGAAGAGGGCAGGCAAATAAGAGCTTGAGGAAGCGAGAATCTGATAAGTCGTGGCGCACACGGAACGCGGTGTGTCATGTGCGTGGCGCTCAGTTGCCGGCCATCCGAATGCAGTTGCGCCAAGCCCAACTGGCGATGGGTCGCGTTGGGTCGCTTCGCGGACTGCGGCATCTAGCGATTCCGAGCAGTCCGGCGGCCGCGGGCTTCTTGTGCCTTCCATGCTCGCTGTGCTGCGGTATCCTCAGGCCGCCTCCTGTGTGCGCCCGCTGCCCGATCTTGCTGCCTGTGAGTGGTCCGCCTGTCACTCCCCCCCGGCCAGATTTGCACTGGGGAGCACTACATCATAAGCCGCAAGCGATTCCCAAGGGCACAGCCCGGACTTGGCGCCCGAGCCACACCGTCGTCATCGCCGCCTTTGGCTCGCTCTAATACCCTGCCGGCGCCGTCCTCAGTATCCACCAACACCACCCACGCCCGCGCCCTGAGTCGCTTCTGCCTTTCAGAATTCCGCTTGCGCCGGTCTCTCCCCTCGCCTACGTCTCGCTTCTATCTCCGTCGCAGCCATGAGTTGGAAAGGCTTTACCAAGGGCATCACACGCGTAAGCAAGCTCAGGCAGAGCCCGGCGAATGATTATCGGTGCCTGACATGTCTCTCTTCTCTAGGCCCCTCAACAGGTCAAAGCAAAATTCAATCTCGTGAGTCCTGCCACCGCGCCGGCCGCCCTCAGCGCTACCGCGAGCTGCCGCGCGCATACAAGGTCCGCGCATAGCTGACGAGGGGCTCCATTGCGCAGGGCGAAGTCTCAAAAGATGCCGTATACATCGATGCCGAACGGCGCTTCGAGGAGCTAGAAAAGGAAACGAAGAAGCTGCACGATGAGTCCAAGAAGTAAACATGGCCCTACAGTCTGTGCCGGCGCTATACTGACGTGTGCAGGTACTTTGACGCCATCAATGGTACTGTCGCTTCCACCGCGGCTTCAGCTGAGCGCATTACTGACCCTGCCCTACAGGCATGCTGAGCCACCAGATCGAGTTCTCCAAAGCCATCCAAGAAATCTACAAGCCCATTTCCGGTCGCATGTCGGACCCCGACTCGTTCATATCAGAAGGCAACCCCGAAGGCATCCGCGCATGTGAGGAATATGAGGCTATCGTGAAGGACCTGCAGGAGCAGCTCGCCCCCGAGCTGGAGATGATTGAGACGCGTGTGATCAGGCCGGCCGACGAGCTTATGGAGATAATCAAGGTTATCCGGAAGCTTGCTGTCAAGAGAGATCACAAGCAGCTCGACTATGATCGCCACCGGGCCACCCTCAAGAAGCTGCAGGAAAAGAAGGACAGATCCCTCAAGGATGAGAAGGCACTCTACAGGGCAGAGAACGACGTGGAGCTGGCAACGCAGGAATACAACTACTTCAACGACCTGCTCAAGGACGAGCTGCCCAAGCTCTTTGCCCTAGAGCGGGAGTTCATCAAGCCGCTCTTTCAGTCATTCTACTACATGCAGCTTAACGTTTTCTACACCTTGCACGAAAAGATGCAGAATATGGACATTGGATATTTCAACCTCCAGCTGGACATCGAGGCTGGCTTTGAGGAGAAGCGGGGCGACATCAAGGAGCAGGCGGAGGCTCTCGCAATCACAAAGTTCAAGACAACCGGCGGAGTCAGGCGGCCGCCGGCACTCAAGTACGGCCAGCAGAAGCAGCTTGCCATCGAGGGCAACACCTCGTCGCCAAGCCGCCGTCTCACGATGGACTCCGCAGACACTCAGGCACCGCCCCCGTACAGCAGCGCGCTGGCCTCACCCACCGTCGCGAACAGCCTCAGCGCCGGTGGCACCGACATCAAGCGTTCTGCCAGCACCGGCAGCAACTGGGGTGCTCTGGCCAAGTCCAAGGGCGCCGCCCCTCCGCCCCCGAAGCCCAAGCCCGCTCGTTTCAGCGGCGCCCCTGCAGTAGAAACATGTACCGCACTGTACGATTACGAGGCACAGGCAGAGGGAGATCTCAGCTTCACGACCGGCGAGGTCATCGAAATCGTGAGCAGAACGCAGAGCGAGAACGAGTGGTGGACAGGAAAGGTGAACGGACGGCAGGGGCAGTTCCCAGGTGAGTTATGCAAGGAACTGAATCATTCGCGTCGAGGACACGATTCACTGACGACCCTTCTAGGCAACTATGTACGCTTGAACTCTTAGACTAGCTAGATCGGAGACTTTTGGCGGTGACTCGGGGCGTTTTCTGGTTCATTGTTCTTCCCCCTTTGCGCTTTACCCTCAGCGTTCCACTGTGTTCAGCGAACAGGAGGCTTGTCATGTGAGCCGACGGCTGACTGCTTTTTCTTGTTATCCCTTTCTTCGTTAACCCCCGTCATTTCTGTTGCCAAGAGAGTAATCCCCCATTCCACTATACCAAGGATTCTTAGGTAACGCACTTGGGTAGTTCAAAAGGCAGTGGCTGCATATATCACGTGGAAGCAGTATATGGTACATTCTTCTGAAAAAGTGCATGTCCAGCGTGTCTTCATTCCGGCGGCGGAAATTCGGCGCAGAGCCAGCTGAGGGGGAGGGGCTGCGGTGCAAGTGCGCAAACTCCCAATAAAGGCCCAGATGCGATGTACAGGTGATCGACAGGCCACCCCTGGAGCAGGTGTCAGTGCTTCTATGACGCCAGCGCTCCGACACCTGACCTCGCATAATGAGCTACAGCGGCTCTTTAAAAGCCTTTTCGGTCAGCGCCAGACTTCTTGCTTTATCGCAATGTGGTCCTTCGGCCACGCTTCATATCCAAAGATGAAAGGACGCGAAGGATTGGACTCGTCCTGTGTGCTGTGTGCTGTGTGCATGAGATTCTCAAGTCAGCTACGTTAAATCGTTGACCCCCAAGAAGCAAGAGTTTGTCCACGTTGATTCATGTTGATGAGCTTCATCAGCATATCACGATGGTGCAGATATGGATGATTAATTATGAAGAACACGATTACTTTGAAATCCAGGTCCGTAAAAATCACCTTATGAAGCAATTGCCGGATCAGCGAGGCACAAGAAATCGGAAGCCAAGGTGTGCCATGGGCCCAGCGAAGACGCAAGTGCCACCAGTTTCATATATATCCCTAGCATTCGCCGCCCTGGGCGTGAAATGAATTGTGGAAGGAGAGAGCGAAAGTTCAGCACATAAATATTTCTACTGTAGCAGCTCAACGCACGTGCTATCTAGCTAGTATGATTGGTGATTGTATGATGCTATTGTAATCCGGTCGACGTTCACATGACCCAAGCTTGAAACTTGGGGTGGCGGTCCCTTAGTGAAATCTGATATCGCACTACCTGTCAGTAGTGTCCTCAGCGTTGTACTCATTCTGCCCAGTGTGTGCAAGGGATTGAGCAGATAAAAAACACACCAGTGTTGTTTCTTTCAAAATCCACACGATGAAGAAGAGTTGAAGATTTTACGTGTCATGGTTTCCTTCTTACAGCTGCTTGCAACAGAGCCTTTATATAATGACGGATATTGAAGTGAAATGACAGCGTGGATAATGAAAATGAGCCGATACTAAGGACGAGCGCTTCCAAATAACTCCACTTCCCTGTTGTAGCTCTTGGGTCTTCGAGTGTTGTGTTTCAAAGCTCACCAAAAACGGAATCCATGAAAGCAATACGTTGTGACCAGTACTAGTTAACCTCGTAAACAAAAATGAGTTCCCTCAGTAACATCTCTGCTTTGCACCATCATTTCAATGATATGATACCACCAACGGATCGCCCTCACTTTTGAGCAGAGCATATTCACGAATATGTTAATCGAAACTAGAGTTCCAGCATAGGAGAAAAGTATTGACAGCGATGAAAAAAGAAATAGGATTCCGAACAGTATATAACAGTCAGCGGTGATACAGTACTACCAAACAAGTCAATCCAAGCCTGATCGGGAAGAAGCAGTGTCTTGATGACATCAAAAGAAGCAGACCGAGTATTCGGAGCAAGCGCAAGCGCAAGCGAACACTCGGCAAGCCGCAGGCTTCGTGTCAAAGCATGTCCGGCAGACTATTTGTCAAATGAATCCACATAGTAATAGAGAATATGAATAAATAAGAAAAGCGGAGATTTTATCCACACACTATCTTCACAGTGGTTGATCCAAGCCGTTAAACCAGAGCTCACACTGGACGAGACGAGGTAATACAAGCAGCCCAGCTCTCGACATCTTGAATATAACAGTTTTTTTTGTTTTCCTGCTATATTGACAAGATATCTTGTTTAAACGGCCGTGATGTAGTGAAGGCTTTCGAGCCTGTAGGGGTACTCTCACTTACCATATAAAGAACAAGAAGGGGCGAAGCCTGCACGCTCACGCTCGAAGCGTAAGTGATTAAATTTCGTTGTCATGACCCACATGCACAATGAGATGCCGTAATAATTATATTGAACACGACCAATTGATGAAGCCACACGATTCTGCGTCTTTCAATTGAGCGGCCGAATGCTCAGATTAAGCAAATTTCGTCATGAAGAACTGGCATAATTGGAGGAAAAGAAAAGGAATTTTACAGCTGGCTTTCCAGAATGGATGATTGTACCAGGTAAGATACTTGGTGTTTTTTTTTTAAAAAAAAAGTAATGAACACAACGATATGTTGCAATATCTGCTTCCAGCCGACACTGGCCACCGCCCGGAGGTCCAGGGTTGGGGGGTATATAAACCTCTCCAGCAACACACACTCGAAGGTGGGCGTTCGTCCTTTTTATTCCGTGCAATACAGTGACATGGGGCAATGAAGATGGGTAGCCATGAATTTGACACTATACTATACCAATGGCCCTTGATCTCGCTCATATGAGGCTTGATTCACGTACAATTGTAACAAAATGGGAAAGTTGAAGCTCTCATTCGAACATATCTGTTCAGTTTACTTCACCTGGTACGTAACATAATTCGGGAGTTTCATATTGCGTATTTTCATCCAAATAGATCATTCTTTCGCATTTCTTAGCAACATCTATTCTTGTCCAGGAAACAAAAGTTGTCAGTGCGTGACAGTAAGGCAGCACCTCTGAGGCCCGTATCATCAGCAATCTTCCCGCGGGCTAGTCGAGCTAGCAGAGCTGACAAAGCTGGAGACAATGGAAGCAAGGGTGATTTGCAGGAAGGGACAACCAGCACTAACAGCAGCTCCAGCAATTCGATTTTCTACTGGTAGCTCTAGCTCCGGCGCCACTAGTCCCGCTAGGAACCTTTACCTTAGTAGTAATGGTGAGTGGATGAATATTAATAGAGGGTTCCCGAAGAAAGCCAATATTCATTTCAAGGCCCCTTTGATTAATCATGAATTCGCCTCAATGAAAACGTTCTCAGTTTCTTTTATTTTCCCCGCTTCATGACCCAGGCCCAAAGCAGATCAAGCAACTCAGAAGTTGAACTTCTCACTAACCATCTCCTCGCTCATCTTCCACAGTCTCTCAGCATCATACGAGTTCCTCGCCCAAGGACCGACCATATCGAAGCTACAAATCTGTGCATCTCTCAAGAACTTGCCATTGTCCTCTGCAACAGTACCTGGTCAGCTTATCTGAGAAAACGGAAATTCTGAGCAGCAGGAGAACTTACTCTCAAGGCCATTCCCAAACGCAGCAACAACGTGCGTCGACGTTCCCTCATCCAGCGTCTTGAACGGGGTCTTCTCCCAGTACTCCTTAGAGCCTTGCGGGTTTCCGTTACTGTCAAACACGCTTACTGCACCTCAGACATCAGCAAAGATCGCCCCAGCGCAAGACACAATTCGGGTAGATAAACTCCAACTTACTCAACTCCGACCAATCATCCCCCTCGATATCAATATGCCTCCCCAAATTCGTCATGATGGCACCGGGATGCAAGCTGAACGCCAGCACCCCCTTAGCCCCCAGCTTATCCGCCAACGCCCACGCGTACAAACAATTCGCCGTCTTCGCCTGCCCGTAGCTGCGCCACTTGTCGTACGACTCCCCGCCGCGGAAGCCCGGGTCAGCCCAGCGGATGGGGCCGAGCTGGTGGCCCTCGCTGCTCACCGCAACCACACGCGGCTGCTTGCTCTTAGCCAGCATCCCGGGAATGATGCGATTGGCGAAGACGAAGTGGCCGAGGTGGTTCGTGCCGAACTGGCGCTCGAAGCCGTCGGCCGTGGTGCCGTAGGGGCAGGCCATTATCCCGGCATTCAGCATGAGCACGTCGATGACGATACCTTCGTCCTGCTGCATCTTGACCACCTCGTCCGCCGCGCGCCGCACCGACGCCAGCGCGCTGAGGTCGACGACGACGCCTCGAATTGGGACGTCTGGGTGCTTGGCGTGGATGGCGGCGGTGGTCGCGTCGATGGTGTCCTGCGTGCGCGAGGCCAGGATGAGGAGAGCTGGCGCGTGCGCCGCGATGGTCTCGACGAAGTGCGAGCCCAGGCTGTTGGGCGTCACGCCCGTCGTGAGGACCGTCTTGCCCCGGATGCTGGAGGCGAGGTCCGAGGCGACCTCGGTGGCAGTGGTATGGAAGCCGTACGGCGGGGCCATGGTTGTGCGGAGTGGAAGGGTCTTTGTGTTGAGGTGTGGTTGGTTTGGAGAAGGATGTGGGTCGATTGAAGTTTGAAGTGTTTGAATGCTCAGACTGATCGCAAGACCAGCAGTGATTTATATAGAGTCAATGATTGAAAGTGAACCAATGCCATGTGCAAGGGATTTAAATTCAACCCCTCCGCTGTTGCACCGTTCGATAGCAGGAGTTAGGACGGACGTGCTGACCAGGAACAAGAGAATGGCAAGCTTGGCGGGCTTAAAACACACTCCATAATTAGGCAGCAGTAGTCTGATTGGACCAATGCCATCAAAGTTAGTGGGATTGCTAACGGACATAGGAGATCGTGGTGGGGCAACATCTGGGGCGTCATGTCTGAGACGGAGTTAACACGGACGAGCCACAAACCAAGGGCAAATGGCAAGCTTTAAATCCGGCCCGCGAATTACGAAGACCTTGTGCACGCCCGGCTCAGACGCCGTACGCCACACCAAGACCTTCCCCATCCACAATCTGACACTCGGCGCCTGAATAAACATGGCTTAGTCACCTTACTCATCTCGACATGGCGTCCCACCATCGTCATGATCATAAAGCCCCTCCCATCATCAACACCACACCCCACCACGCCCGCCCGTCCACCGCCCAACTGCCACCCAGCGACGCGCCACCTGTTGCCGCCACACCCGTCTGACTACTCGTAGTAGTACGCACCCCGCCCGTTGTCGTTGTTGTCGCTGCCACCGAGGATGACGGCGGCACACTACTCGTCACGACTTCCCCGCTCTCCTCCGTGACGGCCACCCACACCACGCTGCCCAAGCTGCACACCTCCGCATCGTCATCGCGGTAGATGACGCCACCGGAGCAGCACACGCCGTTGCGCATATTACCCGGGCAGCCGCTGTAGTCGCCGCTGCTCTGCGCGTCCGCGATCTGCTCTTCTGACAGCGGCAGGGCCCAGACGAACTGACCTGCCGGGCAGCACGACGACGGTTCCTGCTGCCCTTCATACAGCTCGTCGTAGTCGCAGTCGAGCATCTGGTTGCCCGCGCAGCACACGCCGCCGTATGTGTAGTAGAGGCCTGGGCATGGAATCGGTGGTGTGATTTGGAAGCTGTCGCCTGTGGTGGTTGTGGTGGGCGTGGTGGTGGTGGAGATGTCTTCGTCTGCGTCGTTGGCTGTGGTGGTCACGGCTGCGGATGGTGATGCGGTAGACGTGTGTTTGGGGAAGAGGTCGGTGTTGTCGAGCAGGGCCCAGCTGGTACTGGTCGAGTACGTCGTCGTGCTTTGGGCGCTTGCCAGCAGAGCCCATGCCGCCACGAGGAAAAGCATGCTAGGTGCGCTGTGGATGGTCATTGCTGGTGAGCGAACGGAGCGACTGCGGCCAGTGCACAGAGTCTCTGGTCTTCGTCATGGAAGGCGAGATGTTAAGAAAGCAGGCATCAGGAGGTACCCACCATCTGAGCTATCATGCGCTAGACCCGGAGATTGTCGAAGGATTTCCGTGTTGCGCGCTAACCGAGCGTTGCTTTTTTTAACCGCGGCAAGTATCAATGCTGGACAAATATGGTGATACATTCCCCGAGACTTTTGTGATATTTCTACAGGTTTGGCCTTGTTCAATGGGTCGCTGTGCGTTCGAATGAAATGAAATCTGCTTTTAAGTGCCAGAAAACAGGCCAAGCGGTTCTCACAAATGGCTTTTCCAAAGTCTATTCCTTCTTGATCTCCTTCCTCATCTGGTTCTTGATCTTAGTCACCGTGCCGCTGCCATTGTACACCATGGTAGTGTAGATCATGGCCACGCTGGCACCCGCGTTCAGCAGCTGCAGCGCTTGCTTGCCATTCGTCACGCCACCCGTAGCCCAGATCTCCTTCGGCTTGTGCGAATAGGGCGTCCTGTCACCGGCCACCTTCTCTGCCGCCGAGGGAGCCGCGGCCTTCACTACTGGCGCAATCTCAGTCAAGTCGTCAGGGCTGGTGGTGACGTTCTCGGTAGGGTCAGCGACCTTGACCTCCGCAGACGCAGAAGCCTCGGATGCGACGTCTGCCGCAGCAGCCTCGATCTTCTCGACGATGGAAGTCTCTGGCTTATCTCCCTTGGGCTCAAGCCTGGGACCCTGGTCCAGCATCTTCCTGTACTTCGCCACCATTCCGAGCGTCTTGTCAAACAGCTGCGGTCCAGAGTAGCCACCCGTCTCAAGCAGCGTCTCCTGCTCGTGTGCCGGCATGATGTAGCCTCGGGGCAGAGGCGCAGGCCTGCTCTTCGTAGTGTTTCCAACGATGACGCCGTCGACGCCGCTCTCCCAGACAGCATCGCAGATACCGGACATCTGCTCCTCCGTATCTTCGTCCGGAGAAACCTTGACCATGACGGCGGGCTTAGTCTTGCGATCAGCCGCCTTCGCAGCGTTGACGACACCCGTCAGGATGCGAGTAAGCGGCTCGACACGCTGCAGCGAGCGCAGGCCAGGCGTGTTGGGGCTGGATACATTGACAACGATGACGTCGGCGTACTTGGCGAGGCGGTCGACGCAGTAGACGTAGTCGTTCTTAATGGCCTCGATGTCGGCCTCAGGCGTCGTCTTGTTCTTCGCGACCTATATGAGGTGGCGCCATGTCAGCCTTGATTTTTTCTTCACTCATCTTCCAGTAGTGGTGTGAGGTCAGGCAGGGCAGCGCACCTGCACACACATCAGCTTGCCAGGAACCAAGCTGCCCGGCGGCACGCCCGCAGCACCGTCCAGCACGGCCTGCTCAGCATCCGGCCCAAGGCCGTAGCCCATCTGGTATGCGAACTCGCGAACGCGCTGGCGCAGGCGAGCGGCGATGTTGTCTGCGCCCTCGGAGTTGAGGCCGTAGCGGTTGATCAGGCCCTCCTGCGAGACGACGCGGAAGCAGCGCGGCTGCGGGTTGCCAGGCTGTGGCTTGGGCGTGATGCCGCCGACCTCGACGACGGCCGGGCCCAGCGCGAAGAGCGGATCTGGGATATCCGCGTTCTTGTCCAGCCCAGCCGAGATGCCGATGGGGTTGTCCAGCGAGTGCCCGAAGACGGTAATGCGCAGGTCGCCCGCACCGTCTGGATCGCCGCGCTCACGGGGGTGCAGGCCTAGCTGGTAGAGCGTCTTCATTGCCTTGGTACCGACGTGGTGGGCTTCCTCGGCATCAGACCAGATGGTGCGGATGAGCGGCGGCACCAGGTACTGGTGAGCGCTGGCGCGAGTGTCGGTGAAGTAGAGGTAGCCGACGCCAGAGAGGAGTGCGAAGGTGGTACCGTAGGCATAGCGCTTGAAGCGTGACCCGGCAGACCGGGTTCCCTTCTTCACTTCCTTCGCGGTCTCAGCGGCGGCTTTCGACGCGGTTTCGGAGGCGGCTTCGGGGGTCGTGGACGAGAGGCGGACGGTAGGGGAGCGAAGAAGGCTCGAGGGCTGCCATTGGCGGGTGAGAGGAGCCTGGTTGAACAGGCGCAGAGGTGCCCGACCGGGCGCGTGCCGTGACAGCACGTTTGCGCGGGCTGCCATTTGTGCTGCTGTCAAGGAGTCGGAAACTTCGAGGTCGCGAGAGCGAGCCGTGACGTGAGTCGCCGCTTATGTAATCGCGGGAGAGCTACCCGACAGCCCGCTTCCTGACCAAATCATGGAAAAGATGTGAAGACAACTTAACACTGAGAATCGAGTTGATTGGTTTGCAATGATAAAGCTTGACTCGCCTTTTCAAAAAGTTAAATGTCTGTCCCAGTTTGTGTACCAGCGGAGCATGAGGGACTTCTGGTCGGATGAACGGCACTAAAGTGTAGTCTCAATGCGCATACTCGAGGCTAGTGAGTGGTTATACTCTGGTGAAAAGATCGCTTCAACCAAAAAAACAGGGAGATGAAGAGATTCGATGTGCATATGCTCTCCGGAGAAAGCTCTTCAGTCTGAACTGCGGTATACACATGTGAAGTCTAGAGAATACTCTCGGCCAGCAGTAGTGGTGATAGTACGAAGTCGATACGTTCAACAATAGAGACGTGTAGTTGAAGCGTGTATCTGGATATAAATGCTTGATAAAACCCTACACAAGCCGCATACGTAGAAGGGCGTCAACTCTCCAACCCTCATTGTGATACTAGATGAACAAACATTAGGCTCATATTGGTACAAAAGCCGAGCTCCGAGCATGGGCCGGGCATGGGGCCCCAGAGCCGAGGCACCACACAGACCCTGAGAGAAATCTCAGCACCAGCCAAATGGAGAACAGTATAGCATCACGACCAGCGTTGCTACTTGGAAACAGTCTTACTTCCTGCTTCTTGGTGCTTTAATAAGTTGCACGCCGAAGTTTTGTGTCCTTTGGCTTTCAGGAGACGACGCACGGCCCCCCGAGGCTAACCTCAGCATCAGCGAGATGGGCAATAGCGCAGCACCACAACCAGCACTGCTGCTGGCAAACGACTTTGCACACTGTTTCCTGGTGCCTTAATACCCTACATACTAGAGTTTATTGGTTTTTGGCTCACAGAAACACTGTTTTCACTGCAAAACTTCCCCTGCCCTCGTCCTTCTTCCAGGACTTCTGGGATAAAGTATATATTATTTTTGTTGCATTTTCAAGCTCTATACCGGGCAGGTGGCCGAGTGGTTAAGGCGCTACGTTTAGGAGCTATTCCAAACCGTAGTGGGAAACCGCGTGCGTTCGAACCGCACCCTGCTCAAGATTTCCTTTTTTTGGACTCGTTACCGATGTTCAGCGCTTACCTTTTGCTGCCCAGGTGAATCAGGCAACAATATTTTACATTTGGGCAGTTATTTGTCTATTATAGGCCGTGGTTTACGTGTATAGTCGGCAAGTGAGGGTGGTGAGCACACCGAGCACCACCACCTACACGCCCAGTTTTCAAGACTTTGATGCAACCGGCATGTCTCCAGTATTTTAAAGCATGTAAACTATGCTGTTGAAACCCAGAGCGAATCTGCTAACATGCCTTGTATCAATAAACTACGGGTTCACCTCGATTTGCGGGAGTGCGCAGAAACCTCCGATACGCCAAATGACTCCCCCTCCATAGAGACGGATGTGTTCTTTGGGGCCAAATCCGTTGCTTCACAACTTGATACCAGTACTAGGTTATCTGTTACAACAGTCGATATCATTGTATGATTCGTATAGCAAAATGGGTTACCTTCTTGGACCCTGATTTGCAACATACCCGAACATGCAACAACACGGGTAAATCTGCGGAATTTTAATAGCTCATGTCAGAATTCACCACTAAATTTGCGGGTTTCATACGTGAAGACTGCGAATTATTGTGTGGTCTAAGCATTTGTGACTAGAGTGAGGGAATTCTGGTTATTGTTTCTTTTATAAGACTGCAGTGGGCTTCTCGCTGCTACGGCGAAGTCTATTGCAGTGTCACGGACCGGTATATTATCTGACCACGTCAATGAACCTTCGACAACTGGGTTCATTCCAGTGCTATTTTTCCCTCGAGAAGGCCTACGTTACCGGCGTGGAGCGGTGTAAGACTGAGCCTTGCATCTAGCATCTGTACGAGCTCCCAAGAACTCTACGAATGGTACATGATTCCATACAGGTTGCAAGCTGTACAACTTCCGCCACTTTCGACTTCACTTTTTGAAGTGTTCAGAGAGATGTGGTCCTGTCTTCCTCCTTGATATTTCGGCTATAATTGCTTATTCAAATCAGCATTAGCCAAGCTAGTGTTGGACCACGTGCCTGTAGTTTCCTCGGAAGATCGGGATGCTTAGCTGCTTCACGTCCGTGTCTTTAGCGTTGGCGCAACGCCTTTTCGAACGATGCGTTACAGAGAGCGAGAGGTGACAAACGTCCGACTCGCACAGCCATCTTCTGGTCCGAGCATCATTTCGCCCCCGCTGCACTACTCCGCACACTTCCACGAACTCCACCATGCGCAAACTATTGGCGCCGATCTCTTGGATAATATGAGAGTTTGCTGTCATGATCTCTCATGGCACACAATGTCTTTACGATCTGCTGGGCTTTTCCTGCGGTGTGTGGAAAATAACAGCAAGTTCCTGAAATTAAGTATGCTTTCCAACAATCCAACAACGGGCCGATCCCGAGGCGTAGATCCCCCAAGAGCCTCATGACCGATCAGGAGAGGAGTGATCTGCTTTCTCCGTAAGCAAGAAATGCTCAAAGCATAAACTACCGAGGCTAGATTCTTAGACCAAAGTCTGTATCAAGCCATGCGGTCATTCCAACTGCCTCGGAATACCGTTTGCCGCAACGGCGCGTGTCACAGTAGCGAAGCTAGCTCTTTTGATAAACATGTTTGGTTTATCCTGATGAACATCTCGCAGTGCCTTTGCGCTTTTGGTATGGGCAGTGTTTCTGTCCATCCATTCGGCGTCTCACCCACCACATCTGGACTATTGGCAATTCAGCACAATACGAGACCATGGAAATGTAAGGAAACATATAAAGCTCAAGAAGGCCATGCAGAAGAAGGTCTCTACCATCAGCTTCATCATTCGTTCTGGAAACATCCCAATTCCCATTCATTCCATTCGTTCTCTACACCAGCCTCGTTGACGACGCATCACTTGATCCCACAACTACACTCACTCACTTGAAAATGGTCGCTATCAACTACCTCGCAACCCTGGCCCTGGCGGCCTCAGCAAGCGCCATCCCCATGGACTCCCGCCTGGAAGCGCGCCAAAGCTTCTCCATCCCCGGCATCGGCGGACAGACCGCCAACGACGTGCAGTCCGGTACCTGCAAGGACGTGACGTACATCTTCGCGCGGGGCACGACGGAGCAGGGCAACATGGGCAGCACGGTCGGGCCGGCGCTGAAGACGAAGCTGGAGGCGGCCATCGGCGCCGACAAGCTCGCGACGCAGGGCGTCAACTACCCGGCCGACGTGGCGGGCACCGTCGTCGGCAGCATGTCACCCGGCCAGGCCGAGGGCAGCAAGAACTGCGCGCAGCTGGTCAAACAGGCTTTGTCCAACTGCCCGCAGACCAAGATCGTGCTGGCCGGCTACTCGCAGGGCGCGCAGCAGGTCCACGGCTGCCTCATCGATTTGAGCGCCGATGAGGCGCAGAAGGTCGCGGTGAGTAGTACACTTCCAATCACTTCTCCCGACCAGCTCCATATACCTCCCTGTACCCGACAAACCAAGAACCCCCTGACTGACGTGAACACCGTTCCCAACCACCAGGCCGCCGTCACCTTCGGCGACCCCCTGCGGGCGCAGCAGTTCAAGAACATCGACCAGTCGCGCACCAAGATCTTCTGCGCCACCGGCGACCTCGTCTGCACCAACCAGTTCATCATCACGGCCGCCCACCTCTCCTATGCCTCCGAGTCCACCGGCCCGGCCGCCGAGTTCATCCAGCAGCAGCTGGGCACTCTCGACTCCTCTTCTTCCTCGTCCAACAGCTCGTCGTCGACGACGACGGCGTCAACTTCCGCTGACAGCAGCGCCACCAGTACCGGCTCGTCCGACAGCAGCGTTGCCTCGTCTGGCCTAGGCTCCGGGCTTCTCGGTGGCGGCTTGAGTGGCTTGACCGGTGGCGGTTCCAGCGGTGGTTCGAGTCTGCTCAGCGGCTTGAGCGGTCTGAGTGGAAGTGATTCCAGCAGCAGTGGCGGTTCGAGCCTCCTGAGTGGATTGAGCGGATTGAGCGGGAGCAGCGGTTCCAGCGACAGCGGTTCGAGCATGCTTGGCGGGCTCAGCGGTCTCAGTGGGCTTAGCGGGCTGGGAGGATCGTCGAGCGGCGGATCGGGCCTCATGAGCGGTTTGAGCGGTCTGAGTGGCCTGAGCGGCCTTGGGGGCTCGAAGAAGAACTGAGTGATTAATCTTGGGTCTTCCGATGGGGGGTTCCCTTTTTTTTTTTTTTTTGGTTGACTCGCGGAAATCGCGCTTGCTTGTACTTAATCTTTGTATGTATTCATTAGTCTGAGCGCGAGGAGCTGGTCTTCGATCATGCATATTTCTTTTATTTGTAAGATTGATCACAAGCTGCGGGTGACTACGGCGAGCGGAAGATCTGATCGCATCTGTATTGTTGTGTCAGTTCATGGCTGCTTCTGATGGTGTCAGTTCTATTAGCTTGTGAATACAAGATCATCTTGTGATTGTGAAACTCACTGAATCTTTGAGGCGCTTGCCCTGATATTGTCTACATTAAGATTCAACAGCAACCACCACGCTCCTCTCCACCCACCCCAGCACTCCAGCAGCACTAACCCCTACGCTCACCACCCCTTTATTAAATAGCTCTATTCTCTTACCCATGGAACTCTTGCATCGCGGTAAACTCGTATTGCGGATGATGATCCGATCCGCTGTCGCCTGCGTCCCTGTTGGTGGTGTTGAATGCGCCAGCCATGAGCGCGAAGCGGACCGAGACGGATGGCGAGGGGATTAGAGTGGGGTCGATCCAAGGCGGAGGACTTGCATGTACGCCATAAGGATACGCGATAATGCTACCAGGGATTTGACTCCTCGTTCTTCAACCAACTCAGGGACTCGTGGCAAATGTCCCCTCCTTGCCGTTTCCGTGAAAGGAGAGGACCAGGGGCGTGGCCGTGCTTGAGTCGTATTTGGAAAGCAGGTGGATGATGTAGTCGTGCGTGCGTGCGTTCGCCGCCCTGAATGCCGCGTTCCGGGCGAGCGGCGGTGCCTTTCCGTAGCCCTCGCTGTTGGCTGCAGCTATAGATCCAGGGAGAGAAATGCAAGTGCACTGCTGACATGGATGCGTATAGCAATTATGCTATTGAGATTTGCGGTGGGGGCCATTCCAGAAATAGCACGCCTTTGCTGCTTATTTGATATCGTTTGGTAGTCCAGGTTGCCTTCAATTCAGTGTTCGCTCTCTCTATTTGACAGCACTTGCGCCGTCTGAGAACCTCGAGTAGTGAGCAATGCCGATCTCGCAAGCGTTGAGTGAAAAGATGACCCTAAAATCGGTCGGAACCCTTGATTGTTGTCGATCCGCTAATGTTGCATTCGGCATACCGAATCAGGCAAGCGTGTAAGAAAGAGCGCGCGTTGGTACGAGCGGCGGTGTCGAAGGGGCACAAAAGCACAAATAAGCTCGTTGCACGTCCTTGGTCATGAAGATCTGTGTTGTTGCGGTGAAACATGATAGTACCCTGTAATGAACTAGCGTGTCAGTTGATCGAAGTGAGCGAAAAAAGCATATGCGCGCTGAGAGGTGATCATAAGACAGTGTGCTCGACTAAGTTAGAAGGAATAGATCTCGAGCCCGTCGAGAAGGGAGCAGGATTCTACATTCATAACTTCGTCTTATTCTACCGCTGATGATTCTCGCATTAGTCCTGTCTGAATAATCCAACTGGTAAAATGGTAAACATTAAATTCACAAATGCGGCACACTCAGGCTAGCCAGGAGCAGATTCACAATGCTCAAGAGACCTTCCCCAAGAATTAGACCACTGGCGAGCACGATTATGGGTGTCTCCTGCTTGCCGCGGTAGCGGAGCCAGTACAGGTTCATGAGGCCGCCGATTGTCCTAGCAAGTGTGAAGGACGGCGTGTTGTACATTCCTGTTAATTGTTAGAGATGGACGTGCAATGTGGAATAAATGGAGACTTACCAACGGCGACAGCAATACCGCCAGGAATGAAACGAGTCCACCGACGCGTACCGGCCTTCGATTGTTCTCCCACTCTGAATGCGGTGCCAACCGCAAAAATTAAGCCCGCGCCAAGCGCCCATTGCATGACCATGGGAGGTAGACCCTTTCCTGTGACCAGTCTTGCCGTGAAGATCCAGACGAAACCAGTCGGTACTTCGAAAAGCTTGCCAGGAACTTGATAGACATTGGTATACAAGCGGTAGATGAGAGCCGACAGTACCGCACCGACACCGGAACCAATGATTTGGGCCCAGAACTGCGCATTTGGAGCGGCGCCCAGAAGGTGGCCGGTCTTGATGTCCTGCATGAGATCACCAGCTTGTAGTGCACCTGACTCAGAAAGAGCACCAGCGACAAGATTAATGACGACAGCGTTCTTGTTCGTTGAGGCGTTTGGAATGGCAAGGGCTATGAGTAGCTGCGTGAGTTTGGAGATGCCAGAGACGGGGTTTAGATCAGTCTCGCCCAATGCACGGACGCCCATAATGCTCAAGATTAGGGCGAGAAAGAGACCGAGAATGTTCAGAGTCAAAGGAACGAGGTTTCCAAAAACATAGTGCACAGCTCCGATGCTGAGGCCAAGTGACAGGACAAGACCGATCAAAGTGGTACGGGTGGAGATCAGATGCTCTGGCGGGGCGTCTTCTTCCTCATCGGATGGATCACGCTTTAGGATGTGAGCACCGGATTGACCGTCGATAGCTGTGTATCCGTCTAGTGACTTTAGTGAGTTTGCATCAAATGAGAAGATGTCGCTCCAAGACCGTTGCTTAAAATGGTCGATAAGTCTTGGCACCCATACGCGGGCGTAACGGATGAGAGGCCGCAGAATCAGCCAGCCAAGGCTAACCAGAGAGTCGGCCAGCATAATGGCAAGACTGATCCATACAATCCAGCCTTTGCTACCGGTCTCCCAGTCATTGACGGGGCCAGGGGCCCAGCCTTTGCTTTTCGCAAGAGGTGAAAGGACACCCCAGCCGAGAATGGCACCAAGAAGCATGTGGAGAGTCGTCTCGGGTCCCATGATTATGCCCTGGCCGATGTATGCTGGAGAAGGGTTAAGGGTCCACAGCCACTTGCTGGCCAAGTGGAGGCCGAAGATTGGCACGTCACGCAACTGGGGGACGAAGTAGGTGAAGACGGTCTGATCACAATCAGTCAGGACTCCCATCAATGCGATGCAATGCACGTACATAGACAGCAGATACCACAAAAGCTATGGTCAGAAGGCGGACCTTGGCCTTCCAGTCGCTCTGTGCATCCAGGCCGGTTCCCGCTTCATTTTCCTCATCCGTTTCGGGCAAGGCTTGGGGTGGAGGGGAGTCCGCAACAGCTCCTCCTGGCGCCCCGCCGACGAGAAGATGTGCACGCTCGTCATCGTTGCTGTCCCTCTGTGGTTCGTCCTGGCGAATGACGGCGCCCTTTCCGTATTGGCCATGTAGCACGCCGATCATGAGGGCAGCTGCAGTGCCGCTCGGGAACTTGAGCTTCTCCCGAATTATAACCTGGCGACGCAAGGGAACGGCGAAGACGACACCAAAGAAGCAAATTCCGACAGCCCAGACGATGAGCTTCCACAGACCTACGTCCAGCGGCCCGTTTTCCTCAGGCTTCAGCAGATATTGTAGGGCGGGAATGACGCCGACGAAACCGCAGCCCAGCGGCATAGTGCCGACGCTACCAGCGACGCTCTGGATAAGCACATTCTCGACGGGGGAGAAAGGCAGGCGCAGGTAGCGAGACATCAGACGGAACCAAGCGAAGCCCAAGAGAGCCGAGGGCATGGCCATGCTGCTGACCCATCCTGTCTGCAAGCCAAAGTATGTGTTGGAGAAGCATATCACGATGCCGATGCCCAGGCCGACAAGGATGCCGCGGAGGGTGAAGTTCTGGGGCTCGGCGGCGCGCTGAGCAAGTAGGGATCGGGCACGCGCATGATCCTGCGGCAGGTTTGCATCGTGGTCGTCGTCGTCGCGATAGGCAGAAGTGGGGGGTTGCGCGCCTTCGCTGCGGTGCGGCGGCGAGACGCTGGCGCCTCTGTCGGGAGCCATGGCGGATGGAGGATCGAGAGTCGCCAGCGGGATGGCCTGGACGTCGTCTGCTGGAAAAGGAGACACGACGGGCGACGCAGAAACGAAGCGCGATTGCGAGGGTGGTGAGCGCAATGGCGGAAGCGCACGCGACGAAGCCATGTCGCTGATGTAATTGCTGCTATCTCCTGCACGCACTGGTCACCCGCTATGGCGCAATCGACCTGCATGCGACTGGCTGCCCTCTCTCGGGTTGCCAACATCAGTCACTCCGCGGCCCAGGCCCAATAGCTAGGCTGTTGCATGCAAATAACTTCAACGGGGGCCGGATGCGGAGGAACGCGTCGCGTGCTGGTCGAACCCTGAGCCTCGCCTCGGCCATGTGCACGCCCCGGCCTTCCCGCCGCCCGCGCAGCAAATGTTACCGCGTCATAACAATGCCTCAGCTGCCCGGCCCCTTGTCGGTCGCACCCGTCTTTATGCCGCATTTTTATCTCACCGCTCTCCTAACTAGGCTTTGCCGCCGCATGAGGCACACCGCGCGCTCTGCCCGGCCCGGATGCTCGCCTCACAGCCAACAGCCTCTGCCTGAAGCAGCCTGTCGTCAATGAGGCGCAAACACGGGCGCGGACAGCGCGCGCAATGCGTGGGTGGCGTCACCGGTATCCATCGCTGGGTCATGGCGGCGGCAACAAGTTGCGGTCTTTTTGCCTACCTGACGGATGCTAGTGGCCAGGTAGGGCTGCGATGATCCTGGAGAAATTTTGCGGAGACTCTCCCTGACGCTTCGGCGCGCACGCGGCTGCTTGCCAAAATTTATATAGTCGCCCGGCCGGCGGTCCCAAGTCTCCCCACGCACACCCTCTTCCCCACGTGCGCCACCAGCCCGCCAGCCTCTTCATTCTGCCTTTCATCATGCCATTCATGGGTGACAGCGATTGGTCGACGCCCTCGACAGGCGAGTGGTCGGTATGACTCCTCTGTCCAGACTCTCTTCGTCTTGACCTCTCCTTCAAGGCGATTGTCGGCAACACTCACCCGCCAACAATGTGCTTTTAAGGACTCGTTGTACATCTCCGTCCCCAAGTCCAAATCCAAGACGTCGGCCAAGCCTCAGCGGCCGGCGTACCTGAAGCACCAGACACACGCTTCAATGCCCAACCTCAGCGAGGTTGAGCAGTACGTCTTCCGTCCGGCTACCTACGCCGACAAAGTCGACCGCCTGCGCAACCCTCCCGTGTCGAAACCGACCTTGAAGCGCACGCAGAGCCTCACCACGCCTGCCTCGACCTCGATGGCGGCCAAGGTCGAGAAGCACGTCCACTTCGTTGACGAGGGCTACGGTTCGGCTTCGACGTCGCCAGCATCGAGCCCGAAGGTTAGTCGTAACCGCCCGGTTCCGTGGTGGCCGCAGCTCACAGCTCTGTAGCAAGAGCCCAAGCGCGACGACAGCCGTCCTTCGACGTCCGACTCCGACTTCGAGCAGCTCGTGTCGCAGCAGCAGAAGATGACTCTCGATGAGCGTCCATCAAAACCGCAGCGCAACGTGACTGACGTGCCGCCGGTCAAGGCGCAGAGCAGAAGTCCGACGCGCAGCGCTAAGCGCCTGTCGCGCAGCCAGACGGCCCCTATGCAGTCGAATCGTCGTGCGCAGGCGCGGGATGACAAGATTGCGGGCACTGGCGGGTCTTACCGCAATGCCAACGGCAACATCTGTTTTGACGAGTTCAACTACTTTGGCGGAAGTGAGTAGTTTTCCGGGCAGATTGCGACATCGGCGCCGGCAGGTCGGCTAACAGCAAGCAGTTTAGCGTATGATGGCATGCGTCCATCTGTAAAACAAGGATTCACAGGGACGGCGTTAGCAGGGGATCAAAAATCTGGGTTTGCATATGCCTTTAGCTAGGCTGTAAAACAGCGCGCGCACATTGATTGAATTGCTACATCTGCCAATCACGGCATTTTGGTTGCTGCCCCTTCCCCGCAAAATCGCCCTGACCAAGCGGTGGCCGGTGTTTCTTTGTTGACTGACTGTTGCCAACTTTTCCTCGCTCCCCTATACCAAAACAAACAACACTTAACACTTGCCACCGTGACGGCCTTGCGTGCCTACATTCACCATGGCCGCCACCTTATTTCAGGTCCGCTGGCACCAGGCACCCGACCGCCATGGTCGCTCTAACCGCCATCCTGACCCATAAATATAGGCACCACTGGCTTCCGTGCACAAGCCCTATCCGCTCCCTCGACAAACTACCCCCTTTGGCCGCCGCTCATCAAGACCCTGGGGGTCTGCCATCCACGACCTTCATCTCTTCTTCGATTTTTCTCCCTCGCACAACAGCAGCAAAAAATACGACCCTATGCACATCTCCACGGCAACCAACGACATACCCACTAACGCCGACATGGCGCCGACCACGGCCCCGCTTCCACCCTCAACGCCGCCAAGAAGAGACGGCCAACCTCCCCGTCTGCCGCCGCTCCCTACCTCTCTGGTACCCATTGAGGGGAGGCTCGTCAGACATCGTCCCGAGACCCATGCCGACCAGGTGTCACGTTTGCGCGGCCCCACGACCGCCGCGGCGGCTCCAAGTCGCGCGGTTAGGTCCGGTGGCGAGCGTCAGCAGCGTCAGACCTCAACGCTGAGGAGCACGAGCTCACGACCCATAGATGCACTTTTCGATGAGGTACGTTTTAGCGCGAATTTCCTACAGATTGCTGCGAGATTTCCCCATGATCGAAGAGATCGAGAAACCCGATTTTCCCATACGTTTTGTTCGACTCGCTCACGCAGGTTTCCCCACAGCTGCAGGCACCCGCCGACAACGACTCGTTGGCCGCCAGGCTGCAACGCCGCCGCCAGCGCCGCCGTTCCCCGGACCCCAACTTCACCCCGCCCAGGTTGGTGCGCACCCAGCCCGTGCGCACCTGGGTGACGCTGACGGGCGATGCGCGTGCCGTCGCTGCCGCCTTCGGAGATGCAACCGACGGCGATGTTGGTTCCGGTGCCAACAGAAGCCCGCTCAGAAAGCGACAACGCAGGACGCCTGTCGTCTCCTTCTCCACCTCGACCGACGGCATTAGCCGCCCCTCTGACGACGTTGACCCCGTGCCTTCGACTCCATCCGTCTCCACTCCTGGAGCGGGCCGTCGCCGGCGTGGTGGTCTCCGCCGGTGCAGCAGCGTCGCGAGCGAGGACGAATACGACGCCGCAACCGGCGACGCTGTTGTCACCCCTTTCCTCCAGCAGACCCACACCGGTGCCGACGAGACCACCACGGCTGCCATAGCCTCCTCGTGGATCCTCCCCCCGCAACGCCGTCGCCTCACGCCGCCGAAGAGCCCCTTCGATGCTTTTGACTTCAAGCACGACGATGGGGAAAATGACTTCAGCAGCACTTCTATTAGCTTCCTCTCCCCCGAGCGTCGCCGTGGCCGCCGCGGATCTCCATCCGGCGCAGGCGACGAGCCGCTGCGCTCGCCGACGGAGGAGCTGAGCGCGTTGTCGCTGGGTAGTGATGAGGATGAGATGATGCCCGCTGCCCCTCCCTCTCCCTGCTTCGCCGAGAACATGGCCCCGGCGGTGGCGCCGAAGAGGAGGAGAGGTGGGCTGACGAGGTCGATGGCGGGGAGGTTCAGGATGGGCGAGGGCGGGGGATTGGAGGCTGATTGCTCCACCTGAGATTTCTTTCATGGCATTGGACTACTGCATTGAGTTGCATTGCGATGGGCGCACTGCAGATACCCCCGGCATGCGGAGAATCTGGTTCGGCTTTCTCATGGCATTTTCTGGGAGCTTTTGTGGGCGTATGTGGAGGGGTTGATCCCTGGTTTTTGCTTTTTTCCCTTTTTGTAACAGCATCTTGGTGGCATATTGCGTTTTCAGAGCATTTGGAAGCGAGGTTCATGCATCACGACATCTGGCGTTGGAGTTATGGTTGGTTTGGCACTTTGATAGCATTTCTGTTATCCTAGCGAAGCGCTCGCATGGACGGCCTCTAGAAGCTCTTCATAGACGTTGCTTTCCGAGTACGTGTAAATTCTATGGCGCGTTGTGTTTACTGATCAAACTTGTTTATCTGATGGAAAGGCTAAAAGGGTGAGTCAAAGGAATGACTGTCACACGAGCCTTAGTCCATGATAGTTCGAGACGGGTGCACGTAGGTTCCATCAAGTATCATTCCAACTAACCGCCGCACGTGAAGATCTACACTGCACATTCTACAACCATTCTACAACGTGCGCCGCAACCACGGTGCCCCCTGTGTCCTCCGTTCCGATAGCTCACCACGTGCAGTCTTCGCTGATCATGCTTCAACTAGTTTCTGCCTGTGCAGAAACTCCCGGTTTGAATCAATCCCTTCCTTCAGGCGTTTGTAATCTTTGCTCCTCTTTTTCGTGTTTCCCTTTTCATCTCAAGGTGTGAAAATAACACGGTAATATGGCGAGCGCGATGAGGGGGGGACTCGCTGCCTCCACATTCGCGCGCACCTGATCGTTCATTGTTTTTCCTTATGGCGTGATTTCTCTGCTGTTATGAGCCAAGCCACCAGCACCAGCACCACCGCCACTTCATGTTTCCCGTGCCGCGTGTGAGGTGATGGTTTCTCCAGGAGAAACAGGGTCAACCACGTTCTCCGCGGGAAGCCAAAAACAAAGCAAGGGCGAAGGGAAGGGGCACGGGGCCACGGGCATTATTATCCGAGACGCGGCGGCTGCGAATGACGCTTATTCCCACAAAGCGGGAGCGGCGGGCCTGCCCTATGAGAATTGTGGGAGCGAGGACCGCGTCTGTAGGGCTGGGAGAGACGGGAAGGATTGGCGCTGGCGGAGGTGCGTCCGGGGTGGACGGATCGCGAGGCTACTGTGTGGTGGCCGTGACGAGGCGGTGCGGGGAAAGAGTAGTGGTGGCTAAAGCATGTGGGAAGGGAGGGAAGGGAGGAGAGGGGGGAGCGGAATGCAGTCTCTCTCGTGAGGGAGGGAGGGGTCTTGGTCAATTGCTGGGCGTCGTCGTGGGTAGAGAGAGAGCACTGGAAAAGCATAAAAGGCCGCGCGAAGCCGGATGACAGGTAATGGCAGAACGGTGTTCTTCGTCTAGAAATGTATGTGAAAGTGATTACGCTCAAAAATCGCCCAAAGCGCCTCGCAAGCTTCTTGGTACCTTGTTTTGTCGAACCCTGCGCGTACTTCTCGTAACCAAAGCAGAAGACAGCGTCTATGGCACACAATGCACCTCTCAAGGAGAAATCTTCGAATCTTCCAACATGCCCTTCAGGCTAACCACGTCTACTCCTCCTCCTCCGTCCCCTCGGCAGCACTTCTGCGCCTCCAGATCCACGTCCGCGACCGGCGCCGGCGGGGCCATCGGCGGCGACGGTGTTATCGGATCCAGTTCGATCGAGTTCCGCCTCGTCTGCTGCTGCTCGCCACCATCCGCATTCTTCCAGATTATCTTCGCGGGGCTGAATCGGGGAGGCTCGGGGAAGAGTTGGTCTTGCTTTGCGGTGGTGACGACGACTTCGGTGCTCTTGCTGCTGTTTTTGCTGCTCTTGTCGTCGTTGAGGCTGTTGTTGTTGCTCGGCCACGTGCGGTGTGGGTTGTCGTACGGCACTTTGAACCACGGCCGCCGCTTCTTCAGCGTCAACGGGTCGATGCTCATGCGCCTCTGATATGGGCTCAGCTTGGTCATTTTGCCGTCCAGTTTCGTGACCCAGTGGATCACGCAGACGGCGAAGAGGACTGCGTCGGAGCGTTAGCTGGGCAAGTCGAATAGAATTGCTGCTTTGGAATCACGAACCGTCTAAATTGCAAGACAAGAAGCAGATCCAATTCGGCTCGCCATCCAAAGCCAGGAGGAAAGATATATTGATGACCGTTACTATCAGGGTCAGGATGGAACCAATGACTGTGCGGAGGCCGAGGTTTCGGAGCGTTTTGGATTCGTCTTCGCTGGAGTAGTAGAGTCGGCGGAGTCGGATGAGGAACATGACGGTCAAATAGGCCTAAGAAGCGTGAGTGATTGTCTAAATATTGAATTTTAGTGACCTTACGTTCAACGCGACGTCGAATGACATCATAGGGATGAGTGCCTCCTTTTTGATGCCGACAATGCAGGTCCCTTCATCATTGATGTAAGAGAATTTCCTGTCCAAAATGTGAGTGAGTTATTTCAATTAGGAACGCGAGCGGTCATACTTGGCAACGTTGAAGCCGTAGATGGCAGCGCACGGTAGCAACATGCCAATCGTGTTGAACAGGTACAAGGGGTCTTTGTTCCGAGGCGTAGTCGTACCCCGGACAATATAGACCCGCTCCACGAGGAAGATATAGATGCAGACCTTCGAGAGCGTGTAGAAAGTAAGGCCTGAATAGACGTCAGCCATTAGTTTCAAAAGTTTGCAGTGAGTCTTACATATCAACATGGAGCCGGCGCACCGGCCCTCCGAGCCATGAATTCCAGCATCTCTGTAGATTGTTGCTGTGAAAATGAATACAAAGGAGCTGCTGTAAATCTGCTCGTGTGTCAACTTCAAAGACATGACTGAATTAGAAAGTCTGATCGTACGGCAACTACCATGTAGAAACACGGAGGCAAGTTGGTGGTGATCTTGATGCCTTGGACTCGCCTGAGGGTACAGATGGAGATGAGAGCCAGGCCAACAAGAGACACGAACATGCACCCGAGCTTTCCAGCCATGGGGACATTCCCTTCTCCCATCGGATCGTTCCTCATTTCGAAGATGACTTTGGCCTTGCCGATAAGGACGGTGCCTTAGGAAGGTGAGGGGTCGTTGTATAGCATGTGGCCTAACAAAGCGGGAGAGGATTGGAAGTGGTTCATAAAAGAGACCGACCATGCAAGTGCCACGTTGGTGGTGAGCAGCCAAGATCGAAAAGGGTTTAGATGTTGCATCACAGGAAGACGGTGAAACCCACAGCCGCTCTGGGAAACATGGGAAACGGTGCAGGAAAGCGCGGCATGGCAGTGCACTACGAACCCTGTATGTGGAGAGAAAACGGCTAGTGGACTCGCTCTTTGGCTGCTCGAGCGAACCGGGCTCTGCGGGGCGCAAAATCTGATCGACGCGGATCCTGGCCGGTCGAGGGAGATCTGCGGGTGGCAAACTACTCAGCCGGCCCGCATTGAAGTCCTATTTGTACTCGAAGCGACGAAGACTTCTCGAAAGCGCCGTCTGCGTAAATGACGGATCTCCCACCAGGATCGGAGCCATCCCCCGTGGACGATTCGATCACGATGGTTACCGCTGGTAGGTGTTCGATAGATACCCGTCCCGAGACATGGTATACATGCTTATCTATGCCCCGCTCGGAACCACAGAAGCGTCCCCGTGTCGAGACTACACTGCTCTCGCGTTCCCCGCCCCCCACTCTGAGTAAAATGGCGGGGAAAGAGCAGCGTTGCATGCGGGCGGTCCAAATGTATGCCTATAGAAGATTGGAATTCGCGGCGATGAGTAGGAGCAGCCGGCGGGGAAGCAATTGATTTCCCGTGACCTCGTCACGAGAATGTCGATCAATCGAATGCTGGCCGATCGAATTGGTGTAGACGTCGCATTGCTCCGGTGAAGAGACTAGCGCTTAACCAGATTGAATACGGGGCGGAATCTGCGAAGCAGAATTGGCTATTTGAAGGTTAATGCAGTAAGAGACCCTTCATGTGGCGGCAAAGCAGGGCGACGATGCAAGCAAGAGAAGAAAAAGAAAAACCAAAGTTTCGGAGAATGCTAGCCCAGTGCCGTTAGATGGACAGATATACTTGGGCTAGGGGAATATAGACTCCCAAGCGAGGATCTGATTGGCAGCAGCGACGTCATCTTCTCGAAGAACGACAACCACGGGTCAGGCGGATTCCTTCAGAGCTTCTGATTACGGGGCTGCGGGCAGCCACGAGGCACGCTAGAACGAATGAGCGCCACCGGTCAGCAAGGCACGGCTATAATTGAGTTGTCGCAGCGTTATTGTCGCCCAGGGATTGGAAATCGGCATAGAGTGCCATTGGTCTATAAACGGGAGGTTGACAACTGTGGTACACAGAAACTTCGGCGGTGTGGAGGCTCAGGAACACCAGCTGAAAGAAGCTAGGCTATGGCGATACCGGAGTTGAGCAAAGAGCGCGAAGTGCTGACGGGCTGGATGACAAGGGCGGACAAAAGAATGAGTAACGGGACTCCCGGAGGCCAACTTTGAGCGCCGAGGCTAGGACTGGCCGCAGCCAGAAGGAGGTGATGGTTGCTGGCACTAGCTGGGCTGCGTATAGATGTCTGACAGATGTCAGGGCGAAAAGTCACGAAGAAGGTTGTCGTTGAGATTGCGGCTTGATTGCGCCATTGATCTGGATGCCGAGTTGCCGCGCCATGACGCACAGGCCGTGTGTCAAAATCTCACCTCTCAATGACTCCCGGCGGCTCTTTAATCCTCATTCCCCGAACTCTTATTTTGCTCCCGCTGCCAATCGAACAAAATTCCCGCAATGGACATCGAGAACAAGCTCGATCGCGATGCGCCCGACCTGGGCGGCAAGAAGCCCTCAAGCGGCCCCCTTACCCGACGACTAAAGGCCGAACTCAGCACCAATCACATGGACATTCCTATCTTGGCCTGTTGTCTCTGCTCCGGCTTGACTGACAGCACACTTTACAACGGTGAGTGCTCTGCAGCAATTAGCCCGTGTTAGAACCGAAAAACTGCATGATTCAAATGCTAACAACTTTCCACAGCGTACAGCACCTTCGTATCCATGCAAACCGGTAAGAAACCACAAAAAGGTACCCCACATACCAGCAATTCCTCCATGCTGAACCCCACGCAGGAAACACCATCTTCGTTGCCCTCGGCGCGTCGCACCAAAACACCAAACCGTACGGCTGGGCCCGTTCGCTGTGTTCCATCGGCTTCTTCGTGCTGGGGTCGTTCTTCTTTAGCCGGCTGGGGGCGCTACTAGGACCGAAGCGGCGCGGCACGCTGATAGCCTCGTTCTTGCTGCAATCCTGCCTCGTCATCGTCGCCGCCGCCATCGTGCAGGGCGGCGCCATCGACGGCACCGTCCCGCAGTCCAAGTCGGCCGCCACCGAGGTGCACTGGAACGAGCTGGCGCCCATCGCCCTCCTCAGCTTCCAGTCGGCCGCCCAGATCGTCTGCAGCCGCACCCTCGGCCTCAGCGAGGTCCCCACCGTCGTCGTCACCAGCTTGCTGTGCGACTTGATGAGCGACACGCAGATCTTGGCGTCGCTGACGGGGAATGTCAAGAGAAATCGCAGGGCTTCCGCTTTTATCTTGATCCTGGTGGGCGCTATCGCTGGTGGATGGATTTCAAAGGCTACGAGAGGGGTGCAGTATGCGTTGTGGGTTGTCGCTGGCGTCAAGCTTGGCATTACTCTTGGCTGGGTGTTGTGGAAAGAGAAGGTTTGATTTACCGGGGGGAAAAAGTTTCTGCATGGCGTTGCTGGGGTTTTCAAAAGGTACATTGATTGTTCCCTGTACTCCAAACACGTGAAGACTAGACTAGATGATAGATTAATTAGCACGTGAAAGCATCAGAGCCCATTCAAGTTGCTTGACTGAGTGCTGATTGGTCACTGATGTTTAGATAAAACATCCCTAATTATCTCAGACATAAGTGTGCGGCATATCTATCTTCGTTCATAAAGATACTTCGATCGGAAACCATCACAATCTTACTGCATTACAGGCAACTCGCGCAAAATTGTTCCGACTTACTCAACCTCACCCCTCTCCCTAAGAAACTCACGGTACTTGCTTGCGCACTTCCTCCTCCAACTCTTCCCGAAGATGCTCATTGGCACAGCAGCAAGCATGCTAGCCAGAACGCAAAGTCCGAAGAAGGTAAACGCCCATCCATACCCAGCCGCATTGATGAACGGCTGCACACTATACGAGATAGCGAAGTTGATGCACGACGAGCAAATCGCCAGCACGACGACCAGTTCACCGGAGATCTACACCACATTCGCAAACGTTAGCCAGTTCACTTCAACATACCTTGGTGCCATATCCAAATGCCAAAGAGAGAGATCATGCCATTGAGAATAAGGCAGGGCAGGAGAGAGGGGAGAAAAAGGAGGGCCTCCAAAAAAGGGGTGGATCAAAAAAACACCAACATACCGCCGGAAAGCAATCCATCGCATACGCCGTCGCGACCGCGCACGCGCTGACCTGGTGCGCAATCATGGCGCCCACACCAAAGGCAATGGTCAACCAGTGCGCCCCCGCCCGCGCGCCCCACCCGTACAGGAAGTAGCCCGCCGCGGCGTACACGGCGCTCGCGCACAGCGCCCACAGCCGCATCTCCGGTTCTTTCACGCCATTGTTGCGCCGCGCTAGGTGTAGGACTAGTGCGTCGCCGAATGGCCCGCCCGTCGCCCACCCCACGCCGTTGCCGACGAGCGCGGCGAGGAAGACCAGGCCGGTTGAGGTCGTGCTCCAGTTGTAGGGGGGTGAGGTGAGGATTTCGGAGACTGGGGGAGGGGAGGGGGGAAGTGTTAGTGTGGAGGAGAGGCTGAGGGGAGTGAGGGGGACGTACTGGTGTTGAAGGAGACGATGCCTGCGGTGCAGCCGAAGGCGAAGATGAAGCCGGACTTGGAAGTGTCAATGATGTGGTTCATGCCGTTGGTGAGGGGAAAGCAACTCACAATGACGACGTTTGGGAAGCCGAACAGGAAGAACGGCCGCCGGAAGTACTGCCACCACGTGGTCGTGTCCTGCGGATAGTATGTCCAGAGCTTAAGCTTCTGCACCGCGGTCCTTTTCGGAAAGTCGGGAAGTGTATCACCAACTTCAGCATCGACACCGCTCGCAGGCTGCTGCTCGGCGACGACACTTGCGTCCTTGCGGTCTGGGTCGGCCTTGTGCTGGCCACCATCACTCTCCACAGGCCTATCGGAGCTCCCACCCGCAGCAGCAGCACTGTGCCGCGCAAACAAGAAGCGCGGGAACATGGTCTCCTCAAACGAGATGACAAGCAGCACCAGCACCGCAGCATCAATAATGGCAACAATCCACTGACTCCAGCGCCAGCCCGGCCCGTCAGCGATGCTACCGCCGGTGATGAGGCCGAGGATGGAGCCCAGCTGCTGGCCGAAGAGGTAGTACGACAGGCCGCGGCCGCGCTCGTGCACGAAGAACATGTCGAAGACGCAGAGCTGGATTACGGCCTGGTACGCGCTGGTGCCGACCCCGTTGAGCACGTTCGACAGCATCCACTGCGCCGTCCCCGTGAAGTTGGCCGTCCAAATGCCTGCGCTCGTGCAGATGAGCGTCGTCAGCAGCAGCACCGGCCGGCGCCCGACCTTCATCGCTGTCGGGATCCAGAGGATGTTGACGAAGCCGAGGAGGAGGTAGTTGAGCGCGCTGCCGCCGTTCATGTTTGTGAGGGATACCCCTGTGTCTTCGCTGACGGTCGTCCAGGCGGCTGGGAGGGGTTAGTTGGGATCATGCGTGATGGGGATTGGAGGGGTTACGCACCGCCGAGAGTGTTTTCTCCGTATGAGAAGGCGCAGGCATAGAGTGCAAGTAGAAAAAGTTGGTAGTATTTCTTCCATTGCGGCCACGTCTTTGGGGATCAGTCAGCAGCCGCATGCTTATCCAAAACTTCACTTCTCCGCTAAATGGTACAGATGATCCGAGCAAGCCATCGAAGGTACGATTGACCTACCAATGTATCTCCGCCACAAACCGTCGGCTGTGGGATAAGCACAACGTCCGATCTACCCTTTCCCGCATGAGAGACGTCCAGGTGATGGCCGACTTTGATCAATCAGTTTTCGCTGTGAATTGCGATAGTGTTGGCAGTGCGTACCATCAACCAGATACTCAGTGCCAGGAACGTCCTCCTGTCCAGTACTCACAGTTGACGCCATGGCTGAAACTCTCAATTCGCTTTAGCGAACGCTTTCAGTAGTCGGCAGTTGAGGAATGGCCAAGCCATGTCTTTATATCTTGTTTCTCATAACGCGGAGAAAGGGAAGGAGTGGCAGGTCAAGTCCGCTTATCCCAAAAGTGGGAGAGATGATGCTGATTGCAGGTTGACAAGCCTGGAAGATATGTCACGTATGAACTGAGTGGACTATTCGCCTGCGCCTTTTGGAACCACCTTTGACCGTGAGTCCTAGATGGAAGGTCCAGGCGTGTGGCGGAGGACATGTGATTGGGCGGAGCGCGTCCAACCTACCCCGCTTCCTTATCATTGGCGATCAACTCCGCATGTATTCCAAACAACTTCACACACACCGAGATGGGGAATTCGTCGAGTAATTGTCACAGAACGTCAATATGCGTCGGAAAAAGTATCATGCAAAAGTCCTGTGTAAACCATGATGGTCAACAATTTCTTATTGTAGGCATGGGTTTTCACCTCATTCCTGTATCGTGGTCTAATTTAAAAGAACTTCTGCCCGACCAGGTCCTCGCTCAGCTCCCATAGCTTCTCGGCATACTCCTCGTTGGTAGCCCACTCAGCAGCATGTCCGAATTGGCAGTTCGAAAAGTATGGGTTTCCTCCGTATTCTATCATCATCAGCAATTGAAAACCCGTCTTCAAGGTTAAGACGCTGTACTCACTCTGCAAGGCAGGATCAAGCGCCGCCACCAACGTTGTAGATGCACCTTGGTCAAGGTCCTTCAGATAGACCGCGTGCATCTCAGCAGCCTTACGAGTGGTATCCTTCCCACCGAAGTCTCTGCTGCCGTTGGTCAAGATGACTGAAATCTGTCAGCCATGTAAAGAGATAGATTCCGGTGACGCTAACTTACCTCCCGGCTCAGCACTGTACGCAGCCGCCTTGCCTGCAAACTTCTTGTTCAGGGCAACCGCGGTCAGGATATTTGCCGTCTTGGTTTGCCCATATGCACGGAATCCGCTGTATCCATCCACAACTTGCAGCAGCTCGGCAGGGAAGTGGTCCGTGAGATCCGGGCCGCGCTCCGACTCGGGTAGCTCTGAGTCGGCCTTCTCGAGGTTCAAATCACTCCAGCGGATCGGGCTGGCGCGGTGCCCTTCGCTGGTCACGTTCACAATCCTCGCTTTTGCGCCGGCTGGAAACTTTTCGGCCAGGAGGTTGGTCAGCAGAAAGCCACCTAGGTGGTTCGCTGCGAATTGACCCTCGATACCCTCAGGCGAAGTGATGCGCTTGGATGGGGTCATAGCCGCATTGTTGATGATCACGTCGACTTGCGGTGCCACAGCCTTGATCTGGTCCGCGGCCTGCCGGACTGACTCTTGTGAGAGGAGATCGAGCGGGATGACTTCGATTTTGACGTTTGGGTACGTGGCACGAATCTCCGACGCAACGGCTTCGATGTTAGAAAGCGTACGTGAGGCCAGGATAAGTAGAGCCGGGGATTTCGAAGCAAGGGCCTTCGCAGTGGTTTCGCCGATGGAATCTTTGGAAATGCCAGTCACAACAACTACGAGGCTTGTCAGTGTCTGTAGAAAAACCAAGTGAGAGTAATTTGGAACATTCGTGAGATATCAATCACTTACAGTAACGATTCTTGATCTCGCTGCTAAAGGTTTCCGCGACCTCCGTGGCCGGAGTCCTTTCGTTGAAGTGGGTGTGAGAAGTCATAGTCAACGGTTGCTTCTAATTTGAAGCTATCAGACGAGTTCGTAAACCAAGCTGTTGTTTTTGTAGACTTCGACTTTGCTAATTACAAGCAACCATGAGCTTTTATATACGAAAGAAGCACAAACAACTAACATGTCGGCCTAAGGAACGTTCTGCTTCCGAAAGCTACCATGACTTTGGTAGCTTAGAAATCAGGCCCCTTTCGATACCTGAGCCTCGGTGCCTGGGGCTTAAGTTTCAACTCGAGTCAATAGTAGTAGCTACAGAAAAGAAGATACTTCCGGCCCCGCGCTGCATACGCCTGCGCTCAAAAGGTTGTTATGAATCGAAAGCTTGGCAGGACCGGGAAAAACTACGGTTTACGGTTGCTAATAAGTAACGAGCGACGAGCCAACTGGTCAAACCCGCCGCTACCCTCCATTTTGGTACTCAACTTACCCACTATATACACTGGTGGGGCTCGTCGCTTTACTTGTTTGCTCGTTCGCTCGCTCGTTCTTTCGCTCGTTCTTTCGCTTGTCCTTTCGTTCATCCGTTCGCTTGTCCTTTCGTTCGTCCGTTTGCTCATTCGTCCGTTCGTCCGTTCGCTCGTTTGTCCGTTCGCTTGTTTCTCCGTTCCCTCGTTCGTCCGTTCGCTCATTCTTTTACTCGTTCTTTCGCTCGTTATCGGCAACCGTAAAAACCTTAACAACCACGTCTGAAAACCTACGTGGCTAACAGCACCAAGCAGGCATAACCGGCAAAAACCTGAGCAACCGCTACCTATAACCCCAAGGCCCTCAAAAAAAAAACCCCCCGAACAGCCGGTACGCGAGAGAAAACTGATGTTCTTGCGCCCTTCCTGTCTGCTTTGACGGACCCTGCATATTCCTGTTCTACCAAGGCATTTGCAGCAGTAGGCGGAGTTGCAAACGGTTATCCTCTGACAGAACAAAGTGGGGAAGAGGAGGGGGAGGAGTGTCAGTAATTCAAAAAGTAAGAGACAAAAAAAAAGGCAAAACTGTACCCCGCTACATGCGGGTTAAGCTCAGAAAGACTCCTTGGGACCGTCTTTTTTGCCTTCCCTAGCCCATGTTCGAACCTTCGACCTCTTTATTACCCACAGAGGACGGGTGGAAACTTGGGCTGCCCTACGTAAACCTTCAGGCTCTCATTTAACCAAGCACCACCTCTTCGAGCGTAGCTAGCATACCGGGATGGCTGCCTGAGTGGTTTATATATCAACACCACTCGTTCCTGTAGGATGTAGCGGGCTATTATGACGTTGGTGCCGCAGTAGAAAGGCACTTCGACGATGGCAATAGCAGTGCCAGTCATCAGACCCAGGAAATATTCTTGGATACCAGAGCTTTGATGTCCGACTGGTGCCTGAGCCCCTCGCTACTGAACTCGCACTTCGACTCCGTCTGGGATCCTCCGCCATGTCACACAGCTCATCACATCAACTTGCCGTCCGCCTCGATGAGATCGTTATCCAACTTTCCGCAACACACATGTACATGCTGTCGACATGTAGGTCAGTTCCAGACTTTGACATGGTGTTAGCGAAGCCAATCTCTACGATAGACAACCTCGCCGTGTTCTCGGGGGAATTCTTCAGATGCTTCAACCGTCAGATGCTCATTGGGAGAAATGCAGGATTGCAATCAACCGCCTTTAGTGCGCGGACTAATCACTTCGACCTTAACAGCTTAAGTATCCTCCTTCGCGCGACGGAGAGATGGAACGCTCTTTGGGAAGTTACGACCCAAGGTAAAAGGCCAGATCAAGTTACCCCTGCTAGCCTCCTTAAGTATGCCGCCGAAATTTGCCGGTTGGTACGAGCAGTCATCAGGACCGCACAGGCGGGAGATCGGAGCTGTTCATGCGGCTGTCGCAATAGATTCGTTTATAGAGCTTCACGAGTTCATTTAGCAGCAGGAATATCCGTGACTTGGGCTAATTCAGAGATCTTGCAGTTGGTAAACCAACGTGATTTTTTATTCGTTGGGGAGGAGATGAGGGAGGCTCTCTTATACTTGGTACATCCTGGCTTCGCTTATAGAGCTTAATACAACTTAGTATACAATATGTCTTGCTGAATCAACTGAGCCAAAAGGCAATGAGGAAGCTGTGAGTCGCCTCTGTGGCATATGTCATCGTTATAGCAGGTCCGTGCTGTAAGCCTTGGCTTTAGAGCTTTGCTTCCAGTGTGGGGGATCAGAGCGGACCAAGACCGAGTTTTGAGAGAAGAACAATAAGAGCAGAAGAATTAAACAAGAAAAAATGGTACTAGCGCCTGGGCGTCTTCTCTTCGGGTTCTGAGCGCGAAGAGTTCCCCGCATTTTCTTTCGTATTTCCCCGCATCTTCTCATCTTGGACCATCCTCGCGATTAATTGTCCCGACACAAGCGAGTTGGACGGGATGCCTGGGTACAAGTATTTATGTCAATTTTTCCAAGTACTTTAGTGTTGCTCTTACTGCAGCTTTCCAGCTTTTCAAGAGACCAGGATGAGGATTGGCACGCTGTTTGCACATTTATCTCTCTGTTTTGCGGCTTCTTCACAGAGCCAATCTACAGAGGAGCCATGGAAACGGTACATTTACAGCCCGAGCAGCCGAACAGTCAGTCCGGTTTCAATTCACGCCCTTTCAGGAGACGCAGTAATCACATCGGATGCCAACGGATATGTGCTATCTCTGAACCCTGGAGCTCAAGTCAGTCTTGATTACGGAATTGAGGTGGGCGGACTTGTGAGTTTCAACACAGCGACCGAGAATGAAGCAGGGGCTCAATTGTCTCTTGCTTTCGCGGAATCTCCACTCAACGTCAGAGCGATATCGGACGATGCCACCGGGTCTGTATCGACACAGGACTGGGATAGGGAGCTGAATGTCAGCGTATCGGCAGGGCAGACTCGGTACACAATGCCGCAGGAAAAGTTCCGAGGAGGGTTCCGCTTCATGACGGTCGTGGCGAAATCTCGAGTGGAAGTGTCAAACATCAGCTGCGCCATTGGTTTCTCACCGTCGCAACCGGACTTACGGGACTACTCTGGATTTTTCTGGGCACCAGAAGACGACTTGCTCACGAGGATCTGGTACGCTGGAGCATATACAGTGCAAACAAACATAGGTCCACTGGACACCGGCCGCTTCCTGCCGCAGGTCAGACCCGGCTGGGCATACAACTCCAGCACTGGAGTAGCCGGCCCAATCCTGATGGATGGAGCCAAACGAGACCGCGCAGTGTGGCCAGGAGACCACGGCTTAACCGGAAACACAGCCTTCCTCGCGCTGGGCGACGCAGGACTGGAAGCCTTCAGAAACGCACTCGAGACCATGTTCTACCACCAGAACAGCACCACCGGGCGATTCCCCTACGCCGGGCCCTCGACCCGGTCCTTCAACGGCGGCAACGCGAGCGACACGTACCACGCCTGGAACCTCATCTCCATCTTCAACTACGCCATCTTCACCGGCGACGAAGCCTGGCTCGACGAGCACTGGACCAACATCACGCGCGGCGTCGACTACATCCTCGCCGGCCTCGACAACGACATCGGCCTGCACAACCAAAGCACGCGGTACGACTGGGGCCGGCAGGGCGCAGGCGGCTACAACAGCGCCCTCAACGCCCTCGACTACCACGCCCTGACCTCGCTCTCCTCCCTCGCCACTTCCCTCAACCGCAGCACCGACCTCGCCGCCGCCTGGTCCGCCGCCGCCTCCCGCCTGCAAGAGGCCTACAACACGCACCTCTGGGACGACGCCGCCGGGCTCTACCGCGACAACACAACAACGACCCTCCACCCACAAGACGGCAACGCCCTCGCCCTCCTCTACAACCTCCCCGGCACCGCCCACCCCGCTCGCTCTGCCGCCATCAGCGCCGCCCTGACACGCAACTGGAACGCCATCGGCCCCGTCACGCCCGAACTCCCGGACGTGATATCGTCCTTCATCTCCAGCGTCGAGGTCATGGCGCACCTGTCGTCGTCCCAGTCCTCCTCGTCCTCGGAAATGGCTGCTCGAGGTCTGACCTTGATCCGCCGCCTCTGGTCCTTCCTCCTCGACGCGCCCACCATGACCGGCTGCACGCTGGCCGAGGGCCTCGCCGCCAACGGCAGTCTCCATTACCGCGGCGCGTCCGGGTATAACTTCGATCCGGCGTACACGAGTATGGCGCACGGGTGGGCGTCGGGCCCGACGATTGCGCTGTCGACGAGGGTGGCTGGGTTGGAAGTGGTCGGGTGGCGGCGGTGGAGGTTTGATCCAGCGCCTGGAGGGTTGACGAGGGTCGAGGCGGGGTTTAAGGGCCCGCTGGGGGAGTTTCGGGTCGGGTGGGAGGTGCTGGAGGGGGGTGTGTTGGAGGCGAATGTGACGACGCCGGAGGGGACGGAGGGGGGGATGGAGGGGCTGGTGGAGAAGTGTGAGGGTGTGGAGGTGGACGGGGTGGGGTATGAGGGGGGAGTGGTGGTGGGAGGGGGAGGGACGAAGAGGGTGAGGGCGGTGGGGTGTGTTGGCTTGTAGCAAGCTGATCTGGAGTGACTCGGTCGGGCGAGGTAGATGCTTGGACCTTGGAATTGGGGCTGTTTAGAGCAATAAAAACTTCCAGTCTACTGGAGTAATGGGAATCACTCTCAAGCAGTGTTTGCCTACGCTGTGAATTTGGTCTTCGGATCAGGGGCTTTTGTTGTTGGCTTGAGCGCTGAAGCACTGTTCCTTTTTTCCCCTTCACTCTTCTAGAACGACATCAGTCTTGATCAAACCAAGGCCTAAGCTGCAGGCCGATTTTGTGGAGTAGAATACGCGTCAACGTGGCACAAGCTTCTGTCGATGAGTAGAGAGCATGCCTTGGAGAATCGAAACTCTTATTTCTGAAGGTTGCCTCTCCAGCCACAATTGCCGGCAAGAAGGCCAAGATAGCTCATATAATGCAGTTTCGTACTAGTATTATACATTGTGTTCTATAACGTTTGTACAGGGTCCCGCCTGACAGGACAAATGTAATCGGGTCTTCGTATCATAATCCTCAATTCCATCGCCGTCGATAAGCCCATTCAAACCCCCTGCTCCGCAGGTAAGGGAGTCGGAAATCAATCCTCTCCACACATTTAGGTCATCTGGCAGATCTGGGGCTTCTCGGTCTCCTGGGTGGCAATCTCGAAGGGGATGCACTCCTGCTTGCCCGTCTCCTTGGCGTAGGCGGCCTCGGAGTAGACGCTGTAGACCTTGTCCTCCTCGCTGGGGCACGCCAGCCAAGTCGACGTCTTGTAGAGCAGGTGCTGGACGTCGTCGGTGGTGCTCTGGGAGAAGCCGATGATCGAGTCGTCGGCCGTGAGGTTGTACGGGTAGTTCTTGTACGAGAGGATGCCGCCCGCAGCGCCGGCGTTGTCGATGTAGACTGAGAGATGTCGGGTTAGTATGAATGTCCAGCATGAACAGGGATTGGTGGATGCTTACCCATCTGGTCGGCGACCATGCCGTTTCCGTAAGTCGTGATGGTGCCGTTGGTGTTGACAAAGGTGGGAGCGGTGTTGGTGCCGCAGGTGGTGTTGGTCTGCTTGGCACCAAGCAGGAACCTGCCCTTGGTGCCGCGGACGAATTCGCCGTCGAAAGAGGCACCCTTCGAAAGAGCCAGCAAGCGGAAGGGAGTGGCGGCGGCAGCAGCGGAGCCAGCCACGGCGAGAACGGAAGCGACGACAGCGGAGGTCTTCATGATGATTCGTTTGGTGAAAAGAATGTAAAGGTCGGTTATTCTGTAGAGAACGACTGTGGTGGTGAGGATAAGGCTGAGGGTGTGGCGCGAAGCCTCTTATACCGGCGCGGGTGAGGCGTCGGCATTGTAGAGGTGCCGTGCGAAAAGGGAAGTTGATCGACGGATGCGCAATAATTTACCGGCACGTTGTGTCATTGTGGCCAGTGCGCGCCCCTTCATACAGGCGTTTTAATCAAATGACTTATCGATAAAGAAGTTTCTTTGAACATCCGGAGGCAAAGGAGTCGGAGGATTGGATGTTTGGGGCAGTGGTAATGTCGGGGAGATGAGCGAAGGAAGAAGCCGATGTGCGGTGAGCGTGGCCGGTGAACCGTTGGGAGACAGTGCGCTGCGGCTGGCCACCGAGGGTTCCGATCGCAACGGGTGCCTTGGCCTTCCGCTGGCAGATTGCTATCCGTGAGCAGGGCTGAAACGTGTTGGGACTCTTCCCACAGGCGCACTTGGACTACTGACAGGGAGGCAATAGCATTGCTCGGTGATAATGAGGTCTGGTGTGGTCGGGATTGCTGTGAAAATTGCTGCTTACAACCGCTCAAATTTGCTTGAGTGAGTGGGGTTGAGGTTCTAGATCCAAGTTGTTGATTGCTGGATGGTCTCCTGGGCACATGGTGGCCACCCGGCGAAAGGCAATCTACAAGGCGACCAGAGACTTGTTCTCCTGACAGCCCTTGACCCCGACTATCACTTTGAGCAGCGGAAATTCCTACTCCCTATGTCATCAAGGAGACTACGCCAAGCTTTGAGAGAACACATCTTGATCGATGCTTCCCGACTGGATTTTCAGACCCGATCTGGAGAAAGCTTAGCGAGCGAGACGAACAGCACGATCTCCAGATAATCCATAGGCTAGTACATCAATACCAAAAAGATCTAGATGATTATCCCAGGTCACAATCAGAAAAGTATCACGAGAATGGAGAAGTAGGTGCCGCGACTCGTCTGACGGGTGTTTGACAACAGTTTTCATTCTTTGACTGGCTACAATGGCACGGCTTTCAAGACATTCAACAAGACATGAAGATTTGTTTACACCTTCCGTGAGACCTAGCTTTCCTCCACGTAGACTATAAAAATAGGGCAATTTTTCTCTTAGAGTATTTAGCTTGCAACGAAGGAGTTCACCAGTCAAGAATACAAAGCGTAAAGGAAAGACATGCATTGTCACTTTACTTCCAATGCTAAACTACGTGTTTACTCATGTATGTACATATATCGGACCCCAATACCAGCTTCCTCACCGAAGTCCAGGAAGCTTCCCGCCTTTCTGCCAATAAGTGACATAATTGAAGCCCTGAGCATCGTAGTAAGGGCCCAGGGTGATGGTATCACCACCAGCGGTAGCCTCAAAAGCCAATGCATCATCGCTCGTCCGCTTCACCGTCGACAAGTCAAGGGTAGGGTTGCCGTCAGGCTTCGTCGTGCCGTAGTTTCCTGCCAAAACAACGGGGCCGTACGCCAGCGCCACGACCGACTCGTCGTCATTCGCAGGCACGATCCTAAAGTCCATCGGAATCACCACCGTCACCTCATCGCCGTCCTGCCACTCGCGCGACACAACGGCATACGCTCCCGACGCGGTAGCGACATCGGCCTTCGCGCCGTTGACGTAAATCTCAGCGCCCTCGGTCCACGCGGGAATGCGGACGTTCAGGTCCCAGCTGCCCTCGCTGCTGCCGCTCACCTTCAGCGTCGAGTTCTCAGCAACCGGGTACGTCGTCGTCTGCTCGACGGAGATGCCGCGGTTCTTCCAGTTCAGGGTCGACGGCGCGAACAGGTTGACGTAGAGGGCCGAGTCGTCGGCGTTGCGGAAGTAGATGGAGTCCATGAGCTTGGTGTTTGTCTCGACGCCGGTGCCCTGGCAGCACCAGAAGCTGTCGTAGTCGGTGCTCCACGTGCCGCCGCCCCAGGCCGGACCGATTCCACGCACGCCGCCGGCGTCGAGCGAGTTGAAGTACGTCACGTGGCCGTGCGCGCTCTCCGGGTCCTGCTGGCCGACCATCTGGTTCGTCAGCGTCAGCTCGTAGAAGTCGAAGTAGGAGGATGCGCTGGGGTCCGTCGCCCAGAGTTCGCGCGTCAGCTTGAGCATGTTGTACGAGTTGCACGACTCGGCCGTGTCGGTGTCGAGGTAGGCGGCGATGGCGTTGGGCTCGTGGAAGTGCTCGGCCTTGCTGTTGCCGCCGATGGCGTACGTGTGCGCCTTGACGGTGATGTCCCACGCGTTGCGCGCGATGTCGTGGTAGGTGGTGTTGCCCGTCGCCTTGTACTCGCGCTCCGCCCCGATCCACTTGGGCACCTGCGTGTTGGCGTGCAGCCCGTCCAGTTGGTCCTGGTTGTTCGCCAGCGGCGTCAGCACTTTGTCGTGCTCGAACCGCTTGGCCACGGTGAGCCAGTGCTCGTCACCCGACTGGTAGTACAGGTCGGCCAGGACCTCACTCATGCCGCCGAATTCCGTGTTCAGGATCGTTTGCATGTGCGAGTAGGTCAGGTTCTCCGTGCGGGTGTCGACCCAGCCGGCCAGCGCCAGCACTACCTCCTTCGCCGTCTCGTCGCCGATGCTGCGCCAGACGTCCAGCAGGCCGGCCATGAGCTTGTGGACGACGTAATAAGGGACGTTTCCGTTGGTCATGGTTCCGGCCTCGAGATCGTCGAAGTCGGACTCCGGGAAGCCAGATAGATAGCCTGCGGTGAATCCGGCGGCATCGTTGTTGTTCTGGCACTTGAGGAGCTCCTCTGCAAACTGAACGGCACGATCGCGGCATTCAGTGTCACCGGTGGTAGACCAGCATTGAGCCCACGCAGTCAAGAAGTGACCCTGAGCGTGGCTGCGAAAGGGGAAGTCAGGCGCATCCCAACCGCCATTGGTGGCAGCTCCGTTGGTGGACAATCCATGCGTTATGCGGTAGTTGTAGAGAAGGCGGTCGAGATCGACGAACTTGAGGTAAGTCCGAGTGCGCTCCTGGTTTTCCTGCCATCGGCCAGTGTTCAGTGATACTTGGCTGATGTCGAACGCATAGGCCGAAACACCCTGTTCAGCTTTGACTGGCGGTGCGGCCTGAGCAGCTGCGCCAGAGGCGAGCAACGCCAGAGCCGCTGCAATTGAAAGTGGAGTCGGCATCGTGCTGCAATTGATCGGGAACGTGATGCATGGGTAGCTGGGAAACAAGAGACTTTGAATATATACGATGCTTCGTATACATGGTTTGCATCGGCCGTTGTTTGGGCCGGTGGGCGACGATGTCGGGACGATCAACGCGTGACACCGAGACATTCCGGTGGGCTGAATCGTTGCTCCACCCTCTAAGATCTCGTAGGGCCAAGGCCCGGTGGTGGGTTTCCCCGGAGCGCCCGCTTCCCCATGTCATTCGTTCTCCGGAAACACGCTTCACCTTCCTGGCCTGGTTAGCGCCAGCGAAAGAGCCAATATACGGTGCGGGGAAATTCTTGGCGGCTTGCCTTTTACCGCCTCTACCTCGCATCTATAGCTTTAGCTGATGTAACAATCTTGTCATCCAAAATAGTGAGAGGCCCAGATCTGTGCAAAGTAATAGGTTGGTACCAGTCGGCTTGGCATCAGCCTCCTGGCACATACACACAATTTAGCGTGCGATATCCAGGAGTAGAATGGATGAGAGGAATAAAGATTTGAGAAGAAATCACACCGAAGTCCGAGAGCTATCCATATCGAGATCGCACCCGGCTGCTAAAAAAAAAATGATTTGAATTAGCCAGGAGTAACGACATCACACCTAGCACCTTTTGCTTCGTGTCTGCACGAACACGGCTTCCCACCTTCACGATGGATAGATCGAGAGATCAGACATCTGTTCCAATCAGCCCTTACCGACCAGCAGCATAGGCGACCTGCAAACAGCCGATTCCACCACCACATCCCTCCGGAGGACATCCACATCCACATCCAAACCAGAAAAAAATCTACAGCTTCCCAGCCTGCTGATGGCCCTCCTTCCTCAACTCACCCACGACCTCCTCCGCCCCCCGGAGCCCCGACCTAACCGCACCCTCCATGTACCCCCTCCACACCTCCGCCGTCTCCGCGCCCACGAAATGCACCCTCCCAAACGTCTCCGTCAGCGCCCCCCGCACCTCCGTCAGCACTCCCGGTCCCATCACCGGCACGGGGCCACCCCCAAAGTACTTCCTCCCCACCCACTCCCCCTCAACGTACGCCACCGGCTCCGGCACTGCCTTCTCCCCGCCCGCCATCACGGCGCCGAAGCCGTGGCGCAGCTGCTCGACGACGGCCTTTTTGCGTTCTTCGGCCGTCGGCAGCGCCGCCCACCGCCGGCCCGGCGCGCCGACGATGGAACCCGTGATGCTCCAGTGGTTGGTGGATGGCACCGAAGTGCTGCGCGAGTAGATGACGGGGCCGAGGATGGACTCGAAGATGGCGTTGAGCGGCCCGACGGCGGCGCTGGCGTCGTCGCGCCACCAGGGGCGGTCGTAGACCAGCGTCGCCTTGCCGAAGCAGCCCATGTGCGCGGAGTCAGCGAGGCGCTGCTTCGCGGGCGGCAGGGCGGGCGTGAAGGACAGCGAGCGGTGCTGCGGCGTCGGCACGGCGAGGACGGCGCGGGCGCCGCGGAACGAGTGGCCGGAGGTCGTGGTCACGGTGACGGAGGTTGACGATGTGGTCGACTGGTCGATGGACGCCACGGGCGACGAGAGGCGGACGGTTCCGGGGGTTAGTTCGGCGGCCAGGCTGGTCGCGATGCGCTGGGTGCCCTCGCGGATGCGTAAGTGCTGGCCGCCGCCAGCGCGCGCGGCCATCATGTTCTGCAGCCCCGTGCCGGCGGCGCAGAAGGCGAGGAACCAGAGCGCGCTGACCTCGTCGGCTTCGGCGCCGAGGAGGTAGCGCACCGATGCGTTGAGGAGGAGTGGGATCAGAGGGGCCGACGAGGACGCGTGCTGCGCGCAGAACTGCGCAAGCGTGATGCTGTCGAGTTCCGCGGCCGAGGGGTGGGTCCATGGTTTGGCGGGGTCGATGGAGGAGACGGTGGCGCCGAGGTGTGCGTAGAAGGAGGCCATGGCTTTGAGCTCGTCGGGCGTGAGCTGTGGGGGGAGCTGTTAGCGTGGTGTCAAGAGGCCGTTGGCTTGCTTGCCTTTTTGTTGCCTTCTGTCCCTGTCAGGATCCCACCGTCTTCCATTTCCCTCAACAGCTCGCCTTCGGAGTTTTGCTCTTCGGTCGTCAGGCCGAAGCGCTGCACCAGGCCCCAGATGGCCGATTGGGTTGTGTTGTTCAACCATGCTGCGCCGACATCAATGGCAACTTTGCTGTCGGTAGAACCTGGGTACTGGTCAACCGAGAGCAGCATGCCACCCACGCGGTCCTCCGCCTCGAGTACAATGCATGAGTATCCTGCCCGCTGGATTTCGCGTGCTGCCGTGAGCCCGCTGAGGCCTGCACCAATGACGATTACGTCCGCTGTCTCGGCTGCCATGGTGAATCACAGAGCAGTGTATGCTGATAGAGGACGATGAGTTTAGGGCCATGGTGGACTTTTGTAGTCTGACGTTGAATGTAGCCGCCGAGATCCGGTCTCGGAAACGGATGCTGCGGGGGCCGAGCCAAGGTGGAGAAGGTGGAGCGGGGCATGCACAACGTTGTATATCTAAACCGCTGCCCTGCAAGAATGCCTTATCTCCCCACAAAATGAGACATTCTACCTCCGTCTGTCAGAAATCTATGACGCCTGTGCTGACGCGAGCATGCACAATGTCTTGTGGGTGCATCAAAGTGGCCAACCACGACATCTTGGCGACGTTTCCGAAGCCTAATGTGCAAGGAGCATTTGTTGATTACTTTATTCGAGCCTATCTCCTCGGCTGTTGACGTCCTCCGCCACATCCTCCGCTACGTCATCCAATCTCTTTTTTAGGTCTAGCGCCTGCCTATATAGACTTTCGTATATGTTCTGACCAATAGATAAGCTACGATAAAGATTAGCTATATATCGGAGGGCCTGGCGAAGGACTTCGACAGCTGAAGAGATAGTGTTGCTGTTGTGGAGTAATTCGGAAGCCGCCATTTTGGTCGCCTGTATAATCAGTCGCATAGCTGTGGACAGAGACATGCTTGCGAAATCATTCTTTATCTCAGATTTTGTACGTCGCTCCTGACGTCTCCTTTTTCGCCTTCTATCCATCATCAAGTAGGTGTGAAGATGAGTTGATCGACAGCAGTGCCAGTCTAACTGAAACCGGTAAGCGCTAATCTGAACACTATGCAGCATGGATCGACCTTGGAAGATCAAGCCTTGCAGGGCAGTCAAAATGGAAATGTTGAAATCTAGATCCAAGTACAGAACATCCGCCCAGCTCAGCTCCAGACATGTAGCCTTTGCGTCTCGCCCCCTATTGCGTTGCGTAACACGTTGGCCGACCCCGTCGTCGCCAAAATCCTCCAACTCAAACGGGCAAAGCTGTGTCGACATACCGCCCAGCATCGTCTTCCTCTGCTGCATGCACTGGCTGATCGACAGGCTGATCGTCTGCCTTTTGCGGCGGAGGGGTTATTGGAGCTGCTGTTCTTTTCCACATGAAACCTGAGTCGTTTGCATCCTTTTCGCCAGTCACATCCCCTTCGTTGGTAACCGCTACGAGGCTGTTATTAGTTAAGAACGGTGCATTTCAGAAAAATACCTACAAATTTGTGGAAGCGGAGCTGCATTAGTAAGAAAAGCCGAAGCTGTGATAAGAAGGGCTGTGATAAGTTTGCCGTTCATGTTGATCGGTCGTGTGGATTGGTTCTGCGAGGTATCGTTTTATTGTGTTCTTGAAAAGTCTGGCTTGTCTGGTGATGGTCCTGCTGGGCTTCGGTCACTTTAAATATTCAAACTCATGGCATGTTTTTCTTCTTGATACAGCGTTAAGACCGCGCACTGCCCCACGGGGCTAGGTCTCTGCATACATCGCGCCATAAATAGCAAATTGTACTTGTATACTATGGCTACCGCTGCGCTTGAGGAACTCTCAGCCTCGTTCTCACGTCGCACACTAGAGCGGCTGAGCTTGTGATACCTCTCGCTCTGTCCGGTTGTGTTTCTCAAAGGGGCCATTTGTGCTACGAACATCAACCTCACGACATCGAAATAGTATCAGAAAAATACTCAGTTGAGCTGTCAAAATACGTGGCGAGTAGCAAGTTCTTCGACATAGCTTTTTTAAACTACGCCCATCGCCACATTTTCCTACGCTACGAAAGTGTTATTAGCCGTATACATGTTCAATCAGCAGGCACCCCCTGTCTTGGCCCCTATTCCAGTGTTGCTCCTTTTCCGATAGTTGAGTATCAGTCTCCAGGCTCCAGCAATGTCTTGTCTCTCAGCCTTGCCACTCTGAATTCTGTACAACACAAAGTATGCCATCGGTATCACGTTCTAATTTCATTCATCTGCTACAGAGAAGGTAGGAGCAAGAAGGCTGTGAGAAAGGCAAAAGCTTCTGTGTTTCGTCCAAGGCCAAGGTTTGAAGTGAAAATGTGTACTGCTATGGAAAATTCCACGAAATCTTGCTGAGAAAAGGAAAGACAAAACAGTGTCCATACAGAAGTGCAGGGCGCTAAGAATTTACTTAAATGGCTTCGGAACAGATAAGCTACTGAATTTCTGAATTTTCGTTACTGTTACGGATGCTTCTCGCGTCTAACGTTACTTGGAAGAATAAACAAAGGGTTTGGGTTGGTAGAAGGGACGATACGCTACGTCTTGTCCGCGGGTGTCATGCAATCCCCTCAGAACTGTCGTTCAAGGTTGAGAAATTTTTTCTCTTGCTGACACTCACCCAGTGGAAGTTTCCGCGCCGTTTCGCTGCTTCAGAGTCACGTCCTTCTGCGATGCGTCATGGGCGGAACCTTTTCCGCCCATTTTCGAGCTAGCATGAGACATGCTTGTCTTCACTGCAACGCAAGTCGGGCCTCATACCTCGACAGCCTGGTCCTCCCAATACAGCTGCGCGTCAAGCCCCCTGCCAACTGCATCGTCATTCGCTCGCGATCTGTCAGTGCTTGCCAAAATGTCGCAACCCCCGTGTTGGTACGTGCATTCTTAACAGCCATTCCGCCTCACCAGCGCGGGTAAGCTTGCCTCCGCCGCCAAAAAGCGGTACGTAAACGCCGCCTCGATCGTCGTCGCCGGTCGCTCGCAGCCCCCACAAGTCTCCTCTGCTCCGACGTAAGAAAGGGCGCGCCAATTTCCGGGACCTGAAACCGAGTGACGGAGGCTAGTATGCTGGTTGCTGAAGGACGGAAATAGCGGCCAGTTTTGCGTCAGCGGCTGACGTTCTTCGCGTCGTCATTCTGCGCATATCCTGCTCGAAACGTGCGCGACAGCCGCCCGCTTCCTGCCAACCAGTCGCTCGCTCGTTGTCAGACAGGCGAAAGAGAGAGGACGAAAGAAAGGGAGAAAAAGTCAAAAAGTACGCCGTCGAAGCCAAGCCTTTCCTAAGCTTCGTTCGGCGCCGAACCGCAGCACTGGGGGGCGTCCCTTGGAACCAGAAAAAAAAAGGAAAAAAGAAATCCTGGAAGCCGTCGGTCCCGATCCGACCCGTCCGCAACCAGTTGACTCGCAACGAAACGAAAGAAAGCCTTGCCCCAACCGTTCGACCGGGGAAAACAGTCACCCTCCCGCTCTGCAAGCCATCGTCATTGTATCATCAACAACGATGCGATAAGCGTGACTGTCAGGCGATGCAAGGAGAAGTGTGGAGGAGAGAGGACCACGAAAATGCCCACCGTGCACTAGAAACCCAAAAAGGAAATAGCTTGTACGTAAAACCACGGATGCCCTCCCCTCCCCCCAAGACGTCACGTCAGCCCCCATCATCACCAACAACCATTTACGCTTTTTACCGGGCGTCAAAAGCGGTGTTGGTGTTGGGACGTGGTGAAAAGCAATAGAACAGCTTTCTATTTCATTACCACATCATGCGGGGAAAATCGGGGCGTGCCCCAATTTCTCTGGGGTAACAGAAACTCCACAACCCTGGGGTTTGGGGGGAAAGGCGACCTGGGGAAAAAGGATCGTGCTTCTAAGTCACGCGGTCGCGCCCGATGGCTCACGAACGGACCAGGCTTGGCTTCCATTCCTTTCAAGGGGTAAACGGCATGACGGGTCTGGGGAAAATGGGGTAAAGAATGGAGATGGAGACCGGATTGCGGGGCGGTAAGGGACCGATTTTGGGCAGCAACCGGGGGGAAAAACAAGTCGGTGAGTCTTTGACTTCTATCATTAGTATTGTGGCTTGCGAAAGAGAGGGAGACTTACGTTTTTCTCCGAGCTCGTGGTGGTGTGGACTGGATCGCGTGATGTGCACGTGCGTGTTCAAGAGAAGGGGGCTTTCCACGTTTCCCCTACACTCCCGTTAAGCTGGAGTTGAGTGCTAAAGTGAAGGCCGGCTAGAAGGTGGCATGTAGAACTCCTTCGTTGCAATAAATCAAGAATTTGTAGTGTCTGGATTCCAATCTGTTCACAAAGACAACGGCCAAAGTAGTATGATGTTTGTTTCATTAGTTATGTAGTTTCTTTCTCATACTCTCATCTCAAGATGGATGCTTCGCTGTAGCAATCCTCTCGCCTAACGTGTCAAAAAAATCGTATATATACATTCACATGAGCGCCCCCAATTGCTTCATAATACAGGTAAAAAGAACATGACAATCATTTCGAGTTGTCAGCACAGCTCCAGCTCGCACCGGACGAGTCGATGGACATCTGGTAGCCGGAGGCGTACAGGCCAACACCGAAGATGATGATGGCGATGACGATGAGGCAGAAGCTGGAGAAGGCGCAGAGGATCTGCTTGGGGCCGTTGAACCAGCGGCCCTTGTTGAGGTGGAACCACAGGAAACCGGGGATGCCGTACGAGAACCACGACGCGCACAGGGCGCTGACGAAGCCGAGCAGGTCGCTGAAGTTGGGGATCGACGAGGCGATAATCCACGAGATGGTCCACGTGCCGACGCCCAGGCCGATCCACGAGCCCGTCGCCACGACGCCGCGGCTGTGCAGGTACTTGGTGCCGGCGAACATGCGCAGGTAGACGTACTTGGCCGTGACGTGGGCGAAGATGACACCGGCGATGACGATCTGTGATGGGCGTTAGCAAAGTGTGCTTGTGTCGTTGGAGTATGGGGGGGTTGACGTACGGTGGGCATGGCAATTCCCCAGGCAACCTTGCTGACGACGGCGCTGTTGGCGCTGAGAGCAGGGCTGGGGACGTCCTCGCCGGCGTAGCGGTAGATGGTCAGGGCGGCAATGACGTAAAGCGTGGTATCGATGGATTGCAGAGTATACAGGGCCTTGGGGAACTCCTCGGGGTTGCGGAACTCGCTGATGAAGCTGAGCCATGCGACGTGGCCACCATAGGCGAAGACGGCGTTGGAAATGCTGTTGAAGGCCGAGGGGAAGCTGGGGTGGTAGACGCCGTCCATCTCGGAGTAGGAGGCCTTGGGAGCAACGCCGAGGGCAATGATGGTGAGCAGAACAGCGGAAAGAATGCTCAGGAAGGCTGGAGAATGGTCAGCGAATTTCGGGTTAGCACGGAAAGTGAAACGTACAGATGATGGACAGGAACGAGACGTTCTTCAGGGTGCGAGGAATGGTGAGGATGCTGAAAATGACGAGTCCAACAATGCCCCAGACAATGCTGCACGTCGCGTGGCCAGTCAGGACGTTCATGGCAATCACGAAGGTCAAGAGATGGCTGGCGGCGGAGAAAATGCAGTAGAGGACGTAGAAAGCACCGAAGAACTCGCGACCGAAGCGGCCAAACAGAACCTCGCCGACATCACCCATGTTGGTGCACTGATTATGGAATTAGCAGCTGTTTCGCCAAACGCAGAGGATTGGAGCGTACCTGGGGGTAGCGCATGCGGAACTGCCACAGCAGGTAGCCGGAGTAGGTGGTGAAGATGCCAAGACCGACGATGGCGATGAGACCACCAATCAGGCCGACCTTGGCGATGACTGCAGGCAACGAAAGAATACCCAGCGAGATGTTCTCGGCAATCATGACTGCAGCAGTCTGTCAGTCCTGCAGCTCAGGCTGTGGGGTCGTCTAATTGCATACCAATTGCACCCTGCCACCACTTCATCGTCTTGTACTGCACAGCAGCGCCGACCTCATCGCCATACGGGTCGAGCGGCTGCTGCTGCAGCTCCTTGGCGTATCCCTCCTCATCGTTCTGGCTCGAGAGACGCTTCTTGGTCTCGAGGTTGTCGTCGTGGTGCACCGGCGGCGCGGTGGTGAAGTCCTGGCCCGTCATGGTGGTTGGGAGATTGGTTGAACCCAGGAACCAATGTGCGTCGAAGATCTTTGTAAGGGAAATGCAATACGCCGGGCTAGAGCACCAAGAGAACGTCGAGCCGAGATCTTGCGGGCATTGCGTCCCAGGAGCCACCGAGAGGCTTTTATACGTGGAGCAGATCTAGCATTTGTGGGTGCTGGAGGGTTTTCCATTACCATAAAACATCCTCAGACTAGCTTAGTGTGGGCAGTAGTAGGGCCGGATATACGACCGTCGGAACGCTGGCCCATCACCTGAGGCCAGAACAGCCGAGCTCTTACGAAATCCTCACGGGACGCCGCATGCCTGGACGCATTGCCCAAGCCGCTGGGACGCGCCGCCGGGCACGTCGAAACAGAATCGTGGAGTTGCAAACGGGCGCTCTGCGGCTGGGCTTGGAGGCGCTTTTAGCCCCAGCACGAGCTAGCAGCCCTGCGCGGATGACGACTGATGTGGGGCCGTGACCAACGAAAATCCCGTCGGTTGCGGCGTGCTTGGCCGGATTCTGAGTTGCGAGGCGGAAGCCTCAGGAAGGCGGCGCTTGCGATCGCCGGCCGGAGTAATGCGCAGCAGTGATGGTGACGGTGGTCGGTGAAAAATTGTCTAGCGCGCTTCTGGGAAGACGCGGCGCTCGGCAGAACGAAGGCGGCGAGTTACGGGAGGCCTAACTGATCTTGGTAACTAACGGCCCTGTGCCGCCCTCAGCGCCCGACGGTGCCTGAGCTCGGCCGATGCCGGGTCAGAATCTCTCTCGCGAGGGGCATGGTGCGACCTAAACGCGAGATAAGGCTCGAAACGTGCTGTGGGAGGCGCCGCGCGCTGATAGCTGATGTATTTGATTCCAGTAATTTGATCGCCGCCCGCATCCACGTTCCTGACCATCCAACCAATCACGCCCCAAAACACTTGATGCTCACGCGACCTTGAGAGCATGTCTCCAGAGCGGTCGGAGGCATTTCAGAGCCGCAAATCGCTCGTCTACACTTCCTCCGGCACGTGTTATTTCAAGGTCTTTTCACAATTCAACTACCAAACATCAATTGACTCCCCCACGCCCCTTTTGGTTGCAGCCAACGACCGCAGCAGGCTGTGCGGGGAAGGGCCCTTTGGTGGTCGTCCCATTGAGCCCCACCCTCTGTGAAGGGTGCAGTAGTGTCCAGTCTTACCCCCATGCCTCCCGGAACTAACGGTACCGTTGCTGATCGCTTCCTTGCAAGCTCCAACCCGGGCCAATCATACATTTCAAATAGATAAAATAAACTACGTCCGCTTTTTGCTTGTCTTCGGCCTTATATCCGCCCTTCCATATTGCAGAAGGGTCTCGTTAGTTTCCGGGTGGGACGCGGGGGTCTGCATGACATCGGCTCTCGGACTACCACCGCTAAAGCACGGTCAAGACTGAATCTCACTCTGCTGAGAACACGCTTACTGCTGCATTATTGATGACCCCCTTTTCGTACTTGGCGGTCAGAAGCTCTTGAAGCCCAACTGACACACTATTGCCCTTTTACGCAACTCCACAGAATCTGCCAGGGGATTCTGTCAGCGTCGGTGTGCGTTGGTCAGGTTGCAGTGCAGAAACAGCAAGGCGGTGTCGGAAATCCGACGGGCTGCCGACGCCACGGTGATCAGTGCTCTTGCCACCCAGCCATGCTCCACCGCAGCCGCCGTCAAATGCGGAGCCGTGACATCTCCACGTGTTATTACTCTCGGTTGCATGTCGGCTGCTGTGCGCTTGTCGACTGCTCGTGCCTTGCATCGCCTATCGTGATCCTCTCCGGGGCCAACAATGGGCCTCTTTGCTGATCCGTCCTTCTACCAACAACGAAACTTACCAACTTGGTCGTAACATTTGTCATATGCCACATCATACCTTCACGTCGGCTGCTGTAAATGCGTACGTATGCAATATTGGCGCGCCTCAACCCCGTGTCATTCGGAATGACCAGCGATCCGTGGTATGACCATCTTTGGACCCTTCCTCTGATGTCATTGTCCAGCCTGCGAACGAGTGACACTTCTCTTTCTATTGCCACTGCTTCGATCCATTGTCTTCTACTATTAGCTAATGGTGCTCCTTCCTCAATCCTATATTTCTAGTGATTTCCACAAGTCCATGACACCTTGTTGCCGCTGAAACCAGTTATAGTAGTTTTGAAGCTGGAAACCAGAGCGGCTGTTACTCTTCTCCATCAAATATCAACAACTTGCTCATTGCGCTCCCAAATCTCTATGTGCGCTTTCACTAAGTAGTGCTAGTTTGAAGCTGTTAAATGCAGTAAATTTCCGTGATTCTCTCAACTGCATGCCTGGGGAAAACACTTCAGGCCGGGGCCCCGAGCAAAACCCGCCAAACCGTCCAAGTACAACCTCGTCCCTGAGAACTCTACCATGACCTTGCTCCTTCCATTATTCCCGTCACCGCCATCGTAAACAGTAATGATCACTGACCCTCCACCACTCCACTGTGCGGCCCGCTCGAACCTCGTCCCCATCCCTCCGCACTGACGAAACCCAAAACCCCACAACACTGTCCTCGCCTCTTGCCTGTTCCTTGCACCTCTCCACTCTTTGTCTCCTGAAGTTGAACCCTGCCCCCGCTGTTGGCATCCCGCGTCCAATCATCCACTTCCCATCCTGCATGTCTCGCCTTCCACCCTGATGCAGCGGTGCCAAGTCCGCCGTCACAACCCTTGTGAAGATCTTCGCATGTTAAAGCCACTGCTTCATCCTTGTCAATCATCTTCTACTTAAATGAATTGCGCCCTCTAACCATTCCCTTGAATTTGCTTTATACTTAGGCCAAAACTGTTGACGCATTTCTCATTGATTACCTAAGCAGCAGCTTTAGCTCACTTGGGAGAGCGCCAGGTTAGTTTATCCAACTCGATCTTCTATCCTCGCAACATCACACTAACATCACACCAGACTGAAGTCCACTTCAGCTCAACACCACAAACTCTGTGCGGTATCTGGAGGTACTGTGTTCGATCCACAGAAGCTGCAAGACTCTTGAACAAGTCTTACCGGTCTCAGACCGGTTGGAAGCCTTTCTTTTTTTTTCGTTTTTTTTTTTTTGCTCGTGCTTTCGGAAAGACGGAAAGACGGAGAAACTATTGTGGTTGTACTGTGGCTGTACTGCGGCTCGTGCGTAATGGCTCCGCTCCGGCGCTAATCACGGAAGCAGACACGGTGCGGGTGGGTTTCGGAGAATGAGCGAAATACACATGCTCTAAAGGGTACCACCGAGGCCGAGGCAGGCAGCCGATACAGGTACCTTGATTTGAAGAAGCTTGCCTGAGACAACGGCATGATCCAGATTTCGACCGGATATTTTGTAGTAGAGCGCATTTAAAAGCAGTGGCAGGCTGTCGATATGTACTAATACTCAATTATTTTCCGTTGTTATTTTCAGGAACAAATCAACATCAAAGTCGTGGTCTATATCTCTTTTTTTCTCCCGTGAAAAACACATTATTACTGAATCCGCCAGCATCTTTAACTACTCTTTCATGGCTATTTGTAGCACGATAATGCAATCAAGAGCATGCTTAATAACTGGTTTGCCTTTTCGCTTTCTATTTACTTCCCTATTTTCCTGTTCTCCCAGTAAATCTGAGATAGATAGCGCCACTGACCCTGAATTACCTTGGGCGATCCCGGAAATACTTCAGAAATCTCGGTGTACTTGCAATACTGGCAGCGTGATAATAGAGAGAAGATCACAAAACAATTCACTTGTTGGAGATTATACTCGCAGCATCACGGGACAGAGGTTTACGAATAAGGGAATGAAATTCCTACAATGGACCCGAGATTATCATGACCTGCTGGTGTGTAGAGAAGAATGGCGAACTGCTACGGACAGTATATTATCTGACCACGCCACAATGAACCGTAACAACTCGGTTCATCCACTAATCTATTGCCCTCAAGGAGGCCTGTGCTAACCGGCCTGGCGTAGTGGCTAAAGGCAAAGCCTTTACACGAACTGCTGCTCACAAAATCTGACACTTTGTTTTACCTGGAAAGTGCTATTCTGGTAGCACATAACAGGGCCGCTGGTGAACGTGAAAACGACCTTCCCCTCTCACACGGCTTTCCAATGCAGAAAGTCTTCTCCATGCCGCTGGCTTCACATACTGGTACCTCTTGACTTCTCTATACTTGCTTCGCTCAGCCTAGATTAATGAGGAACTCATCTGTGCGGCTCAATGGCCTTGACGAATGAGAGGCAGAAGTTAAAACTACCATGTGACACTCATTTTCACACAATCAATCCGCCTGCATGTTCACTTTTCTTAATTCTGAACTGTAACAGTGAGATGGAAGAGTATTCATAACCCTGTCAGCTCTCTATAGTTTCAAAGTTTCGCCACTCTTTCCATCTGCTATTTTCCCCCCTCCTCTAATTCAGCTCAGTCTGAATGTAATTGAAGTCCTAGAGCAGCACATTAGTTTGCGACGTCTATCAAATTGATGTTGGTTCTGACTTACCGCAGGGCTCAGGGTCGGAAGGTTGGTACCAGTATTGTATATGGCAAAGTGAGAGCCCACAAAGTTCTGCCATCCCTCGACATACGCCTGCAGCCACTTGTTCTCCACACTTGCCACATACTTCGGCTCTCCTTCACCGACCGCATACCCGAACCGATAGCCAGCCTCCTTAGCCTCAATAAACAGCCGAACAGGAGTCTGTCCCAATGCCACCTCTTCATCCTCATGATACGTCGTATTCAACGTCGCCTCCGGCCCACTCCTCACATGCGTAACCACCGCCCTCCGCCCCGTAACATTACTCACCGTCACCGCAATCTCATCATGATAATGAATGCTCAGATACACACTCACCCCAGCCTCCTGCCTCCACCCCTCGGGCTCGAAACTCGTCAACTCCGCACTAAACGTCGTGTTGAAATCGACCTGCTTCCTTAGCACCGCGGCCGGCGTCTCGCGCTGACTGAGCGTATACAAATTCCCATGCAACCGCAACCACCCCGGTCTACTCTCAAAATCCACAAACCTCTTATACGGCGTCCGCAGGAAGTAATACCCCTTATCCACGAACCCCCCGACCCCCCCTGCATCAAACTCATCCCGCCACACCCGCGGCCGCTCCAGCTCGTACAACACCTCCGGCACCTCCTCCCGCACCACCCCGTCGCCCCCGCAAAACGTCGGCCAGCCGTCCGTATCCCATTCCACGGGGCACAGGAACGTCTCCCGCCCCAGCTGGCTGACGCCCGACGCGTTCCGCGGGTGCTGCGGCCGCGTCGCCAGGAACACGGCCCACCACCTGCCGTCGGCGCCCTCGACGAGGTCCGCGTGGCCGGTTGAGAGCACGGGCAGCGACATGTCGCGGCCGTTCCAGAGGACGGGGTTGTGCGGGTTGGCTTCCCACGGACCAGCAGTAAGCGTGCTGGCATTGGTGGAGGAGGAGGAAGAGGAGGACGCAGCCAGGCGGTAGACGTTGGACTTGTGGTTCGCCTCGGTGCCCGAGTCGGCCGTCAGCATGTAGACGGACCCGTTGATGCGGTACAGGTGCGAGCCTTCGGTCAGCGGGTAGCCCTGGTCGCGGGGCACGGTGGTCGTGTGGAGGAGGCGGGATGGGGTGAGCGAGTTGCCTGTGCGTGGCGAGATGGTGGTGAGCCAGTTGGCGAAGTTGCCGGTTTCGACGGATTCGGAGAAGGTGGTGGTGAGGTGGGCGACGTCGTCGTCGTCGTCAGGGGTGGATGCAGGGTCGAAGAAGAGGTCGGGGTCGAAGCCCGGCTGGTCGACGTAGGTGGGGTCCGACCAGGTGGTTTCGTCCCAGATGTTGTCTGTTGTGACGTAGAAGGAGCGTGGGGTGCGGGTGGCCTGCGGGGGGTCGGGGTTAGTGTTTTGTTTGTTTTGGTTGGGGGGAGGGAAAGGGATGTACGTTGTCTGGGGGATTGATGATGTCAAACAGAGTAGTGATCAGGTAGAAGGTCCCGTTGACGTGTCGCAGGGTTGGGGCGAATATTCCTCCGCTGGGAGCAGTGCCTCTCAGGTTCAGCTGGGATGGTCGATTGAGGGCATGTCCGATGGTTTCCCATTGTATCCTTGCCCTGCATTAGCGTCTTCAGTAAACCTTTTATTTGTCGCGCGCTTACAAATCCCTGGAATGGTAGATGGGCACACCGGGGAAGAACTCGAACGTGCTTGTTGCCAGGAAATAGTCTTCGCCAACCCTGACGATGCTGGGATCTGGGTTGAACCCCGGGATAATTGGATTCTTGAATGCATCCACGGCACCTACTAACCCTTAGAAACAAGATGCATGACTCGTCTATTGGGCATACCTACCTGAAATAAGCGCTGTGATGGGGAGCCAGACCCGTTGCAGGAGTCTCATCATGCCGTCTCAAATTGCAGAAACACGAATGCAGTTCCCCTGCGGGAAAATGCAGGTCTTCTTTAAAAATGGCATCATGCTGGAACCCCGCATTGCATTTGCTTGAGGGCCCAAAAAAAAATATCGGAGCGGTGGTAAGAGCCGCAGGTGCAGTAGTTTCGCATGAGATTAGGCAAAAGTCGACCTTTACCCGTCCCGGTGGGCATGCTTACTTACAGAGTCAAGCAATATCCCGGAGTCACGAGACTGCATTTCAATATTGCACACAGATGATGTAGCCCGGAAGTTTATTCGAGGTATTACTGCATTGTCTCTATGCACATAAGGAATGGTATCAAACTCAAAATCAAATCATGACAACTGCCGCTGCAGTTGCATTGCGGCGCAACATCGGAAAGCGCCAAAGAGGGGTCCGGAAACTCCTCCGTGCAGCTGCATGAGCGCTGCACCTCGCGCTCGTCTGGGTATCACCAAGTCACTCTATCTCTAGCTTCTGACTCTTTGCAATCTAGAAACTCTAGACATCAGATCTCGCACCCCGTGCGGCCTGTACAAAAACGGAGACCCAGTCTCCGCTTTGAAATGGTTTCACCAGCCAGTTTAGGCAATCTGGGCAGCATCCTTCTCCTCGCTGCTGGAGTAGCCTCTCCGCTGGTTGACGTCCGAGTCGTTCTCCGTGTCGGACACCATGCCGTACGAGCGGGCCTTCTCCTCGATCTCGGCCTCGGTCAGGTAGGGCAGCTCCTTGGCGGCGCGGACGTAGCTCATGTTCTCGACGAAGCCCTTGGCGAAGATGATGTCGATCTCCTCGAGCGTGCGCTGCTTCGTCTCCGGGTAGAAGAAGTAGATGACGGGGAAGAAGGCGGCGTTGACGGCGCCGAAGAACAGGTAGGTGCCCCAGCCGATGTTCTCGAGCATGATGGGCGTGACCATGACGATGAGGAAGTTGAAGATCCAGTTGGTGAAGGTCGAGATGGCGTTGGCCTTGGCGCGCGTCTTGAGCGGGTTCAGCTCCGCGGGGTACTAATCGCAGTTAGTTTCAATTCTTTTGTGATGCTAAGAAGGCCAAAAACACTTACCAGCCAAGGAAGCGGCAGCCAGGTGGCGCCGAAGAAGGCAATGTACAGGAAGAGGCCAACGGCAGCGCCCTTGGCCGCCCCTGTCGTGCCGGGGATGAGACAGGCGAAGACGATGACCATGGAGAGACACTGGCCGATGGTGCCAATGAGGAAGAGCTTACGACGGCCGGTCCGCTCAATGATGAACCAGGAGACGGTGGCGAAGATGGAGTAGATGATCATGTTAACACCGCCAAGGAGGAGAGACATGTTGGGCGTCTCGCCAATGGACTCCTCAAAGAGAATGGGGAAATAGTAGATGACGGCGTTGCAGCCTCCAATCTGCTGGAACAGCTGCGCAGATGCACCAAGCAGGCAGCGACGGAAGTGCTGGGTCTTGCCGCCGGTCAGGAGGTCGCGGTAGCTAGTGCTGCCGACGTGGCCAGAGGCACGGATCGAATCGATAATGACAGCGACCTCCATGCGGGTCTCCTCCGCATCAACAGTGTGGCCGCGGAGAGCAGCGATGACCTTAATGGCGTCCTCATGCCTGTCCTTGGTCAAGAGCCAACGGGGGGATTCAGGGAGGCCGATCATGGCAATGGCCACAACGAGACCAAACAGACACTGGAAGGTGATGGGGAAACGCCACGACAGGTCCTGGCTGCCATACGAACAGCCATAGTCGGTCCAGTACGCAATCATGGTACCGAAGGCAATGACACCGCCTTCGATACAGATCAGCAGACCACGGTTGGTGGACTTGGAGCATTCGGCTTGGTATGTCTGCGGGGATATTAGCACCGTCGCAGGATAGGGAAGCGGGCGGTCAGGCTTACCGGAATGGTCGAAGTGTTGATGCCGTTACCAACGCCAGTGATGGTACGGCCGATGATGAACTGGGCCATGTGATGGTATGGCTTGACAGCCGAAACCTGGATAACAACGCCGACAATCATGATGATGGCGCCGGCGATAATACCCCGTTTCCGGCCAAGCCTGTCTCCGATGATAAGCATCAGGACGGCGCCAAAAAAGCATCCTACATTGGCGCCGAGTCAGCACGAGTCCGCCAAGCAAGTGCCCAGAGGATCTTCAGGCAGACGCTATGACGTACCGACTTCATAAATGGCAGTGACGAATCCTTGGTATGTCTTGTTGCCCTTGGTTTCCTCGAAGTAGTCGTTGAATGGTGCGGCACCGATGATGCCGGACATGACGCCCTGGTCGTAGCCGAAGACTTTGCCCGAGGTCAGTATCGGGGACCACGCCGATTGGGATAGTGGCCGACTTACGCAGGAAGCCCGTCGTAGCTACAATGGAGACGACGATGCTGAGCATCTTTCCCCGCATGCCCAGGAACCGCGGCTCCTTGACATTGATGTCGTAGCCCGTGGGGTACTGGGCCTCGGCGGGGGCAGCATTCTGCTGCTGGGTTTCGTTCTTCTGGTCTGCCATGTTGGCGGGCCTCAGGCTGAGGAAAGGAGGACGGCGCGGTCAGACAGCGAGAATTGCAGTCTGACAGGCAGAGATTCGGGGAGAAGGGAGAAGAGAGGGAGGAGTGGTGGAACAGAAGCCAGGGACTCAAAACGGGTGAGCCGCGGCAGTGGACATACTTATATGCCGGCAACGTCACATGTGCGGCAACAAGGCCAGCAGTGTGAGCGCGAATTTTTCAGAGACGAGATTACCGAATGATGCAACCTGGGTAGATGTGCATGGTGTTTGTGGGGGGTGTGGAGAGGGCCGAGAGTCGGACAACAGGCCGCAACGGGCTGGATAAGCAATGGCGGAGACCGCCTCGTTGCTTCCCTGCGGAGGATGTCCTGGGCGGGCTGGGGCGTGGGCCTGGGGTCTGGGCAACGCGACGGTACTGGTGGATTGTGGGGGACGAGCCAAGTGCCCAGGCGGCGGGAGGCGCCGCCAAGCGCTCCGCCGCGCTCCTCCAAGACATCCCAAGACGCCTTCTCCGACTCGTCCTCGCCAAACTTGCCTCCCAATTTCCCTCAGCAAGGCCAACTTTTTGAAAGATTGCAAATTTGCCCCGTCAAACTTTCCCAGGCGTCGTCAGCGGCGTGCAAAAAGTAGCCGCATGACGTTGTGTCACCCTACCTGATCGAGTGCCATGCCGACGCACATGCTACCCCGGCACGCCGCGTACCAGGACCCCGTATTCTCCCGGCTCATGTGCCGGCTTTCGGTTGGGCCCAGCGATCTTTTCCGGCACCGCGCGTCCTAGTTTCCTTTGTCTGAGAGAAACGGGAAGTTGTCCACCACTGCCGTCGGATGCTCCCGAGATTTCTCCCTGCGGTGGTTGAGTGTTTCGTTGGGTAGCTTGCGTGGTACATCGGCTCAACTCACCAACTCCGGGTCGCTGTTGGATTCTGACGCCAAGGCTGCCAGGAGAAACACAGCTGAGCTGGTGGAGTCCCCATCCCAGTTGGGCCGTGGCGTGGTGTTGCCTCCTTGAAGTTGCGTCTCAATACGCAAGCGTCAACTGCACGAGTCAGCTTCAGGGCGACAGGACCCACCCCCACCTCCACTCGTCTGGAGTCCCGCCTTCTGACTAAACGCTTCCCCGATGTCTCGGTTGGTGCAATCTCTCGTGCATTCGGGCAACATTCGGATTACCTGATGTTAACATCAGCGCATATAGCTTGCATTCATTATGATTCGCGTAAAATTTTTTTCGTTGAGTTTGGGATCTGATGCGGGCGCCAACACCAAAGGAGCTTGTGGCAATAAAACATCAGTTAGCGTTTACGGAGGATGCACTCGATGGCATGGCCTCTGTGCTTCTCACCCCTCCTTCGAATAGCTAAAATGGTCACTATTAGTCCTTGAATTGCAGCCTGTGCTGTTTTAGCTGTACTGCGAAAACAAAACGTGGAAAAAAGACATCGTCCCAACAGCACAACACGTGACTGCCTGTATTAGATTCGCCGAGGAATAGCTAGCTCTGGTAGTTTCTCCAGGTAATACGTGATTTCCATCTTACCCTTCGTCAGATTGGAGGACTTTGATTTGGTCCTGTTACATTACTCACCAATCTTGAAGATGAACGAATGTTCAAGCCCCCGGCCGCATCTATTAGACCCTTCCCTCGAACTCATGCATCGTTTGACAAGGTTGTTGCTGCAGCTATGCTCGGGAAGGCCCTTTAGCGTGCAGACGTGGAGACGTGAGCCGCGGATCAAAAGTGGCATCCTGGGGCATCGTCGGATTTGATCGATGCTCTATTTTAGCTGCACCGGCCCGCCCGAAACTAACGTCGACCACTGAAAACTCAGGAAAGCGGGGATCTGCATTTCAGGAATAGCGGGCGCGATCGACAGGTACGGTAAACGGGTTTCCCCCCAGTGATATAAACGATCTTCGAATTACTTCATCCGGGACGCAAGGATATTCACTCACATGAAGTCTTTCATAGCCTTTGCTCCACCAGCGCATAGATTATCTTTAATGCTCCCATCGACCGTGCTTACTTCCTCTTGCAAAAGACCCAACTCACCATCCCTCATATGGAAAATCCCCTCTTCCCAGCGAATATCCGCCGCCTCGATTGCTTGGTTTGTGTCCATTCCTCCACCGTCATGATAAATTCCTCGTCCTCTCTTCATGCCCAGAATAGCACACCTTTATGTGGTGTGAATTGCTATCGCTTGTCGAGCACTTTGTACAGATGGGTGGGGTGGGTGCGAAAGCAGGGCTGATGATGAGGCAAGGCAGAGGCGGACCAACGTCGGTTCCTCTCCATTGATTTTTTTTTTTTCATCGCCAGTCTTTTTGCGGCAGTAGAGGCTAAAGACGGATATGTGCCGTCAGACGAGTGAGAGGAATGGTAGTTGTGTGAATTTCGGTGCCACGGTGGTGGGGGGAATTCGGCGGCCGGGCCAAGGCTAGTGGGTTTTCGGTGATAAGGACATGGTCAAAATCACTCGTAGGTAGTAGTATGCGGTGGTAAAGGGAATGGAATTTTCATCTATTGGTTGATGTCGAGTATCAGCAAGTAAAGCCAGATTTGCGTGAAGGGAAGCGCGCAGCCCCCTCCAAGCCAGGCCTTCGACGATGGCAAACCGATCCTGAGTCCACAAAGCTTTAGAAAGTCTACAGTCGCACTGCCATTTCTCTCCGCGTGTGAACTGGACGAGATGATACGGCGGTAGACGTGTTGAAGAAATGAAACCAGCGACCGGATGTACTAGCGACGCTGAAGCCAGCGAATGTAGATAGAGCAGCGGTGCGCAGGTATCAAGAGCAGTCACGGCTGAGATAGAATACGTGCAGGAGAGTTGGATGGTGGTGCGAAGGAACTGGACTTCGGTGGTGAAAGGTGTTGTGGGGGAGTGCGATCGCGGGGTTGACGCGATGCGGAGGCGACTCTGCTGACTCATTTGACGCACAGTTCACATCCACAACCAACCCTTGCATTCACTTTGACACCTTTACCTCTAACTCTGAATTTGAGGATCATCGTCAAAATAATTAGGTGAAATATGAACAGCTCCCGACTATCCCAAACTAACAGACCGCCGCACAAGCTCCAGCTCTTCCAAACTGCTCCGCCTATCCCGCAATGCTGTGGGCTGGCCGTTCCTGCCTTCCCCAACGTGGAAACTTGCGAATCGCTCCTCCACCTTGTCCCTTTTTTCCACCACGATAGCTATCATGTTTGTTCTTTTCCAGCTGAGCGATCCTAGAATGATGCTGATGAAGCTCTTGCTCTTCACCACCTCTATGACTTCCGGATCCTCCAAGCGCGTGTCTTCAACCTGCAAACATGAAAGATACTTGCAGCCGCTTTTGTCAAAATACTCTGCGCACAGCCTTATTGTTCCTTTGGGCCCTAGCCATGACTCTTCTTCCAGGACTATGTCGCAAAGTTTCACATCCATCGTCCACGCTTCCAGATAGAGCACTGATGGCGACAGTTCGTAACTCTGGTCTTTGAAATACGAATGTTGCTCAAGCTCAGCCCACTGAAGCTTTCGGCTATTGCCCATTCCAACCGCCACCTGAACCGGTGCTGCATCACTCCAGCAATCGTTATCTGGCCAATCCCAGGGGCACGTTACACTTCCCCTCCAGCCCGCCCACGACCAACTCGGAAAGCCTGGACGGCGGGGACTTGGTTTGTACAGGGACCAACTCAGTCCACGCATGAAGCCATCCGATGTCGATCTGTCCGTTTTCACAAGCTTCCCCTTGTCTTGGTAGAATGAGGGGAAGATAGGAACTCCCAAGAAGTGATACAACGGCGGGTTCATGTTTTCGTATGCCCTCAGGATTCCAGTGAAAGCGTTTAGGGCGTCGGGATCATACGTCAGGTTGCGACGAGAGTATTCGGAGATACGCGCCGCAATATCCTAAGGATTGCGGCCTATTGAGCCTGCAGTTGGATTCGAATGGAAGGCCTGATCAGTCGCAGGATGATCTAGAATGTCCATTCGAGAACATCGGAAGGCCCGTGTCTCGAATCCACGACCAAGTTCAATTTTTCCACAGCACCACGATACTCCACGATCAGTGAACACCAAGCCTCTCCGTGGGAACAATGCTTCTTGGAGTGTCCAGGCCCTGGAGACCCATTTCGAGCTTCGAGTCATTCGCGTTATGTGTGCATTACCAGTGGAAAATCCATCTTTAAGCAGCATGACATCACCGATAAGGTGGCAAGGTGTCAGTTCTCGTCGTCGACTAATTCCGGGAAGCCCGTAACGGGGACCTTCGCCAGTGGCTGCTGCAATGGCGAGGTCTGAGTGCTGATAGATCAAGTTCATCTGCCTGAGCTGGGCGTGCTTTTCCGGGTCTTCTTGGTCGATACAGTACCTGTCGACCCAAAGATATTCCAGTCCCATCTCCATTGTGACCAGAAGTGCGTCTTCGATGAGTTGTTCAAAGGTCTGCTGAGCCTTTCCTGATACATCGAGAGACTTATCACTCTTCTCTTCCTCACGGCCCCAGACGTAGCTCAATGTTGCATATCTCTTCCCTTTTACACTTGACACAATCTTCCGAGTCTTGCAATTTATCAGTTTCAGTCCTTTAACAACAGATGTACTTGGTGCGCAGCAGGATTGCCCAGTGAGCTTCCGAACAGTACATCATCATTTTTCTGATATTGTTGAAGTTGATATCGGGCGAGCCGGTGAGCGACAACGTCTTGACAGACCATTCGCAGTAGGCTTCTCCGCAATATTGAGACCTGATACAAATACTGATAGCGCCGTTTTCTTCTGCCTTATCAGACGCTGAAATGATGGCAGAATAAACACGAGTAAGACTTTCCCGCTCAGCTTTGTCCTTGCGCTGAATGAACCACCAATTCTCTCTTTCCGCTAGCTTCAATTGTTGGGTGAATCCACAGCAGGCGCAGTCGGGATCCCGCCTTGCTTGAAAGGTGAGTGTGACTTGGGTCTCAAGCGTTTGCAGGCTTCTTAAGAAAGCGTTGTCTCTGCAGTCTGCACACAGCGATGTGGATGCCTGTGCCGATCCGAGAAGCGGAAGGATGCCGAAGGGAAATCTTGGCCGATGGCGTCCATCCTCTATCTCAGCCACTGTAACTTGACTCATGTTCTTGACCATGACGCCGACAGCAACCCTAAAATCTTCAAATTGACGCATGCATCAGTCAAACAACGAGCGCTTGAGTGCGGGCTCCGGTGCCTGGTGGATGCTTGGTTTGTGCGTTGAAGAACAGCATCGAAGTTGCCAAAAACTATGCGAAGGGGCTTGCTGGTGTCTGCACTTAAGAGTGTGATGAGTGCATAGCTGAATCGAGGTGCAGGCAGCAGCCAAACCCTACGCCACAACAGGGAAGGCGGCTAGCTGAAACTGCGGCCCTCAGCACAACAAGCCTCTATGATTGGCGGACTACTTCTTGGTATTTCTAGGCGACCACTCATGGAAAGACGTAGACAGATTCGTCATTGGTGAGCAGAATGGGCTGTGTGGAAAATCGGCACAGGTGCATGCGGAATGACGTTGTTCGTATTACCCGCCCCACCTTTTTTCAGCCCCAGGAGTGGTGAGAGAATGATCAAAAGAGTAGTCGGCGGAGTCGATGTGCTGTTTTTCAGTGAGACGGATTGCATCCTTTGCACACATTTGGCTACGATTTTCATGCGGCATGGAAGTTGTTGGCAGGTCTCTAGCATATTTCAGGACTGAATCAAGCGCGAGGAGTTAGCATACTCTTATTTACTCCCACGAGACCACAACTTTCAGGCGACCTATTCATTCAACCAAAAATGGGGTACTTCAGTCACTGGAAGCTAGAGCTTCTGGCTCTCTTGTTCAACCTTGCCTCTCTTACTACACTCATAGCTCTCCTCGCAGCTTTCGATGGAAAATCTCTGTTCAATTGGCACGGACTAACCCTTAACACGTATGTTTCTATCATTTCAACAGCTGCAAAAGGTCCAATACTCTTCATCGTCGCCGAGTCAATAAGCCAATGGAAATGGATTCTCTTTACGAAGGAACGACACTTGCTCGATTTTCAGAACATAGATTCTGCAAGTAGAGGCCCATTTGGCAGCTTTAAACTATTTTGGAAATGCAAAAAGGAGTAAGTTGTTTGCTCGACCAAGTTCAGTACGTTTACTTACAAAAAAAAGATTTCTATTGCTGCTTGGTGCCTTGACCACGATATTTGCCATCGCCATCGACCCATTTACGCAGCAGCTTGTTCAGTTTGAGGAAAAATCTACCGAGGTCGAAAGCTTTGACGTAACGATTCCTCGAGCAACTAGATACGCTAAAGGCTCGGTCTATACCGGTTCTTCCGACAACAATACACAAGGTATGCTTTTTATAACTTCCGGAAATGAAGTGTTGCTAATAGAAGCCAGTCAATGGAGTTTGGTTTCGACCCACATCCGCAGATGCAGATTTTGCCATACAGGCTGCTGTGTTTTATGGTCTCACGCATTCAGTTGAAGATTCTTTGCGCGATGCTCCTTTCCAGTGTCCCACGGGAAATTGCACCTGGGACCCTTTTGAGTCTCTGGCAGTGTGTAGCAGATGCAACAACCTATCGAATATGGTGCAGAGGCGAACGGCGGAACGTGATGAACCTGGGATCTACGACCAAATCATTTTCGAACTTCCAAACGGCCTCTCTCTTGATGCGGATTGGACGAAGACAAACGGGTCCAGAGTATGGATGAACAGCTGGGGTACCACCAATGCGTCCGAAACCGTTAGTCTTCAAGATGAAGACAGGTTGATTTGGAGCATGACGATTTTGAGGTGGAAAGATGGCTTCCAGTGGCCAAATGCAACAGTGGAGGCAATTGAATGCGGTTTGCATTACTGCGGACTTCAGTACACGCCTAGCGTTCGAGCCGGAACCTTGCGCGAAAAAGAGGAGCCCGCCTCGAACGATACACGAGCAAAGGACTCCTGGAAACCTAGAACACGATATGGCTATTTGGATCTGAGCAAGGCTGGCCTACTGGAGAGTCTGGCATACATCAACGGCCCCGCAATCTATGGTCGCACTGATCTGGAGCTTGGTGAAAGCTTTAACATTTCTCAGGGCGCTGTTCACAGTATAAGCTCATTCTTCCAAAATACCTTTAGCACCCGCGATGCAAGGTCTGACGTTTATTATGGAGAAGAAATCAAATACAACGGCTTCGCGCAACTGCGGGACCATTACAGACCATCCGCTATGCAGGCATTCATGGACATACCAGATCTTACGGTTCCATTCCAGGCTGTGGCAAGAAGCATGTCAAACGTAATCCGCAGCAGTACTGAAGGTGTTTCTATTGAGCATGGCCGCACGGTGGTCTCGAAAACACACTACATCGTTCAATGGCAATGGATTATACTGCACTGCGCCTTCGTTCTTTCAGGGGCGGCCTTTCTTTTACTCACAATGCATAAGAGTAAAGAAGCGGATGCTCCAGTTTGGACATCCAACGCCATAGCAGCGCTTGCGGTAGGAGGCCACGTTTCTAATGACTTGCTCGATGCAAATACAATTAAAGAACTCGAAAAAAGAGCAGGCGATACCTCCGCTCAGTTGGTACAACAAAATAGCAACATTAAAGGTAAGTAAAAATGACCCTGTTACAACAACTCAAGGCGCATATTGATCAGTATAGGTACTGCTAAGTCTTGCAGGAGCTCTGATGAGGGCTTGCTCTTAGGTGACGCTGCCGCAACACCCAGGAAAATGAGGGCCTCGGATGGCAATTCGGAAGGTCCTGGCTCAAGATGATATCTCTGCAGGCTTCTTTGAAGACCTCTTTCCTTCGAACACCAGCGGACAAAGCTCTGTTTCGTTGTATTGATGATGAGCATGCCCGGATTGTACAGAGACCGTCATTTCAAATCAATTCCAGATGTAATTGCCAATTTGCTTGCCACTGAGAGTCAAGTCCGAAACTGACATTTTGCCTTCGCCATATTCTATTGCATAAGGGCATCTATCTTTCCGGATGATGTTGAGTTAGTAAAACTGAGATATGAAGATCTTAGTTGTATTTAGCAGCAACAATGCGGAGCTACTCACGTCTGTAGACCAAGAAGACCATCCTGAAGGGTTTTCTTGCCGGCCACGACTTAGCGTAACAAATCTGAGACATTGTCGGCTATTTTCCGTGGTATTCTGCCGACAATCTAGGTCTGTAAAGACTTGAATAGCTGAGACGCCACTTGGAAGTACACAAAGTATTGGAAGGCCTGACGGACTGCCAATTGGAGCAAGTGGTGGGGTTAACAATAGCAACAAGTGTGGTCGGGAATTCGGCCCCCAAGCCTTACGGGCCGGCTGTGCAACCAGGCTCGATTTCGACAAGCGTAGGATCGGAGGGAGTTGCCCCTCCCGGCTCGACACCCGCACCCGAACCCCCCCGTGCTTCCCCGAAAATCGAAAAAGGACGTCACCTCGGGAAAGAGTCATATCCCACTGCATCTGCAGGACGGCGTCGGGTCACGGCCGTCGTCGATCTCGAGCACCAAGTCAATACATTTCGCCCTGCAATAGGAGTGCGGCTAAGCACACCTCAACGAAGCGGCTCAGCGGCCAGTCGGGCACCTCGGAGCATCCCGATTCGCGTGCGGCAGCTGCGGCACGGGCGTGTCCAGCACAGCGCGTGGAAGCACGGGATCGAGCCGACAGCCAGCCAGTTGCGTCATGGGACAGACCACCACCGACCGATAGCCGCCGCGAAGCCCAAAATGTACAGCCGGCGTTCGCACCGGAACTCGCATCACGGGTGCCGCGAGTGCAAGGAGAGGAGAGTCAAGGTAAGATTGGGGCCCCTCTTTTGTCCGCTTCCCCGAGAACGCCTGATCTGAGCGCTGAGACAATTGGACTGCTGTCGTGCTCCGTTTCCTCTATGCTGATTCCCTCGTCAGTGCGACGAGACGCAGCCACGCTGTCTGCGCTGCAAGTCCAAAGGCCGCAAATGCACCTACACACACTTGCTGTCGCAGTACAACCCGTTCGATCCTCATCAGAACCAGGCAACAACTCCGAGCCTCACTTCGCCGCAGCAGCAGCCCCTGATATGCCGCGCGAACAGGATCTCGGCGCCCGGCGGTGGCAATAGCAATACTGTCTCGTTCTGGGACATGTCCCTGCTGGACGAGGGCGGCGAGATTTTCCACCATTACGTGCACGTCGTGACCATCACGGACCCGACGCACCGCGTATCAGAAGGCTTCTGGCGCTGGGACAAAGCCGTCCAGGCCTTTGCGCCGTCTCACGACTTCCTCTATTACGCCGTGCTCACCTTCGCCTCACTTCACCGCTCCGAGTTGTACCAGCGCTGCATCAACAACAAAAGCAACAGCAATGCTGCCGCGGCGGCGTCAGCACGCCAGCAGCGTGACCATCTCGTCGCTCTCGCGTCCGCGTACCAGAGCCGTGCCATAGCCAGCTTCACGCCCGCAGTCACCGAGATGCAACGCGCTCAGAAGCGGAACAAGGGACTGGCAGTCCGTAAGGATGAAGTTGGCAGCCAGAATGCCAGTGCGACGGACGCAGTGCTGACCTGCTCGTCCCTCATCCTCGCCGCGGCATTCGCCTTCCCGCCCGCACCGGGTCAGGACATGATCGACCGGGCACGCCAAGTAATCCATCTCTTCTTAGGGACGTTCGCGCTGTACGAGCGCGCGTGGGAAGAGGATGACGACGGCGAAAACCGAGGGCCCTCGCCCTCGCCCTCGCCTACCACCTCATCCTTCGCCGCCGGCGGCACCAGCGACATCGGGGCCTACGTCCGCGACCGCGTGCGCGCCGGCGAAGAGCTAGGCGACGGCCTGCCCGCGCCCGAAGCAGAAGCGTCGCTGGAGCGCGTCGTCGACGCCGTCCTGCTCCGCGCCGCCACCTCCTCCAACACCAACACCTCTGCACAATCCTCCTCCTCCTCCTCCAACTCCTACTCCTGCTCCACCTTCCTCGCCATGCTCAACCCCACCCTCCTCTACCAATCTCCCTTGTCCCCCTCATCCTCCTCCTCCCCTTCCTCCCCACCACCACCACCGCTAGACCCTTCCTCCCCCCTCCCCACCTTCCTACCCCCCATCCAAGCCCTCCGCCTCCTCTTCCGCCGCCTCCAAGCCCGCCCCGCCCTGCACACCATCGCCCTACGCTGGCCCGCGCACCTGCCGCGCAGCTTCCTCGCCGCGCTCGAGCGTGATGGTAGGGGTAGGAGCAGGGACCCGCTCGCGCTCGTCGTCCTGGCGCACTGGGCGCGCTGCCTCGCCGGCTTCACGCACCTGTGGTGGATCAGCCAGTGGGGGGCCAAGGTCGTGCGGGCGGTGGCGGCGGAGGTGCTTGGGAGAGGTGATGATGTTGGCGGCGGCGGAGGGTTGGGCGGTGAGGCTTCTTCTTCCGGAGTGGTTGAAGGAGGGGAGGAGGAGGGCTGGGCGGAGACGACGCTGGCCGCCGGAAGTGGGTCCGTGGGACGAGAGAGGAGCGGCGGCGGAGCGGGAGGGTCCGGTGGGATGAGGGTGGTGGCGGAGGCGGCGGAGGCGGCGGGTGAGACGGGCGGTGGAGCGGTGGCGGCGGCGGCGGCTGCGGAAGCGAACGCCTGGCGTGCTTGCTTGGAGTGGCCGGTGCGAGGACTTGGCGATGCAGAAGCCGCCTGCTGGTATCGGTGATCACGGCACACAAAAGGGAAAGAGGGCAAAAAAAAAAAAGGACAAGGGCGTCGGAGGCGGCGGCGGCCGCGGCGGCGCTACCGCCAGCCGCCCGCCTTCCCCCCGGGCGGCCGTTTCGATGATCAGGCTGGGAGGGAGAAGCACGGATGGGAAGATGGGGGGGCAGTCAAAGATGGGGGAGAGAGAGAAAGGGAAGGGCATCGCAAAAACCCGCGCAACGCCCATCCGGCGGCCAGGGCCCGGGCAGGCAGGTTGGGGGGCGAGCGGCGGGCGGATTGGCGAAACAAAAAGGATTTGCTGATGAGCTGATATGCGATGAACGCGCTTATGGCCGTGCATGAAGAGTTGCGCCCACATCCCTCCACCACCCCCCCTCCCCCCTTCGCCCCTCCCTCGCGCAGCGCCCCAAAATATACAATATGTGACATGTCAACTGGAGCCAAACCGCCCGCGCCGCAGCTAAGGTGGATATGCGTGTCTCCTCTTTGCCGGATCGTGCGGATGTCGTTGGTCGCCCCCGGCGTCTAAGTGACGCGGCCACGTCTGTTTGGGCGCGCTCCATATTGCGTGGGTATAGGGGACAAGAGAGGTTGATGAGAGCAGTGCGTGATGGAGGCAGATCGGTTGGCCTGCGGGTGATGAGCTCGATGCCCCCCCTTGGCCCTGCTCGGCCTTTCATTCCCCCTCTTGGTCTTCTTCCCCGCGCGTTGCCGCACTGGGCTCGCCTCACTGATACGACGCGAACCGAAAGTGGTCCGTGTCACGTGCAGAAGGCGGCACGGAGTGCTAACTTCGCTGCCTTTTTCCTGAATTGGCTATTCAGCTTCTATTTCTCTGCCCTAGAACTGGCGGTATACGAAAGGGAGAGTAAAAATAGGGAGGCCCTCTATTCAGTCGGCGCCTTTCCCAGCCGGGCTAACCCATCACTTGCGCCTCTTCTTCAGCTCTTCTCCTGCAGAGACCCCGGTACGTGATGGATTTACTGACGTGGACCCAACATTCATGCTGGCCAGGTGGGTCTCGTCGTTGCCTTTGCGGTCTGGAATTGCTGGGCGGACTTAGACGAACCTGCACCCGGTGGAGAGAAATAGGAAGCATGGAGTGATTTCAATTCTGGATGTACACAACCGGAGCATGGAGCAGCCGTTCCCATGTCGAATGCCGGACTTATCACCGTCCGTGAGCCTAATGGGGCCCGTGCCTCCGTTGAGGTGCTTGCCGCAGGGCAGGAGCAGGGGTGGAGGATAATCGCCGCGAGCAGGGTTGGCGAGGATCATCAGCTGCTCTCTGACTTCTTCGCTCAGATCGCCCAATCCCCCTGCAGCTTCCGCAACGACGACAGGCCGAGCGCGTAGTCCCGTCTGGAGGAACATTCGACATTCTTTTTCGCAGTGGAGATCCCCGAGACGAGGCCACGCAAATCGCCGTTGCCTGCTTAACTTGTCATCGCTTCTTGGAACAAGAGTGAAAAAGCAAACACGCCCAAAAAACAAAATAGGGAAAAGAAAACAAAACCAACGGCGCATGAACGCCAGGCCCAAAGGATCCACGAACCACTCGCTCAGCCGAATCTGCAGTGCGCCCGCATCTTGCGTCACCATCACACGCTTATTCTCTTGCCGTCTGAGAGCGGAGCGGGGCCAGACAAAGTTTAGCACCTGCTGTGCCACACAGCCTGCGACGAGGGCGAGACGCACTCCGCTTCCTGCGTTTGCAATTTTCCTGGGTGACGCCTCCTGGAGCCTTCTGTTGTGCCACTTCGCCGCGGCCCGTTTAGCCGTCCGCCGCTTGCCTGTCGCTTCTCCGTGGAGTTGATTCCGTGCTCGAGGAAGAGCTATTTCAGTGGTGCATGAAAGGGACCTGAGGACCCGCTTGTGGGCCGTCACCTCGTTCTCGACTCTCACCCGCTTTCCCCCCCAGACACGTCGCTGAGCGTGTGTATGGCCGACGAGTTGTACGGTCGTGTCCGGTGCTGGCTCCTTCCATTTGGCCGGTGCAAGCTGAAACGGACGCCAGCGAACACTGCATCAGGGATCTGTCCACCGCGGATCTTCACACAGAACAGCACATCACTAAACATAGCACAGCTTGGACTACACCTAGTAAAAACCGGCTTGCTCAGTTGCCTCCTGCAAGGTGTTTGCAAAATATGCTGGTTATGTCCAAAGATCAGCGCTCCCGTCTACGACAGAACGAGCAGTGGCGAGCGGCAGCAAGGGAAGAGACTGGGAAATCGAAAAGAGTACGTGACCTTTCACATGGCACTAGAGAGTCCCGGACAGGCACGGTAGCCACGGAAATACGGCCGTACAGTTGCATCCGAGGAGGAGCTGTGGAGGCGAAATGCAGATCGATCGCAGGTTCGCAGGTCCATCGCCTTCAGGGTCTCCAGCTCTTGCATCACGCACCCCACGTAGCAGCGGTCGCACGGACATCGCATGCTCGTCGACGGACAGAGCGACAGATCAGAGCGCCATATACTCGTTCGACCATCTTCTGACAGCGCCCCCCGTGGCGTGTGTCACCTCGTGATTTGCCAGGCACAGAGGGGAGAAATAGAGGGAAAACAATCCCTGGTGGGTGGGTTTTTTTTGGGGGCGTAGTTGAGAGGCTAGGGTTCGTCCTTTCGGGGGGCCAGAAAAGAGAGGTCCCCGGTGGTCTGGCCTTGGGCGGAAACCCCTCCATCACTCACATCGCACGCGCGTCATTCGCCCGCATACGAAACCCCCTCATTTCCCGGCTGCCGGCAGACTGCGGCAGATCCGCCCAGCCCAGGTGCTCGTCGATGGCAGACTCGGCGTGCGCGCGAGTCATCGAGCCTGTTGACGAAGGGTCTTCATGCAGATCTTCAAACCGAGTCCCACGAGGCGATCTTGGTTGCGATCGAGGGCCGGCACGGGTAGGTGTTGCATCGGGGCTGGGTGGCTGGCGGAGGTCCACTTGCCGATACGGAAGTGGCTGAGCTAACGGCCGCTGGCTAATTGCTAGCTGTTCACAAAGGGTCCACTTAATGCGTGGAGATATCTTGCTGCTCGTATCTCCGATTCACCATCTTAGCGATTTGGTTCGCCGCAATCCCTGCAATACATCAGAATCTGTGACGCATCTCTTGGCGCCCTGTTTAATCTCACTTCGCCAAGCTTTTGGCCGCACCATGCAGCTATACGAGATCACGTAGTCGAAGTGTGGCAAGGCTGTACGCAAGATGCTCGTGAATGACAGAAATCTGCCGAATGTACAGTACTGTAGACTTCTTCTCACTTAATCTTAACCCACCATGCTATACCACGACCCAGCACTGTTCGGCCTGTGACGACTGGAAGCAAGATCCTGCGCGATCCAGCACATCCTAGTGCCTAAGTGTCCAGGTCTTTTCGATCGTACCCACCGCCGCTCACGTAGTTGACCTTCCAACCAACGTCCTAGTAGCGAGTCCCACCCCCCTACCATCACAGCCAGCGCTTCTTCCCAGGCTTACAGACTTGGCCACACCACTCTGCTAACCCACACATGCCCGCCATTTACCCATCTCGATCGGCTCCGAGCCGTAGCGCTCCCGTCGGACCCGCAGCTCACACTCGTCCTAGTTACCAGCCCTCGCTCCACAGTGGGCACCGCGATCGTCCCAGATCTGGCAGTCCCATCGAGTCGGAAACCCTGTACCCAAGATTCGATTGCCCCCCCTCTCTCTCCCGCGTCCCGTCGTCTCTTCGCGCCGCGCAGAAACCTGACTCATGGCCGGACGCAACGCAGACCTTCTCCTCCGCTTTTCCCGCTGCTGCTGCCAGGCCCCCCTACCTCCCTTCACCCCCCCTCCCTGCTCGGAACACTTGCGCCGCGTCCCACCCAGTCACCGACTCTGCCCGACGAATTCTCCGCTCCCAGTCTCCTGGTTCGGCACGATACCGGATATAATCATAACTAGGCTGGTAACGGCAGTCAAACGGCGAGGATGGGGCGAAGGAAGGGAACGAGACCAACCAACCGAGCGAAGCACAAGCATGCACTTCAGATCCAGTGACTCCCACCCTCCTCTAGGATCTCGCGTGCCGCGGAGATTACCGAGAACAAGGATCGGGGGTTGTGAAAAAAATGGACCAGCATCTATGCCTGCTCGGCACATATGCAAGCAGCCGCGGCAGGGGTGGGAAGGGGGGGCCAAAGTCTCCCGGCAGGTGAAAGCGGGAAGAGTGTGTGAAAAGGAAGCAGATACGGCGACCGGTGCGGTGCGGTGTGCGGCAGGGAGCGTGTTAGAGGGACGCGGGACGGGGGGAAGGAGGTGCGCTAGGCATACGGGTTGCTGGGCTCTCGGTAGGCTTTTGCGCGGTAGTCGTGTGCTAGGTATGTCCTGCGCCCATGCTCCTCCCCTATCTCCGCGGTAGCTTTGGTCGAATGGTGGTGGCGAGATACATCGATATATCGGCACTTCCGTGTGGGTGTGAGTGAAGGCAGCAGCGGACGATAGTTTGCCTGCGGCAGACCCATGCTACAGCGTGTCGTCGTCGTCGTGTCTTCCTGCTTTTCCTGCACAATATGTCAGTGGCTTGATGTTGCCATCAGTTCGTATTCAGGAGCGGCTGTGAGCGCTGCTCTAGGCAAATCGTGCGCGATGGTCTTCGTGGGCGGACTCCGCGGAGCGGAGCTCCACGGAATGGGCGGGCTTTGCTGTTCCCCCTTCTCACTGAATCGATTCGTTTCAACCACCGATCGGAGCGGGACGTAGGAGACACAATCTCATCAGTGCCAAGCTGCTGCTGCGCACCGGACCTTCAGTCCCCCGGAGGAGAGGGCTGTACAACATGAGGTGAGGTTGCAGTCGTAAAAGAGTGGTCGGAGCTGACTTCGGAAAGGCTCGCATAGCAGAGGAAAAAACCGTGCTTTCGTCGCCGGGCGGTGCTTGTGCGGCGCGCTGGGCACGTGTCGACACCGCCCGCCCGCCCGCTCATCATCGCCCGCCCGGCTCCTTCCCGCTTAATCATTCCCGGCGTGATGGGCAGGGCAGTGATATGATCGGTGGAGTGTCCGTGTCCTCCGCTGTGCTGTCGGGGGGGCGGCGGCGGCACCTGCATGCATGCACGAGAAAATGGGGCCGGAGATCGATCATGCCCCCCCTCCCTCCCTCCTCCACCGCTAATGCCCTCATCATCATCGTCATCAACCGGAGACCAGGCAAAGCGGGCTTTATGCAATGTGGGGCAAGGCAAGAAGGATCAAAGCAGGGCACCCTACGCACATGCCCCTCCCCCGGGGGGGCGGCGGCAAAGCGGACGATCGGTGAAGGGGGGGAGGCTCCTGCGGCGAGTCAAGGCCCGATCTTCGACGTCGTCAGATCTTCGGGAGATTGGGGAACGAGTTTTTTCAGGCCAGCTGGCTGGCGGGAATGAGAGCTGTCTCCTACATGAACGGTTACAGTGGCAAAATGGGTGCTCCAGGCGGCAGTGGGATACGCGATACGCAAGGTAGTTGGCTTCTGAAATGAACAGATTTAACTTGACCGCCTGGGAAGGAGCTACTTGGCCTAGACCGCCCTTGGCGGCATGATGCAGTAGCGGTATGCACTGGCACTCGCTGCAGGAAAGCTCAGACAAAGAGGCAAACAACTCTAGCTCATCATCACTTCACTGCATTGCAACCAACGAGGCTGAACAGCCCTGCCAAGGCCTGGCTTATGACCCTTACAACTGCATTTCCCGGGTTTTGTCGCCCCACCTTGGTGGTCAGGCACCTGCTAGATTGGATCTACCTCATAAGGCCATGCCGTACATGCATTGATGAGACTGGTCCTCTCTTGTGTAACCCGTAGTCCGTCTCCTTTACCTCGCAGTCGTAGCTATTGGATATACTGTGACCTGTACGACGGGAGAAACACCCGCAGGTAAGCCTCGCAGGTTGGGCTATTGATTGAGGGTTGGGTACACATGGACATTGGCTAGGAGCCGCCGGATGATGGTCCACTTCCGTCTCAATGTACACTCCGTCCCAGACACGCTGTCTTTCTGAGCCCTATGCCACATGCATGTGCAACTGCATACGGCGCTGTCGCTCTCACGGGGGGCTGTTGCCCCGTGAGGTGTCTCGCTGATTCTATTCATGCTGCAAGCAAGGGCGCCGTGGAAGCTTGGTGCCGGAGGCACCTCCCGAGTCAACAGCTCTTTTCCAAATCATCCTGAACATGTCATCGCTGTGTTCTATTCTCATCACTCTTGGTCAATCCTTTCTCGATGTGTGTTGTGCGGGTAAGCGCTGATCCGGAGTTTCGACCGACAGCCCCGAAACAGCCGGGGAACGCCAAGGCCAGCAGCCTGATGACTGTCACCCAGCCTTACTGCGAAACTGACACTGAGACATCCAGAATTGAGACAATACCTCTGGCAGGCTCAGAGTGAGAAGTCAGAATGGACGACCAATGAAAGAAGCCGAGACAAAAAGACAATGTAAGGGCCATTGTCTTCAATTACCGTACCGCCGGACGAACCCATTGGACCAGCCTGCCTTGCCCCCTGCTAAACAGACTGAACAACAGATTACGAACCCGCTTCTTCCAGACTTTCTGTCTCAGCCGAAGCTTCCCCTGCCCAACCGTCTCGTCCACGTAGACAATCGCGTTGCTGCCCATCCGTCGTCACCGCCCCGAAACCCGCCGGCACAACGATCCGCCCTCGACCGCCCCCCCTACCCCACAATGACCGGTCTGTCGCAAGGCCAGACCCATACTCTTGAGACGAGCAGAAGGGGGTGTTTCGAGCCCGGGAGAGGGGGAACCAAAGAAGTCGCATGATTCTTGCTTACGCTCTCCTCTTTTCTTCCCACCCCCCTCCTTCCGCTACAGCGGTCTTACCGCCAAACAGTTAGACCGCCAGAGCGTCAGAGCGCGGCGCACCGAAGCGGGTTGTGTTGGGGCCTCGAAGGGAAAAGAGGGAAAATGCAGAAGAAGCGAAGGAAGAGGAAGAGAAATGCGATTCGGCAGCGCTTCTCCGTTCTCCACGTCCTCTGGGTGGGTCTGGTGAACCATGCAAGTCCAGCCACAAAAGGACCCGGCAACCTGGGACAGCAGAGAGCAGGGTGGTCAGGCAGAGGAGCGCGGAAGCGGTACGCTTCCCGGTCACACTTGCTAGCCGACGACGAGGGAAACCACCATTGTCAGAGGGAATTAAAGAGAGAAAAAAAAAGTGGATCAGAAGCGAAAGGGTAAGCACAGAGAGTGGACAACGAACAGCGAAAAGCTACGCACAGAAGGTTCGAAGGCTCGAACACACGGGAAATCCTGTCTAGACCACCCCCCATATACACGCATTTCTTCCTTTCCCCATCTTTTTCCCTTTGATCGTTCCGAGCGGGAGCCGAGTCAGTGGACTGCATGACTAGGCGGTGCGGGTGGAAGAGCGGGATACCAGACGGCCGGGCTCAGACCGTCGGGAAAACAGAGCGAAGGACCGGCCCGCAGGACATGAGTTTTCCGTCCTGACCCACATCCCACTGACCGGCTGGCGTAAGTGCGGGTGGGACACGCTTGTGGGAAGCATACTACGTACATATGCCGCATATTACGGTTACGTCGGAGTTTCCGTGACCCAGCTTTTGGGAGGAGTGAGGCGTTCACACAGCAGGATTGATGACTTGTCGATCAGGCGTCAAGAAGCGGGTCGGGCTGCTCGCCGTGTTTGTGTGTCTCTATTGTTGTTGGTTTGCTGGGGGCCCAGCTGTGTGTCGGAAGCGGGCGGCGCCCTGCACCCGATCGCTGTAGCCGTACGTATGTACGATAGGAGTAAAAATTCGCGAAAAATAGTCAAACTCCGGCCGTCCGTTCAGCTGCTACATCCGCTCCATCCCACAACATACCCACCCCAAATCCTTCCTGCTCCCGGCGCGGTGGGAGTCCCCCGTGAACAGTGAAATGCAGTGGTTCGAAGTCAAAGAGGCTGGGGCGCAGTGAGACCCCACTTCTGGACGGATGATGGGGGGAGTCTGGAAGCCCACGAAGGACACGAAACTTTGGCCAAGAGTGAGCTGATTTGTTGCCCGAGATTGGCGGGCCGGGGATGCGGGAAGAAAGGGCGGGACCCTCTCAAGTGGACACGAGGGAAGCACAGAACAATTATCGTTTGGCGCCGCCGCAACGGTTCCCCACGCACAGATATTTATTTTATCAGTAAGGCTGGACCGGTCCGATCCCGCGAAACGCAAGCTGGAGAAAGGTAAAAATAAAGCCAAGACAGACATTCAGCATAACAAAACAACAGCGAGCGTTGGTGAGTCCATGGCCAGCAAAAGGCACGGGGCAAAGTCCCCACAAGTAACTTTCTTTTCTGAGTCCCGGATTCCGTTTTCCTTCTCCCTCTAGCGATGCGGATTCGTGCGAGTATGTAGAAACATGCCGAAAGCCGACCCATAACCCTTCCTGACAGAAGTGATGTCATCAGATGCGGGAGGTGGACATAGCGGAAAGGAGGCCGTGCCGATAACAATGACGATGACAAATGACATGCTTGCCCTTTTCCCCTCTCCCAAGCGAAACAGAAAGCAGGTGCCCCATGCCTATGAACATTTTTGTGCAGAAGCCAGAACCCAGCAGTGTATCCCCAAGCCTCTTTTGATTCCCGCAAACCCCGCCCAGTATCCAGAAAAGCGTTTCCACAATGCCTTGTTGCGCAAATCCCAATTAAAACCCCTAAGCGATGGCAAGACGCAGGACCAAAAACGGGCAGAGGGAAGATGAGGATGTGGAAAGGACGAAAAGTAGTAGTAGTAAAAACATAAGAGACCCAAGAAGGAGAAGAACCCGGCGCCGTTTCCCAGTAGTAGAGTAGTAGTAAATCGTGTCCCAAAACCCAATGCAAGTGACGTTCTCATCCTCATCAAGCTCTCTCTTTTTTCGAGGTGTTACCCCGAGCTGTGGGCGGGCGCGGTTTGCGCGGAAGAGGCGGCCTTTTCCCTCTCCCGGGCCTGGTTCTCGCGCTCCTCGGCCAGGAAATCGGCCCAGTCCTTCCAGACGACCCACTCGGGGCTGTCCGGGTTGAGGCTGCGGAGCATGGCGTCGATCTTCTCGGGATCCTCGTTCCAGGTGAAGACGGCGCCGGAGGATGCGTTGGTGGCGGACGAGCTGCTGGCATTACTACTGCTCGTGCTGGCGGGCTTCTCGGCCACGCTCCCGCGGCTTCCGGGCGAGCAGGCGCTCGATGATGAGGGAGGGCTTGCGGCTGACGTCGAGTGCTGCTGCTGTTGAGGAAGATAGTGGTGGTGGTGTTGGTGTTGCTGGTGGGCGCCGGAGCCGTCGTCGGGCGAGAGGATGCTGGAGATGGACATGTTGTGCATGCGGCGCAGGGGCACCTGTGACGAGACGGACGGCGAGGGCGAGCAGACGGACGGGTCGGCCTGGGGCGAGGCGGCGGGAGTGGGCAGGCCGGTTGTTGTTGGTGGTGACGAGTGGTCCGAGGGATAGAGGTGGTGGTGGTGGTGGTTATTGGCAGACATGACGCTGGCACGCGACTCGAGGGAGGTCGTCGGGGGGCTTTGGAGTCGGGGCTGGGGCTCGGTGCAAGATGTAGGAAGCTGGGGAGGGGAGCGGTAGGACAGAATGGCTAGATATACTTTGTCCTTGCATCTGGCGCAGCAGCCGCAGCTCGCGCAGCAGCAGGCAGAGCACACCACGCCGTGCGACCAGCTCCGTTGCGCGCACTGAGCGGTAGGCCGCTGGATGCAGATTTATTCTACAGCAAACTTATGGGGCCTGACTCGCGGCCGGGGCCAGGGCACTGCCTCGCTTTTTGAAGCGGGCAGCGCCCTTGCGTGCGGCCGGGGGGCGTGAACCTTCTTTTCCCCAGTTGACCGCCTGGCCTCGGCACTTGGGCGTGCGCCTGCATTCGCGCGCTCGGGGAAAAGCGCTGGCGCAGATTCCGCCATCACGCCCGGGCCGCAGCACGCTGCACGCTTACATCAGGGAGCCCACCGGCCGTTGCTTTTTCGGCGCCCACCAGCCTGCCAGCGGGGCTCCACGCCGGATCGTGCCCGCCTAGTGTGCAGAATCGGCCTCGAGGGCAGACAGACGGTCGACGATCGACGGCAGCGATGGCTGACATGCAGCCAGTGGGTGTGATGCTCGGGTGACAGCCCGCTGCCGCCGCGCAGGGGGCCGGGATGGCGACAAAGCCCGGCAGCCTCCCCATGCCCACCCGCCGGGGCCCTTGTCTCCCTGCAGCGTGTCAGCGGGGAAGCCCCACTGCCGAGATCCGCCTGCCAGAGCGCACAGCGTGCACAACTTCGCTTAACGCCTGGGCTGAGACGGACGCGAAACGCCATGCTGGCCAACCCCTTCCAGAGCCTCGAGCGGAGCGGGAGCGCCCTCCCCCGCCGCCTAGGGCCCGCCGTGCGACGGAGCGGAGCCGGAGGAATGCGGCGCAGGGCCACGCGCGCCTGCGATCTGCGATCCAGCGGTTCCAGCGCCTGCATGGAAATTGGTGGCGGAGCGAGCGAGCCAGCCTGCCGGCGCTCTTCACGTCAGGCTGTGATGATTGTGCCCAAGCCATGGCAGATGCCGTCGCTAGGATAACCGTTGCGCTGGCTGCTGCGGCTTTGCTCGACGATCGCCGCGGGAGGCCAGCGGGCCGGAGGTATGTCCGCCGTGCGAGGCTGGTCGCCTGGGCAAAAACGCCCCTGGCAGCCGCCGCTGCCCTTTCGCTGGGCGGGCGCACGTCAGCGCGGCAGGATCCTCGCTGCAGACGCAAAGCATGCTGCAAAAAGCAACGAGAAAAAGACGCATGCAGAACAGGCGTTCGCGCTGGAGGCAGGTCGTCGGGCCGTGTCGCCTGGCGGGCGGATGAGGCTTGGGCAGCGATATTTACCGCGCGGACGCGCGGGCGCGCGCGTCGCGGATACGCCGGCTTCCTTGACGGGGCGGGCGGACCGGACGGGTCTGCACATCATCTTGGCCTTTTCGTTCAGGGGTTGCTTCGTCGCTGTCGCGGCCGCGCTGTCATGGAGCCCGGCGGGGTGGAAGCTCGGGGCGGGAGAGGGTCCCTTGACCTTAACCCTCCATCCGGGGTGGCAATTCACGTGTCTATCAGGAGAGACGAGGTAAAACTCGCCCTCGTCCCGCCTCGACTCCGTCAATCATCGCTTTTGTCTTCCCTCGGATGCACGTTCAACAACGCACACACACTATGCAGTGTGAACCCGTCCCGGCGGCGTGGACCGCACGCTGCCCTCCTCGGTGACGTCAAGATTTTTGGCGGTGATTCGGGGCGACGTGGCCAGCTGCACGAAGATGGAGCGAGTGTTGGTGGAGCTCGGCGGACAGGCCACCGGGGATGCGGGAGCGGCTCATCAGTGCGCGGATGCAGGGACAGGAGCGCGGCGTGGCGGCTGCGTGCTGTGTCGCTTGCTGACTGCCCATCGTGGAGCCAGCGCCGCTGCAGCGCGAGTAGGATGCCACCTGTGCTTTAGGGTTAGGAGGGTGATGAAACGCGGTGGGTGGTTTGGGCATGGACATCACACCATCCAAGCTGGGTGAACGTCGGCCATCCCCGCTTCCGCGCACCGCCTGCCCGGCGACTCAGCACCACCATCCGTTCCCGCTGAGATACGCTCGAAAACGCAACTTCCCGCTCAGATCTGCCTCTCCTTGGCCTGGCAAGCCCCCCCGCCGCCTCCCGTCCGCGCTAGCACTGTCAGATTCGCCTGACTCTGGCCCCCGACCGTCACACTTCTCCCAGCGCCCTCCGCCCCCCGTCCGCGCCAGAAGGGGCAGGTCTGCCAAATGTCCGCCGTTCGAGCCCTGCATCTCCGCTCCGCCGCGGCTAACGGCCGTTCGACCTCGCGCACACGACCCGGCGCGAGCGGCGGCGACTCAGCATCCCACGCTCGGGTTTCAGGTCATTGCGCTCCATGCTTTCCACAGGAGCCGCTCCTCATCTGCCGTCGTCTACGCAAGCTCCGAGCCCTCTAGACCACCATTTGCCTAGACCGGTTCGTCCAACATGCTCCGGCGAGTTTAATCAGCCCTGAGACACACTACTCCTCCCCGTCTAAACGGAATCAAAAGCCTCGCCGCCATGGCAAACAACCGCCCTAGCGCCCTCTAGCTGCTCCTCCGCCTCACCCAAATCCTCGGGGCCAATCTAAGCGCCGGATTGCCCGCCACATACGGCCACACTTCGATCCCCCGTCATGATGCTTGCTGCCGAAATTCTCCCTACCTACCGCCGTTCTCTGCACCCTATCCGTCCCTTCGGTTTCGACGAGAGCAGGAGCGCCAAGCCACTCTAGCACCAAGTGCGCGGGCTCCAGGGGGCCGTTTTCCTGACTCACGTCCAATCTCGACTCCCTCCAGCGCCTTGCCTCTTTGATGTGATGCCCATGGTACGAAGCCGACAGCCTTTCCAACCCACGCTCCATGTGTGTTGTCCTCATTGGCTCCGCCGTGGCTCCCGCGCGCTATATCTACTGCAAGCCCTAGTGCCGCACCGCAGCTGGCCCCGCCACAGCAGAGTATCATGCTGCGTTGCGCAGAATCCCATTGGCGCCGTCCATTACACGGCCGGAACCACTCCTGGGCTGACCCTGCACGACGGAGCCTTCCTCTGTTCATTGGGTTGAGCTCATCACCCCCCTTTTCGTATGCTACACAGTCTCTCTACTGTTCCTTGCATCCGATACGAAAAGACTGCATGAATGCACTCTCTTTGCCGGCCTTGTCGTCTGGAGTCCGACTTTCCCGGTCCGTCCTACATCCCGGGTGCACCCCTCGTCGTGCGCGCGGCAGAAAACCGGACACAGGCATTTCCTTTCTCGTTTGAGACTCTGGCTGCTCATCCTTCGCTTGTAGGCTTTTCCGGTTCCGTGCCCACATGAGCCGACGTCTTTACTGGATGGATCAAGACGTGGAACATGCAGCCATAGCGGCCGCACCCAGATTACCACTTAATCTAAGTCAACAGGAGACATGCTTCCTTTGTGTGAGCCCCGACTATATCCTCTGCTTCACATATGCCGGCGAAGTCCCTCGTGCAGCTTTTCGTTCTTATTTCAGGGACGTCGAACCGATGCGTTGGGACTGATAGTCTGTTTAGATGCCTCGGTGATACCGATAGATCCGGACGCCTGCATAGCTTCAACCACCTTTTGGGCACGGATGGTCGGGCCTACGTACGAGAAAGGGTCTGCCCCTTGGAGACCAGTTGCCTTGCAAGCCTTAAGCGGGTAAGAGTCGCGCTCCCCCTTGTCCTCCGGCAAGTGCCACCCCCGCTTCAACCGCCGTCACGGCTGGAGAATACGAGATGCAGACTCCCGAGACATCTGTCACTTAGAGTTGGGGCAGTCGAACTGCGCTCAACTCGCTTTCTGCTGTCTCACCAGACGTGGAGGAAATGAAGCAGCAATGCTTTCCTGCCCAAGCCGCCACAGATCCAGCAGACTGGGTGCATCGGGCCACTATTCCCAAGCCACTGCTACCAAAATGGTCGCCATGCAGAATCCGATGCTCCTGACCCTGGTGCTTTTCACACCCCAGATTACGCAAAAGTCAGCACAATCAGCGACTTGGCGGCCAATCGGCAATGTTAATATCCACCATACGCGTGGCGCCGCTTCCCTTAAATGTTTCCAAGATTGATGACTGATACGGCCAGGCATTGACATCGACGATGACTACTACACGGGAAGGAACGGCCCTCGCCACGCACTATCTTCTCAGCTCGTCTTACTAGAGATTAGCGAATGGAGGGCCTGAGAAGCCACACTGTCGTGGAGCTGGGCTTCAGCCCTCCCCCGTTTGATGAGATCACGAGCCTCATGCAACATGCAAAGGGCCAAAGACCATGATCGACCGGGTCGGTAGCAAGGCATCGGTGATCAGGTGGCGGGAGCTAAACCGTGTTGTAGCGCCTATCCCCTGCGCGGACACGATTCCGCAACAAAGGGCCTGGTGATGCGGGGAGCCTGAAGGCATGCAAACCTGACAAGAGGCGGTGGGGAAACGGAAAGGAGCTCTACTGGCTCGGCTGCGTCTTCATCACATCCCCCTTTCGGCGAGCTTTGGGATCCTCAGCCTTGATAGCAGTCAGCTGCCTGATTTCTGCACCTACAGCCGTGCTTGATCCGCGATGACATGGTTCAGTCAGCTCACTTGTGGGCGGCTAAAACAAAGGCGTGGATGCACTCATGCTCTACTCAGGCCTGCTGTGCAGTCTGAACGCCTGCTGACCGCTGCTCTTGCATCCTCGAGCTATTTCTTCACATGATCGAGTGAGAAAAACTGCGTACTTACCCTGGCATTCTCCTGCTTTCGAAGCACTCTGCCGTGGCGACTTCCCCGTGGCGAATGCGACATCGCACAGGCCGGTGTCAAAAACATGGCTGCGGTGAATACATCAGCCATTGGATCAGGAAACACGCTCGTTGGCGTAGGGAGAAGTCACTCTACCGGTATTCTAGTAATGGTTTCCGAGCGATGGTGTCCGGAGTCACGCATCCAACATGCCCAACGAAGTGCGGCGGCGGAGCTGTTTTGCGCGGTCTCTGCTTATGGCTCCGGTAACAGACACCGCGAGACAGCGACCCGACTATTTATCGCCCCTCACGTTACGCCATCGCCATCACCACACTTCACAACACTTGAGCGCAGCGCATCAGGAGCCTTTGACGCGCGGTGGCTCGACAATCGAAGATGTGGCGTTTCTTCACCTACCTTCGCCTAAAGGCGATCGTCACGTTGCTCCGCTTGTTTGTACGGCTACGCGGCGCGCCCGCAATCTCACCCAGCGCCAGCGTGCTGCACATCCCGTCGCGCGACCCGCAACGCACCATCAAAGCACACGTCTATCGCTCCTCGGCCCATGCGACCGACTCCTCCACCCCGACGCCCGTTCTCTTCAACTTCCATGGCTCCGGCTTCATGCTGCCGCTGCACGGCAGCGATGACTACTTCTGCACGCTGATCGCTGCCAAAACGCCGTACACGGTGCTCGACATCCAATACCGCCTCGCGCCCGAGCACCCTTTCCCCGCCGCCGTCAACGACGCCGAGGACGCACTCAAGTACGTGCTCGCCAACCCGACTCTTTACGACGCCCGCCGCCTCGCCGTCTCTGGCTTCAGCGCCGGCGCCAACCTCGCAATAGTCGTCGCCGGCGCCCTGCCCGCCAGCTTTCCCCCCGGTACCTCCATCGGCACATGCATCGCCTTCTATCCGGGCACGGATATGACCATCGATCCCGGCGAGAAGAAGGCGCCCGATCCCACCGGCAAAGCCATTCCGCCATGGTTCGCAAGGCTGATCAACGAGTGCTACATCCCGCCGGATGTGAGCGCCAGCGATCCGCGCATCAGCCCCTGCTATGCCGACCTGGCCAATTTCGCGGGCATGACATTCGCCTTGCTGTCGGCTGCGCGCGACAATCTGGCGCCTGAATCGGAGAAGTTTGCCGCGAGACTCGAGGAGGTTGAGGGGACGACGGTTGTCCGGAAAAGGTTCGAGGGGTGCATTCACGGGTTTGATAAGCACGCGGAACCGGGAAGTGGGAATGAGAAGGCCAGAGATGAGGCATATGGGATTGCGGCGGATCTGCTGATGGGGCAGTAGGCTCGCATCGCGATTCGCAGCTGGGAGCTTGACCGCTTGAGTTGAGGTCTGTGAGAAGAGCGTCTCTGCCGACTGCCCGTTATGTATACCTCCACAGGACCCGATCCTTCCAGATTCGTCCTGGGAGGAGGGCACGCCCCGGAGCGGCTGGATGCGGCTGTCGGGATCTGCGCCGTTGCCGCGGATAGCCAAAACTACGGATTTACGGATTTCGACAAGATCTGAGGATGCGGAGGGTGGGTTGATTCAAGCAATCGCCGCCTCGTTATGCAACGGATCAGCACCAATGGGAATGTACCTCTAGGACCCATCCGAGCCTGTCATCTTATGAATCCTGGGCCCATCAAAAGCCGCACATTCGTCAAGTCGTTGATCAGCTGAGAACGCCTCTGCGATGCCAATGACGAAAGACACGGACTTCCAAACGCTGGCGATCCTCCTTTTTTCTTTTGCTGACAGACTCGACGCGGCTGCGGCGCTTGTTGTTGGCCTTGCAGCAGTGTTGGGCACCATCGGCTATTGCTTTTCAGGACGCATGCCCACAATTCGTGCGCCGCAGCACACAACTGCCGCTGCCTCAGAGGCTTGCTGTGGCTGCTTCTCGACTGCTCTCTCTCTCTGATCCCGGACTGCTCTAGATCCTACCGTTCCTTCATCACCGGTCTCGTTTCCGCCCGCTTGGCATTCGTGTCCCCGAAGATCGCGATCTTCTATGCTACATGTGGCATCCTCCCGGCACATCACATCGTTCGTCCCCTCTTTGCGCTATCTTCGGACCGTTACCCGACACATAAAAAAGCAAGGCCCTGCTCGGCGCTTCTCCATCCCCCTATACCGCCGCTGCTATTCCCTTCTCTATTGCTGTTCCCAGATTTTCTATTTCGATTTCGCTGCCCGAAAATCAATAAAACCGAATCGTGCTCCGCTTTCCCTTTCTCTCATCACCTCCTGCTCTCCCCTTGGCCGATCCCGCCGCCGCCGCCGCCGCCCACCCCCCAGTCCTTGCCGAGTCATCTCCGGCTACGACCAGCCACCCGTCAAAATGCCCTTTCCCCAATCGAAACTAGCCGACGACCCGCCGAAAGCCTGGTCAAGACAGAAAAAAAAATTTTCCCCACTGCACTCTCCACCACCAACCACGCCAACGTGAATACGAATCCTGATGATGCAGGGGCAAAAAGATGACCACACCAGGGGTCGAACCTGGAATCTCTTGATTCGTAGTCAAGCGCCTTGCCATTGGGCCATGCGGCCTGTACAACATCTCATCGCCTTGGAACCTTGATTCTGAGGCAGCTGTGGTGTTGTTCATGGAGAGGGGATTGACAGGCAGTCTTTAAGAACGCAAAGGTAAGACGTTTCGAGGGGGATGGCCGTTTTGAGGACCCATGAACTCAGAGAGGAGGATCAGCGTCGGCGTTCTCCGATGGTGGGTATTTCTGGCAACGACCGTGGTCTATGATGCAATTGAAATCTTCTACCGCCTGTGCAAAACTCTACCTCGAAGCTGCTTGCTCCGTGTTCTGGTACTGGTTGAGAAAGAGGACTCATGCCGACATGCCCTGCGTCGGCCCATTGTCCCTGGGCTGCAACCCGCTGGTTGTGGAGTAATCATTGCCTTGTGAACTGGATCCCTCGCATGCTTCGCAGATGAGTGGGATTGGCCTTTTGAAGACTGATGATGTTGGCTACATGATAGAGCTGCGCAAGAACACTCCCAGGACAACAACAATCCAGATGGAATTTGTACCGATGGGATTTCCTGGGGGCTTGAAGATACTTCCCGATCTACTGTAAGCACCATTCCCATCGCGGGGTGTATCGATATTCCAGCTTTCAGGTTTCACGGGATAAACTTTTCCCTTTCAACTGCGCTGTTATTTTGATCCAGCCATCACACAACATGCTTTTCGTTATCAGAGTTCTACCCCTCGAGATGCGAATCACGAACTCTGCCTCCTCCCAATTTCTCCGGGACATGAATCGACTTGCCGCCTGCCTTTTCATCAATTGCCCAATCAGCAGCTTTAGCTCACTTGGGAGAGCGCCAGGTTAGTTCATCTCTGCTACCGCATCCACCGGCCGAACACCCATCACTAACATCACGACAGACTGAAGTCCACTTCAGCCAACAGCATTCATATGTGCGGTATCTGGAGGTACTGTGTTCGATCCACAGAAGCTGCAAGACTTACGTTCTTACCAGTCTCAGACTGGTGTGCAAGCCATTATCTTTTTTGACTTTTTGTGACATGGCGTGCATGATAAGGATTTTTTTTTGTGCGGGTGGCTCGTGCGTTGGAGGGGGTGTGGAATAGCTTCCGGCCCCATCCGGCGCTAAAGGTGTAAGAGGGGAGGCACTAACGGGGTTGGGGAAGTCGGCGGGAGGGACGGGTGTGGGTGTGGCGGTTTGCTTCTTTTTCTTTGCTTTTTCCCTGGCTCTTCTTTTGTTACTAAGAGGGGTGGGGGGGAACCGTCGCTGTTGCAGATAGATGAAGCTTTTATTGCGGCTCGGCGCTGGGCACAGGCAGAGATGGTTGGGCAGAAGTCGTGGGGCTAGCTGGCGGCTAGCGGCATGAACTTGCATACAGCACTACCGGTGTCGAATCGAGATTGAGGACTTACTAGCTGCTTCTGTGTGCATTTGCGGCACATGTCGCGGCAGGCGCCTATCTGACTGTGGCGGTGCTGGATGCTGCCGCGTAAATCTGCATGCATGCGAACACGAACATGGCCCTCGCTAAAGCTACAGTGTGTTGATAAGAGAGATTCGGAGAGATAGATCATCAAAGTCTGACGGCTTTTGTCCTTGATCACTCGCAGGTGAATCAATTCGGAATCAGTTTGAAAGACATGTCATGTGGAATGAACGATATTCCAATTTCCCCGCTCCGGTGAGGATGGTACGGCTCTTCAAGAAGGCTGAGGTAAAAGAGCGCAAGCTTAGAGTATAATCGGTTTGCCGGGCAGCAGCTTTGGTAGTGGCTATGTCAAGCCTTGTTTGTTTGGGCGCGTTGTGCAAGAGGAATACGTAGGTGATGCCGTTGTAGAGACCAGAAAGTAAGTAACATTTAAATAAAGCTTAGAACTATAAGATAGTTCAAGTTCTTCTAGAACTGTCTCTTTCATGTCTTCTTTTTCTGCGAGCTTCCGTTGGCTTAAATATGTTTTTAAACGGAAGGCGGGATCGGCAGGCACAACATCAACTGGCGTGGAGCCGCAACGACAGCACCTGGGAGCAAGCGCCGCTGCAAATTACAACCGCCGCGAAGAAGATTGAAAGGTTGTACTTAAGTCTACCGAGCGAATTTAAGAAGTAGATGTAGCATCATTCACAAGCACATTGCAAGTCAAGAATAGCGCGGACATCTCCAGCTCACCTGCCGCCGATTCCTAAAATCTTACCAGTGACGTAACCTGCGGCTCTCGGCGCGGTTCCGCGAGCTTCTGACGGCCCGGGCGCTAGATATTCCGTGCCTTCCTCACTCCCGTCGGCGTCGGATGCGCTGCGATGGCTTGAAGAGTTTCTACTCCAGCCTCGTCACCCTCACTCTTTCCTCTACACCCCACACTCTTTTCTCGTCGCATCAGTCATGGCGCGCTCCGCTCATTCGCTGGCGGACCCCGCCATGCTGTCCAAGATCGACAAGCTGTTTGCTTGCAACGTTGGCCACCATATTGACCTCCCGCAGATTGTTGTCGTCGGTGACCAATCCTCCGGCAAGTCGTCCGTCCTCGAGGGCCTCACCCGCCTCCCCTTCCCGCGTGACAGCGGCCTCTGCACGCGCTTCGCTACTCAGATCACCTTCCGCCGCTCGCAAGCCGCTTGCGTTTCGGTTTCAATCATCCCAGGCAAGGATGCTACCCAAGACCATGCCGACGCCGCGCGCGCCTGGAAGAAGGCTGACCTTGCGGCACTTGACCTGGAAGCGTTTACAAGCATCATGCAGGAAGTTCAAGGCGTCATGGGAATTGACAAGAAGAAGACTTTCTCGTCCGACGTGCTGAGCATCGAGGTCACCGGTCCGGACCAAGAGCACCTCACTGTCATTGACGTGCCCGGCATCTTCCAGCGCGTCACCAAGGATGTTACCACGAAAGAAGATAAAGAGTTCGTCAAGTCTATGGTGTTCGACTATATGAAAAACCCGCGCTCCGTTATGCTCACTGTCATCCCTGCCAACGTGGATGTTGCAACTCAACTCATCCTCGAGATGGCAGAGGAGGTTGACAAAGAAGGCCAGAGGACCCTGGGTGTCTTGACCAAGCCAGACCTCGTTGACAAAGGTGCTGAGAAGGCTGTTGCTGACATGGTGGAGGGTCGCACTCATCAACTGAATCTGGGATGGTGCATTGTCAAGAACCCAGGTCAACAGGACATTGGAAATCTGGATTTTGATCGCTACGCCGAGGAAGACGTCTTCTTCAAGACTGTTGAACCTTGGAAGGGTCTTCCTATGGATCGGCTCGGAGTCGAGGCGCTGAGAGAGCGTCTGCAGCTGATCCTCGCCGCCCATATCCGTCGCGAATTCCCCAAGGTCAGTTGCCCTTCACTGGAGATCCCAAGTCTCATTGCTAACTGTCCTCTTGCATGCAGGTCAAGCTCGAAGTGAACTCTAAGCTCAAGGAAGTCAAGAAGGCGCTCGAATTCATGGGTCAAAAGCGTGATACACCCGCCGAACAGTCGCAGTTCCTCATAGACATCGCCACGCGCTTCCAAGTCATCGCCACTGAGGCTCTCGATGGGAAGTATGTCAACGACTGCTTCTCGCAGTTTCCGATTCTCAAGCTCGCGACGCAGGTTGTCAATCGCGAAGAAGAATTCTCAAAGGACTTTGCACTCTTCGGACACACCTACCACTTTTCATCCAAAGACGATGATGAGGATGAAAGTGCTCCCCAGAAGCCAGTCAACCCGTATGAAAACATAGCAGCTCATGCAAACACACCTACTCAAACCCCCCAGCCCCAGGGAAAAGTAAGCACTCGAACCCTGCCGGCTCAGATGAAAGAAGCCCTCGCAAGCGCGCCGCTAAAGGTCCCGCCTCAGGTACCAGCCTTCGGAAGCACGCAGCCTCTCGGAACCACCTTCCAATTCTCGCAGCCTCAGGTCAAAGCACCAATCTCAAGCTCGAAAGCTCAACCCGAATGTAGCTCGAGGAAGCGGCCGTTCCCCGCGGCAGGTTTATCGGATATACTCCATGACAACACGAAGCTGCCTTGTCCAAAGGGGTCCGAAATCTTGAAATGGCTGTCGGAAACTTTTGTCGAAAGCCGTGGGTTTGAGCTGGGCAACTTCTCTCCGGCACTCCTCGGCACGACGATGAAGGCTCAATCGACGAAGTGGGATGACTTGGCCTTCGGATTCATATCCGACATCGTCTACATAACCGACTGCTTCATCATCAAGCTGCTCAGTCTGGTATGCCCGGACAACAGGACCTTTGATCGTCTGAAGGAGATGCTGGTAGATGAGCTACAGGTTCGTTACAAGAAGGCGTTCGAGCAAGTGCGTTTCATCTTGCAGGTTGAACGCTTCTGTACGCCCGGTACCCTGAACCACTACTTCAACGACAACCTCGAAAAATGGTAAGTATTACAATGCATTAAGAAGCCAAGGAATATGACTAACGATAAAGCAGTCGCCAGAAGCGCCTGCGCAAGCTTGCTGAGTCCAAGTCTCGTTCAAATGAGAGCGGTATCGCATTCGTGCGTGTGGATGACTTAGTTCAGACCTCGACTGCCATGAGCAACAAGGACCATGCTGTCCAGGACCTCCATGACATCCTCAAGGCCTACTACAAAGTTGCTCGCAAGCGCATCGTCGACAACATCGTGAGCCAGGGTGGCCGTTACTGGCTTATCATTGGCCCAGACACGCCACTGAAGCTCTTCAACCCCACCTTCATCAGCCAGATGTCGATGGAGCAGCTGCAGGAGGTTGCCGGAGAAGATGCCTTGACCAGGCGCAGGCGTGCGCAGCTTCTCAGGGAGCACGATGACTTGGAGAAGGGCCGGAAGATCCTCTCTTAATGGAGTCATACAAGACTGCAGGCTTGAAGTCAGCGTCTGGATCATATCAGAGATGGCGAAAATCTAGTGGGTTTTGAATAACTTTGCCCGTCTTGAAATAGCTTTGTCTTCCTGGGTGAGCAGTTGAAGATAAGGTTGTACTTTTCATAACCCAAATATCAATCAGGATATCTACTTCAACTTCCCATTCATGTGATTTGTCTTTCAATGGGTATGCAACCCGCTGCCTAATATTGGGTGAGCGAATGAGTACTTGCATGTTCATAAGCACTAGTGGCTCAGCGATGTTAGCTCCCGTCATTCCCTTGGCGCCAACTGGGCACCAAGGAATGATATCTCAATCCATATCAAGGAGCTTTCCGCAGAGGTGAAATCTTTCGTCTTTGAGAAGAGTACCTGGAAAAGTTCAATGAAAGGTCCTACCGTAAATTACTGTAAGATTGTTCTCCGGCTTTATTTCCGTGAACTTCCGGGGTTGCAATGAGAAAAGCGGCTGCTACATCATTTGGAATGGTCATTGGTAGCTCACATCACCGATCCGCCTCTGACGTACGTGGAGTAACTGCCCCGCATCCTCCGGGAGCTCCGAACTTACACAAAAACCCCTCTTTCATCTCGATCATTTCTACAGTTTCCAACAGATGCGAAAAGCAACAACTGACGAAATAAAGAGACAAAGAAATCCAAACGGCCCTGTACGGATAGCAACCGCCTCCCCACACCAAATCAAAGCAAACAACAAAGCCCTCCCCCCAACCCTCCCCAAAATGGTCAAAGTCGCCATCGCAGGCGGCACCTCGCCCACCCTCGGCCAAGCCATCATCTCCGCCATGCTCAAAACGCACCCAGAAAACACGCCCATCATCGTCCTCTCCTCCCGCCCGCCCCCTTCCACCCCCACGCACGCCACCGCCGCGGACCCGTCCACCATCTCCGCTGCCTCCGACCCCACCACCATCAACACCACCAGCACCCTCCACGCCGGCCGCGTCGAAGTCCGCCACGTCGCGTACGATTCGCACACCTCCCTCACCGCCGCCCTGCACGACGTGCACACCGTCGTGTCTGTCATCAAAATCCCCGATCCGGACGCCATGCGCGACGCGCAGCTCGCGCTGCTGCAAGCCGCGAAGGCGGCCGGGTGCAGGCGCTTCGCGCCGAGCGAGTGGGCGTTTGGGGCGGCGGGGCGGGTGGATGCGGTGAGGGGGAAGGACGAGGTGTGGGATGCGTGCAAGGCTAGCGGGCTCGAGTGCGCGCGGTTCCGGTGCGGGGCTTTCATGAATTATTTGGGTGTTGGTCGGGCGTTTTCGAGCGAGGATGCGCGGGAGAAGGCGTTGGCGGGGTTGCAGGGGGATGGGCCGGGTTGGTGGGATTTTGAGAGGGGTGTGGCGGAGTTGCCGGTGGTGGTGGAAGCGGAGGGGGAGGAGGGTGGTGGCAAGAGGAGGTTTCCGCGGGTTACGTTGACGGAGATCGATGATGTGGGGAGGTTTGTGGCGGCGGCGTGCGCGTTGACGGAGGGGAGTTGGTTGGAGGAGATGGATATGGTTGGGGAGACGGTGCGGGTGGATGAGGTGGTGGGGTTGGTGAAGGAGTGTTTGGGGATTGAGTTGAAAGTGGTGGGTGTGACGAGAGAAGAGTTGGAGAGAAGGGTAAGTGAGGTGGAAGGGGTGGGGAAAACTAGGGAGGAGGTGCTCAAGAAGATGATTGCGCAGCTTTCGTTGGTGATGTTGGAAGAGAAGGAGGGGTGGGCCATCATGAAACCGACATTGAATGAATTGTGCTGGCATACGAAGCCGTTAAGCGTGAGGGAGTATCTGACGAATTATCAGTGAGGGGGACGAGGGGTGACGTAGCGAGAGGATTCGGTGAGTTTTATTTGGACTTTGCCACTATTTCCACTACTATACGCTTTCCAACATAACCCGAGTTTTAAGATACCAATACTGCTACAATCTGAATTTCTAACGGCCGTATAATCCATCAACGGTTTTTTTAAGCCTGTGCCTAACATCGATACCACTTCCAGGCGCTTCAATTTGGTCAAATACTGTCAGGACTTGTTGTATCTCGTTCAAGCTCCTGAGAAACATACCGGCTTTACATTCCCGCAAGGTCAGCTCAACATTGGAAGACTGCATATTTTGTGATGGACTTACCTGACGCATCATCTAAAGTTTTACACACGATAAACCTTAGAGTAATAATCGAACCAACGCTTCATCTTGTTGATGAATTGCCCCTCAAGAAATGTAAACTCTGGGAAATCATCCGACAATCGGTTTGGATCAGTCTCTTTAATTTCGGTAGGGTTTTGCTCTTGCTGAGGCTGACTCGGACTTTGCTGTGGTTGCTGAGTTTGGCTTGCTTGCTGTTGACTCTGCTCCTGTCCCTGCTGGCCTGACTGATTATCTTCAACGAAGGTAAATTCTGGACGGTCATCTGATTCCCGGTTCGGGTCAGTCTCTTTGATCTCGGAAGGATTCTGCTCCTGCTGTTGCTGATTCTGTTGATTCTGAGTTTGGCCCTGTTGGGTTTGCTGTTGGTCTTGTTGGCTCTGCTGCTGATTTTGTTGTTGGTCCTGCGCACTGTCTTCCTGAACGAATGTGAATTCTGGGCGATCGCTGTCGGCCGGGCTTGGATCATTCTCCTTGATCTCAGAAGGACCTTGATCTTGTTGTTGGGTTGGCTGCTGAGTTGGTTGACTCTGCGGTTGAGTTGACTGCTGGGCCTGTTGGTTCTGCTGAGTCTGCTGTTGGTCTTGCTGTATATCTTCTTGAACAAAGGTAAATTCTGGGCGATCATCTGATTCCGGGCTTGGTCCGTTCTCCGTGATCTCAGAAGGGCCATCTACTTGACTCTGCTGGCTGTTATCCTGCTTCGGCGCGTCGGTGCTCTGTTGGTTCTGCCCCTGTTGGGTTGTGGTTGTCTGTTGCTGGTTCTGATCCGGTTGGCTTTGTTGTTGATCGTCCTGAACAAAAGTAAATTCTGGACGGTCATCTGATTCCGGGCTGGGTCCATTCTCTGTGATCTCGGAAGGACCATCTCCTTGCCCCTGTTGGTTATTCTCCTGCTTCGGTGCATCCGTACTCTGTGGATTCTGGGCTTGCTGACTTGAAGTTTGTTGATTTTGCCCCTGCTGGGTTGTTTGTTGCTGATTATGATCCGGCTGGTCTTGTTGTTGGTCATCTTGAACAAAGGTAAACTCTGGACGGTCAGAATCCGGCGGGCTTGGATCGTTTTCCTTGATCTCAGAGGGATTCTGCTCCTGAGTATTGGTGGCCGACCCCGCTGGGGTAGTGGAAGAGATGGGATTGGAAATAGCAACACTCGTGGTGGCGGTGGTACCTTTCGTCTCACTTGAAACCGAGGCGGTATCTGGCAGGATAAAGATCGTACCTACACCACTGCTTTGTACAACCCCAATCTTGTCTTTGAACCAACATGCAGAAGTATAGCTCGCGGCAGCGCAACCCTGTTGCCGTACACAGAGATCCGCACACTCTCTCGGGTTTGCAGCTGGCGCACTGTGGAAGCTATTGACGTTGTTGTCTGCACCACAGATGATGCGGAACATTTTGCCGCCAGTTGTGTATTGGAGACCAGGCGACGGAAGACATGGCGCATCGGCTCGCTTTGCAAGTTTGGTATTGGCTTGCATACTGGCGGTGCTAGACTGAAGATCTTCTGGAGGAAGTGTCAAGCTGGGCCCGCTCCAGGTCGTTTCGATAGATCCAGCGGAGATGCTGGTCGGTGCAGACGATGAGGAGCTGCTTGCACGTGCACTGGCCATTGCAGCCTCACCACTGGCCACGCAGGAGCAAGCGCTGGAGAGGGCAGTAATATCGCTACAGTACGTGCGTGCCCAGAACGGTACAGTAGTGGAAACTGCAATATTTGTTGCCCGTCTCGCCGTCAAGCGGGAGCAGACTCTAACTGCATCGCCGCGTCTGGCCAGAAAGCCACGTGGACAGGCTGATATACGTCAATAATGCTTTCATTGAAGATAGATGAACATGTGGGCCATACCATCGATGAAGCAGCGTCTGGGGTTGAATCTAACAGCAGTTGCGGTCGTTGTGGTCGCTGCCGTCGACGTGGTCGTCTCTGAAATATGGCTGGAAGGGTGTTTGTGTTTGTTCTGGCCGTGGAAACTCTTGTGATGATAAGCGTGAAAATGATGATCATCAGCCAGAGCAGTAAGGGCAGTACAAGCCAGGGTAACGAAAACGAGCAACCTCATTTTGTGAATCGACAGGATGGGAAGAGTGTTCCGTTTGCTGGTGTCGAGAGCGAGGCAATCATTATCGGGTATACTTATCCGACTATCGTTTGTTCAGCTCACTGTCCCGGGTGTGTGGTTTGGAACGAGAGACGGTAACAGACAAAGGCATATCTTTCACCTTCCTGCTTTAATGAGCTCCCCACGAAAGCCTCAATTTCCAGTAGCGGATTGAAAGTACATAGGAACACAAAGAAACTTGAGAGCGGTGGGACCTGCAACACAACTGCAGCTCTTCACATTGCCACGAGTACGTTTCCCCTATGACGTTGATTCTGAACAACATCAAAGAAAAAGGATGCATACGAGATATACCGCATAGTCTTATATTCGGGTAGTATAAGGCAACAACATGACCATTCCGCTGTTATACCAACTACTTCAAAAAATGGTGAAGTGATAGTCAAACAGAATGATGGAGTCGCATTTGTTGTCAAAACCCTCACATTGCTGCTCAAGTTGAGATATGGAGCTAAGGTAAAGATTAAGTTGGTTCAACGGCCAACAGTGTGGTTTCATGGGATTTCATGGTGGTTTGGTCCCGGGGCCTTACTGGATTTTAATCGAAGAATACTGGGTGCCGCTAGGTAGGGGGGTCGCTTGCTAATGAGGGGCTGGATTACCAACCGCTTAGCGCATCAGCACACTTGCATGTTTCACAGCACCACGCAAATAGACACGTTGTCGAATTTCATTCGTCTGAACATTGGCTGCAATGACTTAAAAAGACACTGCGTTCGCAATCATTGCGAGGCTGATCGCACTCCTAATGACCATCAATTGACGCTGGTTGAGCTATCCCTCGCGCGGTCGGTTATTAAAGCAAAGCATCAAAGCTGTGCAAGGCGAAATTCCTCAGTCGCTCTCTAGCCAGTCATTCAAGCCTGTACCACAAGTGATTTTCTTCTCTTAACGAAGATCAATAACAGCTTCTTACATCTTTTTAGGTCCCCAAACATTTGCAATGGGAAAACTCTTCTACTGCTGCCAGTGTGGCTTTGGCCCTATGCAAGAGTCTACCACTCCGGCCTGTCTATCCTGTGGCTGTCCCCCTTGCAGGGACTGCATTTGGGAAGGAGATGCGATGGCCCTGCTGCCTGTTCTAGTTGGGACGGGTTCAGTACACCGGCTTGACCATACGCACGCTCCGAAATCAAGATTGACTGTTTGCGACGACTACGCCGATATATCTCGAGCTGAGTTGAACTTGGGCTTGGAAATGTGCAACGGTTTGTCAGAGGTATCAAAATAGCACTTTGAAGTGTAGATGTGGCACAAGCAAATGGGGGAATCCAAAGGAGAGAATGGCTGGGTGTAATCAAATTGCGGTTGGCACCCGTTGAGGCGGAGTAATCAAGTTTGGCTACGAGTATAGCAGACCCGTCCTATTCAGCAAGTATTTGTCTTCTTGTGATAATTGTGTGTGGCCGGAGAATGCGAGCTTCCGATATATTTGACGGCAGTCAACCTTGGACGGCATGTTAGTCTAACTAAATTTTAGTTTGAATGTAGGTGAGCACTGGTAGGCTCTCTCTTTGGCAAGAAAGCTAACAAGAGCGAGACACACGCATAAGAGAGCCCTCGGACTTCAAAAACAGAGCAAGGCACCCAGGAAATTCTGGAGTCTAATAGGGACACTGTCTTTCAAATATTCCGTCAGGAATTCGACCTCTGCATCCTTTGAGGTTCATTTGAGAAAAGTGCACTAGCATATATTGCAGAACGAGTACGCTGGACCAATGACGTCTGTGTTTGTGGCTTGCTGATGGGAATAACTCAAGAAACATTGATGCGGAAACGGAAAAGAATGTTAAAGAAAATCGGCTGGGGAATTAAAACTAGAGAAAGGCTGTCCATAATCTGGGAACCAAAGGGAATTGCTCGGTAGCTGGAAATCACTCCAATCCAAGGCTTGAGCCACATCGCTGTCCTCCTCGATTTCATCGTTATCCAGCGAGCCAGACTTCTCCGCTTCCATGAATGAAGTAAAAAGTTCCTCCTGGCATTGCTGCATGGTGGTCATCAACATATTCAGCAAGGAAGCTTTGAGTTCGTCCTCGAGTTGGTCCTCGAGTTTCCTCCTCACAAGATTCGGAAGCCGCTTGCCACAGTACGCCCGAAACTTTTCCATGTACCAACCTGATGGCTCGAAGTCTGGTGGGATTTCAGTAGTTGTTAGTGAGTGATTCAATTGGAATATACGAAGAAGTGTATAGGAGATGAAAGCAGAGGAGAATTAGGGGCCATATGCACTCACAAGGGCTTGGGGTCTCCGCATCTTCATTCAGCCCGAAAATGATCCGATACATCTTTCTCCACTTGTCCTCCTCGCTGAGACCCTTCAAGTCCTTCTTTGACTTAAGCTTCTCTACCTGTTCGTTGGTGATTGCTTCCCTTTCAGGTCTGTCTTCTTTGTCGAGAGTATCGCATAGGCCCTCTCGCAGGTGATCGCTGAGTTGTTCCACGGTATTCAACTCCTCAAAGCAGCGTGGGCACTCCGGACGCGTACGGTGAGCCCGGTAAATATGCTCTCTAAATATCTCTGGATCAGAATCTTGTTCCAACTGCATTTTTGAGTCTTAGCATCTTATTGGGATTGGCTTACTTGACTCGGTTCGCGTTCTCGAATCCCGGAGGCTTGGAGCAAGAATGATTGCTCCTGAGCCTTCCAGGGTCTTTCTTGAAATACGGGCAGCTTAGCCTCCTCGAAGGAGGTTCAATTCCATTGTCTGTCGTCGGAGCTGGCCTGCGACGCTTTCCTCCACGGCCGCCATCGCCACCATCCGGACCCGAGCCGCTTGCTGGTCGCTTCCCGTTGTTGCTGCCTTGGGTAGCCGAAGTATTAGTCGACTGGGACATATTGGAGCTTCCTGAGCTTGACAATTGTCGAACGCTTTGGCCGCCGGCATCTGTTGGTTCATTGTCCATCTCTTCATCCGATACAGATAGAGAGGTTAAATCTTCTGTATCGGCGTCGCTGTGGCGCTCGACGAATTCCCAGAGACCTTCGTCGGCAATACTGCGCAACTCCTTCATGGCCTGATTCATCATCTTCTCTTTGATGGAGAGTAGAATTGAACTCAAAAAATCAGGAAGTCCACGATTTGGCGGACCATAGCTTGATGTTGCTGAGCATGAATCGTTGGATTCAACATCAGAGCTTGGTTTGTTCCTGGATGATACTGGTAGGGCTTGTGATTGGGTTCCAAGATCATTTTCATCTCCCAGACCTACTTTCCTGCTCTCCGGGCTTGTGCTATCACTGCCGGGCATGGAGGGGGTTGGCTCTGGGAGGAAGAAGTGGCCGAAGTTCTTTGGGCTGAATCTTTCGCGAAATTGAAGAAATAGGTTTTGAATGACCGCTGCAACGGCTGGCTGGTCCCTCAATTGGCCATTGATGTATGCCTCGAGCATCTCGATGACTCTGAGATTCTGTTGCTTTCTCAGAAATTCCCTGTTGCACAAATCTACCGGAGGGTTTCAGGTCTTAGCTATTTTGCTATGTATTACACGGTGTCTACTTACAAGGGTGTGGAATGTCTCCGTCATGAGATTGAAACATTTGAGTCCAGATGTCATGAAATCTCTCGAGTTCAGTGTCTCCATTTAGCCGAGGCCGAAGTGGAAGCTTATGGTCTTGTTCGATGTGATTCCTGCGGCATAACGTGAGCATACGTTGACATAAGGGAATAGAATCTCACTGACTTCAAAACCTCAACATTTTCAAAATCGCGTAGCCTGCAAATGGACGACTCTGGCAGCAGGTGAGGATTCTTGAGAAAGTATGGACAAAGTATTGACTGCTGTTTGGATGCACCATTCCGCGAATCTCGTGCATTTTGTCCAGCGGGGACGCCAAGTGACAATTCATCAATTTGCTGCGTGGGTGTTTGCTTCACCGACAGTGGTTCGGTCTCGAGTGGTGGCGTAGGTGGAAAGACCTTTGGGTTTGGGGATCGTCGGGTTACTCGGGTGGTTGCGAACATGGTTCTAGCCCACAAAATATTCACAACTAGGGTGACTAACTGAGAGAAATTAGGAGTGGTTGTGCTCAGAGAACATCCCTTACGTGGGTTGGGGGAATTTCGGTCCCTTAATGATCGTGGGTGAGGGGCAGAATAAGCATGCAATTCTGCGCGCGCCAATACCTACCCTGTCTGCGCAAACGAGTTGTGCGCAACTGCGAACAACATCTTTGCGAGCGATAATACGACCAACCATATTCGAAATTACACCTACCGGGTCTACCTTGCAATCCGATTGGCTCAGATCCTATGTTATGGCCTTATTTTCTACACTTTGTGCCTAAGTCCTGAGGCATCGACACTTATAAAACTGCAGCGTCGCCTTGCGCCAGTGCACGACTCCAGGCAGCCTCCAACCTCTCCGGGAGAGACATTACTCATCAAGATATTCTACCTTTCTCGTATCGAGCATTTAAATCTTTGTCTCCCTCAATCATACCAACCTCATTCACTCGATTAAAATAGCAGTGGGGATATGAAAGCTTTTTGGTGTTGTCAATGCGGTTTTGGACCCATGGACGAGGCTTTCTACAGCGCATGCATATCCTGCGGCGCTTATCCATGTGCGAACTGCGGCTGGGAATCTTATGATCCCATCCTTTCCACGGCACACAAACATTGTTATGGACATTCACATCATACACAATCAAGGCAAGTGCTTCCCTCTCATTATCGCGAAGGCAGTCAAGTAACACTATTTGAAATCTTAGTATGAGAAACAAACCACGACGAGTGCTCGCAAAATGCGCTGGATTGAGACACAGAGCTGCAAGCCGGCTTCGAAAGCCAAGGCTTAGAGTACTTCACGGATCTCGCATTGTCTGGATTCAAACAATGAAAGATGATGCATCTAAGTTTGACATTTGGGACCTTCCCGCTTCTTCGCAATCTCCGAGGGGCCATCACTTCTTGAGCTCGTGAGGCAAACATACGTATCCAAACCTATCATGCCTACTTAGGGTTTGAGGGGGGAGTGTAGGTGTGGAGACAAATTGTCGACTGGAAACTTCATTCGTTTGTGATTTGGGAATTGGAAGAGATTGACGGGTACTAAACAAATCAAACTACTTGAATCATTACAGCCTTCCTAACAGTAGTAGATGATATAAGAGGATTGCTCATTCTAACTCAGCCGTCCCACAGCAGATCAAAGCCCTTCCACCCACCAGCTGCCGTTCATTTTTCACACACCCTCCGCGAACGCCTGACTACCAGCACTCAAGTCAATCTTCATGCACTCTCTCAACCCACAAACCTCAAACAAAGCCGTGGGACTCATATCCTTCGGCGTCCCCACCACCCCCTTATCCCTCAACCTCTCCAACGTCTCCTTGATCGCCAAATACGCCGGACAAACCGTCGCAAACGAAAAAATCATAATCCGAAACCCCATCTCCCTCGCCTCGTCCACCGTAATCAACGGCGTCACGCCATTCTCGACCATATTCAGCAGCACCGGCCAGGGCGCGAGATCCGCGACGCAGCGCCGCGCCTGCTCCTTGCTCGTGAAGCCCTCGAGGAGCCCGACGTCGAAGCCGATGTCCCGCGCCTCGCGCAGCCGCGCCACGCACTCGTCGTAGCCGAGCGTTTGCAGCGCGTCCGTCCGCGCGATCAGCACGAAGTCCGAGTGCAGCGCCGCGCGCGCGGCGTGCGCGGCGCGCAGGCGCGAGACGTATTCGGACCGTGGCACCACCTTTTTGCCGCCCAGGTGCCCGCAGCGCTTGGTTAGGACTTGGTCTTCCAGGTGGGCGCCGGCGACGCCCGCCCGGATGTACTCGGAGATGGTGCGGGCGACGATGATGGGGCCTGTGGGGGAGTGAGCGGGGTGTCGGAGGTTCAGGGGAGGGGGGTTCGCTGATGTCGTTGGGAGAGTGGGTGTGTGCAGAGAGGTGGGTAGAAGCGTACTTACCTCCGTAACCGGTGTCCATGTCGGCGATGAGAGGCGGCCCGTACGGGTCGAGGTTGGCAATCATCTCGGCATTGGCTCGCATGTCGTGGAGATGGGCGATGCCGAGGTCGGGCTGGCCGAGGCGGGATGCTGTAGTGCCAGCGCCGGTCTATGGATGAGCTGTCAGCTGGAATGGCTGGATGGTGAGGCTCAGGGAAGGGTTCTGACCATGTACATGGCATTGAAGCCGACCTCGTGTGCAGCACGAGCAGAGATGCCATCGTAGACTCCTGGACAAACGATAAGATCGTCCGTCTCTTCGAGCATCTTGCGTAGCTTTGTGGAAGCAGCGGGCGGCCGTGTGGGGGACAGCGTTGGCCTGGGTGATGGCGTAGCACTGACATGCTCCTGCACCTCTGTGAGGGGTGCTAAGCCATTGATTCCGTTCTTGACGTTGTTTGAGTGCCGGGAATGACTATCATGCTCGAGATTGAAGAAGTCAGTCCTGTCAGCAGACAGTTCCGTGACAATTGGTTCTCCGATGGATTTCTCAGACACAATGAATGCGCTTGTCAGCGGCTTGGCAGAATGGGGCGTCATGTTTGATGCGGGAATGATATTTGTTGGAGAAACTGATATGCCAACTGAGCTGGAGAGTTGCGGCGTAGGAAGGCAGATGAAAAGGAATGAAGAGCATCGAGCACACTTAAGTAGACCGATATCGGGAAAAGTCGAAACTTCATTATGACTGAAATTCGTACTAGAATCTACTTCCGATGGTGTTTTGGCCCGTCCTTGGCCTAGACCGCGTCGACGCAAGACAAAATTGTGGGGAGTGCCTGCGCAGCTCACGTGCGGGGAGGGCCGGAGAGCCAGTCAAACGCTCCCGTTCCCGTCCGAACCCGCACGAAAATAGGTAAGCTTTCTCCGCACTTGAAGACAGGCCAGGCAGTAATTCGGAGGTTTACTAGAGTAATTTGTCCGTCCTGATTGGGCAATTGTGTTGAGACGCAAGTGTGACACAGAACGTAGTCCGCAACACCTGGTGTGGCTTACGAAAGTACCCGACTTAAGCTTGCCTCAACTATCCCACGTCAGATATATTCCAGTCATTGCTCGAGAAAACAACGGCCACTGCATATTTCCCCGCTTTGGTGGCCACCGATATTTTCCGCTTGGATCGCTCTCGCCTCCGATCTTGTGCAGCAGCGCGCTGATTGCCCGTAGTTTAATGCGGATCCGAAAACCCCGCGGAAAGGAACGGTCAATTCCGGACCAATTGGTTCTAAGCGAGGGTGAATTGGAGCAATGCATCGTTGCCTTGTTACTGCTTGCTGGAAAGGTGGTGGCCCATTCTCTGTGGACGAGATGGAGCATTCAATATCACCCGAACAAAAAACTACAGAGTCATACAGTTCCCTCTCGCAGCCGATGGCTAGCATGGACTTTTGCTCATGTAATGGCTAGCTGAAGCTATCGTCCGGACGAGAATGAGAATTAAAAAACTCTACATAAAGGTCTGGACGATAGTTTCAGCTACCTACATATGTCACTTTTCTAAGGCAGAGCTGGGGCATAGTTACGCTATGTTCTAGAGCTCTTCTTAGCGCTAGCCATCGGCTGCAGCACCCTTCTGTATGCATGTGGGATGGCCGACCACAAAATCTTCACTTATTTGTCTATATTTGCAAGACAGTATCTACAACCAAGACATTGATGCCTTCCTAAGGCAAGCAATGCTATGTCTTGGCACCGTTCTCTCTGCTTCTTGCTTCCTTTACCAACTCCTCTTTTCTCCGCTTCCGTTCCTCTCTTCGTCTCTTTGTTGCTTCAATGCCGTGACAATCCTCCCACTCTTCCCCTCTCACTTCATTGACCAAAGAAGGAAAGTGCTCCTCCATCCAGAGAATGACTTCAACAAAGGTCTCCAACCAGCGAAGCTCGTTGTCACTATGCGGAAACGGGTTTTTACCCCGCGCCCTCTTGGTCAAGAACCTACCTTCTCTGCCATCAGCCGGCTCCGACACAGACCACGGCGTGCGGGCGGTACGCAGTGTTTCAGGCCTGCTCGGATCCAGCATCCTCTCCCCATACACATGGTAAAACGAGGGAAGACCCTCCAGAGCCTCCCGCATCATCTCCACTACCTTCGGCGGGTAGACGCTGCTCTCCCCATCCCCACGACCCTCCGCAAGGCCTTCTTCTTCTTCCTCCTCGGGCACCGGATGCCGCTTGAGCACCTCGCAGAACAGCCGCAAGCACCAATCATACGGCACCAGCGCCGCGAACGCCGGGCGGAACCGATACCCGGACAACTCCCTACCGTGCCAGACGCGGCCGTCGACGTTCCTCCGCTTCAGCCGGGCCGCCTCGCGGCGCAAGCCGGCGACGACGTGGTCCGGGTTCGGCCGGCGCGTCTGCGGGGCCCACGGCTGCTTGACGCGGTCCGCGTGCCGCTCGTGCAGCGCGACCAGGCGGTCCAGCTCGGCGGCCTGCGCGGCGAGGCGGGCGTGGCGGACGCGCTTGTAGAGGGCGATCCAGCGCGCCAGGACGGGGAGCGGTGGGACGTTTGCGGGCCAGTTGTTCGTCTTCAGGGAGTAGAGCGTGAAGGCGGTGTCGATGAAGAACTCGACTTCTTCGGTCTCGTTCGCGTTGAGGGGCGTGCCTGCGGGGAACAGGAAGTAGGCCGTCTCGGTGAAGTTGGGGTACAGGTCCTGCGCGACGGAGTGCAGCCTGCCGCGCACCATCGACGCCCAGTGGCTGGCCCAGTCGGTGGGGTATTTGAAGCGGAAGTTGTCCTTTTGGTAGCGGAGGAAGCTGAGCTGGTCGTACCAGGGAGAATTTTTGAAGCCGCCGGTGGAGTAGCAGAGGGTGATGAGCTCGTTGGTGAGGTCGTCGAGCTGCTGCAGCACCGGCAGCTTGCCGCGGAAGAAGCGTGACCATGCCGGGCTGTTCTCGATGGCCCACGTCACGCGTGGTCCGCCGAATTGAGAGACGCGGACGATTTGGCCGTACTCCAGGTCCGCGAGGACGGGCTCGATGAGCTCCGGCGGGAGCTTCTCCAAGTCGCGCGCAATGCGAGCGAAGCGGCCGCCTTTGGACATGGTGAAAATTCGAATGGTTTAGGAATGAAGTGACATCTTCTGCGGCGTAGGCTATTTATCTCAGAGTAGACCTTGGAGTCATGGCGTGAGTTTGCGGAGGAGCCGTAGGAGCGCTAATTGTGGCGGAGCTGATGCCGGGGCGATAAGTCGTGTCCCCATCTCCGCCTCCGCATGCACGCGCATTCGGCAACCACCTCCTAAGAAGGACCAGTCATAGCTTGGGGGCCAAACTGCTGCCTAGCTTATCTGCATTAGCTACACCGCCGTAATAGTCAAGCTACTGCCGGCGGATTAAATAGTCAATTCCTCCTTGCTGAGGCGTGTGGCCAGGAAAATCACGGCCACATCGTTGATCATCGGTGACCAACCAGGCATTTTCGCTACTGCCGAAATGACTGGACAGACACTCAATTCCAACACAATGCCTCCTCCAGGCCAGGACTGCTGGAAGGTGTTCGCCACCACTCAGCTGCCAGAAGTCATCGCGAAAAGAATTCACGAGGATTCCAAGCTCGTTAGCGACGGCAAAACGCCGAGCCTGACAGTGTACCACCTGCCGAAAACGAAGACTCCAGCTGCATTGGCCATTGCAGCTCACCTGGCTCCCTCACCTGATTTGTCCAGAGATACCAAGTTCCTTCTTTACGAAAATCTGCTCAAAAAGATCAGACGCTACTTGGAAGGTGGTCCGCGAGGGCATTGGCCTACGTTCTACAACGGCGGCGACAACTTTCTCAAGGACGGACCAACCTGGGATGCTTCTACGAACCCAGCAAGCCAGACAGCCAAAAGCGGGGACGAGAATGGAGACGAAGAAGTCACAGACACAGACCTCTCCGTGACGCTCAAAGTCCTCCAACACCTCCTACTCAACTCATCCCTCAAGCTTACGGACCCCATCTCCACCGCCACCACGCTTCTCGAGGAACTCCTCGAATATCCCCCCGACACCACGACATCGCCGCCGGAGTACCACAACAACGAGACGTCCGCACCCACAGCAACTACCTCCAACCTCCCCTCTCAAAACTCTCCCCCTCCACCACCCCCTCCAGCCCCCCCACACCAACCCCACCGCAAACGCCTCTGCTACATCTGCCGCCTCGCCCTCCCCTCCACCACCGCCGCGCACCCAGCCTACCCCTGCCTCTGCGCCCCCTGCGGCGCCTACAACCTCGCCCACAGCGCTCTGTCCACACCACCTCACCTCGCCCTCCCCCCGACCTTCACCGCGCTCGTCACCGGCGCCCGCGTCAACCTCGGCTACCACGTCGCGCTGCGGCTGCTGCGCTGCGGCGCGCGCGTGATAGCGACGACGCGGTATCCGCGCGACGCTGTGCGGCGGTACATGGCTGAGGGCGATGCGGAGGTGTGGAGGGAGAGGTTGAGGGTGGTTGGTGCGGATTTTAGGGCGGCGGCGGATGCGTTTGGGGTTGTGGAGGGGGTGAGGGGGGTGTTGAGGGAGTGGGGAGGGGAGGAGAGGTTGGATGTGTTGGTTAATAATGCGGCGCAGACGTTGACGGATAGTGTGGGGAGGGAGGAGCAGGCGGTGCGGAGGGAGGAGGTGTTGAGGGTTGAGGATGGGGATGCGGTGGTGGGAGGAGGAGGAAGGCGGATGTTGGTGGATGCGGGGTATGAGGCGAGGGTGAGAGGTGGTGTGGGAAGGTTGATTGGAGGAAAGGGACAGGAGCACCAGCAGCGGTTGGTTGGGTTCGAAGGCGGCGAGAAGGAGGAGGTGGTGGGAGGAGAGACGGGGCTGGTTGCTGTGGGAGGCGATGGCGCGAGCAAGGAGTTGCAGGTGTACACCAAGTCCTCGTGGGTGCAGTCGCTGTTCGAGATCCCCTACGAGGACGTCATCTCGGCGCATGCCGTCAACACCTTCGTCCCGCTTATCTTGTGCCGCGAGCTGCTTCCGCTCATGGGCCGCGCGAGAGACGAGGATCAGGCCGCTTCGCCCAAGAACGCGGCGGCACGGTCGAAAAAGCCGCTGGGCTACATTGTCAACGTCTCCTCCCGCGAAGGCATCTTCGAGGCCAAGGTCGATGCTGCCAAGAAGGGTAAACATGTCCACACGAACATGTCCAAGGCCGCCCTCAACATGATCACCGAGACCGAGGCCGCGACGGCATGGCAGACGCGTCGTGTTGCAATGAACACGGTTGACCCGGGGTACATGAGTGCCGCGCCGGAATACGAGGATGCGTACGACGGCATCAGACCAATTGGGTGGGAAGATGGCGCAGGCCGGGTTTTGTGGCCTATTGCCATGGGTGAAAGGGAAGGCGAGGCGATTTGGGGACGGTTCCTGAAACATTATGGTGCTGTACATGTGGATCCCGGAGTAGGCCGAGGATGAAAGCGTGACAAAGAAATATTGATACGCTTTTGCTTTTGCTGTCTCCGTGCGTGGATAATAAGTTGGTGGTTGAGGCGCTTGATTAAAATACGTCCCTTCCTTTAGGGCTAACATTATCCCTGCTTCACTTTCAGTGCGTGAGTGGATCTGCCTCGGAAGAATAACGGGAATAAAATTTGCTGATCACCTTTTTCTTGCCTTCTCGAAGGTGTACCCCGGGCGTGGAGCAGCTGACGCGATTACGTTGTTACCAGATCTGCTGCTATCCATTTCCAAGTCGTACGTACTCCGGTATGCAAGGGAAGCAATGGAAAATTGCCAATCAATGGAACCATGCTTTTGATACCGGGAAGATATTGGGTATGCTTCACTTCAGCTGCTACCCTCGTGTGCAGTATCGATGACGTGGGGTTCAGATACGGTCAAAAGACCGGGGGAGTCCGAAAGCGGTATTCTGGGCGTTTTCCTTGTGTGACGGTCATTCACAGCGGAAGCAGCGGCAGAGGATGAGCGGAATTTCCCTGTCCCTACCTCTTCCAGGCTCACGCGGAGCAGTGTCGACCGTGTCGTACAGGCAGCCGGCCAGGCAAATGGCATGCAGCGGCAATAAGCGGCCGACGAGGGAGATGCTCGAGGTGCAAGGATGGTCAACGACCGGGATCTACGGCGCGCCGCATGCTGATAACGCAAGGGTGGCACAAAAAGCAGTGCCCCGCGCGGGGCTCAGTGCAGCTGGTGAAATTTGAGCGCCAAAGCGTCGCTCGCGGAGAACGGGAAAGCGTCCGCTTGTGACACCGTGGTTGAGGACGGGCGAGCTGCGTTTGCGTGACTGTGCGACGGGAGGGTGCAGCTGAGGGCGCTTAGCGGCGGCTGCCCTTTGCATATCCCGCAGTCAAACCCACGAAGCGAGAGGCGGCTGGGATAGGCTGGAAGCGCGACTCGGAATTCTGCATCGTTGCCTTCGTGGTCTTCATGTAGAAGCAGCTCGAATGGGACTCAGGCACTTGAGTGCATGATGATAAGCTGACGTGTTACCTCACTCCCGAGAATCCTTCACGGTTCTTTGAAGAGTGCGAAGAGGACCATCAATATCAGCCGCTTTTAGTAGCATATCAGGTGAATCTGAATCATATGCTGGGAATTATCATGATTCCGTTCAAGTCGCCACGCTTGCAGCACCCATAATGAGACCAGGGCATAGCTGATTGCCACCGGAAGTTGTGTAACTCAGATCGGCAAAGCCGTTGCAGGGACTTTCGTGCGATGGAAATAGACATCGATAGCCCTGGCGGATCACGGGATCCGTACGGTAGAAGTCCCGACGCAAGCAGGGATCCAGGCGGAAATATCCAGACTTCGCTTATGGAGGTGATACGCGGCCTCTCGGACGGCAAGGAGAAGCACGGGAACGTGACCGATGCTCCGTAGTCTCGAACTGGAAAAGGGACCGGCCCGATCCATCAGTGAGCCACAGATCTGAGAAGAAGGTTGCCGCGGTTTGCATACCACATGCTGCTGCTCAGACGTGGGGTGAAAATGAGCCGACGCAACTCAACTTGCATGCTGCAGGAGACTCAGTGAGACAGGAACTACTGCGAATGCTCCGGCAACAAGGATCCAGTTGGAAGATAGCGATTTTTTTCACATCCGGTCCAGGGGCCACCGATGGTTGAGCCAAGAGGCAAACTCAAGCATCGTCGAGAAGTTGCAATGAGCGCATAGTGCGCACTTGAGGTCTTAAAAGCCATGAGAGGCGCCTCCAATATTAATGCTCGAGGGGTTCGATAGGGCGCTCGACGCATTGTTCCTGGGAACATCGTGCGGCGTTGTCCGTGCGCGGTGTTCGCATCCAATGTGATCATCGTGGTGGTACTGCATAACGTGGCTGGGATGTGCTGCCCACCTCTATTCGTCAGAGTGCAATGCAGTGTCGCCGATCCCGAGATAGATACATGCTGCAAAACACTCGATTAGCGAAGACCCCTGTAGCTATAGCATTGTGGCCTGAGCAAGTGACCATGAAACAGACGTTCGACGCTCTTCTCGGGATCGTGCACTCGTGGACCTTTGCAACACCTCGGCGCGGCAGGCAAAATCATGGCGGCATCATGCAACCATCCATCATGGAGATTGGTAACCTCAGGAATTGTCATGCCGTGGGGATTGAGTCCATGTCGGGGTGCCTGAAGAAGCTGGGTGTCAGACAGCGGTGCTGGTCTGGGCGGGTTGAGATAAATAGAAGCGTCCTCTGGGAGAATACTGCCTTCACATTATCGAACTTGTCTCCGCACATCCCGCACCAACAAACATGGCCGCTATGAGTCCTGAATTGCGCGCTGCCGCATGGTTGCGACTTGCCAGTCATCACAGCACCGAGGACCTGAAGTCCATCGCGACGCCGTATTCCGGGACGAGCCAGGCTCCAAACGATGATATTTTGACTCCCCTCGCGGCTCTCCTTCAATGCCGCCTCGATGTTCAGAGTATTACGGAAGGGCTGGGGAAATCTGAAAGCTGGGCTGCATTGAACAGCTCACAGACGCAGTTCTCCCAATTGCGGACAAGATTTCGGACATCGATGAAGAGGCTGAGCGGAGGGGTTTTGTCTCGAAGTTTGAAAATCAAAGCAGGAGATGTTCCGTTTGGCAAGGTTCAATGGGAGAAGACTTGTATGTGTCACGATGGTCGTATTTGAATTTTGCTGAAGCTCCCAGACGCCGGCAGTTCGACATCAGGCGATTCCGACGGAGACCGAACCATGACTGACGAGTCCGACGACTCGGCCGAGGAGCTAAGCGATGAAGACGACGATGACTATGAGTCGGATTCGGAGGGCGACGAGGAGGATGAGAGCTCAAAAAAGCCCAGTGACTGCGGCCTGGATGAAGTGAGGTAGGCCTTGACATCATCAGCAATTTCTGAGCTGTAGAGCTGACAATTAGCATCAGTGGTCTGAGGCTACAGCGAACTCGTCAGATGCATTTCTTGCATAACACGGTGACGCTGTGTCGGCTCGCGAGAGTGATCGCCAGTGTGGAGCAACGTGGGGCTGAACTTCTAGCCAAGGATGTCAAGAGCGCAGCGTGTGCGGGAGATACAAAGGCGAAAATTTTGGCTCAGCTGCAGAATGCGGCGGATGAAGCGCGAGTGAGCTGGGCGAAAGAAATGCAGAGAGAGCTTGAAGTCGCAGAGCAGTACCGCATTGCGATGATCCAAGTATTGCAAGACGAGCTGCGGCGTTGAATGAAGGCAGTTGCTAGTAGCTGCCGTCGGCGACGTCGGATATTCGGTTGTTTTGTGTAGGTCACTTCCGTGGGACACTGGTGGACTGTGCCTTTGAGTAAAAAAAAATTACCCAAGGCACTCGGCAATGACGTAATGAGTTGAGAAGCAATGGATTCTTCATGCGAAATGTAGCTGATCCGATGCGGATTCTTCGGGCGTACAGGATGGTTCCTCGTGAGCCATGACGATGGGAGGTGATGACGCGACGCGACCTTTGACGCGTGCGCGCCACCCCGAAAGCCGACGGGAGGAGGGGGGCGGGGCGGCCAATCCTTCAGCCGAGACGCTCCTCACTTCGCCGTATGTCCTCTCCACCTCACCTCTCGCAGTCACGATCTCTTATCTATTCCATCAACCCTCGGAGTTGGACCATCTAGTCTGCAATAGCTACGCATCGCACCACTTCATACCCTCTCTCCTAATGAGCCATGGCAATGACGTCCCTAGATTCGTGATTGGTTACCAAGATCTGTATCTTATTGGTTTGCCAGCGAAATTGTTCGGAATTTGCTCCTGGATAGGTAAAACCACGAACGCCCCTCTCACGGGTCGGATACTCGAGTGTGTAGGCAAAGTTGGCGGTCGTCCCAACCCCGCGTCCTGCTCTGATGTTTGCTTCTCTTTATTTTCCTTCTTCTATCAGCTGTCTTAGGCAAGCAGTGGCTTAGTCCAAGTGATGCGCAGCGGCGTAGAATTTCGCAGTCCGCTTTCATATGTCATCACAAGCGTCCTCCCCAGAAAATGACCCTTATTCTCAAGCATTAGCATATTGTCCTGTCTTATAGCTGCGACAAATGTGAGCTAAGAATTTACAGTTTCACAAGAGCAAGGCACGTGCTCAAGGGTGCGTGAGCTGCAGGGCCTCATCATCACCGCTCTCCACGATCTACAGCCCCCTCTCGCTGCCGATGGGATAGCACGAAGAATAGCAGGGCTTTAGTCTGCCTTAGGAAAATAACATATGTGGGTAGCTGAAGCTATCGTCCGGACGAGAATGCGGAATTAAAAATTCTACATACACGTCCAGACAATCGCTTCAACTACCCATGATATGTGCCCTTTTCTCAGGTTTTTTTTTTTCACGAATAACGACATATATGGGTAAAAAACAAATCCAAGCTAGCCGTCGGCTGCGAGAGGGGACTATACACGAGGTGCTTGACGAATCCAATTCGGATAGTCTCTAGGCGGACTGAGAGCCTCCCTCTATCACTCCCTGACAAACGGGTGATGTAGAGAGCCGGGCGCTCGCATGGCGCGTAGGCCTAGCGGCCGGCAAGCTGCACCATGCGCTCGGCGGGCTGCGCCGCATTTTTCAAGCTGATCTTTCTTCTTCCAGCACCTTGCTAGGCAACCACGATGCAAAACGCGCGATTGCGGCGCAGCGGCGCAGAGTTTTCCCGACGTTTGGCCGGGGTGGTTACCATAATGGGAGGCTGCCTGGCCGCCCACTCTCTTGACCTTGACATTGACCCTGTCACCAACATCTCATTTTCCTTTCGCACTTTTAGCGCGACCAACCACTTCTTTTTGATCCGCTCGCCGCTTCTTTAGTGTCGCACTGCCTGACTCTGGCGCAATGAGCCAGGCAGCCGCCGCCGCGCGCCTATTTGAGGCGCAGTTCAATCATCTGGTTCTGCCGGCTAGCCTGCCACACAAACGCGACTTCAACCTTCCTCGCCTTGAGGCTGCCATCACAGACCGTCTGCTCCGAGCCTGTCACCTTCTTCGGGAATCAGCAGCGGGCGACAGCTACTTCGAGTGGGATAAGCTACGCCGCATCCTCCTCATCGCCAAGGCTGTCAACCTTGATGGCAGGATCGAAAAGCTTACTCTGATCCAAGAGTTTCGCCATCTCGAACATGACGGCTTTTTGATACTACACATCGCAGAGCAGAATGCTGGCCTTCTTGTTCGCCGACTCAACAGGTGTGTACATACGCCTGCTCACTATTTTATCTCACCTTGCTAATGACCCCGACCAATAGTGACCACGGCCAAGAGGTCGCTTTTGAGGCTTTCGAAGCCTCACCTCGCTCCAAAGACGTGCTCGCTACCGAAACGGCTTTGGAATGGGAGTTTCCAGGCGGTGCCGTCGCCGTGCCGTACACAACCTTCGCTAACGACGGTTTCCAAGACAGCGTCGCCAGCTTTTTGCAGCAATGCAGCATAGAGTCGATAAAACGCTTTGCTGCACGTGCCGATAAGGGCGGCTCTTCTGCCATCGAGACCCGCGATACAACGGACCCTGCCATGATATCGTCGCTGCTCATGACCGTCCTCGAAGCTCATGGCCGACGCTTATCGACGCCTTTGCTGCGCAAGCGCGTGCGCGACAACGTCTGCTGGGGCGATGGAGCAGAAAACCCATGGCGGAGGCTTCCCTTCTGGCTAGTGCTACGTGTTGGGCTTGCAAGATACCTAGCGACACAGCATGGCGGCGAGATCGGCAGGCTGCGCTACAAACTCCTCATGTCCGTCACGCTCGCTCAGCTGCTCCAGGACTCTTTGAGCCATCTCGACCCGCAGAACATCTCGACCCTGAAGGCCAAGCTCGCACGCCGCCTTGCGAAGCTGGAGATGGCCAAAGACCGAGCCTCTCGACCTGTCCACATCCACTACGACTCTGCCTTCGCTACCTTGAATCCGAAATTCCAGGCAATATTGCAGGAAGCAAATCAACATGTTGAGAATGTGTGGGGTGCACTCAAAGGGAGCATGAAGAGACCCATTCGAAAGCTCACTCGCTACGCGCATCCGGACCACTTAAGGCTCACTTTACCAAAGTCCAGCCGCATCCTGCACAGCATTCTGAACAATCCTATAGTCATGGACAACGTACAGATGCATCCGGTTAATCTCGATATGGGTGCTGCCAACCAGAACATGAGACCATTGGCAACCCACTGCTTCTCTCTGGCTCAGTTCGAAATGGACGTGGAACAGGGTCATGCCATTGCTGGCGCGTCGACTCTGAGCGATGTGTGTATGGAAGCGCATCGAAAGATCGATAGCTACCTCGACCTAGTCTCTTCTGCCTACGATGGCAACCCGGAACAAAAGAGCATCATGATCTTGACAGTCATGGACCTGTGGGTGACCTTGGATCGGGCTGCCACAAGGCTGTTCGGATTGCTTCTAGCCTTCTCGCCAGGCATCTCTCCCGAGGCCCTTGACGTCCTTCAGCTTCCCCGCTTTTCCGACATGCAACGTTTGCAGAAGATTCAGAGCTGGCTTCGCTTGAGGCAGGAGAAGAGCAAGTTCACTAAGGAAACCATCTTCGACAATCTACACCCCGGCTGCTTCGCAGAACGTTACTACGACGAACTGGATACTGGAACCCTTCCAGAGCTTCATGAGCGCATTGAACATGCTGCAGAAAAGGCTCGGCAACGCAAAGAGGAAGAGTTCGAAGGCCTCAGTGAAGAGTTCGAGAACCTGCTTCAAAGAATCGCAGAAATGTCATGCGTCTACTTTGATGACGGGTTCCTGAGAGAACATGACTCCAAAAGATGCACAAGGTGCTTCTACGAACGAAAGGCAAAAAGGATGTTCATCGCAACTCACGAGCACTTCCTACCCAGCGACCCTGTTCATGCCAAAGCTGTTGTTTTTGAGCTGGCCTGCCCTCCTGCTTTTGCAGTATATCGCAGCGCTACCTGGAAGGTCTTGGGTGTTTTGGGCCGTCCCAAACTGACATGCCGCGATGAGCCTCGTTTGCTGATTCAGGAATATGGCCCCCTCATGCCATACTCAACTCCTCGCACAGGTGGAATCACATTAGGCTCGACAACCAAGTCATTTCTTGGAACTCATTACCGCAAGGTCTGGTTCCCGGCCAGTCTGGATAATGTCTGCTTGCCAAATCCGCTGCGACTCAACTACTTCGACAAATTTACGGGTTCCTGGCCTGGTTCGGAGAAGGGGAAACCGACATTTGCACATCATTGCCAAGTGATGATTCCTCCCAAGTCCCCATTCTCCTCGCTGCTGTCACAACCCCAGTTTGCACCGGATGCCAATGGCCCTCCGTCAAACGACGTCATCGCTAGCCAAGCTCGCTGCCCACCAGGTGTCTCCTCACATGAATACATGGCCTTCCAGAGCTTGTTCTCCGGAAAACACCGCAGATGGCCTCTCCTACTTGTGGAGTTGGCATCATCAAATCTCAATTTCAGCGCAGAAGCAACGTCCTTACTGGTCTCTCAGCTCTCGTCACAGGCCGGTCCGGAACATGGAAAAGACCCTCTTCGAACCGTACACCAAGTCTTCCGTGACGCGTCCTTCTGTGAGAAACTGCTCGAGCAAATTCGGATACGGTTGGAAGTCGTAGTTGCAAACTGGAGAGAGACGAACAGTATGAACATGCTCATCACTCTACTTTTGCGGCTGGTTGCTTTGGGTTGCCGGGAGCCTGCAGATGACGCTCTGGTCTTGCTTGATCGAGTCCGACGCATCACTCACAACTGGATTTGCCAGCTGCGCTCTGAAATCCACAAAGCAACTGACGCTGAGACCTCCCGCCGGTGTTCGAGGTATGCCCTTTGGGCCGCGCTTCTCTGCCGAAGAACTTTCTCTATGTACTGTGAGTATGATTATCAAAGACTACAGCAGACCATATCATCAGCGGATCTCCAGAGCTTCGTTGAATCCTCCATTACTCTGCAAGACAATATGGTCAGCGACCCAGCCAGCTTGCCTGCAGTGTTGCGCCACGCTCTTATGCGGGACCTCAAGATGGTTCACCGTTTGAAGTTCTTCATTCGTCAGTCAATCACTGTGAACTCTGAAGGGTTGATTGCCGCAATCAACAACGTATGGCCGTCTGTGCCAGGATCTACCTCGAGGACCTGCTCCGACTTGGAGTTCCTCGGCTCTCCTAACGCCTGGACAATCAAGCTCACTTTTGAGGGTGGGGAGCAAAGCAAACAGCAATCGGTTCATTACGACATTCTCGAAGGTCACCTTTTGATCGACAACAAACCCTTGGGCAGGCTTCCCACGGAGCATCGTAACTCAGACATCCTGTGTGGGCTCTTTGGCCAACAGAACCTGCTTGTCTACCCATCCGGGCTCTACGGAATGACGTACCAGCTGGCCATCGCCGAGAAAGGCAATGAAATCCACGTCGGCTTCCGCAATCGGATGCTGATCGTCCGTGTCCGGACTTGTGACAAATACGGAGTCAGAATCCTCGAGCTGATCCCCCGAGAGGTTTTTATTGAAAATGGAGTATACGACCTTCCAGCATCCCTGGTCGATGACTGTGCTCATTGGTTGGATCTCAATAATGGTCGTCTTGAGATCCGTCCAGTCTCTGACATGTGGGTTCGAAAGCTGAGCCACTGGTGGGTTGATATGAGGACGCATGTTGCTTACCGTCGAGGCAGCCGCTTGGTTGATCCACACAGCTCGCTCTTCCGCCAATTTGCAGACGTTTTCCAGTACTTCGAACACCCACAGCGGCTAACACTGTACCAACCGCCGCAACCCCACCCATTGACGGTTGAATTGAGGCGACTGGAGCTCAACTTTTACGTGAACTTCAGGAACTGCCTTTGTTCCAGAGAGTTGAGAGCAGAGATCGACCCGGACCAAGATGCTGGGACTTGGTACGGACTGAACAGCAAGCTGGTTCTTCGTGATTCGGTCAATGCACAGAACCGTAGCATTATTGTTCCTTTGGGTTCCCTCTCGTATCACCGCAACAAGTTTCACGTAGCAGTCAACGTGGTACCCAACGGAAACTATGCCAGGTACACAATCAATACAGTCCTCGGTCGGCTTGATTGTCCTGCAGAGCCATGGCTACTGTATTTCAAAGCACAGCTGCATGCATTTACATCGGCAATCCTTCCGGATCCACTCACGGGACGCACAGGCACTGAGGAGGCTTTGCACCTACTGCGGTCCGGCAGCTGTCAGCCTTGGTCACCTTTGCAAACGGGTCCATTAACGTGTCTCGTCCAGATTGCCGGCCTGACTCCGACAAGAGAGTACTATCCTGAAGGCCTGAAGCAGATGCAGAAAGTTCACTGGAATCCCAATTTGACGATCGCGATCCAACGAGACGAGTTCTTACCGCTGGTGAAAACTATCTGCAGGCGGTCCTCTGAACTGCTCAATTTCGTCGATTCAACTTCGGAGAAACCTCAGATTCGAGAGCTTGACCTACATCTGCTTCAGCGTAGCATCAACCACAGGCAGCTCTACGAGCGTACCAGTGACGAGTCCCAGGAACGATTCGCTCCGGAGGACGCAACTTACATGGCCCGAGATAAGCCAACGCTTACGAGAGAGCGCCAAAACGTATTTGAAAGCGTGAAGCTCCTCACGAGATGGTCCCCGAACCTTCCTACGACTTCAGAGCTTGGCCGAATTCTGCAACAATGGCCGATCATCCAAGGACATGGCCAAATCTTCAGCAAGGTCCTTCTGAGTGACTATCTTGATCTTCAATTCGGGCTTCATTGGGGCTCCCTGGTCGACTTCTGCCGTGATGCAACGCAGGATCTAGTTTACACTCTCAGCTTCATGTTCGGTGCATTGTCTTTCGATGACAATGCAAATATGGACATAATTCGGGTCCTTATTGCTTTCACGATATCTGAGCAATTGAAGAACTTGCAGCCTCCAGAATGGCCCTCCTACTCGCAATTCCGTCAAGGCCATATCCCCACTGTTGGCTACATCGCGAAGCTTGTAAAGCATTGCCGGAAGCCTTACTCAGGCGATTATCGGTCGGAATTCGGTCTCAGCCTTTCCGCCAAGATGCGGAAGAACTTGGAAGCACAGCAGCTTGCCCATGAAGAAAAGGAAGAAAGGGACTGTAACGGCTTCGTGGGCTTCCTTCTCAAGCAATGGCCCTGTGCAGAACCGACGCTTGATGGTCTGCCACAGGATTCCTTTCCCTTACTTGATGTCAAGCAGGCCTTCGAGATCATCAAGCCGGAGTGGCTCCGGCTTTTCCAGAATATTGAATTGTCTCAATATCTCGCACAGGTTCAGCAGAGACTTGATCACTACTATTCCCCGCCGATCCCCTTGCAGATGGAATTGCCTTCCGAAGAAAAACACATTCTCTTCCCTGGAGGTCGTGGCGATGAAATTCCCTCACTGTCAAAGGATCTGCTTTGTAAATCAAGCACCATTACTCCGAAGAAAGCTTCCAAAGATTCCGGATCTTTGGTTGGGATTGCGGGAGACAGCGTAGGCAGCAGCATCAAGGAGAACATTCCCACAGGCCCCAAGCAGCTCCGTCAAGCGAACACCTCATCCACGAGGACCAGAGAGGTAGCTGAGCTAGAGCAAATCGTTAGCGCTCTGTCGAACTCAAAGTCCACAGTCAAACAGCACTACGCACGAGACCTAAAGCAAAGCATCGACTCGCTTAGGTCATTGGACACTGACGCCAAGCTGCCAACAGACGCCAACTTGCCAGCGCAAATGGTCGTTGCTGTTTCTGAAGCCCGGGAACAAGTTCAAGATCACCTTAATTCAATCGAACAGAACCTGGCCCGCAACGATCCGCGAGCAAAATGGTTGAAAGCAGGTGGCCTGTGGCCATGTACCACAACTGTGGCACTTCTGGAGCAAATCCGCTCTACCTCTACTGCCGTCTTCGGCTCAGGGATGAAAGAGAGTCTTGTTGACTTTGCAGTCTCCATCACGCACCTTCAAAGAATGCTACGTCTGCACGATGCATCTTTGAAAGACAACGAGCAGAAGCTCAAGGAAGAGCGAACGTACGCAGGGCACACCAATTGGCAACCGGCCTGCTATACCGACTGGCTACTGCTCGAGGTTGATTCAAACATCCTCATTAGACCGGGACAGATTGACGTCGCGCTTGCAACTATTTCGCCAAGCTCGGGTGCCAATTCTGTTCTTCAAATGAACATGGGTCAAGGAAAGACTTCTTGCATCATACCAATGGTTGCAGCGTCGCTCGCAGATACAAAACGACTCGTACGCATCGTCGTTCCGAATGCACTACTTTTACAGACGGCTCAATTGCTGCATGGAAGGCTTGGAGGCTTGTTGGGTCGTCAGATCCGCCATGTTCCTTTCTCACGCAAGACTCAAACTACTCAGAGCACCACCAAGGCTTTCTGGGACATCCACAAGGAGATGATGAAAGACGCTGGAATCATGATTGCTCTTCCAGAGCATATCATGTCATTCATGCTCAGCGGCTTGCAGCGCCTGTCAGATAACCGAATCCCTGAGGCAACACCGATGGTGAGAGTCCAAGCATGGATGCGCAAAGTCTGCCGTGATGTCCTTGACGAGTCAGACTTTACCCTTGCCGTCCGTACTCAACTCATCTACCCCTCTGGGCAACAGACTTCTGTGGATGGTCATCCACACCGTTGGGAAACGGCCCAAGCTCTTTTGAAACTGGTTGAAACACATCTCTGGAATCTGCATCACGACTTCCCCCGGAGCATCGAAGTCATCAGTAGATCAGCCGGAGGATTCCCGCTTTTCTTCTTGTTAAGAAAGGACGTGGAAGATGCTTTGGTTTCGCGTATCGTGGACGACATCACTCGTGGCAAGACTTCGATCTTGCCATGCCAAGAGTGTTCTGCTGCGGACAGGCAAGCTATTCGAAGATACCTCACGGATTCCTTTGTCCCTCAGTCAACTGTGGACCGCATCCAGACAATGTTCACGGACACTCCTGTGGCCCGCCAGAGTCTCCACCACATGAGAGGCCTTCTGGTACACAGGATTCTACTACTCACGTTCAAGAAGCGCTGGTCCGTCCAATATGGCCTCCATCCTTCTCGAGATCCAATTGCTGTCCCATATCATGCCAAAGGTGTTCCTTCGGACCAGGCGGAATGGGGTCATCCTGACGTTGCCATCTTGTTCACGTGTCTTTCTTTCTACTATCAGGGCCTCTCAACAACTCAGCTACGGTACTGCTTGGAGGCCGTGGTGAAGTCGGACGACCCGTCAAGCGAATATGACCGTTGGATGCACAGTGGTCCAAACATACCCGGCTCGTTGAGGGAGTGGAATGTCATCAACGTGGACGACGAGTCCCAATTGCACGAGCTATGGCAGCATCTGCGGTGCAGCATTGTCGTGGTCAACTACTACCTGAACCACTTCGTGTTCCCCAATCATGCAAAGCAATTTAAAATCAAACTGCAGTCCTCGGGATGGGACATTCCGCTGGTGGCGTTGGCCCCATCTCAAAACGGGAAACCCTCCAGCCATCGGCCATTGACGACAGGATTCAGCGGAACGAACGACAACCGGACGTTGTTACCGTTGACTATCAAGCAGCAGGATCTCGCAGGTCTTTCTCACACCAACGCTGAAGTCATTACGTACCTGTTGCAGCAACGTAACCGACGTTATGTCCTTGCTGCCGATCACCGTGGCAGGCGAATCTCAGAGGAGGACTTTCTCAAACGTCTCGCAAATCTCAAAATCCGCATCCTGATAGATGCCGGAGCTCAAATCCTTGAGATGGACAACCTTACCCTTGCTAAGTCGTGGCTACGCATTGACTATGAGGCGAAGGCGGCTCTTTACTTCCAGGCCAACAGACCTTTCATCATTTACCGCAATGGCACCAAGGTTCCTCTTCTCGCAAGCCCATTCGCTGACGACTTGAGCCAGTGCCTCGTTTACCTTGACGAGGCACATACCCGTGGGACCGATTTGAAAATGCCGATAGATGCTACAGGCGCACTGACTTTGGGCCTTGGACAGACCAAGGATCACACCGTACAAGCTGCAATGAGGCTTCGACAGCTGGCAACGACGCAATCAGTGGTGTTCTTTGCCACTCCGGAGGTCCATCAGAGTATTTTGGATCAACGGCAAATGAGCCGTATGGGAAGACTAATCGATTCCTACGACGTTGTTTGTTGGCTTCTGGAGCAGACCTGTGCCGGACTCGAGCAACTTCAGCCGCTGTACTATTCTCAGGGCATAGATTTCTGCCGCAGATCGCAAGCTTTGATCGACAGTCCTGATATCCTCACGGATTCGCGCCAACGTGAAGATTGTCTGAAGGCGCTCCGCCAGGTGGAGCATCAAACGCTGGAGCAGATGTATAAGCCCAAGACGAATACCAAGGTTTCGAACGCCTCTAAATTGTTCTCTGCGGAGCTCGCAGTGTTCGTAAAGGAGCTCAACAAGAGGCGCAAGGGGTTCCAGGACAACGGAAACGCTGTTCATGCGTCAGCTCTTCAAGAGGTGGAGCAAGAAAGAGAAGTCGCACATGAAGTGGAGAGTGTGCGTGAGGTCCAAAAGCCGGTGTTTTTCTCAGGTGTCAAGTATTCCGGCCTTCACAAGGACATCGCAAGTTTCGCTCAGACCGGCAGGCTTGTGGCCGGCTCTTTTGCCTACGAGCACATGTTCGTCTGCCTCCGTGGTACTGCTTTGGGAGCGAAACACAGAATCAACGGCGAGGTCATCAAGTCCAAGCTATTCGTATCGAAGGAGTTCCCGAGAACCGTCGTGCTGTCTCGCCCGAACGATAATTTCTTGCGCCAAGTCAACTGGATACTTTGGAGCACGGAGACCGACACGGCGATTCTCGTTGTCCCGGAAGAGGCGGAGGAGCTCATCCCTCTTCTCCGCGAGGTCGAGAGCCCTGTCACCTACCTTCTTACTTACGCCGCTCCTGTCACTCGCAAGATGGTCCACTTCAACGGCCTGAACTACTATTCGATTCCACCCATGTCGCCCGATTGGAAAGCTCCCGAATGGTTGAGTATGGAGCTGGGCCTCTTCGCCGGTCGCTTGTACTTCGAGTTCGACGAGTATGCGGGAATGATGAAGTATCTCGGCCTCCGCGAAGACGAGGTGGACGATCTTGCCAACGGCGTCGACGGCGTGGAGCTGCCTGATGGCTCTAACGAATCCGAAGGCAGCGAAGAGGACGACAGGTCCTCAAGCTCAGGCTCCGGCAGTGGAGAACAGCGCGTCAGCAAGAAGGCGGTCCCTTTCACCGCCAAGCCTCTCACTTTCATCCGCGAGTGGCTCGCCTCCCGCCGCAAGGGCCAGGACTTCACTCACACGCCCATGGGCTTCGTCTGCCAAGGCCGCCCGCTCTCTGCCGATCACCCTTTCTTCGCTAAGGTTGTTGAGGAGCCGACGTTGCCGGCGGTGTTGGGTCATGCGAGGAGCGGTGCCAACGGTGTTAATGGCATGGCTAATGGTGCTCTGGAGCATGAGGAGGAAGAGTACGATGATGCGGAGGAAGATATGTGGTTCGATGCCGAGGAGGAAGGTGTTACAGGAGAGGAGCAGGTGAATGGCTTCGAGGAGAGTGATGAGGAAGCCGAGGATGAGGAGAGTAGCGAGAGTAGTGACGACGACGATGACTATGTGGGCTATTGAAGGGAGCAGCTTTAGAGCCAGATGGTTGCTGAGAGAGCTTTACGGTATACTGGGGATGATTTCGGTTTGCTCTTTTGCTATTTTGGCTAGCTGGCTGACGGACCTTTTGCTTGATGGATAAGGTGGAGGGATAATAATGGAAGACATGGACAAGACTAAAGAGAAACGGAAGGAGGAAAAAGAAAAGAACAAAAAAGATATGACAGATGGGGTTTATTACGAAAAGCAGATATGACCCAGGAGTAGATAAGATAGAAAATGCATGATACATGCGCAAATGTGTGCACGATCATCTGTGATGTGGTTTCTACCTCATTCTCACTTCCACACTTACGTTAATGTGCAGCTGACATTGGTGCGCTCATGCGCAAAGTTACTGGCAGAAACGACGAAGTTGCATTTATGGTATCTCAAAGTCTAATAAAAAAAAAAAGAAAGCATTTCCTCAGCACCCTCTAAAACTCCATGCCCATCCATCCCCCATAACAGCCTCCCTCCCTTTTCCCTTTCCCACTCACCGCCCACGCACCCACCTCCCCAGATCCCCCTTTATCCTCTCCCGCAGATGCTCGTTGAACCCATACGTCAGCGCGTTGGCGAAACCGACGTACTGGCTGCTGCTCTGCAGCACGGCCAGCGTCTTGCTCTCGTGGCCCGTCGCCTCCAGCAGCCGGTTGACGATGCCGGGCAGCCAGAGGATGACGTACATGATCGGATACGCGTTGAGGAGGAGCATGCGCTTGATCTCGCGCTCGACCTGGTGCGATTGGCGGCGGGCGTAGGAGGAGATGGAGGGGAGGGAGAGGTGTTTGGTTGTTGTTGTGACGGTTGTGGTTGTGGTTGTGGGGACCGAAGGAGGAGGAGGAGGAGGAGGAGGAGGCTGGGAGAGGAGCGGGTGGATGGTTGTGGTTGAGGCGGTGGGGGCGGGTGGGAGCGTGTCCGTGCTGAATTTTCGGGGGTGGTTGTTGGTGATGGTTGTGGTGGAGGAGTAGAGCGAGGTTGGTCCGGAGGGTTTGTTGTTGCCGGGGTATATGGCGCTGGGTTGTTTTGGTAGAAGAGAGGTAGGTTCGGGTAGCTTCGAGCCTGTGTGCGGAAGAGGTGTTGTCAGTACGGGTTGCTATGGACTATATTTACGAAAGGCATTCGTTGAACTGGATTTCAAGAAGTATTCCTTTTTCGGTCCTGGGAAGCTGAATCGAGGATGCGTAGAACTCACTGGGAACCGGAAAGTGCAGGCCATTGTGACCAGAAGTAGACTCCTTATCCTTCATAACGTGCGGCGCTACCTCCTCGTCTCGGTCTTCGCAATCCACGTTATCGGCGCTGTGTTCGTGTACGGCAAAAGTGGACTTGTTGTCCGTGCTGTATGCAGGGAATTTGAAGGCCTGCGCGTGGTGATTCTCCTTCCGCATTCGCATATACTCCAACTGCAGCTCTTCGTCGTAAACTGACCCATGCCCATTCCCTTGCTTCTTCTCTTTGGCGAAGCTGCCACTTCTGAGAGTTGTGCCACTAATACTCCTGCTGTGGAAACTGCGGCCCGTATCGATTGATCCCTTTACCTGCGTGCTCTCCATCATCTGAAAGTGCCCGCGCATATAACACCACACGTAAATGTAGACGCCGATCGTTGTGAATATGATTGCGAAGCGCCAACCATGTCCCAGGGCATATCTCAGGTCAGTACGCTTTGCTGATATCCAGCACCAGTTGCCGCTTACGGGGACCATTGTCTGCAAGCCAGTAGCGATGGTACCTTAAAAAGATACTCTGTCAGCCGGGGCTTGATCCGGTCAGATGCGGAGCACTCACTGGTAATGAGAGGAACAATCCAGACGGACATGCAGATCATGACTTTCCTTCCAAGCGATGCATTGGGCATGTATGTTTTGCGGGTGATGGTGAGGACTGTCACCAGCGCTATGGCGAGGATCGAGAAGTCTGCGGCCTATAATGTGAATGTCAATTAGTTTATGCCGTGATCACGGTACTAAAGTGGGGCGGTGAAGGCGCTGCATACCTGCACAGACAGTTGTCCGACCCAGCCATTGAGTGTGCATACTGGGCTTGGCGAGAGTTTGTGGCTCTTTACATGTACAATGCCTGATATGGAGTTGTTTAACGAATTGATGAATTCTACGGAAATATATTAGCGATATCCAAGAGTATTCTGAGTAATGCAGTGGGAGAGTTTACCTGCAAGCGCGAGGTTGAGTACCAAGGCATGGCGGAACGAGCGCTGCTGCTTGTGATAGACGACATATGAGGCGAGGACGCAGCAGGTAGCAGCAAACGAGAGCAGGCTGCCAACCAGGGTTATGGTTGCTATCAACTCATCGTAGGCCATTCTGGGCGCACAATGTAGAGGAAGAGAGCAGAAGCAGGAGAACGGGGCGACCGTCACCAAAATGAAGGTGCGGTGGCGGCGGGGCGTCAGGTAGCCCAGCTATTCATATACGAGAGGCACCGTTATGCATCGCTTAGCCCGTCTCTATCTAGTTTCAGGAACGAACCGACTTGGCACGCTGAAGGACATGAAGGAACATCCCGGGAGCGTAGGCGGTACGCTCTTTGAAAAGATGAATCATCAGACCGACTTTTCCCCACAGATCGGCGTGATGCCACGGAAGGCTGTGCACCCCCAGATGCTTTGCTTTCTTCCCGTCTTTTGTTGATCGGTAGATGCTGCAACGTGGGCAGCCCCGTGCGGTGTGGCCTGTGCCTTAAAGTTGCCCGATACGTAACCTAAAAATAGTAAATCTACTACTGAGAGCTAATGCTTGCCTACTATTGGTTGTTGCAAAGATTGCAAAGAATTTATGGCCATGCGAAATATCCATGGGCGTGTCAGTGTTAACGTAGGTGTCTTAGTCATGTACTTCTTCTCTGTGGAGCAAGCCGTGGGGGCTGGGCAAACCACCATTCAAAGCTGCACGCTTGGCAGGTGATTCGATATGTGACGCAACAACCACTTAGTAAGTCGCAGGTTGAGAGCAGATCAGATGACAGCTTTTTGACAGAGCTTCTTGGTCAGCCGTAGCATCTGGATTTCATCATTTCCTCTGAGTCGTCAACCGAGCTAGCGTCCTGAGTCGTATTCAGGGTAAAGCATGACGGAAGTAGGCGATTGCGGAAGGTGTCTGTGCTCAGGATTCAGGCACCGTCAGTATTTATCAAGCACAGTAAATAGATGAGAGACAAGGAAACAACCTCACGAGAATGCTATGGCGAAATTTCAAGAATAGAGTATCTACTGGAGATTTACGAGCAGCGCGAATTAAGCTAATCGAAGCGATCTGGTTCTGAGCTTAGTGGTCCTTGTACGAAAAGAGTTTCGGAGTTTCTGTAACGGTCATGACTCGCTGCGAAACGGCTGACTCCGCGCCAGGCCTCCCACCGTCAGTGATCCAGTGTGACGACCTATCGACAGGGCGAAGCCTTGGAACGTGCTGCCTATCGTCCACATTTCCCGAGCGATCACCCAAAGCAATTTCCCCGTGCATCGTGCAGTGGGGACATCTCGAGAAGACAGCAGCCGAGGGCGGTAACGAGACGAAACGAGGGAGCCGCTGTCGCAGATTGCTGGGCGCCTTGAGAGAAAGCGGGAGGAGTTGGCGAGTGTTGGTTTTGGCTTCGAACAGTGCGTGACGATCATCCGGCAGACCCGACCCGCACAAGGTTTTGACCACAGTTGTACATATTTGTAGGTCAGCATTCCTAGAGAGCTTGTAGACATGTGTGAGACGCTGTCTCTGTCTCTCATCTGTGCGCCCTGCTTGCCTACCCTATACCTCAGTGCTCGTCAAAGCAACTCCAGTCGATCGTTTAATCTTGGCTACATGGACAAGAGATTTTACGGCGATTTCATATGCACAGGTTGGTAATGTTGAAACAACCTGCAACCTGCCATGTTAGTATATCAATTCAGAGCATACTGAGAAAAGTATTATGTCTGGATCATTCGGTCTCAGCCTAGCGCGTCGGAAACTCCACAGCTCTCCATCCCTAAGAATAGGACTTTCGAGCCTGGATGGCACGCAAGGCTGAAGAGACCAAAAAGGTTTGGGGAAAGTCATGAATACGTCATTGAATGCATCTTTGATTTGTGGGTTGCCGACGCGGGTCCCCATTTCGTGTGGAAATCGTTTTCTCAGCAATGATGCTGAGTCGAACCTTGTAGTACAGCAGGCGCACGCCACTTACAACAGTTCAGTTCTGTTTGTACCCAGTCCCATGAGGCTGTGCAGAAAAGGTTCAATATTTCAATCGTTCCCCTGCGTGCTTCTGATGCCATCCAAAAGCATCAAATAAAACGCGAACACGTATGACAAGCAGGCGCGGGAAATCCAATCGGTCTTAACTACTCCGCGCAATGGATTCAAACTCAGGGACTCTAAAACTTGGTTTTGGGTCAGCTGATTTCTAACCCCCCCTCGAGGCGCATCACAAGGGGGAATTGCAACCGAAATCTCGCATAAATCTTGTTTTCTCAGACGCCTATCAATTATCATCCTACGTGTAGTGTAAACAATTACTTGGATGTAAATATAGAGCTAACATATTCATACATTCACATCTCGACGATAATGTCAGTTTCCCACATAGCCCGAATAAACTCCTCGCGAAATTGGGAAAGATCGTTTCATCTGGAGGCTTATGGCCCCTCAACATGTTACAAGGCTCTGCTATTCCTGTCGCTGGCTTTCGAAGCTGGCCTAATCTGTACTGTGTCTGTAGCACAACAGGCTTAGCTACGAGGTGGGCCGATTGCACTGAACGAGGCTGAGCTTCAGGTACCACAACGACTTGAGACTAGCATGAACGAATTTAGAAACATTTCTGAGGTGTGTACTACCTCAGTATCACTGGTCCCGAGTATAAGATAATATAACTTATCGAATGCCTTCTCCTTTTCTCAGTGTGAGCTTGTCCTGTTCACACGCAAAAGACCTGAGCGCTTCCTTTTATCACCAGAAAAGAATCTCTTCATCCCTTTTAGCTAGACGCTTGCGACATCTACAAACTACGAGCTCTACCTCAAGGGCCAGTGTTGGGCTCGTGGCCAATATCCTCGACTGAAATCCATCAAGAGCCCTCGCTGTCAGCGCGATGCCTTACTCCTCAGTCCGATCCGATGAAGACTCAGATGGCTCGTACGGTTTCAACCAAATTATTGAACCTTTGGCTAGCAGGCCAGACAGAAACACCGAGCAAGGTGAAGATGGGTCTATGTGGGTACCGTTCTTCTTACGGCCTACTACTCTGTTGGCTTTTTCGGCAAGCCTCATGACTATTGGACTTTCTCTTGGAATCCTCGCTTGGTACTCCGGACAGAACCAAGGAATATGTGCGGCAGGAGATAGGCAATACTACGCTTGGACCTATGGACCAACTGCAGGCGAGTAGTCCAGACTTTGAGATCTCCAAGGTGACCTCTCATATTCATCTAGTTTTCACTCTATTTGGAGTATTTTGGAATCAGATGGACTACCGCACAAGGCTGCTAATGCCCTGGATTACTATGGCAAAGGGCCCTCAGCCAGCTGAACGGAGCGTCCTGCTTGATCATATCTCTCCAAATATCGTGGCTGCTTGGCTACATTCTTTGAAGGCGCAAGACTTCCCGGTCGTTCTTTCAATTACAGGTACTATACTTATGAGAGTGTTAGTAGTCCTATCTGCAGGCTTGTTTACGCTAGGTACTACTCAAGAACAGTCTTCGTCAATGTCTGTGCATGGAGGTCTATCGTTCTCGGCGGATCACTTCAACGGATCACAGGTCAACGGACAAGCGATATCCCGAGTATACGGTGCTCACTCTTTGAATCTGGGTTACCCATTGTACACCAATGCATCCATCGGAAGCGAAGTACCTCCTTTTCCAAATGGTAGAATCTGTACTTGAAATTGTCTTCGGTTATCAATCCAGTTTCTAATATTTGAGCCTAGGGAGCGACTCAGCAATAGAGAACATTGCGATTGTTGATATCATTGAGCCACACCTCGATTGCGAATTTGGAACTCTAGAAACCGTCAATTATGTCGCAACTCAAGATCTTTCAAGTCTTATAATGGCGAATAGGGACGGTCGTTTGTTGCATTTACTTCCCTGGGTTGCTAACTCACAGAGGGTATTCAACATTTCGGTTCGCCTTTCCTCTCCATCTTGCTCAACGATCACTGCGGAGGGAGACAAAAACGCACCTCTGTGGACTATTTTCTCTGATGGTAGTCAAGTTGACTGCTCTGGCGATGACCGCCGTTTCGTAGTTGGTTTCATCAACAGCTATGACGACCGAGCGGGTGACTCCTCGAATTACCCGACATCGCCATACGACTCCGAGCCCGGGAAAAGCTATCCATGGCTTAGAGACGTTTCCGCATTCCTGGTATGCAGACCAGACTATGCTATTCGGCAAGCTGAACTCAGTTTCAATCCCTCAGCGACTTCGAGCGGAGATCCATTCACCATCCATCTACTCGACTCCCCAGGTAGCCGTAAGCTTGGTAACATTACGGGATGGGATATATTTGAAGGATTCAAGAAATCATTCACTTTCTTGAACTTTTTCGAAGCTCTCAATGCAACCTCTCCACAGGACAATGCGACAAGGTTTCTTGACCAAAGACTTCTTCTGGATACCTTCAGCAAGCTCTGCCGAGCTACTATGGTCCAACTTTCGAACTCTTATCTTCTGCAAGATTCCGGAAAAGAATTTGAGGTAGCTGAAGTTCAGTTTCTCGATCGAATCCAGCTTCAAGGACCAGCATTCTGGGTTACTGAAGCGATTATCCTCATAATCGTTTTCATTTGCTTGGGCCTGGTCAGAATTTTCCGTAAGGAATACGTCGTCTGCGATCCAGGACCAATAACCGGCATTGCCACCATCTTGGCGTCTAGCGGAATATTCACAAAGCTCCTGAATTTACACGGAAACTCTAATTTGAAAGAGATCCGAGCGATCCTGGCTCCCTTTTCCTTCGAAACAAAATGGAAAGCTCTTGAGGGATATAACAGCTTTCATACACTATCAATTCTACCTCTCCGTCGCCATTTTACCAGAAAAAGTGAAGACCAGGCCGTTCACGCGCGGAAACCGAATTTGATCAAGTGGTATTACCCTTTCATCATGTGGATTTCTGTCCGAATGATCCTGCTTACCTCGACGATTGCACTTATAGCATCGTTGGAGGCTATGTACAGAGTCTCCTACCGTGAGGATGGACTTCTCACGATCACCGACAAACCCTACCTAGACTACGGCTTACGCTATATTCCAGTAACAACCATGCTTCTTTTCGGGTTGGCAATTGGAGTCTTGGACTTTGAGATCAAGACATTTGAGCCCTTTCACACACTCCGGAGAGGCCCCGTCCCTGCTACATTATCGATAAATGAGAACTACTTTGGCCGTGTGGGGTTTCATGCTTTGTGGACAGCATTACGGAAGCGCAGATGGTGCACGGCTGCCACTTCAGTTGGGATGGTTCTGTCGCCATTCTTGACGATTTTCGCAAGCGGTCTCTACTACACGGATACGGCATTCGATACCCAAACGCTATCATTACGGCAATCTGAATACTTCAAGCTCACCTCGTTCACGGAACTACATGAGATTAGTGTTCAGTCAGATGGTGTCATGACGGCCAATCTGGTCTTAAATGATCACATGGACCTGCCTGACTGGACCTACGCAACATTTGCAATCCCTACGCTTCATCATATTGTCGATCCGCTGCCTGTCCGGTCCGACTCATTCGTTAGAGTGACAATGCCTGTCGTTCGCCCTGTCGCCAATTGCACCATAGTCACGCCGGAAGCCATCTGGATGGAGGTATCTGGAGGTGGGGCAATTCATATGCTGGAAATGGAAGTCTCAACAATGTCCACGTGCGGTGATCAGCAAAAATGGTACGACATTCATAGAAATGAAGTAAGGCTACCCCTCCACGACGGTTTCTTCGGGCAATGGGTTGACCGCAGCGGGCTGGATTACCATTGTCCGGAATACATGGCTATTGTGGGAGAGCTTGATGACGCAGTGAACATGACCAACCTCACGCAGGTGAACGTTTTGCATTGCACGCCGTATTTGGAGCGTGTAGATGCAACGGTCAGCTTAACGTACCCAGACCTGCGTACTCTCCGGACGACTGGTGATATTAATATAACCTCATTTGATACTGCCACAGCAGTAATCCCCGTCCTCAACGAATCCGTCAAGCAAACACTCGCTTCTGTCGAAATCCTACATCTCGGAGACAAAATCTTGACCCCGTATGCCACTGAAGATGAAATGGCTCCTCTCGGTAATGTCGACGGCTTTTTTGGCACCCTCATCCGCAATGGTGCCTCTCTTTCCGATTTTGTTTCCGACTCCGCCGCGCTACAGAGAGCCGTCGAAGATTTATACGTCCGAATTGTGACGCAAGTTGTGAGCGTTCACAGGGATACGACACCTCCATCAAATGCTACGACGCAATCGGTGGACCTTGGTCGACTCTGGAACGCCACACTTTATGAACCGAACCGATTACGTCTGCATCAAAGCGCGCTCTCAACGCACGTGCTAGCGGCCCTACTCTCTGTCATGAGCATCTGCATCGCCACAACCTTCCTCATGCAGACAAAAGAGGTGCTTCCAAAGAATCCAAGAAGCATTGCCGCAGTGGCTAGCCTGCTTGCAGGATCGAAGTTGTTGGAGCGGTGGCCGGAGTGCCGTGACGAGGGGTTCAGCATGGGATATTGGCGAGATGAATCTGTTGGAGCAGATCAAGCTGAAGCGGACGGTATTAGCTACGAGGGAGCTGAAGACGAGACAGCGGAGGAGCGAGCTGGATCTGAGCGAGCTGGATCTGAGCGAGCTGGATCTGAACGTGCTGATAGTGAGACGGATGGTCAGGAGACCAACGTGTCGGAGCTCGCTGAATCTGATCATTTCGACGGTGATAGAGCTGGAGATGAGACTGCTGGAACAGAGCAGGACAGCAGCGAGGGGATGGGAAATGAGCTGTCTGTGGATGAGGCTGGCAATTTGAATGTGGATGTGACGGAAGAGGATGACAGGGGAGAAGAAGCTGCTATGATGGAAGCCGGAAAGGCAAATTTGCGGTTTGGGATTGATATAGGGACGCCTGATGAGATATAGCTTAGTAGGTCGACGCCTCATCGCACTGAGATGATGCTGTTCTTTTCCTTCGGCTTCAGGCGTTATTGGAAAATTATTCAATTTATTCCAACACCGAGACCTCATGTTCGTGTCATTAGTGAAACCCATGATGATCTCCTGGAAGCGTTCGACAATCAACTTTGCCGGTGAATTGTTCTCTCTTCAGTCAAACCCCTCCCACTCCTCATCTTCATCTACCTTATTTTTGTTTTGCTCCCTGATCTTCTCAATCATAGCCTGCAGTTCATCTTCCTTCTTCTTCTCCTCATCCGTCATCTTCTTCTTCCTCTCAACCTCCTTCTTCTTATGCCTCTTCTCTCTCCTCTCCTCCCTCAGCTTCTTCATCTCCCTCTGCTCGCTCCAAGCATTGTCCTTTCCACCCTTCCGCTTCTTCGAGTTCTGTTCTTCCGTCCCGTTCTCCCGAGCCTCCTTCGCCTTCGCCTCTTCCTCCTTCCGAAGCTTTTCTCTGGTCTTGTCGGCGTACTTGAAATTCTCCCAATCAATCGACAGACCCAACTTCCAATCTCCATCCCACTTCTTCATCTCCGGCATCCTCGGCAACTTCAACAATCCCCACGCATCAGCGTGTTCCTTCCAGTCAAAATCCTTGACGCGGAAAATGCTGCTCGCAGCATGCTTGCTGTACGACTGAACCCAGCTCACGAACGCGCGCTGAGCCTTGTCGTGGATGGCCCGATCCTTCAGCACCAGGTTCCGGATAGTTTGCGCTGTTTTCTGTGCCTCCTCATCTGTAGTCTCGATGCTCGGGTTCGTCAATGGCGTGACAGGTGTTTGCCGCACGGCAAGGAAAGGGATGTAGTCTTCCTCGTGGGTTCCCTTGGTCAGGAAGGTGACGGCCAAGCCGCGGCGTCCGGCACGTCCAGCGCGTCCACAGCGGTGAATAAAGGTCTTCGGGTCGGAGGGAGGGTCGATTTGGATGACGAGGTCCACGAGAGGAATGTCGAGACCGCGGGCGGCGACATCGGTGGTCAGGAGCACTGTGGGGGAAACGCTCTCGGTGAATCGCTTGAAGTTTCTATCGCGTACATTCTGGGGATGCTTTCCATGTAGGGGGACAACAGTGGCTGCTGTTAGTATTGTGGGGAGTACGTGCTGGAAGTAGTCCACGCCAGCGCATGTCGAGACATAGATGATAGATCTCTGGGGCGTAGGAGAGAGGGTGGAGAGAAGTTTCGCAACGGCCGGGAGTTTGTGAGAGGGAGATGTGAGGAGGTATTTCATCTGCAGAGATGCCGGAGTGCGTTTGTCAATAGCTCCAGAGGCCGACTTGACCTTGACTGCGATGCGGACCGGATTTCTCAAGCCAACACGTACGAGCTGTGACACGGCTTCGCTAACACTGGCACTGAACAGACCGGTACGCCTCTGCTTCGGCAACCTCTGCAGAATCTTCTGCAAGTCATCCTTAAAGCCAAGATCCAGCAATCTGTCGGCCTCGTCCATCACCAGGACCTCGAACGAGGATTGCGGGCAGTGTACATGTGGAGAAGAAAGAAGTTCGAGGAGGCGTCCCGGAGTCGCAATGAGTAGGTTCGGCGAAGTTTTGAGGAAAGTACTAAGGTCTTGGGCGGGAGTGGTGTTTCCGCCGAGAAGCAGCTGGGGTATCACTTTGAGCGTAGAGGAAGGGAAGGAGGGTTTCTCGTCGGAGGTCTCGTCGCGGGGTTGTAATGCGGCTGCGGAGGGAGCATGGAAGGCGAGGAGGGAAGTGAGGACGGCGTGGATTTGGGTTGCTAGTTCTCTGCAAGCTCACAATCAGCCAACGCGGTGATGGCGGAGAATATGGAAGGTACCTCGTAGGAGAGACGACAATGGCGCCAACATGATGCTTCTTGAGTGGCTCCTCCAAACGCAGAAGACGCTCGACAACCGGGATGAGGAACGATAGCGTCTTTCCGCTGCCAGTCACAGCTTCCACCACCACATCCTTATAGCCCATAAAAAGCGGGATTGCGCTGGCTTGGACGGGCGTCATGCGCTCGAAGCCCATGCTGGAGACGGCGTCCAGGATCCATTCGGACAGCGGCGGAGTGAGAGCGTCCCAGGCTCTGGGGTTCTTCGGCTTCTCGGGAGCCATGGCGAGGGGTATGTCGTGTGGGCAGCGCCAGGTGAAAGCGGCGCGCGGCGATGCGCTCAAGTCGCAGCGGGCGCTTCGCAAAAATTCGAGCGCGAGTCAGCTGTTATCGATAAGAGGGCGCATTGAGTCGTGCGCGGCACGTGCACGTGACTCGGCGCATCAGGGTCGGAACAGGCAATTCATCGACAGGCCACGGAGGCAGAGAGCGGTCGCGCGAGCGGTGACTGGCGCTGTTCGGTGGTGCAAGCACATGCTTGCGGATGACTGGCCGGCCGGAAGCGCAATGATGTGCGATCCGAGTCGGCCGGACCAGCATCGCGCATGGGAAAAAATCAAGGCTACCCGGGTCCGCCGACTTCCAGCTCGCAATCTTACCTGTATCTGTGTCTTGCGCCCCTTCCGCCGCTTTTATTTCTGCCTGCTCTCTACATAAGCCTCCACGCTGGCCGCCGACACCGACGCCGCAGAACATGCGCCGGCAACACGCGCGACCAACGCGACGACGACCCTTCCATTAGTGCCCAGCTTCTTCTCGGCACGAGACCACCCTGCGACAACACCCAGCTCGTACCACAGTCCAAACTTCTACAACCTACTTTCCGAACTCTGGTCCTCCGCACGCTCAACCTTTTCCGGCTACGTCCGCCCTCCTCTCCTCCCACCTTTCTCCGCCTGCTGGTATCCCGCCATGGCCGTGTCTGTGCAATCCCAAATCCCGCGCACGCCGCGCGTTATCAGCCCGTCGCCCACTCCTTCAGAAAATGGCAGCGCGAGCGGTTACTTCACCCGTTCAGCCGCCCGCCGCATGAACAGCAACCGCGAAGTCGTTTCGCCCCCAGCAATCGACGAGAACGACAGCAGCTCGGGCTCCGATGAGCTTGGCAGGCGCCCGCGCCTGCGCAGCAGAAGCCCTGTCAAGAAGAGGTTAAACGACGCTGCGGTTGCGCAAGCGGCAGGCAGGAACAAGAAGGACCTTTCGCTGCCAAACGGCGCGGCAAACGGTCACCTTTCGCCGCACACTGCCAGTTCGAACAAGGAGTACTGGCGCAGTCTCAGTCGGAGCCCAAGCCCGCTCGGCCTGATCCCCATCCACCAGGAATGGCGCTCATTTGTACGTCTTGCTCTGCCTAGGACGTTTGCGAACGGCGGGAAGCTAACGGTCTCCAGATTCACCGACACGAAATCCCTCGCAAGATCCTCCACACTTCCATCGGCTTCCTCACTCTCGGGCTCTACGCCTCGTATGCGCAACCAACCCAGATCCACCCCGTTCTGCTCTCGCTCTTCATCCCGATCTTCACAACTGATATCATACGGCACCGTTATCCTGCGTTCAACCGCTTCTACATTCGATGTTTGGGTGCCTTGATGCGCGAGTCTGAGGTCGACGGCTGGAACGGCGTTATCTGGTATCTTTTGGGCGCTTGGGCGGCTCTCCGCTTCTTTCCCAAGGACATTGGCGTCATGGCCGTGATGCTGCTGAGCTGGTGTGACACGGCTGCCAGCACTGCCGGCAGGAGGTGGGGCAGGTACACTCCCAAGGTACGCCAGGGAAAGAGCTTGGCTGGCAGTTTGGCAGCCGTTGTGATGGGTGTGATCACCGCCGCCGCGTTCTATGGCTGGATCGCGCCCGGTGTGGAATCCCAGAACCCTACCATCAATTCCGGGGACTTTGCGTTCGCGTTCCAGGGCCAACTAGGCCTGCCTACCGCGGTTAAGGACTTCCTCGGATGGACCAAGGACCAGGGCACCATTACCGGCAACCTGGCTCTCGGCACCATGAGTGTCGTGGCCGGTGTTGTGGCTAGCGTTAGCGAGGCCATCGACCTGTTCGGCTGGGACGATAACGTTACCATCCCCATTCTCTGCGCCGGTGGACTATGGGGCTTCCTCAAGGTTTTTGGATGCGCATGAAGCGGCGCACTCTCCAGAAGGGCTTCGAAGAGATTTCCAATACAGAGCATCTAGAGCGCTATTACAGCTTGACATATTTTTGCACTAGTTTGGCGTTTAGCAGGGGTCATTGGGAAGGGTCTATGGCTCGGGGCGGGAGGGACCGGAATGGCCGGGATCATCTCGCGCCGCTTTGAAGAATGAATACCGAAGGATTGACGATCATGCCTCACTTCTAGAATTTTCTTTGGCCTGTCGGTGCCTGAGAGGTAGAGGATATCGAAGGGAGGGCTTGTATGATACCACAGGCTGTGTAGATGATGAAAGCGACATAGCAGTAATGTTTGAACAAATTATCAATTACCCGCCTTCTCTCTTGCTTCAATCTTGCTCGTCTGTTACTTCCAGATCCCCGTTCATAATTTTATGCATAAATTTTTTAAGGCTAAAGGGAGCCGAGAGCCCCTGTGAATCGCTCTCGGCAACTCGCACTTACAAGACCGCGTACCATAGACTTCGCCCCGAGACTAAAATCGGTCGGGTGTAGAGGCCGAATGCCGACGGCACCGAGCAAATAGGATATGTAAGTACGGAGGTTTTTCGCTCCAGCTCTGTCCCTATCTCCGCAGTTCGCATGTATACTCGGGTCCGAACGTCTCCTTGGAGCAGCTGAATCGTAGGTATGCGACTTCTCGGTCTGGAGAAGCAAACAGCTTTTTCTCCACTGTAGTCTTGGGCTGATTCGTTGGTCAATTGCATCGGATGTGGCGCCGGAGTTCGGGGCGGGGAGAATTGATGCGTACAGGTAAGCGGAGCATTATTGGGATATATATATACATGTCAGCACGCTTCTACTGCCATCAGAGTATGAGAAGGATTGCAGGAGTTTCCAGCAATTCCTAGACGCATAGCGATTGACCGTTTCGTTCCGCTTCTTGCGCGTTTCTCGACGCCGAAAGGGCGAAGAATAAGGTTAGCGGCTTCGTGCCCCGCTCTTGTACCACCTCCGTCTTACACAGCAGCTTACAAGACATCTCGTTTTCGGAACCCATCCGAAGTCTTGAGCCAAAGCTACTGCGTCAATCATCGCGAATTATAAGCAACCGAGCCCGAGGCCGAGACCGAGGAGGGATACCGATCAAGCTGTAGTTTAAATATTCCCCCGCTCGAATCGCCAGAAGCACTGGAGTTGCTTGGTTACACAGCGCGAAAAAAAAAAGAAAGCAAGTCCTCCAGAATTGAAAACCGAAACCTCTCCGGACAAAAAGAAAACACCAGCAGCGCCAAAACATCAACGACCATGGGCCTCCCCACCGCCGGCCAAACCCTCCTCACCCTCGTCTCGCTGACGACCAGCTTCGGCTGCTACCTCGCCGACTGGAACGACACGCACATCTACCACCCGCTGTGGCTACCGCACGCCAAATTCCACAACGGGCAGACCATGTCTATGGGCCTGCTGCTCGGCTTCGCGACGCTGTGGTACACGTTCGTGCCGGGCGCGCTGCCCGCGTCGCTGGCGCAGAGCAAGGAGAAAAAGGCCATCGTCGAGGTGCGCCAGGGCAAGCAGCTCGAGCGCCTGCGCACCGCCGTCCTGCTCGGCGCCCTGTACTGGGTCACGCAGGCCAGCGCGTACTTCTACCCGGGCGTCGCGGCGTTCGATCACGTGCCCGGCAGGGAGCACGAGGTGCATGATCCGTTGTTGCAGGCGAAGTTGGAGGCGGCGATGTTTGTCATGTTGGGTGGTGCGTGGTGGTTGGAGAAGAGGAGGATTTTGAGCCAGGCGTAGAGGGATGGGGGTTGCCAGGGCTAAATGGGGGAGGGGTGATTGGTGAAATCAAGTTTTGGGTTGTCTATGTTTGGAAAATACAGGAGGGTTAGGTTGGAGGGGTTCATGTCGGAACTCAAAAGAAGGTACAAGTCTGAGAGGTCCAGGTCGGAGCTCAAGAAGGGATTGCTGAAGGAATAATCTCGGAAGCCAGGTTCTACAAGAGGGTGTCCTAAGCAGGAGCAAAAAATTGAGAACGGTGAAAGAGGTATCTGTTTTCATGAACGTATTAGTCTATTAAGCGTTTTCTAGTCTAGTTTCGGTGATGATACATGTCTTCATGCCCGTACACATGCCCCGTTACAGATGGATAAGTACTGTACATTTCTTTTTTACATTATTTTCCAAAATCAACATCGTCAACGACTTTACTCGTCCGAAGTCTTGTGTGCTTTCCTCGCTTTCACATTTTCCTGGCCTTCGGTGGCAGCGCCGGTGGCGGCAGCCTGGGCCTGGGCCTTCGCCTCGACCTCCATCATGTACGACACGATATCGTCCTCATTCTGATCGAGCATCTGCTCGTCCAGCTCGACCTGCTTCTTCTTCTCCTCGGTTTTCTTCTTCTGCTTCTCCATGTTCCTCTTCAGGAGCTGGGTGATGGAGAAGACGATGGCGCAGCCAACCCACATGATGTTGCGCTTTCCGTAGTATCCGGCGAGCAGGATGTAGCAGCCGGGCGGCACGACGCCGCCCTCGAACTGGTCCGGGTGCTCAGCGCGCAGGACGCACTCGTCGTACGCCTTGCTGACCTTGGTGTGGATCTTGTTGACGCGGCACGCCGTCGTCTTGCAGTTGACGAACTCCTGGTCCCAGCCGGGGTAGACGCGGGCGTGGGGCGGGTTGAGCCAGTCGAGCTCGTTGCGCCAGGCAAAGTGCTCCGTGTTGCCGTCGTGCGTGCCGACCGCGACCCACAGCTCGGGGTGCTCGAAGGGGTAGGCCTCGCCGTCGATGTTGGCGGCGTTCCGCTCGATGCGCAGGATGCTGTTCTGCGGCGCGCGCATGTACGACAGCCGGAAGCCCGTGGGTGCGCCCGGCGCCACCTCGCCCACCTTGGTCAGGTTGTACGCGACGCCCTTGACGTCGTGGGTGCCATTGGCGAAGACGGTGTCGAAGCTGATGGTGCCCTCGATGGGCACGCTGGGCGCGACGTCCGGCTCGGGCCCGTCGACGAAGAGACGCAGGGCGCTGGCGATGTTGTCGTCGCTGGCGCCGCTGTTGATGGGAAAGGCGATGTCCGAGACTGTGTATCCGTTCACCTGCGCGCCCTCGTCGCCGTCCAGCCCGAGCGTGCGTGTGATCCGGAAGTCAATCTCCAACACGCCGTCCTGCAGGTTCTTCTTCGGCCGGCTGGGGTCCGCGGGGAAGCACTTGCTGCACTCGATGGGGAACTGGACGTGGAGGAAGCCGCTGCTGCCGCCATCGGCGACGCGGATGGGGAGGTCGTTGAAGGGGCGCTGATCGCGGGGCGAGATGAGCATGTCTTTTTTGATGGGCCGCCAGCCTGCTGAGGCCAAGGGCGCGAGGCCGCCGGTCGCGGCGAGAAGGATTGTCGAGGTCCGCATGGTAGCTAACGTGCTGGGAGGAGCGACGGAGGTGAGAACGGCGGATGAAAAGGGGAATTGGTGCGGAAGTGCTGACGGGGAACTTTTGAGAAGGCGCTACGGTGGAGAACTGGCTAGGGTCTGGGTACCTAGATGCAAGGCGGTGAAGCGTGTCGGCTGCGTCATTTTTCTCGGCGACGCTCGGTCCCCCGCGGAGCCCCGAGCAAGGGTCTTGCGGAGTCTCGGTGTTTTTAAAGCCCACATCCACGCCCACTCATGCGCCGAGAATTTGTCAATGGTTATCACCTCAGGTTCTCTCCAACATGCCATGCTCCAGAATCAGGAGAATCGAAATTTTTTTCATTCAATACCGGAGCACATGTCCAAGTCTCATTATTCCAATACGAGTTCAGCATCCAAAGGGGGAAAAAATTGAAGAAACTTGGCCGTGAGAAAAGAAAATCATGGCAATTTCGTAACGAAAACCCCGAAATTGAATGAGACTTCACAAAGTGAGCCGCCGGAAAGTCAAAAGCGGGAGCAAGAGGAGAAAAGGGAGAAAGAGAGAAAGAAGAGGAATGGGAGGAGGGAAGGAAAAGAAGATAAACTAAGGTGCGAGAAAGGTCCATTCAAGCCCCCAAGGATCTGGAAAACCAGAGATCTGTGCATCTGACATCCCAGAATCAAGCATAGCAGTGCTGCTAGGAGGAATCTGGTCCGGACCTGGACCGAGTGCGGCTTCATGAGCACTCTGGGCTGGCAATGGGCTAAGGTTACCATCGAGGCTAAGTTCGGCGATCAAGTTACCCTCCATAAAGGCTTCGCAGGCTGGCGACACACGGATCTGAGGCGTCAAAGTTCCCTGATACGTGACATGATCATTAAGGAAGTAGGCCTCTTCGCCCACCCGTCTCCTCTTCGAGGTGTGGACCTCAGGGTCGGCTGCGGTCATCGGCGGATTTTCGTCGAAGTAGGACGGAGTCATCGGAGATGCGCTCATAGGGGTGCTACCACGGGAAGTGCAAGAGCTGTGGTCGTCGTCGTTTTGCTGGGTGTGGAATTCCCCAAAGAGCTGCTCTTGCACGTCGCGCACGAGCTCCTTCATCTGCTGTGCCGACCCTGACCAGACACCGCCTGGAATGGCGCCGAGTTTGTCCCCCAGAATGCGGTCGGAGTTCTCCCTACAGTATCGATGGTAGTCATCCAGCTCTGAGTCGTTGCAATCTGTGAACAGTAAGCACCCATACAGCGGTACAAGCCCAGACGCGGACCCGAGGGAACCTACAAGGCGTTGATATTGCCACCTCACCCGGGAATAACGTCTTGTAGATAGCTCTCCACTTATCCTCGTCTGTCTTTGTGTCACTTTTCCGCTCTCTCTTCTTCAGCCGGCTTCTTTGGTCCTGATCAAGCCCGTCATCGTAATTTCGCTGGCACTCGCGCATGATGCAACGGTCTCCCGCAATCCGGTGTTCGTCAAGAGCGGCATCGTCGTTTCCAAAAACTTCGTTGCACCTCAAGCAGCGAAGCTGCATGTGATGTCTATATAAATGCTCCCTTGGCCGTGTTAGGAGCAATAGTCGTAATATGCTTTTGGCTACTTACTTGAGACGTGCGATGCTCTTGAAGCCAGGAAAAACACAAGACCTCTGCTTAGGTTTCCGGTTTGGCGAGTGTTTGTAGTATGGACAGGCAAAGTGTAGCTGAGGTTCTACAGTCCTGATACTGAGTGTGGGTCGAATGCTCTGATTGGGCGTTGCAGTCGGGGGTGCGAGCCAGCCGGAACTACCACGTCGGGCGCCTTGATCTAAAGTGTAACTACCTGGCGCGCCGGAATGAAAAAAATCATGGTCGTTCATGCGGCAAGTTTGGAATGATCTGTGGCGTAGAGCCGGCTGCTGTAATGGATATGGTGACTCGCGGTAGGAGCCTTGCAGATCTTGCACCCGAAGCGGAGGTATGGTGGGCCACAGATTGCAAAGAATGGCGGGGATAGGGAGTGACAAGGAGTTATGGAGGGTGCCACAACGTCGAGGGTTCCAAAATTCCCCAATAGAAGGAAATGTACGCCCACCGAAGATCTCCGGCTAAACAGGAAGATGGATAGATTAGGGAGGGCTCAGCCGCGGCGTGGCGACCGTTACTTATCAATCCAGGTGGGGATGAGGCTGAAACTCGCAGCAGCAGTATTCCGCAGGTGAGCGTTTGATCGCACGGGGTCACACGCCCGTGCTGCGGACACGTACACGCAGGACAGACCGGTGTGTCGTCTTCACTGGTGGATAGTAAAAGCAGGATTACATTGGCACGGCAGTCTGCACATTTTCCTTGCTTTTACGTCCGCAGCACATTGCGAGGCAGAATTTGCAGCCCGGGGACGGCCGACGTGCATCTATCCCACATAGTTCGCCAATCATCCTCAATTCCGTGTTTACCGCTCGAACACAGCCATGCTGCAAGTGCTCTGCTCCGCCCCGGACAAGGCAGTTTGCAGCCTGACGAACATGTTCCCCTCCAAAAATCTGCAATACATCATACCCTTCGAAAAATTTCGCCTGTGTGGGGGGTGGCTTAGCACATTAGCGCTCTTTGAGTGATCTTCGGAGACCCACAACGACGTGTTCGATTGCCCGCTACATGACGACTGACGTCGGAGACCCAAGAAAACCTTCTTAAATCAACCACACCGGATCATTCCAATCTTCGCCTTTAACTAAAACCCCTGAACTGAATATATACTAGCTAACAAGACTGGTTCATTGAGTACAGCTCGAAGTGCTTGTGATTACTCGGCGCGAATAACTCCCGTAAAAAGCTATCTGCATATGCTAAGCCCCTCATTATTGATTGAGCGAAAATAGAAGTAACACATGTGAGCACTAAAATGGAACGTCTGTCTCATAGTCACCTGCAAGGCTCATGTGTGGGAGTTTTACCGACAAGGCAGATTGACAATGTGCAGAATCGCAACAACGGTATTCGCAATGTTTTCTGGGATTGGAGGCGGTGTTCTTCACGCTCATTGAGCTTGGTATCAGCCGGAGTTTCTTGATTGTCAGCAGCACCGAAATTTAACAGCTTCCGGTCACCGTCACTGAAAGATTCGATATCTTTCTCTTTCGTAGGAACTTGAGGAACGCGGTCTGGCCGGCTTCAATGTCTGGCAGTGGTCGGGAGGCGGGGAAGTAGTGACGATGACAGGTCCAAGGGCGTGCGGCTAAAGGAACTCAGATAGCAGCTTTTTCCAATTACTGAGGCAAAATTCTGCTGTTAAAGCTGCATCGAGGAAGAATTTTTTTTTAGAAATTAACGGAGCCGTCCTCTATTCCTGGAGAAATCAAAAAGTGAAGGAGTCAGCAGAACAAATGGTATATGCGCTCGATACTATACCCAGGTTTTCCGGGCATCCTTCGGTCAGAGTTTCGGTGTATATTGCAGCAAAGATGTAGGTTCAGAAATTGGGTGTTGAGAGTAAAAAGCTGTGTCGATGTGGATTCCACTGTCGATGTCAATTGATGAGAAGGTGTGCAGACAATTGCGTTTTTATGCTGGGTGCTCTCACGAGCAATCACCCAACCGCCGGCTTGCGCAATGCTCCGCGCGTTAACTCGCAGCCGCGCAAGAGGAGCGGACGCCGCGGGCGCCTCAATGCTGTGCTAGCAGGGTGGGTGGTCATACATTGCCTCAGCTGAAGGTTGCGAGGTCTTCCGACAGCCAATCAATCTCAAAGGTGGGGATGGGAATACCACATCGGGAACCAGGCGCCTAATCGAGCTGCACGGCTGCGGCGAGGCAGAGTTGGGGGCCAGCAGCATACGAGGCAGACACTAAAAAGAGGCAATCGTGCGGCCTCCGCAGCTCTTCCGGATTAACCGACATGCATGAACCCCACAGCCACGAACTCGACGCAAAGACTCAGCCACCGTCGGACGCGCGCTGTCTCTGCTGCCTGCTGGCTTGTGTCAAAGAACGAGCCGCATACCAATGGCCTCACTTATTGTCTGCAGGGTTCCGCTACACCAACGTGAAGATTCATTGACGATATACTCAATCCAAATAATCCGAAATACAGCCGTAAACGAATGTCGATTTGCTGGAAAGAACAGAGGGGGATAGTTGTCCGTCCAATAGCCGCCGTTTCGTAGAATCCAATGAAAGATATCCAAAGTGAGTGTCACTGTTACTGGATCAATTCTCGTAGCCGCGCCAGCCTCGCTCTTGAGCGCCATGGATTCGACGCGAGTGAAGTTGGCTGTCCTGGTGGGATGGTTTGCTACGCTGATTGGCCAAATCTCGGTACATGAACGCTGGTGGCGCATCATGGCGCTGGTCGAGGTCAAAAGCCATTGATGGCTCTGAATATGTGGGAAATCGTTCGCCTTGCTGAGGCGTCCAATCACAAATATTGAGGTCTGAGTGAGAGCCCTCAGTAACAGTCTCTAGCAAGGCTGGAGCCAGAGCATTGTTTCCAAACTTTTCGGGTTGCGTCCAGAGGCCATGCGGGAGCGGAGGATCCCGGCCCCCAGGCCAATTGTTGTTCAAACCACTGGTGCTACATGGAAACAGCTGTAGCGAGTCAATTGTATTCGCACATTGCTCATCACTGCTATGCCCGACAGGAGATGTGATGTGAGTGGTTGAATCCTCGTTCTGGCCGGTATAGTCCAATGTTTGATATTGCTGAGCCTGATGAGACGGGCTTTCACGAGTCACAGCGACAAGTTTCCGAATCTGCTCGTGGAACTCTGCGTGGACAGACGGTTCTCCAGGGCTGACCATGAACCTGTTCAGAGATTGTTGGGAATCATACTTCGGATGAGTATGGGAAGTGTCGTTGTCTGGATCATCGAAGGAGTCAGTCACCTGGCCGTAATGGAAGCAATTCTCTCGGACACCCGTCTACAGAGAAGGTCCGGGTTCGTAAGTCTACTTACACGGCGACGGGATGTCCGAATCGTCCGGAAAGAGTATTTTGTATACGTCTTGCCACTTTTCCTCCTCGGATCTTCGGGTTGCAGCTCTTTTCTTCAACTTATCCCATGTATTTCCAGAAAATGTCCTGAGGTCGGGTGAAGTCCGCACCTCACATGCCATCAGCGACATTCGATGACGCTCATATGTCTCAGCGCCTTTAAATGTCTCATAGCATCTTCCGCATTGGAACCTGTGGCCATGGCATCTGAATAGATGCTCTCTAGTATGAACTTTAGCAGGACCCCTAAGAAAAATATGCTTCTGACCTTACTTTATGCGTGTGACTCTCCGCCAGGAATGGGTGCAGGCGCTAGCAATGGTATCGCTCTGTGGCAGTTTCTTTGAGTATGGACATGCAAGTCTTTTGGTAGGTAGTGCTTTGGAGGCTTTGTATCAGATGTCAGTTAATTTTGCTAGCATTCACAGCGAAAGGTGACGAACTGTCGGAGCTAATGTTCGTGAGCTTTGAGATCGACCGTCTCGACGCTGGATGGCGCCGCCTGTCTCTGAGCTCTGTGTGAGACTTCATCTTTACTGGAAAGCTGTGAGAACAGGATATACCTACATTTAAATTTGAGCCAAAAAGTAACCAACTACTGCCGCCTCACATCGTGCCTACACCCAAGATCCGCTCACGACGCGCGAGCGCCGAGCAGGGAGGCCACTGACTGTTAAATCCAGGCATTGGTGCCCAACCAAAAAGTGACAGCATTTGGGCGTGAATGCATACGCATATGGATGCCTGTATGCACCGCATTGCATGTCAGGGAATAAGTATACCAACCGCACAAATATGGGGCTTACAACGAAGTTCCTTGAAGCCTTATATTGCTATCATGCCTGCTCATCCATCAATTTCAACAGCTGTGACATATTTGTGGCATGTGCTTGGACGAGCTTATGCGACTCTTCGGGATCTATGACCAGTATCGTTGCTTGAGGCGGCCATATTGCACATAGGGGCGGAATGAGCCGGAGAGCGAAAGTAACATCAGGCTAAAGGATTTCCTGATGGCATGTCAGCGTCTGCATGAATTGATGACCCAGCAGCAGTACAACCTCACGACTGGGCTGACCCCGAGGCTTCCTAGGATGCCACATGGCCCCAGAAACCCTCACAGCGTTGCTGGGTCTGGGCCCCCTTGCGACGTAGACAGCCGACACCGCCGTTGACAGGCATATCCTTTAAAGTCTGCAGCGTGTGCCACCATCATCCAAGTTGCTTCAGGTGTATGATCGCAACCGCGCTCTCGCACGCCCCGTCCGCCGCCTTGCCGATATGATACGTCTCCCGGGCCTCGACTTGCCGTTGATCGCGTGGAATGGTTGGATACTAAGCGTTCGGGGTCTTCGGCGAAGGCCGGTCATAAGTGAGGCTTCCAACGAGCGATTTTTCAGGGTGGCTGTACTAACGTCGCATAGGTCCGTGAGGTAGGGCGGGTGTTTAGAGAGGCGAGGCCGTGAAGTGAGG